CGAACTGCTTTTCCAAGTCCTAAAAATGGTCCTCATTAATTTACTCGACTTGTTTTGGGTGCTTGCCTGTCCGGAGAATACTTCCACAGCTCATAAGAGAGATTCCTAACTGTGAGAATATCTCTGATATAATATATGGCTTTGGTAAAAAGATATGACCATACACCTCTCTTTCCTTGAGAAGCTGTTGACCACATTACAGTCCAGTGATCTGACTCCTAAGTTTCCCAAATGTATCTTTGCCAAGCCAGAAATTAACGCTTTTGGTCATATTGTGTCTGCCAGCGGAATCCGACCAGATCAGAAGAAGATTGTAGCAACTCTCAAACGCCGTGTACCCGAAGCCAAGTAGTCCTGAGTCCGTTCCTTTCTTGGTTTATTTGTATTGTTCACGATATATTAAAAACTACAGCACCATAACTGACCATTATGAGAGTTGAGAGACGACAAGAGGCAGGCGCTTTCCAGGAACTCAAAACAGCAATTAGTAGCTCACTACGACTTACACTCCCCGACAAAGCTTTAGTTGATGATGCCTCGCCCTGGGCTCTTGGTGCTATACTCTTACAGCAAACTGATCATAAGCCCTTGGAATATATATTCTGTCCAGGCAAACCACCTCCAAGTATTGAAAGATGACAGCCCCGATTACAAGAATACGATGAAGTGGTATATCGTCCAGGAGCCCAAAATCTAGCAGATTCCCGATTTAAGATTAACACTACCACAACGACTATCAATTCGTCCCAACTGTGCCTACCGAGATGTCAACCTATTAACCTAACACATGTCATTCAAAGCAATCGACACTGAAGTAATTCGTTCAGTATCTTTTAGTCACCCCGAGCTACAAGTTGTTCGAAAGTGCATCAGTGAAAACACCTTCTACAAGCTACCAGATGCCGTACAGAGCCACGTACAGACGTATAGCAAGTGAACTATGTGTAGCCAATGATATCGTATTCCACGACTTGTGCATCAGAGCAATTACAATTGCCTACGAAGATCATTCAGAAATAACTGGACGTAAACATCGTCTGAGATCTAAACTATGGTGGTCTGGTATGGACAAGGTACTAGAAGAATTTGTCGAGAGTTGTCATGCATGACAAACTAAAACCTACTCAACCAAACTCTCCTATGCCGATTCGCACAACACCATTACCGAACGGTCCTTGGGAATGTCTTGCACTTGACGTTTGTGGTCCATTTCCGACGGGAGAATACGCCTTGGTTTTTGATTGCATGACTACAAGTCACGATGGATAGAAGTCGAAATCGTTAGCTAAATGGTTGGATTCTGTTTTTGCAACCGTTACGGTTACCCTGTCACGCTGCAAACCGACAACGCTACGTATTTCACTTCGATACAGAATAAACATTATACTGAGCAGAAGTCTCACTCTTTGCATTCTGCTAATGTTTTCGTGTCCGAAATTTTTCAGAAGTGCACGCGTCATTTCTACGCCATCTTGGTGTGTGCAGGAACTTTGTACCCCCATGAAAAAGTTCCTGCACACGCCAGGATGGCGTGAGCGAATTCGAAGTTTCTTTTCGGTATCTAGAATTTATAGATAAACAATAATGTTGTGTTGGATAATCTCCTACTTTTTGTGTCTGACTATCTGAAAATTGATAAGAAATAAGACGACTGGATTATATTCATGCCCAAAAATTGCATTTATATTAATATAAATACATGACACTTCGTACCTATCCTTTTCTCGTGGGAAACGGAAAAATGATTTAACGTCATTTCCCTTCGTGGTATTTTTGCTATTTAATGGCGAACATCTAATGCCATAGTATGCCATGTGATAATGTCTTTTCTGTGCGACGACGAAGACTTTGATTCAAAACCAAACCCAAACCCTGAATCTGAACAACTTGATCTAACGTCAAACCGAATGAGATCAAACAGGAACCTAATTCCCCACAAGTATAACCACTACCATAACGCTCACCTGATCTACCTCTTAGAAGATCCACCAGGCAGAGAAAGCCACCTGATTACCTTCAATCGTCTTGGAACGCTTGACGAGAATGTTTTAATTCGAACGTTTGAGCGTTTAACAGAACATGATTAATTTGTAATTAGAATGTCTAGGATAATTGATAATTTAGCTAATTGAGGAAGGGATGACGTATGGCGCACGTGAACAATGCATGCTGTAATTTACTAGAATATTAAAACATTGGCATATATTCACGATTTGCATATTGTTTACTTGTAAAAGCACACTTCATACAGACAGCGAGGGTGTGAACATTAATATACGACAGCATGCAATTAATCGATATTAGGTTCTTGCTTACTGTGAATATTTGCGCGACCAAGCTAGACATGCATCTTTTAAAATATAGATTTGTGGGAAGACTAAAATGGGTTTAACGTATTCCATTTATCTCATTTTAATTTTGATGAAAACCTCGATGCTTTTAACACTTTTATCGCATCATGTTGATATGGTAATTAAGATCAAACACGAAAGCCGAATGCTTGAGTATCTTTGTGTAAATTCTGCGTGTCCAGACACTCCGCCTGCGTCTGCACAGATGAAGCTGATTGAAGGCAATGAATAAAGTAACGTATATTTTTGGTATAATTTAATCTACACTTTATATTATATACAGTTTACAAACTAACGTTACATTATTTCACAATTTAATAGATTGGCGTTTAAGGATTTAAAAATAAACAATTCTATAATGGCATCATTTGCATGAGAAAAATAATCCATCAGCACTACCATGTCACAGACACAGTCGATAAAATAACTTTATTAGTTTTTTCTTTTCTTTTTTTTCTTACCATGCACGTTACTCGTACGCATTATTTTTATTCATGCTGAGCTACGCCAAGCCAAATGACTTTCAAACTAAAATTTGCCCTGTAAGACTGATCTTTGCGATCAATATTGTGCATAATATATATATTGTCTTCAGATGGAAACTGCTGCGTGCAGGCTTGTCATGTCATTGTTCAAACATAAAATAATACAAGAATCGTGAATTTCATAAGAATAGAATAGAATAGAATGGAATGGAATGAAACCCATAAAACTGAAAAAAGGATCAGGTTTTCAAAACAAGGGTGGTGCTATAGAATCTCCGTGATTTTAAAAGGGTATATAGTTGACAATTTTATATACTGAGAGTTTGTATATATCTACGTACGGTACGTTATAAATGATATTAATTTAATTTTTAACATTCTTATCATGCTAACACTGCGCTTCATTATACTGTTGTGGAGTTGTGCCGCATATAAATAAGCACATGCATTGATAGTATAGTCTGTATTCTCCACCATGCATAGATCAGTAGGTTTGGCTAAACTAGTCACGTTATTGATGCAACAAATTAGGAAATAAAATTGAAAGCAACCATGGTAATCCATAAAATAAGCAATCGCCAGCGAAGAGAACAAGGTGTTCGAAAGAGCAACGCATATATTACACAGTGATATTACATAAATATTGTTGGTGGTATATGTAAGGTTTTACCACCTAATTGAAGGCAATATAGCCACACCGCCATGCATGTGGATAAAAATGACAATTATATTCACTTTGGCGGGCATTGCGGTGTATTTTGTGGGCTAAAATGATAAATTTAGCCCGCTGATCTAAGCCAAGAATGACTAAAGTTTTTACTCATGATTGCATAATTTTTTATACAAAAATTGCACTTGAAATGAGTTCAGAGTCGAGCCAAAAACACATCAATGCCCGTAACATAAACTCTATTGCCATATTAAGCCCCGTACAGATGGACAAGTTTTCCTTGACAAGTTTTTTTGAACATTTCACTTACTCGTGTGTATGACGAATAAATTTTTCCTTGACAAGTTTTATTTGCTCGTGTGCACGCGAAAAATGTTTTGACAATTTTTTTTGACAAGTTTTACGATAATATATATGTCGAGTATATCGTTTAGACAAAATGAGCCATGATAAAATCAGTATACGACCGAATCTCAAAACAAACAAAAATGATAAAACTTCCAAAAACCACCCAATTGGCTCAAAGATAATGTTACGCATGCAGTTTCCTACTTGTCAAGTTTTTCTTGACGTCAGTACACACGAGTATTTTTCTTTGTTGAAAAGCTGGCATGACTAGCTTTTGAACAAGGCTCCTTGTCAAGGAAAACTTGTCAATTTTTCCGCGTACACACCCCTGAGCAAATAAAACTTGGCAAGGAAAACTTGCCCGTCTATATACGGGGCGCTTAATCATATAATTAGCCAAACAAAGTAACCATTACAGTAACCAATATTTAGACCGCTTTGGAGCGTTTAACTTGTAAAATTAAAACTTTGATAAGTTTAAATGGAATAGTTTGTGTGGTCAAGCATTAAGAACTTTGGGGGTCTCATATCTTAATATCTTAATATCTTAATCTTCAGCTGCATCATCATCGCTCCAGTTGTTTTATCATACTTTTTTTATTTTTATGAAATATGCAATTCTTAGTGCAATATTAATGATTGTGCCATACCTTTACGGTAATACTGCTCCCAACTAAAAACATGCCAAAATTCAACAATTCGCTAAAAACAATATATAATCAGGCCTGATATATAATAAAGCATACATAAAACTCCGCCAAGCAAAACGTAAACAACGCCAGTGCCCATTGTATCACGGTATAGCATATGGTGTGGGTACAAAAGATCTTGAGTCACAAGCTGTTCTATGCTAATTTTTGACAATTTTTCATTAGTTTTTCAAAGCAGAAACACCAGAAAAAGGCAGGAAAACATAAAAAGCTCAACATTGCATCACAAATAACATATGATTTATGACAGATACAGAGTGCAATGGAATCTATTTTCGAATAGTAGGATTTACAGGTTCGCACTACAGGGAGTCAAACATCTTTCGTCAGTTTAGGACATTCATGCAGTGTTTTGGTTCAAAAGATAGCGAGTAAATAAAACTTACTTTAAAACAATGAATCCGCCGGCGCTGGTGTAAAAAGAATCCCACCCGCTGGGTTAATTTGTTTTTTGGCTAATTTATAGACGTCTGTACGCTACAGCTTTTATAGTAATAAAAACAATTAAAGTCATGAGATACTGATAAACCTCGTCAGTATCGGTGAGATTACATTCAGTGACAAGACCAAAATTCGTCTGTGACTGTGCATAAAAACCAGGGGTAAACTCGCCACCTAAAACTACTGAGTTGGCGTAATTCCAATGATTATGCAGCAGTAATTCTGTTATGTTTATGTCATATCTGTTTAAAGAGATAATTTCATCTGCGATGTAACTTTATTAACCACAGAACTTACAGAAACTACAAGAAAGGTACCGTGTTAATAACCACCTGGAAATGATTTTCCTAGCGTGCCATAAAACATGGGAGGTATATTGACTGTTATAAAAAACTGAATTACGTCGGCAACTCCTCCGTGACAAGTAAAAAATGTTATTTTCATAAAGCCATTATGTTTATCAAGCCCCAGATCTTTATCATATTCATCATCATGTCATATAGAATATTTTAATATTTAGGGTCGTACATAGAGTTCTTGTTGTCCCAACAGCTGACGTGACTTAGTATGATGAATCATTAACATTGGAGACAATCTTCATGCAGGTAAATTATTTTACTTCTTCAAAGTAACTAAGTATATTATTTAATTTCTTTCTCTTAGTGTATATACCATCTGAAGGCCAGACTGGTCATATTAGAACTGACGAAATGTTTAGCATCAGGCGCCGGTTGAAGCAAGGCTGGATATAGCGCTATCCACCGGATAGTGATTTTTTCAACCTTAGTCTAAAAATGCTCGAAAAGCCAATAAAATTTCAGCTTTGGATCCAACACTTATTGAAGAGGATCCTCAATTTAGGAATATTAAGGTTTAATCAAAGTTTCAGCCAACAACGGGCGATTTCAAAGCGATTAAAAAAATACTTTCCAGTGGATCAGCGCTATTCGGCTTTCGTACAAACGGCCCCTGATCGTTAGGTGCATGATTCTATATATTTCAAACGAAAGCCGGATAGCGCTATTCACCGCGGGTCGTGATTATTTCAACCCTTGTAAAAATGCTTGAATAGCTATAAAATTTCAGCTTTGTAACCAACTATTGTTAAATAGGATCCTAAATTTAGGAATACTAAGATTTAATCAAAGTTATACCAAACATTTCAAAGCGATTGGAAAAATTTCAAAGCGATTGGAAAAATCACTATCCGGTGGATAGCGCTTTCCGGCTTTCATACAACCGCCCCTGATTAAAATAGATGTTTCCAGTTTTTTTATAAACTGAAGTTAATGCAGTACGTACTGCTTTATCAATTCCATGCATACGTCAGTAGAGAATGAGATTCAAAAAAACTTGGATCGTGTGAACAGACCTGAAAATCAACTGCTGGTGCCAGCCATATCTCAGATAAGAATTATCGACTTCGGGCGGTTGTTCCCCAGGCTTCATGTTCGTCTCGGTTGCTTGCTTGAAAGGCCGGTGCAAGAACATATGCTTTTTCGATTTGTGTCAAAAAGCAGCCGGAGTAAATTTTAAAGCTTTTAGTCCATGCATGAATATCAAAGACCTTATCTTATATTGTTATATAGGTGCTGTGTATTTTAAATGTGATTGGTTGATTCGTAGTCACATGACTTTAAATAAATGCAATGTTTCCCGCTAGGGAAACAAGTGAAAAATTGCTGCCCGCTTTTTGTCACGAAGTAAAGTGGTTTTTGTTAAATGAAATTGTTGTGTAACATGTATGTTTTTGTTCCTATATACTGACAAAACACTTAACAAAACACTCGGGAAATAGGAGTTTTGTTTTCCCTCGAGTCTCAGACTCTCGGGAGCATAGCTACATTATGTGTATAATATATTATTTACCACAGCAGCTAACTAGGACCCGGGCTTGACGTACTCATAAACGTTTTCACAGTCATCTTTTGTACAATAGACTGAGCTCAAGGTGATAATAATAACCACGATTTTCAACCTGCAACCTGATTTCTGCAACATTTTAGCTGCATATAAGACTGAATTTCATAAGTTGAAGCAACAGTTTCGATTACTGCATGCTCTGAATGTTATTAGCCTTAAGGCTGTTTTCCACTTACACGTTTTTTATACGCACGTACACGTACGAAAAAATTTAAATGCTTTTAAATTTTTATTATTTAACATCTAGGTCAAGTAATGCAAGTTCCTTCGATTTATTCACTTAGTTTTTTCAAAGGTAACATGTATAAGGATTTAGACTTTTAGCTACGTGCGTGTACGTGCGTATGAAAAACGTGTAAGTGGAAAACAGCCTTTACGAACTTAAATTGTCTCCCGTGAATCATCATTTCATTTAATATAGATGCAAAAAATCCGCAATGCTGTTGGCTAAGCAAAGTGACTCTTATATAACTCATCATCAGGACTTTTTTATATCCATCTATTATTAACACCGAAGTAATAATTTAGTTTTTTGCCCAGAAACTATACACACAGCTATATACTAGCTAATTGTATCACACTACTAGGATCTGTAACCGTAGGCTATATGTAAATATCGTAGCTTCTAATTAACTATACTCCAAAGTCCACATGCAATTAAATTAAATAACGCATATTTTCCACGCCGAAAGAAAATACAATGCTAAACGATTCCGCTCATCCGAGATTAAACAAAGGATGAAATAACTTTTGAGGTATTAATAAGCATATAACATGCCTGGTTTTGCATGGTGCTGGATACAATGTAGTCGACCCGAAAATAATATGTGCATTTTTATTTGTTTGATATAAAGTCCTATTTTAATACCTCTCACTCTTCACCTCGCCTAGCCGGGATATCTCGCTCCATGTAAACAGGCCCTAACAGTAGAAAATGTGGATTTCCAGACCCCAGTGCATGTGTGTCACAGCGTGTCATACGCCCGACCCAAGAGGACTGAACTGGTTTAAAGTCCGTCTAAATATTTTTCTCCGTATTTTATAAATAACAAAATCAAGTGTTACAAAATTATTTGATAACTAATAATGGAGGTAGTAATATGGGTTTTCGTTTTCCAATGCTGAAGTTTTGGCAATATGCAACCATTAGGACCCAGCCCATTACAGACTCGCCTGGTGTTTACGACACATCTCTAACTAACCACAACCGGCCACATTTATTTAGAATAATTCAAAACAAATTCAGGTTTCTGAAGTCTAGAAAATTGGTGTGTTCAGTTCGAACATGCATGAATAACTTAAGTTAAAGTCCCTATTGTAATGTCATAAACCCAGAATTTCCATGGATGGCCACGTTTTCAAAAAATGCGAAAACGTTGCCTGCAGCAACTAAATATACAAGCGGGTGCGGGTCATTCTGAAAATACTTTTCGGAAAAATTTGTATTGCCACGCTAATATCAGTCAGTAGAAGTAAAATATATAGCCAATGTTAGTCTTGTAAAAAGAGAAGTTAACGACAAATTACTATCATACAGTTCACAAATAACATGCATGCATATTTCAACGAAAACATCATCAATATTATATAGTGTTATAAAACAGCTAGGAGGTCGCAGATTTCTACCATGGTTTAACTCCGAAGCATAAAATGTGTAAATAGTATAGATAAAGATATAAGCTTCTTTCAACGATCGAAGCAAACGGAACTGCCGACCGAAGCAACGTTTGCATTGTAAACCTCTCTCTAAAAATAACATTACGTGTTTGATAAGAATCAACTGCATGTCTTTTAACGATACTGTAAAACAGCCTACTTTTTAAATAAGTGGAAGCAGGTGAAATGATTTTTAATTACTGTTTTTGAACGCATTTACTATGAACAGAAGAGCATTTTCACTGCAAAGCATTTCATTTTTTTGTGATAATGATCAGTCTAACGTGTAGAACGCAGACGTTGTGTAAATAACAAAAAATTCTTTATTATTTGTTAACAGATGCGAGTTGATCGGTTCAAATATCATTTTTGAAGGAATCAGAGTTTGTAAGACACCGAACACAGGAGTTATTCAACATGGCCATGGGTGAATGGGATCGTTTTCATTATGGCTATGTTACAATCAGCGTTGTGGCAATCCTCCTAAATACTACTGTCATTTATCTTTTTCTTACAAAAAAGTATCTCCGAAATATGCACTCGAATACCTTTTTGTTTAGTTTGGCAATATCAGATTTTTGTTATGCTTCAGTGGCAATACCGTTGTTGATAAGATGTGAGCAATTCTTTAAATATTCAGTTTGCTACGCTTATGAATATATTATGGTATTCTTCGGATATTCTACCGTCTACCATATACTGCTTGCAATCACCGAGAAATTGTGTGCAATCTGTTTCCCGTTGAAACATCACTCCATGTTCTGTAAATCAATCGCAATCAAGTCGAGCCTCTCCGTGTGGTTGTTTTCAATTGCTCTTAGTCATATCCCTATATGGTGGGATTACATATTTCCGGGTAGCCCAAAAGAAAACATGCAACGTGATGAAATCTTTTACAAGTTTCATTTTGCAACTGGATTTGCCTTGCCAATGCTGATGTCAATCATGATGTATTCCATAATACTTCATAAAATATTTAAAGTTGCTAATGCCAGATTATCTGAAGATACCCAAAGCAGTAAATTGCGACTGCACGTCGAGAAAAAAGCAGCCTGTACGTTTGCTATTATGCTTGGTGCTTTTCTTTTCTCTTGGATAACGTGGTTTATAGCGCGTATTTACGATCCTATCTTGAATAATGTTGATATAGCACATTTCTTCACAATAAGTAGGTTTTTGGATCCGATTTTTAATCCAATCTTGTACACGTTTCTCAAGAATGATTTCCGACGGGCATTTCTCAGTCTTTGGAGAAGTAAAAAACAGAATAACGAGCTACTGCAGATGCGTTTGACTCGACATCATTGCCAAGGAACAGGAACAGCCTACACTCATGAAGATTTGATCACAGCTTCACCTCGTTCTCTTAAGCGGAAACCGTTTACAAGATGAACTGAACTATGATAATAAGTGCACTTGCCAAAACGTCAAATATGTAATAATATCGCAATTAGTAATATAGTAATCACTTGTCTATAGACCGTCCTATAAAACACCATATTCTATATTAATAAACCGTCTTTGCCACCTTAAATAAAATGGATTTTCAGTCATTCCCTAGGATGAGGCAAGAAGAATGAAACCATGTTCTTTAAAACATAAGAAAATTTTCATAAAAATAAAATTAACCTAGCATGAAAACAAGGCTGGTAATCTATGAAAAATCTTCATAATTGACCTTACCGTTTATCTGCTGTTTGTCCTGTGTCTTCGTCTTCGTGTCAATGTTGTCCAGTTTTACTATACCGCGCTCAGTGGCGAGTCGTGAGTGGCGTTATTAACTTATTTTTCTCAAGATATTGTTTCACGTTCATACGAAAACGAGTCTATATACAAACGGTAAGGCCTTTTATCGTGCCTTGAGTTGGCAACTATTTTTTTCAACTATTAAGATCTTCTGCTTCTCTTCTTATATCTGTGAGAAATCCACTCAAATATAAGGGGCCGAATAAACAGTTTTGTAGTAACCTTTTCCGTTCAGGGCTGGAGAACAACTGTGTCACGCCTTTGTCCCCTTCCCGAGCCTCGAATGACAGCAAGGTGTTGTGTTTGTCAGGAATACATTATAACAGAGCAGAAAAATATCATTTTCAAAACGGCCGCCTCAAAAAATTAATTGTATTAGTCAAGGAAAATATTTAAAAATCCAGATTCTATTATAGAGACTAGTAATGTAGGACATTATTTCCTCTGCTGATAAATGATGTTTACAGCTTCCACAAAATGATACCTGTAACGAGTATGCTTCAGCAAATTAACTGAATACCCTTTTTTGGTCATTATGACTAATGACACCAGTCGAAGAGAAACTTAAGTTTTATTAGTCTTTCCCTGTGCATTTACATGCAGGGTAATAACGAATATCGTTTTCAGAGCTTGCGACCTTGAATAATTTACTTACTAATCTTTTAAAATATCACTTTTCTTCTTACGTATATTTTTATTTACTAAAATGGAACTCAAAAAGAATATCATTTCACCTAAATCAACTATTTTGGATGCAAAGTATGAGAGAGGACAAGTATAGTTCATAATCCTCTCATCATTCTGTCATTCTCACATCTCATACCAATTACATTTAAACCAGAGCAAGTGATGGGACAAGAACCTATATTCTATGTGGTTAACCGTTTAGGACTGAGACTGACGTAGGGCACTGACGTGGGACCTTTTGAAAGGGAATGACTTGTGTTGTGACAATTAGGTTACTTGTGTATTGGACTATATGTACTATATGTACTGCTTGTACATACTGAAAACCTCGTGGAATCCTTGCGAGCGAGACTTCGGCTGTTTATCAGCAGGGGCAGAGGATGTACAACGTTTTTACGTATTGGCTTCAATAAATATTTTTTTCATGACACCTTTCTTCTTAGTTCAACAGATATCAATGGCATTCAATGCAGTATGTTTCTTATACTCAGTCCCCCGCTAAAGTACTCGTCAGCCGTGAGCTCAATCTCTTGCGAGACCTCAATCATGGATGTTAAATGATAAATCTCTCCCTTAACGTCATCAAAACAAGTCAAATGGTACTTCACGAGAAAAAACTTGCTTCGTTAGTGGAGATTTCATTCTATAGAATCACCCGATCATATGAAACCATCCGCGTACTTGCGCATGCAGTGTTCTTAAAAAACATCAGATATATAACCACGTTATCTATACCAAATTTTGTGGCCTAAACGGATTCATACAACCTAAACATTCCCCTTATACTTTACTACATCACTAACGCTGACAATGCATGCTGGATGGAAATTCAACACCAGTGGCGATATTTTTACTTGAAATCTCTTTTTCGTGTATGAACTGGGGCACAGGCTATATCTTTCGTAGCTTTTAAACAGTAAAGCTTTCTTATCATTACTCTTGGCGCTCTCACGTAGTCTTTCAAAAGCTTTTTCACTCATTTCGGAGTGAAATGGCTCTAGCTCTGTTGCTGAGATTTTCTCAGCTCACTCATGCGTTGGTTTTAAATAAGTGGCTGCATGCATGCGCATTTGAAATAATGCTTTGAATGGCATGAAAAAAATCAAATATTGATGAATGATGAGAATTCGTTGTAGATTTCGAATATCCATTAGTAGAAACACCGTTTCCACATCTTAGGATTTGTATTCGGTCATATATCTAAAGCATGCATGCTTCCAAGTATCGATGTGTTTTGACTCAATATTTTTTATACCAACAGCGCAATAATGAGCTTTTTGGGGAACACACGTGTGGGTTGGACATTATGGAGGGACTGAGAGGCAGTCCCGCCCCCCAGGTTTATCATAAAAAAAGGCCCAGTAATGAAAAAATACAATCTTTTAGCAAAAAAGCTTTTGTTTTCGAAATAACAATATTGAAATGTCAAGTACTATGGATTAATCTAGTAATCTCCATGAAGCTTTGCATTAAGTTCAAGTTGTTTCCGGTTGATATGGATAAAGACAGCGAAGTAATAAGTGTTTGGCAAGAACGCAAGCATGCATTATCAAGAAATCGTGAAGTTAACTGATATACGTTGCAATACCATATGGCGAAATAACGCCGGTTCAATCACAGGCACAGTAAACAGTTTAAATATAAATTACTTTCATAATCTATTCATAAGTCGGGATCTACAAAGCGCACCCGGAGAGACAGATGCTTTGGCGAGAGTTTGGAAATGCTTTAACAAATTAACTATACGCTGTGTGATTGCAATCATTTCTCACAACCTGCATGTCCTAAAACAATTATACGCATGCTATCTAACATCAAATTTGCCGTTTGCATACATAGGGCTAGCTCATTTTGAAATCTTTTATTATTATAGCTTGAAATACACAAATATGGAATAAATTCTCATGCTTTTTGGTTTGAACTCTTTGAACTTTAAGCCGACCGGTTGTATAAGAGTAAATTTTGGTCAGTTATATCTCAGTAAAAACCAAAATATACGATTCTTATGGCCAGTTCTGTCTTTAAGTGTAAGAAAAGTTAACTAGCTCTTTATACAACCAACCCCTAAAAAAAAGCTATAGACATGAAATAATTGACTCATGACAAAGCTCTCAAATGAAAATATGATACAAATGCATGCAACTTGTTTTTGTCTTTGTTAGGTAAATACTGTGTTTATATTACTGTATTGTCTGTAGCTCTTCTTGATAATGCGTTTATTGACAAAATTACATCATGCATATTAATTCTCGATAAAATGTACGACGCCACCTGATGTGTACTGACCTGCCGGCTGCCTCAAAGGTCTGTATCTTCAGCAAGGGAAGGTAAATTTCCTCCCGAGGGACCGCCGGACGTAAAACTTCCATTCTCTGGAGTATCTTGAATAGATTCGATCTTCTTCAATTTCACGTCTCCATCACCGGTAGATAGTGTGCAGTGCGCATGGCTATTATTCCCTCGCTGTAAGGTGCTAGTTTGAACCAACTTCTGAAAGCCAGTTGCAGCCGGACAACTCGAGCAAAGTTTACGAAAATCGGCTTGAACGGCTTGCTTGTAGTCGTTTTTGATGAAGCTGTACAGTAATGGATTAAGTACAGCGCCGGCATAACGTAGTGATACTAAGAAGTCTTTAGCTTCCTGGGAAACAAGGTCTTGATTTTCTGTGTTTAAATTAAAGAAAAACCACGGCGCCCAGCCCGCAATAAAAAATAAGAAGAACATTAAGAATATGAGGACAGTTTTTCGATCATTCCTTGCTTTTGCTTGCACACGGCCAGTCTGAGTGGAAGAGGAAAGTTTCACATGAATTTGAAAAAACATGCGAATGTAGCAATACATTAGGATAATACTGGCAAGACCAAGAAACAATGTGGCCTGAACTTTGCCATAGATGTTGTATTTTTGACGCCATTCGAGCGACCCGGCGTTGTCAAATTGCCAGAATATGGGTATCCCTGCGAACACCAATGACAGAATCCAAACTACTGTCAATATTTTTCTGTAAGTACCACGAGTTGCGGCGCTCAGCCTTTGAAAAGGGTGAAGAACAGCGGTATATTTTTCAATAGTAAGAGCGATGACGTGGAGAATGGTTGAAAATCCTACAAAATTTCCAACAAGAAAATTTACTCGACATATTAGGAGGAAAGTGTCGTCCTCATAGTGTTTATCCCACTGGCTCTCACAAAATATTGCAATAGGAAGGTATATGACACCAACAACCATATCAGATATTGCTAAGCTAAGTAGCATTACGTTACTGCAGTTTCGTCTGACTTTTTCATGCCGTTTGTAGGTTTGAATCGCGAAAAGATTACAGAGAAAAATTAAAATTGCCAGAGTTATCAATCCGCCGTGGTAGTTCTCAAGCGATGATCCAACTTCTTCTGTTTCATTTCTTGATTGAGTTCCAGACGAAATTGTCGTCGAGAATTTAGTGTTTTCAGTTGTTGTTGCCATCATTGAATAATTGCTGCGAAATTGTTTCGTTTAAACTTGCTTGAGTTGCTTCGTTCTTGTTGAATGAAAGAGATCTCCTCGTACGACACATATATTTCGGATGTATTCTCTTTGACGTGTTCGTAAGACGTCTGAGGCGTTTTTTTTATTTATTAGTTATCTTTCTACGTCGTCTCTTAGACTGTGTGGTACCTTAGTTCTTACTGACAGAGAGCTCGAATTTGTTTTTTTCTCTTTTGTCCTTGTTTGGCCTTCAGACTGCGCCAAGATTGCTCGGCTTTCAAATTTGAGATCTTTCAACACGAAATTCTTTTTTGTACTGATGCAATCCGGTGCTAAGTGCGTCTACTTATCTTAGTGACACTTTGTTTTTCTTTCGTGGTTAGAGTTATTTGGTCCGTTTTTTTCTTGCGTTCTTTAATAATATTAGACTGGTTCGAGGCTCTTTGCGAGGTTCTTTCTAAAATAACATATCATAAAATATCATTGACGAACGGCAGGCATTGGACAGTTTTTTGACCCTGATTGTTTCTAAATTGTGTTGCAGGAAAAGGGCATCACACATGACCCAAGTAGAATTGTCGCCGTTTGACATGAAAATAAGCAGATGCACCACCACTATGCATGACGCGTATATTGTATATTGGTTGGTCGAGGGAAAAATGAAACAGCAAGTCACATTTTAAGTTGCTGTCAACAATAATATATACAGTTACATGTTTTAGATTGACACACCAAAATCATATCAAAAATGAAAAAAAAACTAACGGCTATATCGCGGTAATTATGACACAGAAAAAAGTGATCACATCAGTTTTTCATGCATGGGTGTACTGCATGTGCGAGCAAAAAATGTTTGTTGTAGCAACACTTTCGTCAGATGATTTGAAAATTTTAACTGTCGCATGCATGCATATAACTATACAACAGCGTGGTTTGTAACGTGTTTCAGTGAATTTATTTTTCGCTATCGTTGGTTAGGCTTTCATTCTTTGTTGTTTTTCAGTGACAGACTTGTCAAAATGACACTATCCACAAAAGAAAGGATTCATGTTGACTTTGTTGTTTTCCGACTCAGTTGAAATCGCAGTCACAATCAATAATGACGTATTTATAATCTATACTTATTTTGGGCTCACTTGTGCAAACGATGATAATGCTGAATGATAAGTTGATAATGTAATGTTTCACAGCAAATGCATCATATTTCAATGTTTTGGTCTTTTATGTTTTGCCTAATTCCAGTTTGCATTCTAAATCCTTGAATCATTCTATTGATACTTTTTGCATGCAGTAAAATGAATTAGTCGAGGTATCGTATATATTAAACGTCTCTATTCAACCATCATCATATAATAGGTCGCTGTCATAATTTCTAGACATTGTTCGCACCCCACACACCGTTCAAACGGAAACTCTATTTTTTTCATTGAGAAAAGATCAATAAGATCATGACCCATCTTCTTAGAATATGCATGGCATGCATTGATGGACCTCTTTTAAATTGATACCAATTTTTCGATTCATGCATGTATACCTGTAAGGTCGGGCGTTTGTGTAGCATGTGCAAGTTTGACTTGAGTCTGTTGTTAGCATATTTATTATAATAACGCCTAAAATGAAGTACTTACAATCGCTCACTAAAACATCTTGGAGTATTCCCACTGACTTGAAGTTTCACCAGCACGAAGCAAAGATCTCAATCATTCCAAGACGGTCAAGTATACACATCTCAAGATTAAATCACAATTTAAGAAAACACTATGCCATCTGCATTCATTAGCAACTTTAGAAAGGTTCAAAATATGCTCAATTTGTATCCAACGATGCCGTTCTTTATTGAATGTTTGATAGAGAGCAGCGGCGTCTTTCAAACAGAAATAATAAAATTGAGAATTAGGCTAAAGTAAAATCAGCATTCCATTCAAAATATCACTGACCTGTCTCTTTGCAACGAAGCAGCTCATATACTAAGACTTGAGACAGATCCCTGCTCCTCGTGAAGTGGAGAGTATTGTACCTACACTCGAGAATCACGTTTGTCTTATTCGTTTTCTCCCGGCACCAGCTTCAGCTTAAGAGCAACGTAGGCGCAGAACTATTGCATTAACGGATTTTGATTGATAGCATCCGTTCAATGATTTTCAGTAATGTTCCTTTTATCCGTCCACACTCTACTTTCCTTCGTGTCGAGTTTATGTCAACTGTTGTTTGGGTATCTTGCTTGTTTTTATAACTGCAGATTGATAACTTACAAATTAAAACCAAACTGCTTTTGCATTATAATTAAGTATAGGGCACACGGCATTCTGAGGGGGAGACACGCCCACAAAAATGTGTCCAACATCCCAACTCAAGTGGCTGATATTGAACTCAACCTAATAATTAATGAATGCAACCATGAAAATTCATGTTGGCGCGTTTTCAATGTTCCTCAATCAAACACTCAATAGAAGCACATGTTTAGACAAATTCTATTCGATTTATTTTAAACATGAATTTATCTTTCAACAGACGCAAACAGTTGAAAGCACAAAAGGCACAGCTAGGGCGAACATAATTGTTTAGAGTTTTGTCTCATAGTTGCCCTAGCCCTGGCTAAATCAATACAAGATTAAATCGGACAGTTTTCGTTCTAACACAGCAGGACACCGGACTTAATTTCTGCCAGCAAAACTGGGAGTTCGGAGTAAATTCTATTGATAAATTAGGCCAGATCAGAAGAATCGATTTATTACATGATTTGAAATAAAAAAGACACCACCGGTAAAAATCCTGTTAATTCTTTTTATATTTAAATGTGTGGGCTCAATGCTTGCATTCCTTTGATATAAGATTACACGTAAACATGCACAAGTATAAACTGCCATTTGCATTTTTTAGTTGGAAGCTGTGCCTACAGCGGGCCGTAGACAATACAATTTCCCTCATAACAAATATGTGTTACCCTAATGAGATAGAGCGGATAAAATGCGAAACAAGACTCCCATGAAATAAGCCAGTGCAGAGATTGAAATGATACTAAAGTGTGAATAAGAATATACATGGTGCCAACTCGTCCAAACATAAAAAAGTATGCCAATATTTTTGACAAATTACCCAATTGCTAAATAGTGAATATATAATACTAACCCATGCTGAACTCATGCCGTGGATAGTAAAAGTAATCATTCGTTTGTGTTTTTCCCTGCTGTGTTTTTGTGGCAGCTGGTGACGGTGAGCTTGAACAGTTTCAACTTTATGCAAAGACAAAGAGTTGTTGTCGGCATTGTGCTTCATAGAGCAGTATAATTATGCAGAGAAAGGTGCCTCAAGCCTTGGCCAGGTCAAAATATTTCGATGACGGTCTTCTCTTTAACCCCTCGAAACCCCTGCACCTCTTTCGTGGCCTTATTCATATCTTCTCCCCGCGTACCGTACTTTTTAATAAAATGATTTTAATACTTTAACTTCGATCTCTCTTGCATGTCTTCTAGCATTTCAATATTTTTAAATCTGAAGTCATGTAAATTACAATTAAACAGACCGGCGTGTTTTTTTTGCACGGCATCCAACCGTCGCTAATCAGTGTTTCAATCGAGGTCTCAATGAGTAAGGAGGGAAAAGGCCGGATAAAAAAAATTTTAGCGGGACAAAAAATGTTTTGCACGTGAAAAGATCTCAACAAAACTGATTTTCAGCTTTTCAGCTGGACAAATGTTCGACGTTGCATGGGGACTATCAATTAGGATTTGCCTTATCTTGACAAGGACGATTTGCTTCGGAAATTGCAACTATGCTAACATATTATAATAATCATTGGTATGTTTTAGTTCATGACGAATAAAGATGTCTTTTATATATTTTCGTGAAGATTGATCTGAAGCTAATAAACTGGAAAGGTTATATTTTAATATAGTCATAGAGCCAAACACAGCATCGAGTAAATTAATCGATCAATTATAAGCTAATAGTAATGCCCATATATGAAAGACTTTTAAAATTGCTTTCCTAAGTGAAAGCCACAAACCATAAATCAATACACTTATTAGTGTCGTATGAAATCTTGCGCCCCGAAGCAGAATATTTTGCCAAGTTATATAAACTACAACAACCTAACAGATATTTCGCCAAACAAATCGCCTTTCAGACTACCGCTTAATTTGTTTAATTTTCTTTCTTAATCAATCATCTGACGAAATACCGACAGTGAATGACGTCAAAGATTAACAGACGAAGAAGAATAAATGTTCAGAAAACTGCGACTGTGTAAAAACTGAAAAGCACCACGGTATTATACACGTGACATTCCTGAACACTTAATAAAAAGTCAATTAGGAGAAAGCAGTCATGGCATTCAAAATGCAGTAATCTGTCTGAAGATATGACTAACAAACCTTTCTGAACGAAAGATGAATGTCAGACGGTGAGACGGAAGTTGTTGGTGGTATCATCAAGTCAATTAGTCGCACGGACCTGTTGTATGAGGGTCGGAGCGCTATTCAACGAATTTTGATTTGTTTAACCACACAATTTGTAAAGAATAAGACAATAAGATTAAAAGTAAAGGTTGCTTCGTCTAATCTTATTAATTCGGAAATTATTTCTTATTTATTCTTAATCATTCAGGACAATTCGGAACAATTTGAGAACCTGCTGTATATCCGGTCGGTAAATCGACCCTTCATCATTTACTTTAGTCATTAAAAAGCTTGAAGCAGCCTCACTACAAGGGTCATGGAGGGCATACCCAATACATGTGTTACAGTTTAGGCCAAATTTTTGTATAAATGCGCTCGCATTCCTCCATGCAGTGGCCACTTTCCCAGGTTCCCGCTGACTTCAGCTCTTGATGTGCGATGAAAATATAAAGAAATTGCCCATTGGAAGGATTGGTTATTTTTTAATCTAGTTGTATAAAAAAGGCAACTCTAAATGTTCAAAATATTCACTTTGTGAGCTACACAATTAGAAGTTCTATTGTATTACAATGAATATACAGTTTTGACAGTGTCAACCCTGACTAAATTAAAAAATAAAGAACGTACAATTAAAAAAGTCGTTAAAGACAACTTGCTAGTCAGCCAAGGACTCACTAGCTAAGCTGTATTCTCAATGTAATTTTTTAACGTCTCGGGGCGTACCAGCAAGCAGCAGTATAATATCAGTATTTCAGTACAGCGCAATTTTTCTGTTTCCAGTTGACATTCTTGACTTCTGCTGGTCATTCGTGATGTGTAATTAGCATTCTTGAATTGAGATAATTTCATTCTCACGGGGGACCTTGTGCACAGGGAAACAAAATCCGACTTTACTGCTTGTCGATTATCATTTTTAAAAAGTGCATAAACTAAAGGATTTAGAAATGCTCCGGCATAACGTAAAGTCACCAAAAAATCCTTGACATGTATCAACACACCTGGCAACTTTCACCCAACGAGAATAGAAACCATGGCAAGCAGCCTATCAAGAATACAGCAAAGAAACACAAAAAGACTAAAATTTTTTTGTCATTTCTTGCGTGACTTGAAGCTCGTTCTGTTAAAGATGCCTCGATGCAATGCTGCCTGTGAATTTTTACAAACATTCGAGTGTAGCAAAAGATCAAAACAAGTGGGGAGAGCCCAAAAAATACAACCAATTGAAAAATTCCGTAGATGACATGACATGAAGGCCGCCCACCAGAGACATATTAGGATATTTTTGGACCAGGAACTGGTCCGCTGCTAATCTTGTTGTTGTTGTTGTTGTTGTTGTTGTTGTTGTTGTTGTTGTTGTTAGGGGGCGACGCTCTTTAAAAAAACCCTAAGGCTCTAGCATTACTTGTTTGATTGGAATGAAACTTGGCACAATTATTCTAAGCAATATTCCGCATCGATTGACGGAGTTCGAATTTTTACTTTTGACCTTTGAAGCAAGTTACAAGCAATTCTTGATATATTTGCAGCAAATAATATATACATATCATTATTATTCAGCCTATATATAAGTAAACGCAAACGATTGGAAATACATTGTCCTCTCCTTTGTTATAAATACAATGCAGTTCAGAAATTAAACTCGGTTACGCAGTTCCTGGTCCACTATAGTACGATCGTACTTGTTAAAAAACTCTGGAGTCGAAAGTCTAATTCTTTTAAATGGATACAAAACAGCGACGTATTTATCAATAGTAAGAGAAATTATATAGAAAATTGTAGAATATTCACAAAAATTCCCGAGTAGATATTGACAACGAGCAAGAGTAAGCAACTATTTGTGTTTTTCAAAAATCTGATCGCTCCAAAATCATCAACACTTGCAGATAGACTAGGCCAATCAATAAATCAGCGACACGGCGAAACTACAGAGTAACAAATCAGTGCTTAAATAATGACGAATCGTCTTGTTAAGACAGTACATTGCTATAGCGAAAATATTTGTTGGGACGACAGAAAAAACGATGAGAACAATATGGTAGGCTTGCAAGCCACCAGAGAATTCCATGCTAGTGCATGGTTGTTGCTGTCATATTAATAGTAATGTTAACATAGGGCGGTGTTTGGTTTTATACTATTTCTTAACAACTGAAAATAGTGTAGTGACATTCATTATGTTGAAATTAAGCATGTTTTCTGACAGCTCAAAAACGTCAGCGGATGCTTGTTTTTTTACCTTCGACGTCAACAATGTTACTGATTGCGTTTATTGCCAATAAACGATATATTTTTTACGGGTCGGACCACGACCTTGATCGCCAAACGCTATCTTCTTACCTGTCGAAATGTGTGTGAATTTGATTAAATACATACAAAGCACAAACTTAGTGTCAATCTAATCTTTATGGCAGTAAGTAGCTAGCTTATGGCTAATCTTTACTTTGGTATAAACTACTCAGACGTTTACGATTCAAACGTTAAATTTTCATGACCTCTTAGAACTGATGATGGCCTTGTTTACACGAAATCCTAGCTGCAATATTGTGGGCACGATATCCAGCTCATTTATTAGATGTGACGTGTACGATGATGAGAATGAGCGTTTTTAACGCTACTTCACTCCGGATCCACTTGTTCACATCCATGAAAAAATAAATCAGAAATCGCACCAACATATCTTATGGGGTTGAGGACCCAGACTTCAATGCCAGCGGTTATGGCACGAGTCTGGCAGTGAAAGATTGGCCCTCAGATTTAGATCGCTCTTCTACGGCAGACTTCTAGCAACAAAGTCCTGATTTTTCCGTACATAAAACGCATACGGGTGCATTATCAATTTCAGTGTGCAAAGGTCTTGAAGCGAGTGTGGAACGAGGTTGCTGGAAAATAGGAAATGTATATTATAATGCGACATTGTCTGGAAGAAATGTATCAATCTGTATATTTATCAATATATTTTCTTGATTTCTTATACTAGCTGTTTGAAAAGGAGTAAATCATTAAATTGATCGTTTTAATGAGAATAAATAATGAGAAAAGGGAAATAAAATAAATGCGAGGAGTAGCCCCAGTTCTTATAACATACACTGAATGACTATGTATAATACAGCGTAATCACTGAATATCGCGACCTCAAATTCTAGAACTCAAAAGTTTGGCACATTTGGAAGTCGCGAAAATACATAATTATTACACATACGCAATATTTCATCAATATTTTGCCGACTGATAGATGCAATCTGAAAATACATATGTCGTTTTCAATTCTCTTTATGTTTATTTAATTCGCTTATGTCGCTTACTGACTTATTATTCTAGATTAATGCCGCGATATGAGAATGTGTATATCAGATCACAGTTTGAAATGAAAACTTTCTATATTTTGCAGGCAGACAGTGACAGTCTAGTGCAAAACCGTTGCTGTAAATTTATTCTTAATACATGAACAAATTTATGACTACCTATATGTGTGCATCTTAGAAAATAATTTTGACCGTAACTGTTAAATGGCAATAAGCCAATAACGGAAAATGAATGATAAAACACTTCAGAATTGATATAAAACTATGGCGTCTTGCCTGAGTATTTTGCATGGTTTTGTTTGTCATACAAGTACACGAGATTTTAGTATAATAACGATATTCTTTTCTATGCTTTGCCAGCCATGCGTTCTTTGTTTGAAGTTTTATTTTCACAACAACAGATGTGTAACAATAGTACATATAAATGAATCGTTCTGCAGCTGACAATTATAAAACACGAATATTTCCATTGTGCGCCGGATTGCATGTAAGCAACGGACACAAAACCAACTTTGCAGTTGCATTATAAAACGTGTGAGGTGAACAAGTTTAAGGACAATCATTTCTTCAAAGTCAAAAAGGTGTGAAAAGAAAGAGTATGAGGCCTGGCAAAATAATTTCATTGGTTCAAGTAGCCATAACGAGTCTTTTGTGCTTTGCAATTCATGCTGAAGGTAAATAAAATGTAACAATACATAACAGTAACGCTTTCAAATTAACCATAGTGTTTTCTTCTGCTGATAGAGGATTTCACGTAATCTTTAAATCAAATTTACCCCAAGATCGGAAAAGTTACATTAAACCTACTTTGCTAAAAATGAAAAACTGATTTAGTCCACGTGGTAGGAATATTACCTACAATACACGCGTTGTTAAACAGGGACGACTGTACGACACAAGCAGTCAACAAAAGCTGTTTCTGATGAATTCAACTTATTTGACACCTACGGCTACGAGGAATTTTAGCTACAAGTTTATAACATCACGAATTGTTAATTAGGACCACGTGTTCAGCTCACTCTTAATTGTTCGAAGCACGTGGTGAACCGGGACCTACACGCGTGGTGCACGTGGTCTCCCCTGCAACAATAATGCGTATTTTGTATTATTATATATGGTTGTATACTTGAACATTATGGCATTTATTATCATTATTTTATTATTTATTTTGCATGTAATAAACAAACAGAAAGTGAACAGCTTTTCTTTAATTGACATCTTCAATGTAGAATTTTTTTTAACTTCGTTAACATCGCAAAATTTTTACGATTTCCTCTTATCACTCTAGGATCCCCTACAATCCTAAACTCATCCTCTGGTTTCTTCAGTTATCCAGTCCACTCCATTCGGTATCCCCCGGCGACAGAGGTCACGTGGTTAATCAAGGTGGACGAAGGCAAGCATATTAATCTAACACTTGATGTAAGAGACGTTGAAGCGTATCGAGGAAAATGTATTGATATTATCGAGATTAAGGATGGAAATAATTCAAGATCGCCACTTTTAGGTAAACAAATGATTCTCATCAGAGTGCCTCGTACCCAGGCGCTTTAGTGGAAAAACATATAACGTTGCATTCAGCTATTAATGTAGAGTTCAGCTATGAAAAATCGAGCGTGCGGGGGGCCTCTACACAATGAATTGAATGCAACGTCATATATTTTACTACTAAAGCGCCTGGGTACGAGGCTGCTCATTAGACATACTATGTGTACGCGGTAAGTCCCAGTTTGGTGTGAAAATACAAAAACGCCCCTAAAACGTTCACCCACCTATGCGATAATCCGCTGAGGACAATCTTATAACGGCTTAGATAGTCAGCATAGCAAGCAGACAACACTAATTAGAGTAATTCTTGATATTATACGAGGAGCTAAGCAACATATTGATCAATATCTTGGAATGTCAAATTGTCCAAAAACCAAAGAAAAAATCTTTAGTTATTTGAGCGATATTAAAGTATTTCCGAAGTTGTTATTCTAATTCTTTTGCCTCTCAATTCCTGTCGGGCTATTTAAGGGAGTCGCCACAACACAAAAATTTGATTAATAAGCTTTAAATAAATAAAAAAAATCTTTCGACTCTTCGACTAAAAGATGATGAGGATAAAATTAGTTACCCTTTTGACACCACTGATGTTAGGGACGAAAACGGATAACATTAGTCGAGAAGATGTGTTCTTTCGTCCATTTTAGGCAATTGTAATACCACATTGATTTGGTATGAAATAATTAGCATTTGATCTTTGGTTTAAGTACATTTACCCCAAAAAATCTATCGCAAATACCTTTTCAAAAGAGCAAAAAGATTTATCAGACAAAATTGTCATGAATTTCCTACTTTGGAACAGTGGAAAATTGGACTTTGGACTGCTTAAATCATGCACGTTGCCAAGTTAATGCTAACATAATCTAGTCATGACGCCTTACGGCGCAGTGTAAAAGATATACATTGAGAGGCACCAGCTGTTCCGGAAATATAAAAAATAATAGGTTTAGAGCTATATTGGTGGTATTAGTGAAATTTTCCCAGGAAGCGTTTTTTGATAATAACTTTTTTCTTTATACTTGCTTCAAAATCAGTCGCTTCGAGGAGAAAATTATCAATTGATCTTTCCTGGCGAACACACACGAGTGCTCATCACTGTTTAAAATTAAACATTTTAGGTGGATATTGCAACTTGAATAAACCAACGTATAGCATTTTATCAAGCAGCAATGCTTTGCGAGTGTGGTTTCAATCTGCAAAAAACAGCGATGGAGGCTTGGGATTTAGGATTTCTTACAATACAGTGACGGATCAAGGTTGGTAATAAGCCGATAATTGGTCTGGAATAGGTTGGTAATTGGTGGATAATTGGTTAATAATTGATTGGTAATTAATCGTTTATTCATTATCTGCACGACTATTCCCAATTATAATTACATTGTGCATAATTTCTAGTTTGTGGAAGTCTTGATTGGCTGAAATCATTCCCAGGCACCATTTCTACTCCTCGCTATCCTGACCCGTACCCTAATAACCGTAAATGTACATGGAAGATTCGTGCTCCACGAGGGATGTATATTCATATTGAATTCCATGAAGTATATAACCTGGAGGTCCTGTGTAGTTATCATATAGAAATGGAATGCATATGCACAGACACTCTGGTTATTAAAGATGGTGGCAAATCATTGCCCTATGCATTAAATGACGGGTAAGTATTTAATGAACTCTATACTAACTGGAGTAACCGCGTTATTCTGACGAAAGACATGATTACTACGCTCAAATGTTATCTCCGCCATTTTAAACAGGAATTGCTTTGCAAAGCCACGTCCATTCACTTCGAGAACAAATGAAGTTTCTCTGAAGTTCGTTTCTGATTATTCTGGACGATTTGAAGGATTCAGTGCAACATACACCACGTCCTTAACTAAAGGTAACCTCAATAAGTTGCAGATCTAAACTACCTTTGAACTCCTTCCTTCCTCCCAGCCGTACACTGCTTTAACACGTTTAACTTACTAGATTGTGGTGCAGACATCTGGAATGACCATGGGCTCATTACCAGTCCTAACTACCCTTACGATTACCACTCATACAAAACATGTATTTGGCGAATCACAGTGCCAGATGACCATTACATCATCATCACGTTTCATGAATTCGATATAAACAACGCATCACGTTTCGCGTGTTTAAGAGATAGCTTGGCAATCCACGATGGATACACAGAATACAACCCATTACTAGGTAATATTCTGCAACGTGACAGAAAACATTAGATTTTTTCATGAGGTCAAACGCAGAAAGCCCGATATGTTACACAGAGTCTAATCGGCTCCACAGAACTAACGAGCCAATCAAGCTTCGTGTAACATCAGGCTTTCTGCGTTTGACACATTATGAGGTCAAATCAAGATTTTAATTAATTCCCTGCTTCTCGAAAGTTGTTGCACGGTTAAGGAGAAGATGGCCTTAATTTTTGTTCATTCCTGGCTAAAGCAATCACAGAAACGTAAAGTGATATAACCAGCTCACACTAATCTTTTAAAACGACTTAGTGTGTTGAACCCACTCATACTGAAAGCTTTCAGTCACAGACCAACAGAATGGCTTATTAAAAAGTTTAACATTTTTTCTTCAGCTAAAATGTGTAATGGCCACTACGTGAATAAAGTGAACTCAACAGGAAACCAAGTATACATCGTGTTTCAATCAGGCATGAATCTCAAAGCCAAAGGATTTAAAGCAAACTTTGCTAGCCATGAGAAAGGTGAACATCATGACTAAAATGGAGTGTGGGAAATTTTAAGATAATTCATATCTCACAAAGCATGTGTACCTTAGATATGATTTCAGGTGACGTGAAAAAAAGAGAACCGAGACACGAGGAGATAAAAAATTCAGGTTAAAACAAGTTTTTAATTGGCGCCATTGAATTGACCATTCTCATAATGACGTGAACGTGGAAAGCCGTTACACATTGGTTACACGACGTTTAATTAGCCAGTCAGTTTTACATGTGTTATAATTCATATTATAAAAATTTTCATTAACGTTGATTGACAACCTCGATTAGAGGGACTGAAGGGATTGGCTAATGAGATAAGGCCTCGTGCGAACCAAACTGCATCTGTTGAAAAATAAGCGTGTAAGATGACAAATAAAACTTTATAAAAAGCCATTGTAGAATTGCCCTTGTTTTTAAAACATGTAATGAACATCAGGTTTTCTTCGTTTGACGTTTAATATGAAAAAGGTCAATATAAGATAGCTCTAGCGGTTTCCTGGTAGCTCAGGACCTTATATTACCGTCTTTTATTGCCGTTGTCTGGAAAATGAACCAAGCCAGGGACAAGGTTAAATTGTTATTCGAAAACGTTGCGTCTCAAACTCGTGAAGAAATCCCTATTAATCCTTTTTGTATATTTTAAAAATAGGAGTTTTAAAGGAAAAGCCAATCAATACCGCAACAAAGATGTACAATTCATGGATGATGATAGCCTTACTGCTAGGAACCCTGGGGCATAGCATATAACGAAGATTGCACCATAGTTGTTTGCACAAACAAGAAGAGAGAACGAAAGACCAATCACCAGAAGTCCAGAACGTGGATTAGTAACTCAGAGTAGTCATCATAAGTGTATGATGAAAGAACAGACAAACGAAGATCGTGTTCACAAAATGACGATACCGTTTGTAATGGGATAAAGTCGTTTTATTTCAATCAATATTTTTATATAGAATAGACCGCTTGATATCATGATGTTTGCAGAATTTGCTTCATAAGTAATAGTGGCTAACTAAAAAACCGAGGCACTTTTGATTAGGCTCAAATAAACCCTTCTTACTCAAATCGTACTTTTAGCTTTAATATCTTCAGATATTTTGCTTGTTAGAAAATTAAAAAAATCTTAATAATCTGGTTTTGAGTTCAAGAAGTAAACATAATTCCCTTTTATGTGAAAAAGGGATCGCGCGCTTTCTTACTTTCTTTCCTGGTTTCTTTCATTGATGGCTGTTAACGAGCGAGTGTTTTATAATATGCAGGTAAGGAATTCCCTTAGAATATTATAAATCATCCACTCGTGTTGACATCCATCAGACGTAGAAATCGCATCAGGACAGACGCGCGGTATATGCGCACACGTGCAATTCTGCCACTTCATTATTAAAAAACAAATTCTCAGTGTCAGACGGTCAGTGACAGTGAGTATTCCAATCGCAGACCTCATGTTTGTGAAACGACTCGATAACGAAGAAAAAAAAGTCGGGAATAAGTCGTTTCAAAAACGCTTGCTAAATCTTATTGCAATTAAAATAATATTTGAAATAATATTAGAATTATCCATAGCAAAATTGTTCATAGAAAAAATAGCCTCCCAATAACACATCATTTCAAAACAGGTTTCAAAAACCAATGTCAATGGTGTGCAAGTTCTCTTCCGAGATCTACTTTCAAACCCCCCCCTCCCTCCCCCCTTTAGCAGATCAAATATTGCACTATGGATACAAAAATCTCTTAAATATAAACTGTACATAATTGATATTCAAAGCAAATTACTTTCATTCTGATAATTGTTTGTTTGTCGCGAAGAGAACGCACCAGGTTCGAATTTCGTGAGTTATTCGCGCGATACACGAACAATCCACGAGTTAAACACGCAACAACCACACGTTGGTTAAATAGTGCGAGGAAATTAATGGCAGACGGCAGGTCGTCAGACAATCAAGTTGAACACCGTGTGGATGGTCACATTACACATCTAAGAACGTCGTCTTAAAGAAACATCACCAGCAGCACAACACGAAAAAGAACGAACATTGGTGGCACTCTTCGATAAGGAATTGATCGTTCAAAATTAATGAATCAGAAATTAATATGACAATTTCTTGGAGCCATGATGCTACCTGCTTGGTAACACGGCGTGTTTTGTGTTGTCTGTTGTTACTTGACTGTCAGTCCGAGGTGGGTTGTTTGCTTGCGCCATTTGTTGCTGTGGTTGCGTGGTAACGGGAAGATACGGACCGTTAGCTTGCCAAGAGTTTATATCAGGCACGTGTCGTGTGGCGTCGGAATATGTAATCGGCTGCCCGCGCCCATTCCCGACTTCAATATTCGCCCCTTGCCAATTTTGATTGGCCCCGTTTGTCCAGTAGACGCCAGTATTCTCACCATGCCATTGGGGGTGAATCTGGCCGGGGAGGTTACCATGTATAGCATTGTGTGGTGTTGCAAAGACCTGTGACGATGAAGTATGAGGTATATATCCTGGAGTGCTTTGAGGGATATGGGACATAGAGGAACTACTTGTTGGTGTTGCAACCGGTCCTCGAGGTCCCTTCATTACCATAGGGTTCGCCCCTGTCTGGCCTTTCATTTGATTGAAATTATGTTTGTTTGTTGGCCACCCTCCTATCGCAGCACCGGCACCGCCTTTTTTCTTAGACGCATCATATTCAAATTGCTGCATACTGCGTTGCTGTAGTTTGGTAAGGTTTTCATCGGAGTGATGGATTTGTTTTTTGACCGTTGTTTTAACGGTATGACCATTTGAAGATTTGTATTCATGAACAGTTTGAGTTGTGGTAACTGTACTTTTAGTGCTGGAAGTTGTTGAGACCACTGCTCGTTTAGACTCCTTCGGTTTTTCATTTTTCCTTTGCTCTATTTTTTTGTAAACATCCCAGAGTTCCTTCGTCTGTCGTTTCTGCATCTCAACACGTTCTTTCTCTTGCCTACAACAAAACACCAACATCGTAATGGTGAATTTATACGCAAATTATGGGTAAACCGTTTAACGACCTGCATACTGAATTTTGAAATCGATATGCGTGTCATATGCATTATATTGACTTACTTCTTGCATATTCTCTTCAATTCGTCCATTTCTTCTCGGGAAAACTGCGAGAGCTGAAGATTAGATCCGCCATCACCATCTCCTTCCAACAATCCGGACTAGTAAAACATAACGAGAAAATATTGAGCAAGACCTGGATTGAAAGCAATCTTTAAACAAATTCCAACACTACAAACGTTGAAGCGAAATAAATTTAAATTACCTGATTTAGCCAATGTTCAACATCCACTTTAGCTTGCAAATTTTCAATATTCTTAGACTTAGATATGTCCATGTCATGCGTAGAATGACTATCAGATGATTGCCTGCTATATGACTTCTCGCTTGAGACAGAACCATCGCTATCATCATAACCCGGAGGAAACTCTTCAGACGAACTCTTCTCCATGGTTCTTCGTTCAGTGGTTTTCTTAGCCTGCTCTCGCGTTAGCATGCTCTTATCAAAACTCGTTTGAGTTTGAATCGACGACGTCATTTGCGCAATAGCGTCATCATTTTTGCTAGACTTTTCGTTGTCACTGATGCTTTTTTGGCGGTTTTCAGCTGTCAGATTGTCAGAGATTCGCGAAGTGCTGGTGTTTTCATATTGTGTTTCAGAGGGAACAATCGGGATGTGTATTGGAGGATGGCTGGTGATTGGAGATTGTATTGTTATTACATCCTGTGGTACGTCACGTGATTCATCAGTTGAAGGAGAGTTCTTTGGCTTGGATTCTTCACCCAGAGCAGTCGAGGCCACTTCCTCATCATTAACCGCGGCAGTTGTTTGGTCTTGTGATATGAAAGCTTGCGGCGATTGAGATACAGGGACGACAGGACTTTCAGATCTTGGTTTAGGTGCGTTTTTCGCCACTGATTGTTGTGCTGACGTCGGTGAGATTGTTGCAGTTTGTGCTGATTGCGTTGCCTGAGAAACTGCAATGGCTTCATTTTGAGTTCTGCTACTGCTTTGTGATTGTGCTACAGTATTTTGCAATGACCCATCGTTACCTGGTACCTTGTTAGGAATGCCTGATGCTTGAGACGTATTCTTCTCTTCATTATTTGATTGTTGTGGTTGTTTTACCACAGTCTCCTGTGGGCTGACTTGTGGTACAACAGTTACAGGAGCAGCTACATCTTGAACTGGGGACACCTTGGTATTATTTTGCGCGACTTCAGTCTGCGATTGTCTAGTCAAAACGTCAGCTTGTGGTACATTCGTTTTCACAGGTAGGTCTTGAGGGGCGTTTACATTCTGCGCTTGTCCAACAGGCGTATTAGTAGAGGAGTTCCCAGGTACAACTGGCAAATCCGTGGCAATGCCGTTCTGTGGTTCTTCCAAGACTTGCACTTGAAACTGTTTTTTCTTCGCGACAACAGTACGAACTTCGGTGGGTGTTTTAGTCGCAGGCTTCGAACTTGTATCTTGTGATTGGGATGTTAAGGCTTGTGGCAAACTCGTTGGGGGAATGGCAGTACGTTGGTTAGCTTGGCTGGGCGCATTTTGCTGGTTAGCCTGACTGACTACAGTATCAGGAGCTTGGGACCCAGGTGATGGTACAGTCTGCTGAGAGTCACGAGGATTATGAACAGTATCCAACTGTTGTTCAATCGGTAGAGTAGTTGATTGTATTGCTGCGGTTACAGCTTGTTTGTTTGTCTGATTCATCGCCTGGTTAGGCTGCTGAATGTTCTGATTATTCACTGATTGTTTCCTCTGAAGTTCGGCTGGTTGGTTTTTTATAGCTTGAACAGGTTTCTGATCTTGCATCTGGGTCTGTTGGTTGACTTGTTGAGGATTGGCAGCAGGTAGAGTTGGCCGCGGGTCCACAGTCTGCATAGCCTGATGATCGGCTTGCGGGGTGGCCTGTGGCATCACTTCCTGTGGGGTATCTTGCGACACGACTTCCTGTGGGTTTTCCTGCGTGTCAGTTTGCTGGTTAACTAAAGATTGCGTCGGCTGAGCAACCGGTTTGTCAGCAGTCGTCGCAGGAACTTGTTCGTTAGTTGTCTCGCTCGATTGTTGCTGTTGGGTGCCAAGTGAAGATGATTGAATATTTGTTTGGGACGCAGGTTCAGGCTTTGCTGGAAATTGGAACTGCTCGTTTCTCTCAGTTGGGGTTGGTAATGTCTAGGAAGAAAAGTTGTATACGTTAGATTACATCTTTTGTTCTTTAAACAACTGAGTAAATATAAATTTGGTAATGAGACAAACGTAAACAAACGTCAAAACTATCCACAATCCGCCGCTACGTTGTGTGTGTAACTGTCGGATGTATGTTGAATAGTGTGACTTACGTGTGCTGATCCAGGATTGCTTTCTGTGGACGTCTGATGGTCAAAGCGAACTGTCCCACTGCTATCTAATTCTTTTTTACTACGAGCATCGCTAAGGATTCTTCTTAATCGCTCCACAAACAACACCTTGTTTGCCTCTCTTAAATGGCCTGAATCAATCTGAAAAGTTCATTGATAGACGAGGTCATAAAAGAGTTTTAGCAAACGAATTGGGTATAGTATACTGGCATATGTATCACTTATGATCACATTTTGTAAACCAACATTTCCTTACCATGCTCTTTGCAATGTCCATCGATTCATCCTCGTCGATCTCGAATTTGAAAGTTATCCTGTAATTCTTGTACGTATCAAACGAACATTCAATCTCATTTCCAGTGACAGTGAGTAAATTCAACTTGAATGCACGCTCCTTTTTCTTTTTCTTATCTACTGACTGGGCTGGTGCCTGAGTAGATTGTTGGCCTTGCTGTTGTGCGGCTGGTTGGGTGGACGTCTGACTTGCAGGTTGAGATCCGGGTAAGGAAATTGTGGAAGAGTTTCCGCTGCTTAGCATACTTACAGTATCGTTTGAGGCTGAAAAAAAAATGATGGAATAATCAAAAATAAGGAACGAGTGATTGAGAAAGACAGAAATTGAAAATTGAAAAATTGTAATAAGCACACAAAAAATTCCTTTAAAGCAGTTTTTATGTTCAATAATGTCAATTTATACTGAATATCACACACTATTAATCACGCAACACACGCATTATACTAACCTTTTAAGATATTTTAGGTTGTCCCTAATCGACACAGGAGAGGTGCAGCAAAATATAAACATAGTATTTATACTGGCAAAAAATTTGTTTTCAATTGCACTCAAGAGATCGCATCGCGAACGAAGCAAAATATCGCAAGTTCGAATAGTTTATAATTATATTTGTCCGCAGGGGTACGCCAAACATGAATTTTTGCATGCAGTGAAATTATTTGATTTTGTCGACAACTCTACACTAAATATCGATACTAGCTGACTAACCTTTTTCACTGACTGTAGAAGCGGACTCAGCGCTGGTAAGGAACGTCTTCTCTGTGTCTGGTGAGACTGAGCAAGGCTTGTTATCAACTGGTATTGTAGAAACACTCAAAGGCTCCTTAAAAAGACGAGAAACGTTGTCACAACGCCCGCCAGATTGAGCGATGCTAAGACTTGCAAATTTTCATTTATCTCTTTTTGCAAGTTAAAAATATTTACCAAACGTTGCCCTGCAACATCTTCTGAGGCTACAGAACTGACTACGGATGTGTTTGAAATACCAGAGTCCTTGCTCGCCACTGCGGATGCCGCCTTTTGGAAAAAGAAACCAAGCAAAGTTACACTAATTCAGTCCTAACATTTGGACCTAACTGGCAACTGCTACAACCCGAAACAAACATGTGCAACAAAAATAAGGTTATACATCTAGCCATTGTTTAAACTCAAAATTTCTGCATCATCGAAATGGTCATGTAACCATACAATAATTCAATATTCGGTTATTACTTATTACGAAACTGTATTTGTTGTTCCTGGGACAAAATTTACTTGACCACACCCTACGTTATGACTGAGGCTCAGACAGAAGCATTACTGCCAGGTCAGGTTACAGTAGCTCTGCATACACTGTGATTACTTACAGTAACTTTAGGGCTTTGATTAGCTTGTTCATCATTGGTAGTAGAGTTTTGTCTTGATCTAACTTCTTGGTTTTCAGGCTCATTTTTTTGCTGTGGCTGTGGCTGTTGTTGTTGTTGCTGTTGCTGCTGTTGTGATTGAACTTGCTGTGTGGATTGTTGTTGATAAGAAGTGACCTGTTGATCAGTTGTGCTACGGGTTTGGTTTTGTGTTTGATCTGTCATCTCGTCAGGGACAATTTTCACCTGGTCTTCAATGGTAATACTCTGAGGAGTCTCAGAAGGAGGATTATTCTTCTCCACAGAATCATTATCTTTTTCTTCAACGGCTCCTTTCTCAGGGTTTCTTTTTACAAGTTCGACGCATTGTTTGATCGCTTTTCTGATCAACTGAATGTTGTTCGCATCGATAAATCCCGATGAGACCTGGAGAGATTGCACATATCATGTTTTCTTATCATCGTTGGTGATAAAAATACAGTCAAACGTAAAGACATGCACAGCCTTCTCTCTCTCACGTGAAGATTTGTAAATTATAACAATCACTTTAAGCTACCCCGGCCAGTTACCCCGGGGAAAAAAATTCGGGGCTTGTTGAAATTAAACATGGTATGGTCTAATTTTCAAATAAAAAGATAAAAAGAAGCTTACCAATTCCTTAGATATCTTCTCAGGATTATCTTTGACTAAATCAAAATCAAACTGAATAGCTTCGTTATCTTTATGCTTATCTTTCCGCAGCCGTGGGTCTCCTAATCGTAATTGCAGTTTCACAAGTTCTGGCTTATCTGGGTCCACTTCTAATGGCAGGACCAAGTCTACTTTAATGCCACCATCAAGTTTAAAGAACGGACATTTGAGAAGATAAGGAATCGTGTATCTAAGAGAAAAATTTCGTGAGTTGAAGGATACGTCTGACCAAAAACACCAAAAGCCAAAACATCATCATGCAAGTTCCCTCCACCGGAGTATTCTAACCTACATATTACATGCACGTAAACAGTATACACACCTTTCTTCCTTCCTGTATTTAGTACAACCTTGGATGATATCGTATATATCTGCATTCTCCACCTTAGCTAGACAATGTGGAGGAATACCCTGAAAAAAAAATAAAAAGTTAGGCATATATAAAACCATATCAAATTATCCAAATCAAAATGTTCTAATAAGATCACCTAAGGTGTTCTAAATACACCTTAAAATGTTCTAAACGTTCTAATACGAAACCTGTGCCCCTCTCCGTATGTTTTAAAATGGCAGTACTGTTGTAGAATGATACGATTGATATCACAATATATTTCGGACAGAAAAAAATTAGTCTGTGATTTAGGATAACGAACAACAACGTTGGGGTTTGTTGACCGCCAGCTACGTATCGTTGCGAGACCGCCAGCTACGTATCGTTGCAGGAAAATGACAAAAATAAAAGGATCTTCGTTTGAGATGTTCTCCGCTTTTACATCATTGTGTTCAGTCCTACGATTGCATTTTCATGTTATGAAATCCTGGTCTTACCTGGGTCACACGCTTGTAAATCTGAGCAGCATTTTGGCATTCCATGTAAGGATATTCCAACGTGACCATCTCCAGCATACACATACCAAATGCATAAACATCAACGGACTCATCGTAACGTTCTTCATACATCTCTGGTGCCATGAACTCCGGAGTACCTGGGTTCACGACAATGATGGGAAAAGAATGTAGTTTCATGTAGTACATGCAGTAGGATAAAAACAAGAAAATTCATAGATTATCTTCTGGTTAAATATAACATAGTGTAGTAGCGGTCCTCATTATACATTCCTCGCCGCGTGTGTTGCGTGCGTGGTTTATTTGGGGGTGCACTCACCAAGGTAACGGTTTTCAAAATTGCCCTTGGAAAACTCAAGGACCTCAAATAAAAACTGACATACTCATATTGAGATGGAAACTTCGTCACTGATAATTGGCAAGCCCAATGGTGCATTCCTATAAGAAATGCTCATTTTCCCAGTAAGATAAGCCTGGATTCGCCCCTCATCGAGATTTTCATCAATGGATAAAATTGGAAAAAAACGGAAAGAGCGTAGTAAGATTAAGAAATGTTTGTTTTACAATTACCTATTACACTTTTAGCAAACGAGTGTTTCTTCAAGGTAGCTAATCCCAGGTCACCAATCTTAATCAAGCCAGTTGAACCGTTGACAAAAATATTGTCACATTTGAGATCGCGATGAATGATAGGCGGGGTCCTGGTGTGCAAAAAGTACAATCCCTCGAGGATTTGGCGACACCAACTCTTCAAAACTTTCTCGCGTACACCTTTGAATCTTTTCAGATACCTAAAAATGAAAGTAGAAAACCGATTTTAAGTTTTGGATCTGATCCATCTCGCATGTGGTCAAGCTTTTTTTGTCTCGACACAGAGACGTCAAAAAGACGTGGAGACCGCGTGTGGCCCCGCCCATGGATGTGTCATGCAATTATCACGTCGTATCTGCCTACGCCATTGATCTAAATGCTCGATATACCATCATATTGTTCTTCTTCGAATGATACTTTCATTATTTAGAGTGTGGTTAACTTTCTGCATCTACTGGTCACGTGCTTGTCAGTAATGACAGAAAGACGTGATGCATTGGATGCATTAAAACCGGAAGAGTTCTCGGACTGTTTTTACAAAAGCGGGTAAAGCTATTATATTCAACACCATAAGTTTACTTGATGACAGTGATGTGCGAGTCAGGTTGCATAAAGGGCACTTTCCTCACACCGCGGTCATATTTTGAATTGAAATAAAGTATTTAATATATTATAAAGTAGAATTGAAACTGCATTTTTCGAGACCTAAATAACGATACACTCTAAAATATCAGTAATCTGTCTGTACTGAAATATAACAGGAACAGTCTAGCCATTTTTGCCGTAGAAAGGAAAGCGCCTATGACAGCATGCTGAGACGTTTTACATAACCACCGGTACCAATTGTACAAAAAAAATCCAGGCTTTCACACATTAAAAGGAGGAAAATATATTCACGATTAGAATATAAGAGGTATTAAAACTTTCTTCGATCATCTAAATACAAACAAAGAACTGCTACGACTGCTACAAGGTTTTCTGGAAACAATCGACGGCCGGACATGTCCTAATCAGAAGTGAGAAGTAGAAAATTAGCATATGTCAAACATTGAACATGACACTTGATAATAACCTGCTAACACCTGCATGTGACACCGTAATTATTGTGAAACCAAGAGAATAAAGGGCGACAATATCACTCTTGCGAAGCAGAGAACTGAACGTAAAATGCAAGACGACTTTGTCTTTGGAATTGCGATAAACCTAATTTGTTTAGGGAAAAGCCAGAAAACTTTCGAGTTGCAGACAAAATATGATGGTATTATCATCATTGAAACTCCGAAGAAAAAATATATGAATCTAAGACTAAAGTCGGAGAGTGGTACATTAGAATTTTAGTAAATATCAAGTGGTATTCACTGCCCTTCCCTGGTCTAAACGTCGTGTATGAACGTCACTAAACTACAAATACAAAGATTCAACAGGAAGCTGGCATATGATGACATCCTGTCAAAACTCTCTACTTGTAGATACCTGCTTGCTTGCTTGACAGCCTCTTTGTTTTAAAACTGAGGAATATTGATTAACGGCAAGAAGAGATGAAACCACGAATAAATAAAATAAATAAATAAATACACTTCACTTGAACGTGACAATAAATTATGTAGCCTAAAAGCCGTTTTAAATAAGAAATATGCATATTGCAGCATTTTTTTAAAAAGGTGTCATTGCGTTAATTACATGATACATCATTCAATGAAGATTAACGAGCAACAAGATGCAATTATACCTAAAGTATAAACAAAACTTGCAATTTAAGATAAAGTAATACTGTATTTAAAAACAAGGAGAACAGTCACAAATAAATTTCACTAAGTCAAAACAAGGCACTGAAGGGTCTCACAACATGGTGACAAAGTAAGATATCAAGCAGAAGAAGATTTCTAAATGTGAGGGATGATTTTAAATTTAAGTGGAAAAAATTCAACCTATGCCATCGCAGAATTGATGCTGTCAATATCAACAAAACGTGCACAACACAGAAGAGATGGTTGCATAGGTTTTGAATAAATCTTAATTTAAAACTAATCATGTTGCAACAAACCCTTGTGATAGCCTTGCCTGGTGCAAAGGATACTGTGGCAAGATTCTATTTTTACCAACTAAAACACCACAACTCACGGCACTCAGTTGCATTAGTTAGCTAATCTATTTAATAATAGACCCACTGGCTGCAATGCAAATGCCTAATTAAATGTCAGACATTCTGACTATCACTACAATAAAGAATATATAGTCTAAGTTTTAATAAAGACTAAAAATCCATCGGCAGAGAGTTTAAACAATTAACTATTATGGTGTCACCTAATGTATGGTTTGTATGTGTTAAATTGCATCTCTTAAGTCATTTTGACATGCTCAATTCTAATTACAGAAAGCTTAACACATTAATAATCCAAAAATAAACAGCTTAAATTTTAATAATTTCAAATCAATGATGCATTTATCATATTCAACTAATCCTTTTACAAGCCACAGATTGCTTCACCATATAAGATATAGCACACAACTTGCAATAGTACTGCAACAGTCTTTTGTAGCAGATAACTTGTTTAAGATTTGATAAATGTCTAATACAGTATTCACAAAACACATCAGGTGTGTACTAAAAGGCTTTAGTAAAACTAAACCAAGGATTAAAGGGTACAATAAGATGCACATCCATACTTAATCATTTTTCAACTTTGTCTTAAAAGCAGTCATGCAAATTTCCTGAATACAAAAGACTCTACTACAGACAACCTCCCTAAACAAATTTATATGGGTTGAAGAGGTCACACAGTGTGAAGGATATATATGGCATGTCCAACATAATTTGCTAATGTGAATGATAGTGACTTGAACACAACTTATTAACCTTATTAATAGTGAGTCTGATACTAAATATACAAAAGAAAGAAACAAAGAAACAACAATAAAAACATACATGTGATATCTAGTGTTATATAAATACCTAAATATAGAAAATGATTAAAAAATGTTGGCAAATTTGAGAGACAAATAAGACATGCATTGACCCTTTCACCTCCCCTGCCTACGTCTAATGGACTGTCTGTGTGTTAACCTCAAAGTTGAAAATGCAAATGTCAATCTATTCTTTTTGTTTAACCAATATAGACCACTTTCAAATTGTTTTAAAAATAACATAAAACAGAAATTGACCTTCTATCAAATCAAAATTTCTGATAAACCTAATAAGGGAAACTAAATCAATTTGCATCATGACATAATTAATATTGTCTTAAGCTGACTGGTAGCTGAATTATCCCCAAGTAACTAGCAATAATATATGAAACAAATTACAGAATCAATTTCAAGTTCAATCATAAACTATTTTAGATAAGTTTTTAGACAACAGCACTATTTGAATGCTACCAGAATAAAGGTAACATACAGTAAACATCATGCAGAACAATTCATTTGCATCAACTAATGAAAAATTTTGATAAAATAATGCATTGTGTCATATTGTATACCACCATCAAGTGGCCTTAAGCCTCGAATAACCTCTATAATAGCAATACATGAATTTTCCTATTGTAAACAAATACACCTGTACATAGTCTGTTTTGCAGGGCTAAAAGCATTGCATATGAATGTTAGAATTATAAAAAAACTTCTTAAACAGCATATAAAACCTGTAACTAATTGCAATACAATAGTTCTAATATTATATAAGAAAAATCCATTAAGCCACAATTGATGCAAAATGAGAAATAAGGTGTTAGATCATTCAATAATTACACAAAAGTCCTATCAATGTGTTACTTTTAAAAACTGTCCAAATACCTTAAAGCATCTCATATAGAGGGCAAACATTTTGTGTCATTCATGCATAGTAGTTTAATGTACAAATACATAAATGATGTAATCAGTTTAAATGATAGCTATTTTTATCAAAAGCACTATACTAATGATGCTGGTTACACCAAAATTTACATGCCCCTTGCTAGGATCAATGCCACAAATAATAATCATGATTATTAGAAGACCATCAATTGCTATATTAAGGTGAAAATGTGAAATAGCTCTAAACACAGCTCAAATATTCACAAAACTATATTTATACTGCCATGATTTATACTGCCATGAATAATTTTAATAGGAAAAGGTATATATATATATTCGGGTATATATATATATATTCTATAGACATAAGACATCTGATTAATTAATATGGTTGCTTCTGATTAATATGGTTGCAGATAACCCAAACAATAAAAATGTATAATCATAATTAATGGGAGTGCTTCTTTTATTAGTTATAATATTTCTGAGGCTAGGCTTTCTATTCTCGATAGATTTTCAATTGTGGTTAATGTACATGAATCATTGAACATATTTAATTGATTAGACATGCAAATCTACAGTTTTGCGGGAGTTAATCTTGTCTGCAGAAGAAATGAGAGAATCTAACTAGATATATTATGGTTGTTGAGCAACACTGTCTAAAACCAGAAGGGGGTACATGATGATGTCATTCGTGTAATATATCATAATTTCAGGTTGAAGACAAAAGACAACACCATATCAATAAAAGATTAAATACTATAACAGGCATGCCATAAGGAATACACGCTAGCTTTCTACTCGTACGAGCTTGAAGTATGATTTACTCCGCTTCAAATTAATAGAAATATATAAGCGATCACCATTGCTTTGGGACTCTGAGAATTAAAATTGCACAATGGTGATTTCCTGTGACAGTATTTTTGTTATAAGCCCCCCTAGACTTGTTTTATACTTACATTTTAAGCGTTCCCGAAGTCATCAATTCTGTAACAAGAATAAGTTGTTTTTTATCTTTCTGTCCGGCTTTCGGTCGCTCGAAGAACTCGTGAAATTTCACAATATTTGGATGAGTAAGCTGTTTCAGCATGACGGCCTCTTCCTTGAAGCGAGATCGCTCCGACTTCGAATATTTATCCTGAAACAGCGAGATAAAGACAACAATTACTGGTCAGACCAGTGAACTCATAAAAGGGTTACTGTGTGTATTTAGAATAAAACCAACGAAATACTTGCGGCTCAAAAATTATCGCCTACCTGTAATTCACACCAAGCCACAGCGACACCAGTTTCGGTGTCTAGACCTTTAAAAACAGTTTTAAACGAGCCCCGACCAATTTCTATATCAAATTCGAGAAATCTACCATCTGGACTGGAGGCCACAGCCTTCTCTTCTGCTTCTATACTTTCATTCAAAAGGTTTTGCCCTCTTTCCTTCGCGTCTTCGACGATCTTTATGTCGTCTGGCATAGAGTGAGATGAATTGGTTTCCACCGCATCCGAAGTTGGTTTTGGGTTTTCGCTTCTCTTCGGTTCGCTTTCTCCTTCCGTCATAACAGTTTGGGAAATTGCAGCAGTCATTTCCCCAGCTTCGTTGGCTTGCGAATTGCTCATGAAATATCCTTAAAGCGCGTAACACGCCAAAGGCTTGTATTCGTATGGAACAGGAAGGTTGACAGTGACCCTCTCTGAAGACATATTTGTTAGACCTTCTCGGGAAAAATACAGCCTTAAAGCCGTACAACGCCTTGTTTGTTCACATTTTCCTTTAAAACTAGTTGAATACTTCGGGTTTGTTCGGTTGAACTTATAGAAAACGATCCAGGACGACAACGAGCAGTTATTCGCCAACGACGAATCGGCGCTTCATCATGGCGTTGACGGAAACTGTTTGACGAGATATGAAAGTTTGAGTAAGTTTTTCTCTGCTCTCAGATACGTAGGAACCTCACAAAATACTTGGAGGAATACTCCAAGAAGGGATAATCCCCTTGACGAGGATGTTTTCCCGAAAAGTCGACCAGCTTGCTCTCCTTTCGACGAGAAGTAATCACTTGCAAATACAAAGGCATCTAGTTCAAGCACATGAATGGATCGCAGGCAAACAACGACAGGATGACGACTACGCATGCGCAAAACGCTCCTAATACCGGTCATGCTTCTTCGCAACCCAAAATGTCGGAAAAAATTCCTAAAATATCTTCTGAGATATTGGCGTCCTTTATCTTATTTCCTTGTTTCTTTTCCCACTGCTATTGTTAATTTAGCCTTTTGCTTTCTTCTAAATAAAATTTATCTAAACACAGTGCTAATGGATATTATAAAAAATCACAATTTCTAGTGTTCACATCACAATTTGGGTATTAAGGCTCTTATGAATAAGATGTGTCATGGCAAGTTTCGAACTGCGAAATTGTAAACAAAAACCGATATGAATTGTTATCAAATTCTCTTATTTTTATTTGAACTCGCCAACGTAAGGCGATATAAAATCCCGATTCCTTATAAAATGAACGCCCACTGGGAATGCGCATTGAAAACATGCAAATATGACTTTCATGCTAATTTTTCAGTTCATCGCGAACAATGTTGGCAACAGCAAGCCTAACTTTGCGGCGACTGTTTTTCATTACTGAATAGTGAATACAACCAAGTGACTGAGCTTTTTTTGAGTGATTTAGCGAGCAGACCAGATTCGAGCTTGCAATCTCCGCATGGGAAGTCGAGGCTGGTGACGGCTGGTCTTTCCCACACAACCCATTCGACCGACAATCTTCGGGTGGAGAGAGAACAAGCGATCAGGAAATGACGGCTATTTGCGAAATTTTTAAACTTAATGATTGGTCGAGATAAATAGTGCTTGATGAGTGACGACAATGAAGTCTTGGTGCGTTGTAAAACCTGTAAAAAATACCTGACACTCTGCTATCTGAATTCTATACATTATTCTTGAACCCTCTAACTTGATTGGCCAATGACTCTCACCTTTGCTTTACAAGTGTATGTATAAACAAATAAATAAAGGAAGTATAAATATATAGTTGTTTTATTTGCGAATTTTTTGCTAATTTTACAAATGGAGTGAAACTGCGTTAATGATGTTCAATGTTTTTTTTCAAACTAATAATCAAACAGCGCTAATTAACATTTGTCGCGTTGGGTGATGACCAAGCGTGCCGTACGAATCATTGCCAGTGTCATAGTTTAATTTGCTTCCAATCAGGTATAATTGCAAGAACAACACTCAGTTGTCTCAGTATACGCAAACATAAATACACAAATCTATGTGACAATAAACCCACAAACCTAATGTTTTGGTAACCGCAAGATCTTTAAACCACTTGCAGCCAGAGTTGAAGAGGACCAAAGCAATTTAATAAAAATAACACAAAAATAGCACAAACAAAACTCTGAATTTTAAAAACCGCCATGGCCATAAGCATAGTGTGATGCATAATAAAGGACAAAATATAGCAAAAGGAACATCGTTACTCACACATTATTATAAGAGTTAAAAAATGTCTGCCATAGACAAGCTACAATTTTGCTTTTTTTAATTATTTAACTGTTTAGAAACTGATAATTTTTTTGGTATATATAACGATTCCCAGATCAGAGTTTACGTGATTATTGGCTATAGACCAGTTGGCAGCTTGAAAGCCTCAGTGGCGACGTCAGATAGGTAGATACCACCATTGGACTTAATTTTTAAAGACTGAATGCTGGCAAGGCATTCTGGTCTTAGAGTATAGTTGGTATATGCCGGCAACACATGCAAGACTTGTTGTTTCAATTGTTAGGAGAACGTTGGCGTATTTAATTTATTTTGATAATAGTTTCCTTCAACAAACTGCAATGTGTTTAAAAAATGAAACATTTTAATTTTATATTCACGACAAGCACGCAGCAGCTTTTATAGATTATAGTTTAAATCAACAAGATGCCATGCCCATGTGTTTTAAAAAAAAGGATAAAAAATTCAAGAGAACACGTCATAGCCGTGTACTGCGGTCTCCTTCGATATCTTGTATAGTTTAGAACTTGCGAATCAAATTGTGTCTTTGAAGAATTCATGCAATGTTGAGTTTGACCACGTTCGTTGGCTTCCTGAACAAACAATAAGTTTTTAATGTCCTCTTCACTGCGTCCATCAAAACAATTATAGCATTTCCTGAGAGATCACAGTGTATTCTGGGATTGTTCAAGGGGAAAAAGATAATGACATATGAAAGATTCAGTATCTTATGTCAATATGAACCTTTCACACCATCAAAAACAATCTCAATCCTAAAAACTAATTACTATAAATACTTCATTTATGTTGCCGTTTTCTTTGCCCTCCAAAGTCAAAGATGGATTTGCACAGCATAATGTGATTTGCACGACTTATTTGACCTAACGCGACTTCAGACTGTCTCGCTCTAGGAATTCTGAATCACTGGCATGCATATTTTCAAGACCACGCATTTAAAAACTTTTTGCAAGTGGTCGTATATAGCAATATAAAACATTCTCCGCATATTATTCAAAATATTCTTTCTACAGTGAACATTTTCCAATCCGTGAAACACGACTTACGAACTTCAATGAGCGATCGGTGTATCATCTAATTATTCTATTTCGATAAGAGGGGTACAATAAAAGGTGGTCAATTTCAAAAATCTTGTAAACATATGACTTCAATCTGACTGTCTACGTACTTTATTTATACTTTTAGTCAATAAGAAATATAATAGTTGTTGTACTTGTACATTATTTTCACAGTGGCAAATATATTCAGTTTTAGGTTACATATATTTACAGGTTATAGCATATAGCTTCTCAACAAGCTGGAATTTCCTACGAGAGTGAGATTATATTTTTGTCTTTTGAATACACTCATCTTCTGAAGCTCTGACTCCTCGTAAAGAGGGCAACATTTGATTCCGTAAGATCAATATGAAATCTAGTACAAATGCGAGAATTTTTAAATTAAATATCCCCTTCCTTTTGTATGGTACACGAACTGTTGTCAGAAAGATGCGGTGCAAACGAAAGGACGATAAAAGCCTATAGTGGCTGCAGATAATCGACCACAAAAACCTGATGGACGTACTAGATTTTGTAGCTCCTAAAGCGACTAGCCACGAGTGTATAAGTTTTCTATATATACGCGTGTACAGCACTTATGCTCATTAAGTTGATCTCGTGTCATAAATCCTTGGCAATTTCTTCACTCGATTAATATAATGATCACGGTTGCGAAGTATAAAGTATTCTGTAGACAAAGATCTTAGTATGAAAAATGTATAAATTAACTTTACACCTCACGCATGCACAAATATAAAGAAGCATCAATCGCATCAATCAAAAAAATGAAAGTTTCAACTTTCAAAATAGTTTCTTTTTCAGCCCGGACCACCATGACGAGAGCGCTTAAATTATATAAGAAGCACATGCAAACACCTTTCCTAACTGAGTGCTATAATAATTCGTATACATGCATTTTTCTTCTTATAATCCAATTTCCCACTTACGACTTACAGTCAACATAAGTATTAAAAGGATTTCTAACAACGCATAGCTTGATGATCGCCGGGCCATGTTGAAGTATTTGAATAATTTCGTAAATATTTAATTGCGTCAAATCTTTGTCGTCAATCTGCAAGAGGCGAAACAGTTTGTTTTAGAAATGTGTTAGGATCATATTTCAAAACTGACAAAACTTATGGAGAGTGTAAACTAAGCATGCCAGTGTAATAACTTAAGAATCCTGCAGCCTCTAGTCTAATAACAATCTACCAAAACCATTGCAAAACCATTGCAAAGCCATTGCCAAACCATTGCACTGAAACCATTGAAAAACCATTGCAAAACCATTGCAAAATCAATGCAAAACCATTACAAAACTGGCCGAAAATACCGCTCAGCGGAGTTGATAAAGGTTTTAATTAAATAAGTATACTTTATTTAATGCTTACTTTAGTAATTTTGTCAAGCGGTTGCAGCATTCCGTCACAAGGACCGCCTGGAAGCACAGATGCAATATAAACTTCTTGTTTGAATTTATCTGGCATCAAACTAAAACCAAATCCATGTTGACCTGATTTCTCGACGGAAAACGTCCGAGTTTCAAGAACGTCTGACGTCGAATCTACATTGCCCACTTTTGTAGTGGGAGGTAAGAGTTTGTCATCTGCATCATTCGAAATATCAAACGAGTCCATGCTTGTGAAGGGCTCGGTGTCGCCTCTTTGGTCACAATGAGGCAAATCATTGACAGAATTTTGTAGTGTCGAGTCTGTTTCATAGCCTGAGGCCACAGATGGACTTCGCTCAAGAGATCCTGTATTTTGTCTGGTTTTCTGAGGGGATTCGTCCGTGGATTCCACGAGGGACTTTCTCTCACGTGATTCCTGTGCGGAGCCGGAATCATTCGTCAAGTTCTCTCTGGATCGATTCCTAGAGTCGCTGCAAGTGGAAGTCTCATAAGGTTTGGTTGAAAATTGTGTTTTGGGATTATCACAAGAAAGTTTGCCACGAGAATCTTGCCTCAAATACACACAGGAACGTTGTGTTGTCCTCTCATGAGTTACTTGTGCTGGGTTCACGCATTTCTCATGAACGACGTACCGTATGGAGATAGCTTTTCCATTCAGGGTACCTGATGAAGAATCGTGAGTCTTAATACCTGTGTCGGTGCTCTCGTTTGAGGTCGGTGCTGCGAAACTGCGGATTTCGTCAGTGCGGGTCGCGTTAGTAGTGGTCTGTTCCTCCGTACGATTTTTCTCACTTTCCCACAACTCTCCAAATTGTTCCCAAAATTCGTCATTTCCGCTCTTCACCTCCTCAGACACAGTCGCAGTTATTTCACTTTCGGCTCCCTCATTTCCTGTTTTTGTATTTGACTCAGGGATCTTCCTCGTAATCCCAACATTCTTTGCGGCCTCAGTTTTGGTCTCAGGCTCTTTCTTCGCTCCAGACGGCTTACTTACCGCAACTATTTGATCTAGTTCGTTGAATATTTCAGCCCAAGCTGAAACCCGATGTAAAGACGACATATCCGGAATTTCAAGTCCCCTCGCCGGAGTTTCAACACTAGGCTGTTTTGTTTTGCGAGTATCAACACTCTGAAGACGAAGTTTCACAAATTCTCCACTAAAATCTAACATTTGATAAACTTCTTTGACGGGTTTATTTTTTACCAAAATATCGTTGACAGCCAAGATTCTGTCACCCACATGAACTGCGCCACTTCTGTAAATTTGTAAAAGATGATTCTTAGGATAATTTTTTTCTCTGATTTTGAATTCGTCTTCTTTGTCACGCAAACTGTGAAAGTTTTTTGTTTGGAAAAATATTTGTGTGAATTTTTGTGGTCGTAAGGCTTGTACGTCGTAATATTAAACCCTGGGGACCTCTTCTCGATCGGAAATGAGTTGTTTCAAAACTTGTTACAAATACAAAGGATGGCTTTTATATTTATGCTGTTTTTATTTGGTTGTAATTGTCGCGATATGAAATAGTCCAATCTCTCCTCAGCTTAAATGTAGATTATCCATTTTAGTGGAACCACATGATATTGAAATGGCAAACGAGATCATTTTTTTCAATTTTTTTATGATATAATTTGCCATACACGCTGAGGTCAATTTATAGCTAATATTTTTGAAACAGTTCTAGTGACTGAGATTACCTTTCTGCAACAGTTCCAGGAACCAATGATGTGACAAGGATATTACCATTACCAGGAACCTCTCCACCTATAAAGATATATGAAGACTGACCAAAAACTATAAAATTATTCCGAATATATTTATTTTGGATGTGCATGAAGTAGTGCCAACCACTCCCTGGCCATAATCGTTTCAACTCAGTGGTTTCAACGCTGATATCAGCACTATATCGATGCATGCTTCTATGATAAATATTGTTGAGGGATTTCAATGAACGATATATGCGGGGAGCCTAAAATATTCGCATCAGATTGCATGGTTGCTCAAAAACACTGTTAATTATTCCAGGGCAAAAGATGTTTCAGTTTGAATGCGGTGGGATTCTGAATATTCTGGAACTAAAAAACAAACAATGATAATGCCACAAGTAGCTATAATTACCTGTTATGACAATGCCGACAGTACTACGGCCTTGTTTTGATAATTCTATAGTATAAACAACTCCAGAACTTTCATCTATAAAACAAAATATATAACATTGAATATCATGATAATATTATGATCAATTCATTGTATGACATGTCCGCTTTGAAAATGTGTTTTGAGGAAAACAAAGTGTTGAAAAAATTGCGTTGTTGCGAAGTGCTACAGCGCGGGTAATTAACGTTAGACCATGGGTGGGTTGGTGATAAGAATTGAATATATCTGATAAACTTTTTTTCTATAACAACATTTTTTTATTGTTTATTTAACAGTCTCTCAGTAGTCTGATAAGTTTAAATAACAAAAACATAATTCCAATGGCAATTTCCTAGTGACGTTTTGTGGTCAAACATCGGTTAAACCATAGCAACCTCAGCCTGTGGCCCTGTGCACAGACGTATAGCAACCTATGCGCAAAGCATGCACAAGAAAAAAGAATGTTCAAGAATATATATCGAAAGGAATAAACCATGGCTTTGGGACCGCGTCATGTGAAATCATGAACCTGTGGCTGTTCTATAATTAGTCTTTCTCACGATGACGAATATGCCGCCATTTTGGAGGTTCTTTTTTTAAAAAATCGTTAAGTGTAACGCCGGATTTCCGCTAGCGATAATTTTCGCGATATTTTACTTTTGTTTCAGAGCTGTCAACTGCATCCATCTGGAAGTCGCTTCGCGCGATAAATATGGCTAGTGTCTAGTGGAAAACCGGCTTAAACGACGACTGTTTTCAATTTTACTAAATTTATTCTTTAAATGATCTGTTGTTTGTAAAAAATTGCTTTTCATAATGTTTTCATAATTAATTAAAGAGGGTTCGCCGCTATCTTGGTACGGCAGATTCAGTGCTCTGATTGGCTGGGAAATCAAAACCAACCATCTCGGTCGAGAAAGTTGCTTTCTTATAAATCAATCATATAGCTAAATAATGAAGTTTTGTCTTTTGATCTACTTCAATACGTTGTGATCGGTCGGGCACTGAGTCAAGTCCATTTCGAGTTTTGAGTGGACATGCATGCTGCCGCCGTTTTCTTAATAACATCTTTTATAGCAGAATGACTATCTTCATGATAGGGCACTGCGGAAACCATCAGTAAGGGGCACGAGAATTATATAATTAAATAGTTTTATACAACCAGCCTCATACAGCCAGGTGATCTGAAATGGCGGGAATGGACTTGTCAAATAAAAATCAGTTATCCTCGATAAAACACTGCAGAAAGATCTACTACATCGAGATCACCTGTCACCTGCGTATAGAACTATAATATAGTAAAGAACCAGTCGCATCGGCATACCATTCCATTCCGTCGCAGAATGCATATACGTGCATGTTGTTTAATAGTTAATTGTTCATGTGAAATTTAATAGAAGATTTCATAGTCTTTACTTCAGCCTTACCTTCAATCTCCTGCTCTTTCTGAACAGTTACACTGACTATTTCACCCAGAGGTACAGCATCAATGAATGTTATAGAATCCTCTACACACGCCATTTTATGACCATTTATTGCCAATAATTGATCGCCCAGATGCAATATTCCTGTTCTGTATGCTAGACTTCCTTTACGAACATGACTGATTATAATACAGGTTTTATCAGCATTGTTTAGTTCTGAAATAAAAGCTTTAGGAATCAGCTATACTCAATAAAATAGCCATAGGCGGCTATCAACATTGTCATTGCCATATGTCTATGGCTAGAAGCCTAGAAGTACAGACTACAGACATTAGACCAGTCTTAAAATAAAGACTAAACTCTTTAAAGTTTCTAATCTAGATCTGACCTGTCTGACCATGCATTTTACTGGGCCTGTCGGTATCCACTATTTGGACAAGTGAAGAGTTCGCTTATGTATCGTGATATTCTCCATATATTAACACACGCTTATATAGTTGGGCATAGTTATATACTAACTTGGTCAGTGTCAGCGAAGTTGAAGAGAAAGTTTTACAGAAGTCCTGGGTTAGTTGGGCTGGGCTTTATTAAATAGACAGTGGGTCGAAAGTGGGTGAAGTCTAAGAACTTGGATTACATTCACATGCATTAATCACATGCTTGTTAGCCGTGCTTTATTTTTGATATAAAGCATGGCTTTATTCGCTTAACAAGAAGTGCAATCCAGCTAATATGAGTAATATCGCCATATGACATATCACAACTAAATATGCCAGTTCAAATTCCCTTTGGGTTTGGCTTTGACTTTGTCTTTGATTTAGACTAGACTTTGCCTTCCGCCTTGAGTTTATAGTAGCCTAAAATTCTAAATATATCATCATTTCCCAATACTAGTTCGTCCCTCGTTTCACTTGTAATGATTTATCGGTCATTGCTCATAAAGTAAGCTTTATATCTCGCTTTATATACTATATACTCGCACTCGCATTCAAAAGTGGCGCCAAATCTCGAATCAGTCGAATGGCGATATAATTATACACTTGTGGTAAGCATATATTAGTTTTCCAATCCCTAATTATTTTAATTTATGTAGAAACAGTAAGGGGGCGTTTAACATGGGCTCTTCGCAGACGTCCGTCAGTATCCTGTGACCAATAAAAATTCAGGATTTTTGATCCTACTTAGCCATCTATCCCGTCACGTTTACTATAAAAGGATTGCGTTTCAAACTTGCAGCATTGCGATTTGCAAACTGTTCTAGTTCTACATCGAAGACATTCAACTCGTTAGAAAAGAAAGATTAAAAGATGCCTCCCAAACCTGGTGTTGCTTCAAAAGGTGGAAAGAAAGCTGGCAAGAAAGCCGGAGTTGGTGGTGACAAGAAGAGACGATCGAAACGTAAAGAAAGTTACGCCATTTACATCTACAAAGTTCTGAAGCAAGTTCACCCCGACACTGGTATCTCAAGCAAAGCCATGGGTATCATGAATTCATTTGTGAACGATATCTTCGAGCGAATTGCTGGTGAAGCTTCCCGATTGGCTCACTACAACAAGAAGTCAACCATCTCCTCTCGGGAGATCCAAACTGCTGTTCGTCTGCTCTTGCCTGGAGAGTTGGCTAAACATGCTGTCAGCGAAGGAACGAAAGCCGTGACAAAATACACAAGCAGCAAGTAAAAAGGTTTCAAAACCTTCAAAACAAAAACCGGTTCTTTTAAGAACCACCAAATATCTGAAAGAATTGAACGAAATAACGATATTTTATCAAGCATGCACGCCGCCGATCGGAGCGTGAAATATTACCTAGTTTAAATGAGAACAAAATAAGCCAATCTGAATTTGAATTCGGTGTTATATCCCAATCCCGTTTGAATTATAAGACTTTCAACGAAGAAATTGGTGATGTGTTTTCGGACTTCATAGAACACCAAAATATATCTGCATCGTACGATTTGTACGTAGCAATCCGATAATCAAAATCGCAACTCGGTATACGTACTAAACTAAGCCCTGCCCAGATAATATAAATTATAATATTTAAGACAATTCAGTGACTTACCTGTGAAAGTGATTCCTAATCCAAAGTAATGCTTTGGCAGCTTCACGCTGAATGTTCCAGACGAGGCTACTATAGATTCTAGAAAAGTGAAAGATAAGTTCCCTGAAAGACAAATTTTCCCTGGACTAGTCAGTTTATCCGCATTATTGTATGATAAAAGTTTAATGACCACCAACACAATCAGCACAATGACCAACGGGTCCAAGACCCATTGACGAGGGATAGCCTAGTTAATCTACGCATTCCCATGGTATAATTATGTTGTGATTGAGTATTCATCATTTTAACAGTGGTTAAAATACAGACATAAAAACAGACGTATAGTCCCTCTTTAATCAGATCAGTTTATTATTATTAGATCAGTTTATTATTAGATCAGCTATGACTTACCAGCCACAGTAAAGCCAATCAAGATGTTTGCGTGTGTTCCAAAACTCTGTAAAATACCATTGCAATGTTCAGCTGTCATCATTCCTACGTCTGTGTCGTTTATTCCAAGCACTTCATCATTAATCTGAAGCACCCCAGACCTGAAGAAGACAATATCCTCGAACTGACCATTGACAATATGTATAAAACTCTAACTTGCCTTCCTCATACTTAGTTGACTAATGAGATTTTCAGGAGAAGGGGTTCCAATTTACTGGCTGCCGCCTCTAGTGAGCTGAGGCCACACACCAATGGTTTTAACTAGAAACCAGCCTTGAGTTAATAAAACCAGGAACGATGTGAGAACGATGGCCTTCATTCATAAACAAGATTCTGAAATGATCCGAAGTTATTTAAGATGCAATAACCTACCTTTCCGCAGGACCACCACTCTCAATTTCCGCAATTACTAATACACTTTGTCTTCCAATATAACTCTCTGCAATCGTCAAACCAAATCCCTGATTATCTGCAGTCAAATTCACCTCCACATACTCCTGTCGACATAGCTGAGCATTAGCAGAACATTTCAAGCTTCTTGATGACCAAAAGTTGTTATTTCTGCTAGAAAATTGTCTTCTCCCTCGCAGGTATGATTCAGAATTAGCGGCGTTAGAAAATGATGACCGTCTACTTCCCAGACCTCTGTAGCCAGCACCAGACCATGGAGAAGTTCTACCAGTACTTGCCCCCACACTGTTGGAACGAGGTTTGCGAACTTTCGAATATAAACCTGAAAACAATAGTAAATTAAATATCTTTTTTGAAAAGGTTCTAAAGAGTAAACAATATTTAAAGATATACTGAACGGTTAATCACATGTATGTCCAGTGACAGTGTGACCAGGAGAAACGTTAAAACTACCATTGGTCATCTTCTATTTGTCAAGGGTTGCTATAGTCTGGGTGAAAACGAGGTGCTGGTGGAAACCTAGATGAACTAATCTATTATGTTCATATAACAGGAGTCTAGTGATCTATTTTGTTCAAAAGCTCTTTGATTCCCCTGTTGAATGTTGAATGGATGAAAACTTTATGAAAAGCCTAGCAGCATCATCGATACAATAAATAATCTTTTCACACCTTCAGTCATTCTATTTCTAGACCGCTGATCAGATCCTGGTTCACTTTGAAGGTCTACGTTTCCACGAGAATTTGCAATCACTTCCGAGATTTCTTCATATGGGCTCGAGTCATTCGTGAGAGCTCGTCTAGTATTGTCGTAGCCAGCAAAATCACCGCTAGGGGCCTGCGGAAGAGCACGGCGTAAACGTTCTCTGGGATCATTGTCGTGCAATCTTCGGTCTTGAATTAGCAATTCGTCGTGAGCTGTCGACTCTGACAGTTGATCATCGGAAAACTCGCCATGTGAACATACCCAGGAATCTACTTTACCATATCTATGAGCCAAACAAACATTAGAAATATTATCGCCCATAATCTACTATAATTAATTGCCTTCTGAATTCTGCAGTGAATTCTGCCTGCATGCAAAAGAACAAAGTATACTTCAGTTCTAAGTCTCTCTTTATCACCCTTTATCCTTTCGACGATGCATTTATCCCTCATTCATTTCTTTTATCATTCTTTTTTTCCTTCTTTACTCTATTTACTATATTTTTAAGCAGTATATGCATTTGATAGTGTCTTGAAACATGTCGTATGTTGTATTGTATACCTATCTGACATGGCTGTATTTTCCTCATCTTTATTTAAAGCGTGAACTGTGAGAAACTCGATCTTAACACGACTTCCACTCTTGGCCAACAAATCAACAACTCCGGCTAAAGACAAATCCTTCACGTAGGTTGCATTAATACTTATTATCTGATCTTCTTTATGGAACACTCCCAATCTGAAACGAAACAAGGGATCAGTCATCAGTGCTGTCGCAACGTAAGAAGGAAATAGGCATGAAAAATGGACTTAACTTACCTGTCCGCAACACCACCTTCGTTGATATCAGAAATTACAATCACACCTGATCGGTCTTCTACTAAACACACAACCAAATATTACATTTAAACAATAAGGGACCAATCAATCAAAGAAAGCTCATTAAAATTGCAATGCTGCATGAACAGCGATTTAACGTATGGAATAATCAATACTTTCGAAGATTTAATCAACAATTTTTCTAATAGGCTATACCTAGAATTAGCCCCAGGCTGACAGCAGGAGCAGGCTTCTCGATATCAATAATCCATGTTCCGTTTTGAGTGCTCATAGGTTCTATGTATGATAAAGAAGGAAATTACAGGAATATACATTGCAAGATTTACCTAACGCTTCTTAAATTACACGAGATAGATAAGAGATGATCTTAGCTCTCTGATCCTGGCTGGACCTCTCGAAACAACAATTTAGAATATGTTAAGACTCGATTTGTTCAAAATATCTAACACTCTAAAATTCTGTTAATTACAATCTAGATCTTACCTTTGTGGTAAACATCATACTCTATCTGTAAAGACACTTGATCATGCGCGTGTTTTAGCAATAGTACAACGTCTTCACGTGACAGACCCAACAACGCTTGACCGTTGATTGCAAGTAATCTATCCCCAACATGAACCACACCACGACTATAAAGAATTAATAAGAAAGAAAATGAAATATATCATTGGATATTGTTTTTGATATTTTCACAAAACAAAGCACGAAGTCCAACCTTTGGGCCGCACTTCCTGGTCTGACACTTGCAACAACAAGAGGTCGATAGCCGTGAATCGATGTCTGCGGTGATTCTATATCATGGGAGAAAAATTCAGTAATTTTTATAAAGTATAATGTGAAACTAAGCTTGTCAAAGTTTACAATGGTTACAACGCTAATTTACTTTACTATAGGACATAGGTGTTTCCACTCTACTACAGATCTTCCACCCTACCTCTCGCGACAATTCCAAAACCATCAGCTTCCTTCTTCAGCTGTATAATAGCAGTTTTACACGAACTGCTAATGTTTGTGTCTGAGAAGGACAAATTGACAATCATGAAGTTTCTGTAAAATATTATTTAAGATGCAGACGAGGGAACAAAAAGAACATCAAGGTCTCTCACCTGGAGTTGGGATTTTATATTGAATCTTCAAATGAACATGCTGACCAGCGTTTCTTAGCAGATCAACAACTTCTTGATGGGTTAAATTTTCAGTTTTTTTATTATTTACAGCGAGAATTATATCACCAATAACCAAGGATTCGCTCCTACGAAAATGGAAATGTATAAAGGTATAGGCCTGTGCCACAAACAGCAAGGGGTCTGTGGCGAGTTACAAGCTATGCGAGAACGAATGATTTTATAAATTGGCAGTGAAAAACCTGACTAGCCTGTGACTCAGCACAGGCCTCTTGCCCCTTTTCAAATAGGGTTATTAGCATTTTAGATTTGTGATACATGATTTTTCTCACAAAATCTTTACTATACAGTTGGTACGGATCTCATCTGGAGATGATATGGAAATGCAATTAGTCTGGAAATCCTCTAATTACGTATTAATTGTTACTTCATACTATCAGAGAATGTTTATGTGAAGCCAGCCTGACTCAAGTCATTCGCGTGCATTTAATAAAGCTGAATGGAGATCCACTTTAAGTTGTCCTTAAATAAACTGACAGGACAGCCCACGCTGATATCACAGAATAGCTTCTCTTTTAAAAACGTTATACTTATAGGCACAATATTGTAACACACATCAACGACAATAATTCGAATTCAAGCGTCTTATTTACGTACTTATCAGCAATACCGCCCAGTCGAAGATGAGAGATAACAGGATGATTGCTACCACGGTCAATACCACCTAAAAACATTTCGTGGTGAATTAAAGATTTTATTCACAGGATTGCGTGCGCCCGAAATGAAGTTACCTCATAGTAATATGTTCTATAACTATATCTATTACGAAACAATATCCCATTCTACCTGAAACTGTGAGCCCAAGACCTTTATCATGTTTTGTTTTGACGAGTTTTACAATCAAGATTCCTAAAATAAATCGACTAACATCAAATACTCCGGAAAAACAATCGCAATATAGTATAAAGACACTTGAGTCCATCACATTCTTTGTGTCGTACGACCTACCCGTCGTGCTGTCTTTTGGCTCATGATTAGAATTTGCACTAAAAAAACACAACTGTTATGAATGTACTGACTGCAACCATTCTCTAAAATAACATAAACCAGTACGAGCTTGTATTTCATTTTATTAACAGTTTCCTTCTCATTACAAACCCTTTTCAATTTAACAAACCTATTAAGAGCGCCATCCTTGTTCATGTTCTTGTCGTTCTTCACAATTTCTATAAAAAACAAAATTAAAGAATATCGACGTTGATAATGTATACACGAATAAAAGTAAGGTTTTTCCATGGTTCCGAACTGACTCGTTTCATTCGTAGTCTGTGAAATAAACTGAAAAAACTTAATTACGAACTACGCTGTAGCAGTGGATATGGAATGATTTCCTTTGCATAAACCTCTGTTCGTATACACTACCTCTAACAGTCTAACTCGCATTATTAGCTAACAACTGAATCAAAGATTGGCCTTAAGTTAATATAACTGGAGACTGGTTAAGCCAAACCGCATTATATCATAAAGACAGTTTTACAAAGATACACGTACATAACTCACTGACATTTCTACATTACATGCTAATTAGTTTACATACATATAAAAGATTGTTGTGGTTTGTCGATTTCTTAAACTAAAAGGATGCTTTTCATAACCAGTTTTAAAGTAGACCTTCCCTTAATACTTTGAAGTATCATTAAATTGCCTTGTTAGAACCAATTAGAACAGCCTTAATTATATTATACAGTTTGATACACCACCGGTCATATTCTTGGACGTCGCTCAAAACTCAAAAGAACGACGAGTGTCATAAAATAAGAAAAAAACTGGAGGTCTTAATGACCCAGCAAGAGCTCTCTATAGTAAGCATAATCAATTCTCCACGATATCGCCTTTTAAGGATATCATAACTAACAAAGAGGTTCTGCTGTCTGAGTAAAAACAAAGAAGTGCGTTGATTATTCGATGGCAAAGAAAAATATGTAATTTATATGTACTATGAGTACTGCTGGCTGCGTTTCAATCGCTAATTGACTTGCCAAGATTTTGTTAAGATCCAGCACAACGACATCCGTCACGTTACAATCACAAAACTGATAAATGAAGTAAATTACACAATCTGTCAGACTGTCAAGTTATTTTAATGCGTCTATAAGTCTTAAAAGCTAAAGTTAGCCCTTAAATGAAAATGAAATAAATATTGAACAGAGCAAAACCTTTCATAGAAACACGTCTCTTCCCACCAAGAAAGACCTACCTCTAATTACATAATAAAGATGACAATTACCTGTCTAGAGTTGGCCTGCTAGGCTGGTAAGAGGAACAAATCAAGATGAGACATCTTAAAATGAGATATTCCATAGGCAGCACATACAAGTACATCTCCCTTCTATATCTTTAATGCAAACATTGTTAACAGATATTCCTCCAATGCAGAAATCTGTCTACTACAGGTATCTCACTAATATACAGATATCTGTTTGAGACAATTGCATCTCATGAAGAAAGACAAGAAAGAAGAAAGACACAATTTAAATATTCCTCTTACTGTTCTCTAAGACAGTCAATTTATTAGGAAAAAACTCATTTATTCCACAGACATTCATTCCATGAATGACATCATTCTAAGACAGGTCTCTATCAACACAGACATTGCTCAAGACAGACATATTTTCAAGAAAGATGTCACTCTAACAGACATCTTTCAAATAGAAGTATCTGAACCTAGTAAAGACATCCTTAAAACAAACAATCTCTCATGACAAACATTTTTATACAACATTTCTAAAGGACAAACTTTTCTCTATATAATGGAGAAGAAATCTTTACTTCAGATACAAATATAACTCTTGGATGCTAATAAAGCCAGACATACAATACAAATACACAAATGTAAGCTGAAACAGCATTAAGACCACTCCTGTTTGCTCTATTCTTAGGAATGTTTCAAACAAGATAATGGTATTTAACAACAATGGCAAATATTTACGACGAATATTGCAAGTAAATGCTGACGTTGGAAAACCATATCTTCCCTCATTATAAATGAAACAGTTTATACAACCAAAACCATCTTACTATTAGAAGGCTGCAATATCTCATGAAAATAAACATCCAGAAACCTATTTCAGAGCTATAGTTCTATTAGTACTAATTGATAATTGCCAAATACTAAAATTAACCCAACTAGAATATTTAAAATACCTGACATATATGTAATTGCATAAAAATTTTAACATATACAATAACACAACCCACACTAGCTTATTCCACAGGGAAATCATTCCAAGGTCAAAAATAATCAAAAAGAAGATATACTTAAAAAACCTAAAATCTTTAAGAAACCAAATAACCTTGTTGTTGTTTGAACATTTTTGGGGCCATAAAAATAATCTAAGGATTGATCATTAATGTATGACAACATTTGTGTCACAAATCTGCTGATTACTGCAGAAAAACATTATTAATTGTGGGCCAACATGAAACATTCCCCTAAAGGTTTTGTTGTTAACTAGTCACAAGAATTGTTAATAATGCATAGGCAAGTTATAATATCACAGGATCTAGCTGAAATATATTCTATAAACACTGTAAACAGTTCCAGAAATAAGATGAACCCATGTACACCATATCAACAAATCATTGTTAAATAAAAACTATATTGTTATATATTGTATTTTATCAAAAAATAATACCTGACATTATTTTGCTAGTTGTGTTGTAGATCAACAGTCTATCTTCAGTCCTAATTAAGTCACAACTCTGATGGACAGTTCCATGCAGAATGTTTAATCTAGCTCAAAACCAACAGGGGTTTAAAGCTTTGTGACAGCTGAGTTAACAATAACACATATTGTTATACATAGTTAACCAAATGTTTATAAAAGCTACCTATCTAAAAAGCCTTTTGGAGATAATAAATCTCTATTATTACAACTGAACATTGAACTGTTGGCCCTGATAAATATTCTTTGAGTTTCATTTGCAAAACAGTGTTTTATTCAATCAAATTTGTAACTGTTTCCCACAAGCAAACAAATTAACTTCCAGTTCAAGACAACAAACCTTAGCAGGAAGTCTGTTTTCCTTGTTTGAAATAATTCAACTTTTATATGTTCTTACTCTCTTATGTAATGAAGTAAGAGCAGGACTGTACCTCAGTATTTTTTTAAGGGAATATTGCAAATCAAAGTAGAATATACATTGTGACTAGTCAATATTCTTTCCAGTAACTGTATAGAACAAGATTATAAGTACAAAATATATGTACATAATGAGATCTCTTGACAGAAAGTGAAAAATTTTAAGCACATGCTCCTGTGAAAATAGTATGGTCGTTGACTCGTTGCGTGTCAGGTATCGCTTTCCGGAAAGTTTATACGAAATATAGCGCAAGGTCTCTAACAGCCACAAGAATGTGCTAGTCATATTAGGAACCGTACTCTAAGTTAGAATTTTACAATAATTGATTTACGTACTTTTAAAGGTGTTAAGACGTCCTTTAAAAGATACATGGCTATCAACCCTGTCGGGTTAAACACTTGAAATAAAGATTTAATGAAACAAGCTTATGTAGTCAACACCGTAACCTTTACATGACAGTAACGTGTTCATTTGCTTGCCCAAGAAATTATCATTAAAAAGGCAGCAAACAGCCAATAATAGAATGATACTTACTTGACTTGACACGAGAAAAAATCGATGTCATCTTGGTTATGCAGCGAAGATCTTAAAAGGCAGACATGAACAGGAAAAAAGATCTTGAAAGAAGTGTGTTTATGGTATTTATATGGTCTGTGTTTTGTATCAATTTCATGCTTGTCATTTAAATATTGTGTTGATATTGGGACTAGGCGAGGGGTAAATGGGGGTAATGATGGTCAACTTCTGCACAATTGCTTTGTATTTCCAGCAAGGATAGCAAAACAATAAGTAAAATTCTTACTTTTCAAGTCTGCCATCAGCATATGACGTAAAAGAGGATGTTTTTAAGGAGATGTTACATTTACTTGCTCTTCAGAATTTTAACGCCCTACAGCTTACTTCAGGTTTGCGTCTTGAGGCCAATATCGGTGGCTTTTACGAAAATGAAAAAGCAAATATATTCCGTGTTGCCATGTCAGTAGTATCAAGAAAATTAACATGTTTCGGCTCATCAATTCCTTTTTCCTTGTTTGTATAATTTTTAAAACAAGTTCAATTCGCCTGGTGGTTCAGTAGAACGATTTTATATATAGGTCAGTCAGAAGGAATCGCGTTGTTTTGGCGCGAAAATTGACTTTTGCATTTTGTAAAGAAAAAGCAAAACGCCGGTTTACAAAAATATCTATTTTAAACTTGAATGAAAACGAGAAATGGTCCGAGAGAAAGTCAAAGCGAAAAAAGTGAAGCTTAGCCAAGAGCAGGTATCAAGAATATAATTTGTTCTCGCTGTTTTTATCATTCAAAACGAGTCTCAAAACATGGATTTACTAAATAATGTATTTTTACGTGACCTGTTTTTACCTTTTTTTCAAATACCGCTGAGAAAAGTATGTCTAAAAGAAAAAGTCGACTAAGTATGAAATAAAGAACCATATCATATTGAAATTAGACGTGAATTTAAAAATTAACTGAAGCAAACCATGGGGCAAGCGTAATAAATAAACGACACTTGCCACACACATCGCCTTTGTTCATGCAATAGTAAATCTATTCACAAAAAAAATTCAATTTCAGTGTTTCAGTTTCGGAGAAGAGAGTAATAGTGATCAGGAATTAATGGAATTGTATGAAGAACAGGAAACTTTGCAGGAAACTAAAGAAAAGACAAGTGAGATCAATAAAGAATCTTTAGGAACCATGCTTGAAGCAGAAGATATATCAGACGGTATGAATACGACCTTTCGAGTACGATAATGGTTCTCAAAAGGCAGATACCAGGCTATTGAGGTTATTGGCTAATGATATGTGAAGATCAGAGCGGTTTTAGAGCCAGATTAACCTTCCTTGCCTCTTGGGGCATTTTTCAATCCGGCCCCCCTTCACTTCCCCCTACCGGCGGAAGCGAATTAATCTAAAATTTGGCTGCGATAAAAAATATTTCCATTATATGTGTACTATTATGTTAAATACGTACATCAGTTTTAACTGTCATCCAACCCAGTCTGCTTTTTTTTTGCTTTTGTGGTCTTATGCCTTTTGGGGCCACCCGGCGCCCCTAAAGCACGGGGCCTGTGGGCAGAACCATTGGCAGAACCCCCCGTCATCCATGCAGTTGCTCTGCTTAATCCGGACCGGGCTCTCAGGCTTAATAACGTATTCCTGAGTATTACGAAACGGGTTTTTTTGAGAAGACCAGGCCAGTAATCTTCCTCACCACAATGCGTTCATCTTCTATAAATCCTTCCCTAAACTAGCGTCGACCCAATCGGAAGAATATAGCCAGAGATATGACGATGATGATATGGCACAATGTGTCCCTGAATTAGTCGTCTATACTCCAACTCAGCCAAAGGAAAAACCTGCGGTTAATGAAACAAAACGAGGACCAAGAAAGAAATTCACTCCTAAAAGACAAAGAAAGACTAAGCCTTTAAAGCAGCCCACGTCTGTCTCACCACAAGAGCTGAAGAGTGAGTCTGTAAGTTTAAAGGATTCCCATTTTTTCAAGGTTCGTTAAGAGATGAGGCGAGGGACATGTACTTCCTTGCCACAAGCATTTCTTTATGAAGTTTCATATAAATCATCACCTATACAGGATGATTTTCACAAGTCCAAGAAAGAGGGAACCTGGATACAATGTTCAAAGATTGATTGTCTTAAGTGGAGAAAACTTCCAAACAATGTTGAACCGTGTACAATACCTGAACGTTGGGTCTGTGCCATGAATTCAGGTGAAATATATTTCTAGGATTGTATTGAATGGAGAATCTTTTCAAACTCTTTAGCAGAAGTAGAGATCATTTAATAATGCTTTAGTATCGTTATAGATTTGTCCCGTACCGAGTGTACAGCATCGCAGGAAACGTGTGACAGTCAATTAGATTTTGATGTAGTCTATACACCATTCGTAGCTGGATCGTTAGTTTGGGCCAAGGTACCTGGATATCCATGGTAAGTCAGGCTTTCACATCTTGAAACTATATTAGAGATGCATGATCTTATCACTGCAAATATCTTGAGATGTTCAATTTTCTGTCAAGGTGGCCTGGAATGGTTGAGGATGATCCAGATTACCATTGCTGTTATGAAACGGATGATACCAATGTTAATCCAGTACGTATAATAAGATCAGCAGAAGTAATATTACTCTCGCATGGTAGCAATGAAGTCGGCGGTCTTGAAACAGAGTTTCTTCAAATCTTCCACTACCTCCTTATAGATCAGTTATCATGTTTCCTTCATCTTCGACAAAGACGTTTCTCGTTCTTGGGTGAGTTACCTGAATATAACAAGACTTTGGAGGATCAGAAAACCCAAATGAGGTAAACTCATCATCATTACCATCATCACTACCACGTTCACCAACATTGTCATCGTTTGTATACCTCAACAATATATCGTCCAGGCGAACTAAGCCAACGGGTAATAATATTGTCCTTGTTAGACTGGTTCCAAACAGAAGAAATATGTGAAATCTTTAGCAAGAGCTTTGGAACAAGCCAGAATTGCCATGGAAATGTCATTGCCAGAACGGCTCAGTAAATACAGTTTCCGTGTGTTGTATAAAGGCAATATTAGATATCAATCAGGTACGAATACTGGTAGAATTGAGGGATTGGAGAGATTGCTTTGATAAATAATTTTATCTTTAGAAGAGAAACCACGCAAGATAAAGAAGAGAAAACAGCCAAAGAAATCATTATTAAGCCCAGAGGATACGGCCAAGAAAACGAAACAGGAGAAGAAAGTGAAACGAACAAGTCTTACAGACAGTGAAAAGAGCATTACACAAAGTGAAAGCATGAAAAAGAAGGTTAAAAAGAGGAAAATAATTTTGGCTTCAAGTGATGAGGATGATAACGGCGAAAACAAAGAGATTAATACTGATGGGCCTGAAGGTCTGCTTCCAGTACACGAATCTCATTTTGGTTAGGCTTCTTGTGATTTCATTTCAACTCTCTGTCTTGTTTAGCACAAATAATGAACAGTCCTTCAAATATTACCCAAAATACAGACGAAAAAAACGACTTGGCGGATGAAGATGGTGAAGACAATCAAGAGACAGGCAATGACGAGAGAAGTAAAGAGAGTGAAATTGATCAAGTATCTTCAGATCAAAAAAACGAAAATAACGACAGCACTCACAAGGAAAAACCTAAAAAAAGCAAAGTTAAAAAGAAACATAAACCAGTCCAAACAAAGAATGAAGGTAAAGGAGGAGAAATGGTAGAGCTGAGTTGACATCAAGTGTCCGGGTATTGCAAAATATAGCTTAGAACTAAATTAATATTTCTGATATCTCGGGAATCATTGTTACTTGCTTTCATTCGTACTTCTTGAAAAACCACCACATACGTTTTCTTATCCATTAAAACACTAATTTCTAGTTCCAAAGAAGAAAAAACGTAAGAGTTCATCTGCTGACGAGAGGGAAAAACAAACTCCATTGCTTCAAGAGAAACGTTCTAGCAGCACTTCGGATCAGTCAAAAGACAAAAAGCTTAAAAAGTCGAAGGAAAAACTAACAGGAACAAAACACGAGAAAACAAAGTCAAAAAAGAAAACTAAATTTGTAAATCCAGTTCAGGAAAAGTCAACTGATACAAGAAGCGAAAGTAACGGGGATAGGAATGGAAAAGATACAAGATCATTTAGCGAAAGATTTATGGAAGAGCTTGCCAAAGATACAAGCACTGACAGTAGCATAACTGATGGCCTTGTCATCGATACAAGTCATGAGAGTACCTTTGATGATTTCAATGGAGATGGCAATAAACTGGATGCACATTTAGACGAACCAGGAGATCAATCTAAAGTTGAAGCAACAATGAAAACATGTGTGAAAGAATCTAATGGCAAAAACTTCAGTTCCTTTAAACGAAAGAAAAAATCCTTGAAAGTGAAATCAAGCAAAGATAATTGTGCTGGTGAAGATTCGGGCGAGGTGAAGGGATCTGTTGTGAAGCCGAAGAAGTTTGAACTGGCTTTTGCCTTTAGTAAGAAAAACAAACCAACGAATGAAAAGAAAACGAAGAAAATCCAAAAGAAAAGTTCTAAAATATCTGGCAAAGAAAATGAAGCAGAGTGTCAGCGAGATTGTTGTGAGTAGGCATTACACAGATCCATGCTTAGATAGACCTAGAAATAATTTCATAACTAATTATCAGTTGATGTTATGTTTTAAAATTATAGTATCAACAGAAGAAATGAGCGTTGAAGGAAGCAGTGTGAAGCCTAATAATCCAGAGCAAAAACACAGCAAGAAAAACAGCAAAAGCAAGAAAGAGAAACAGACGGTTAGCAAATTTAAAACTCCGGTGAAAACCAGTTCTAAAGTAACACCTGCAACTAAAGTGTCCAGAGTCGATAAAAATAAAAAACCTTCGGAGAAGTCGAAGAAAACACTTGAAGAAATACTAGAGATTCCTTCATCAGATGATCCACGCAAAAATCCTGAGAACTACGTAAGCATTGGTAAGTGATGACTAGTTCTTTATTCAATGAGTATATAGTCATGACGAGGTTGTGATTAGAATAGGCATATATGACATATGAATCAGTTGAGATTAGTTCAGGTCTGCTGTTGCGAAGTCGGGTTGATGGAAGAAGTTTCATGCTGAGGTGATTTTTGAAGGCAAAATGTTCGTATGAGTTGGAACCTGATATCAGTGTATTGCTTTTTCATCTTCAATCTAGATTCATTGGAGAAAGACATGCGCAATCTATATGAAGAGCTTTCCCAAGAAGCAGCTGCTACAAATCATCTAACTGATGATGATCTCACTGAAGCTAGTGATTGTGTCACTATGGAGTTTCTAGATCAACAAATTTCTGGAAATACAGGAAATTCTGAAATTTTTATGGGACGCATTACTGACTCTCCTGAATTTTAAACCTTTGTTTGTGACTCAGTTAATTGACGAACTTGTTGAGAAAATTGTGATACTCTTATAATCATACAGTAATTATCGATTTCTTGCAGTTATTTATTTTTATTAAGGTATATATGACACCTTTATATTTTCAACCAAAAGAACTCTGAAAATGTACAATAACTTCCCTTTTACGTCAATGTTTTATTCTTGAAATAATTTATTTTCTCTAAAAGGACAATGCAATCAACCTGATGTCATAAGACGTGATGTATCTTTGATAAAAACAAAAACAGCATGACTAATTATGACATCGAATTACTTGCATTGAATAATATTCTCCTGAAGAAAACACATTTCAAGAATGAGACACAATTAAGAAAAAAATTATAAAAGAAACTACCCTACATTTATGCAGTTTTAAGAGTTTATTTGTTCAAGGGAAAACCGTTTTGTGTAATTATGCATAATATTTGAATTTCTGTGAGATATATTGACTTTAGTTGAGTTATTTTAATAACGTCATGTTAATAACTGGAACAGTATTTATTAAAAATATTTAACTTTTGTACTCAGTAGTTATTTGGTTTTAATCGCCTTAATTTTTCTTTCTTATTTCTATTACCATGTTTTTTCCATGGCTTACCCACAATTACCATATTTGGTCCAACTTGTGATGTCATCAGTCTCTGGTATTGTTCTGTCCCTGTTGTCGCTGAGGTATGGGACTTGACATCTTCCTGAAATTAAATTCACTCAAAGTAACTTTGCGAATACTCATAGTGGACACCGGACATGTTCAAAGTTTTTTAATGTGAGGCAGAAGGACGACAGTAAAGACGTTTGACAAATACCAAGTTTAATCAAGTTCAAAGATGAGTAAGTAACCTTTTAGCATGCTAATTCGTTCTCATTTTTCATTAAATTGACCAAGAACCCATTGAAGCCATCTAGGATCTTAAACAAACCTTGAATATTGAACAAACCTGTTTGAAAAAATCACTATCCATTTTACTAACGGTTGTTTTCTAAAACAGACAGGACAATTACGTAAGTCAGACAAACTAATAAAAGACCATTGAAGTTTCAGAGTTTGTTTAAGAGACGAACCAGTATTTGGTCCCAATATTCGCTTACATTTTCATGTTTGGAATTTGTTGGTGGACGTCGCTTGATTGTCTTTACATCATTAGTAAACGACATTTGAAAATCTTTAGGATCATGTGTTGGAGGTGGATGACAGTACAATAACTTTCCCTAAAAAATGTTGAAGATAAAAATGTAATGATAATTATAGTATGTAAGGATATCAATATGGTTCACTGTATCTGACACACGATATTGCAGTCTGAGAAAAAATGTTTCATGAAACAAGAGAAAGATTTTAAAGCTTACATTGACGTAATCTTTAAGGATGTATCTCGCGGAGCGTGGCGAATCTGATCTTGCTTGACTTGTTATAAAACCTCTGCTGTCTGGAAGGACAGAGTATGTGTAAAAAGACTACTATTACATACCCGAAATCAGGGATATTTAGAATAACATGCTCTTTAGCAACAACGAACGAATAATACATTGTTCTGTATTATGGGACGTGTTATTTTCTCAACTTACAGCTGTATGCGTCCAGAAATTCCTCAGTGAATGGTGGGCGGTCTGGATCCTCATATTCCTCTGGTTTAGGAAGGTTAATACCATAAAGTGTTTCTAATACATCTCGTGGTATGCGCTGACATACATAAGACTGTGTTAAGAAATATATCTCATAAAAATAGATGTCTCTATTTTTCATTTCTATTATTTTGGCAAGTACGAAACCTTAGCTAAAAATTGATATATTTTAAGATGAAGAAGTCACCAGAGTTTTAGTCACAAAAGTTGTTGAATTACTTTGTATGTAGGTCAACCAGATGCAAATAATTACATTTAACTGATTCTGATCAAGGAAAGTTGACATTTGATTTAAAAGGATATGAGTGCCACGGGAGGAACATGATCTCTAAGTTGATCAATTGGGAGAATACCACTGACTACCATTTCAGCTTTTGTTGAAACAAATGATGGAAATACCAGTCCAGGGCAGTCACACAAACAGATTGTTTTGTCCACCAACAGAGTCTATAGCAAAGAGATATGAACCTTATCATAATACACAGTTTATAAAGTAGACAAACAGGATTACAAAACAGGTAGAAACAAGAAAATAGTGCAGTACCTGAAAATGTTTTGTTCTTCCAGGTGTTGAAGACACAGGAACTTTCTTTGCTTGTAAGATTGCATTGATTGTTGAGCTCTTGCCAACATTGGGGTATCCAACCTTCAAATTACAAGCGCTGGAAATTAAGTTTCCTTTAAATGGTGCATGGACAAAAGGTCATTGAAATTTACACATATATTGTAATACTTAAACCTACCAAGCCAATTACAGTTTTCCTTTCTTTCTCATCCTTACCATCCTCAATATGGCCAATAGCCTGGTGATGTAACCATTGACAATATACCAACAGCTCTTCACCCGTCAACAAATGACCACTTGTATAAAACTCAACATTCTTTACAGCTATACGCTCATCAACTGCACCTCGATCATAGTCCAGAGGTTTGTCACTAATAATACTGTCATTGCTCATTTGAAAGGATTTTTCACCAGTCACACAATCACCTTGTTCAACAGATGATTCTGTATCTGAACCTATATTTAATGATTCTTTTTCCTTGTCACTTGTTATGATTTGGTTAACCTCTTCAGAATTGCTATCCATGAATTTACTTGGGTTACAATTTGTACCATCCATTGACATAGTGTCTTTTTTTGTTGAGCTATTTTGAGATATTTGGGAAGTTTCACAATCACTAGGATCATAGTCAGTTCTTGCATCAGAATGTTCCATAATACCACTCTCATCACAAAGCGCATTTGTCCCAACATCACTTTTAGATGAGAGATAGTCCATAGTTGCAACACTTGAGGGTTCTTTGAGGTCAGAATTTGACAGCACAACATCACTCTTTGATTCTTCACTGTTAAACAGTGAGGGATGATTGTTTGTTACCTCACCTTCTGACTCTATTTTTAAATTTAGAAATTCAGTAACATGACTGTCAGTTAAAATTGCTTCAGGTTCTTCTGCTTCAGACTGTGATGGTGGATTTTCAGTTTCTTTAAGGTCATTCTACAATGGCAAACATGATTTATGTAACACACTGAATTAAGTGCAAAATCCTGAAGATAAACTCCAAACAATACCATTTGCTTTAGTCTTTCTGTCTCATAAACTGCTGACCAAAATATAGCCTTTACATCAACACTCTTAAAATAGGTAGCCCAAGTCTCCCTGGAAAAAAAATATGTTCAAATAAAAAAGTGTGGACAAGGTTGTTGCTGTACATATTTTACATGTTGTACAAGTCTCAATACCTTTGTTTCTGTGTAAGAAAATCCGCTTTATTTATCAGCAAAACATTAACTTTGGAATGGTCAATTTCTTTCACATAGCTTTCCAAATCTTCACAGTGAAAGAGTAATGGATTCCTTGCATCAACTATCTGGACTACAACATCACTATATAATGAAGAAGGGTGAAATAAAATAAAATAAGAAACATCATGGTGTTGGAACATTATGCATGTGCATGTTGAGACTTGGGTTTCCCTCAGTTGCATGCAAGGAGTTAGGAGTACATGCAACTTGATTGAACACTGGAGGATTTCTTTTGCTGGACATTCAATGATTCAAATACACTTTGTTTCTACTTTTGTTTCTTCTCGATAAAAGAACATTACCTTCTCTCTATAACCCTCCACAATTGTCTCCAAAATTCAAGATTTCTTTCGAAAGGTGTGAGAATTAAATCATCTTTAGCTTGTAATCTACAAATATCACAATAATGTACCAGATAATGGCAACCACACATTGCATTTCTAAAAGATGGCTGACACAAATTTTGCTCAAATTTCACAGGTTTTCAAAGCCTAGCTCATAGTCATTTATGTAAGTACAAAAGAGGTGTTAATTATTCTGCAATGCATGGCATTTCTTTGAATACAGCAAATCAAAATGCAAAAACAAAAGACTGGATTCTAGAGTTAATTAGTGATCATTTTACAATTTGGTATAATTAGTTATCATCTTACAAATGAATAGTGTATTCAAAGTATCTATAAAAAGCAAACATACTCTGCCAATCCTCTTCTCCATGCCAGGAAGTTATCTTTCTCTAGTTGATCCAGTTGTTCAGGTGTTGTACTTTCATCCCACTTTGGTCTAAAGATAAACTCAATTTGATCATACTGCATGAGAGAGACTGAGACATATACTGTTTGAGTTATACAACTTTTTTTTTAGAGAAAGGTTATAGTTTGGGTGAGGAATCAAAGTAGATACATGTTCCATTTTCTCTAAAAAGTGTCTTCTATGCCTGTATCTATTTAACTAGTTTATAATAAAATTACATTCATAAAGTTCTAGTTTTGCTAACCTTCTTGGAATTTGCAAGAACTGTTTGTGTTGGTCTTGTATTTCTTGTATACGTTGTTGTTCTTGCTTTGATGGCAAACCACCACTGTTGTCAGCATTATATATGGTGATGTTCAGTTTTTCTGAAAGACCAAATGTTTATATATCACTGAGATCAACTAACAATGTCGTTATAGGTCTGCTGACATGGTATGTATATCAAATGGTTATGCAAAAGATTTTAGAGGTTCAAAGGGTCCTAATTTCGAGTAGAATTATACACACTTCAAATTCAAGCCACAAACAGTTGATGGAAAAATGAGTCAACTATCGGTCCTCCGGCAGGAATCGAACCTATGCTTTTGAGATGCTAGCGCAATGCTCTTACCACTGACACTTGCACTGGCATCGCAAAAGTGTAGGTTCGATTCCTGCTGGAGGAGCGATAGTTGACTCATTTTTTATCAACTATTCCTGGCTTGAATTAAAGTGTGTATAATAATAATCTAACTGTAAATTAGGATTTTTATACCTGCGACAAACTCAGTACCAGCAAGTTCAGCTGTTGTAAGAAACTCATCTAAAGCACTTTGCTCCGTCACTGACTTTGTACATATTCTATTCCAGTCTTCACTATCATTCAGTTCACTTGTATGTAACTAGGAAGAAAAATTGTTCAATACAGATTACAGTGTTGTGTGTTAATGAGCATCATAACTGGCATTAACTGTATAATCTAGCTACAAATGATATGACAAGTAAGATTTAACAGTGTATACTTCAAAACACTAACTTACGGATCTACAGTGCTTTAAACTTACCCAACTTTCCTTGTTTTTACCCAGACGTCCTCCTTTGCTCTTGTCTTTTAATACTGCTCTACCAACACCAACTTTACCTTTTTTCCCCATTCTACCTTAACACTACTTGTAAGTTACAATATCAGCTACGATTTGGATTTCCTAGCGTGAATATATACCACCACTGGCACCACGTAATTTCCACATTACCAACCATATTGGATTTCTCATCGTGCAGACCACTGAACTATATAAAACACACGCTTCACTGGACAACGATGATAGTGGGCTTCTTGTACCGTTAACTTAGCGGGTAAGCAAATCCCCGCAGTGTGCGGCGACGTTTTGCGAGCTTTTGTTCACGCGTTCCATTTACACCGAAAACTCAACATGTTGAATAATTTGGCGCACCAGTGCATATTTCCTTTTTTTTACGGGTGAAGTTGCTCTCAGCATCCCGAGCATCGTCCCATACTGGCAAACGTCCGGTTCCCGCTCTTACTCGTTTCCGAATATGAATCTGGCTAATTTACATGTTCATTGTTTAGTCTTAAGCTCCCAAGTCGCATGACTCGTGAAATACGAGACTATAAAAGGGAAATTTGAGCCGTGTTTTTTGTTACATTCCACGATTCGAATAATGGAGGGGAGCGACGAACGCTTCACCCAGTTCAACTTTGCACGGCCAACATTGCGAGGAATCTTTTTTACTTTTATTCGGCCGTGTTTCACAGAGTTCTTTGGGGTATTCTTCTTGACCTTCGGTCTGTATTTGCCTACAACATCACCTGATCCTCGTGGCTCTTCTTTGGCATCTGTTGTTGTCGCGTTCCCGACGAGGTAACCCGTAAGGCTTCTCGCCGGAGATCGAGAAGTGTCAACCACTGAGCAATAAACCCGATAATATTTATAAACTCGAAGCGGTGAAACTATGATAACAACACATAAACATATTACAACTGATTGACTATACATACATAAATACTGAGGAAACTACATAATTTTTACTAACGTTCTATTCCTCTCCAAGGCTAAATGGTCCAATCAATATAGAAGAATACTGATATAAAACAACAACAAACGAACGTATCGCAAACAACAAATTCCCCCAAAAAAAGTATATCGCGTCCCTCCTTTTTCACGCTAGAGTACCGCGGGTCACGCGCGTGAAATCATTGATTAACTAGGGCGCTAAAAACTAATATCGACATACATTACAGTTGTCGTTGTATTTTTGTACATCGGCATTTACTCTATCACACGATTGATAAGGTAAGAATGCTGGTCTAAGAGTATAAGCATGATCGAGTATAAAGCACTTTTTGTAAATCAAATCTTAGGTGAGGATGAGGCGATAGATTATTACTGCAAAATATCAAACAGACACGACTATACATATTATTTACTTTAATTCGACCGAGTTTTTCAAAGTTCTTTGAGTCTTCTTCACCTTTAACATTAACTAGAGCCTAGAGGCTATGGTTGCGCTTGTTGCCGACTTGTATTTTTGTATATTGGTATATTTACTCTATCACACAATCTATAAGGTAGGAATACTATAGTATAAGCATGTTTGAATAAGCGCTTGTCGATAGATCAAATGTTAAGAGTGGGATGGTATAGAGTGAATGCATATTACTACAAAATATCAAAGTTAACAAACACTATTATGGCAGAAAAGCCAATATCTTATTACATCACTTACTCATCGATATTATAATTTATGTGATTATATTATTATGATTATACCATTTTATCACAACATTTTTTGAATATAATCTCAGACAAGTATTTTCAAAAAAGACTATTTTTGTTAGTGTTAGGAGTTAAGACGTTGGTCAGTGCAAAAGTAATGCGAGTTTCAGTCGTGGATCATAGCATAAGAATAATCACTTCTCTATGGCTCTAACTTGCAATCACATTGATAGATTTTTAGAAATCAATATTCAACAGCGTTGTTGTTAAAATATTTATCTTTGAAATTAGGCCGTGTAATTTATTGTTAAGATTCAAATACCACTGCAATGATCTTCGACACGGGATGGCTTTTTGCCGCGATTTGCGCGTGAGCCTGACGTAATCTCATACGTCACCGACGGTAATCGGCCGCCAACAATGCGTTGCCAAACGAGCACCAGGCTCAGTGTGTGTGTGCGTGTGGGTAATAATTTCATGTCCAGAATCCACGATAATAATCCTAACTTTTAATCCTAAACCTGACCCTAAACCTTACCCAACTACTTTTGACTAAAGGATTAGAATCAAGGATTATATTCGTGGATTCTGGACATGAAATTATTACCTGTAGCTGTGTGTGTTTTTGACTTTCATTTGTTTAACTGCACTAGTTTTATAGTCTAGTTAAGTTCACAATGATGAAGTTGCCTAACTTGGAATTCTTTATATTTTATTATTTTAAGCGGTGGTCATCTCAATCCAGTCATAACAATTATTCAAGTGATAAGAAAAGCGATTCTTCCATTACTTGGGCTGTGTTATCTTGGTTCTCATTTTTTAGGAGCCGTGTTGGGCGCATTGAGTGTAGAGGTAACCTTTTTACCAGACGAGAGTTGCTATTAATGCTGTTAAAGTTTCATTTGACTGCCATGTTAGTTCTCTAGATACGGCCTTCTTTGAACAGTTGTAAAAAATGCATTTTGTGTAGTTAAAACGTAGTTAACTCCAAACACGTTAAAAGACTAAATTTTGATACAACCTTCCCCCTGATTGACTAGGATTGTCAATCCAGATTTATTCATATCAGTGGTTGTTACTAGGGACCCGGCAAGGAGTCATGTGATGTGAGATGTGATGAATCTTTCTACTGATTTTAATTTGTAAAAATCTTTCCCAATCATTTTTAGGCGATTACTACTACAAAACCAAGTCTAAAACCATCATTTGGAACATGGCATGCAATATTTGCCGAGATGATTGGCACAACTATCGTAATCGCGGCATATTTAACCTTAGCTACAAAGAGAAAAGGAAATACAGCTGTTTTGGGAATTGGGTTTGCTTATGCTGGTGCTCTGATCGCCATGTAAGTTAACCACCGAATTTTATGACGTTTGTATGTCGTGATGTTGTTTGAGATTTACTTAAACACTAGCACAACTTCATCCAACTTCACAGTCCATAATTCTCAAACTGGTCCTCGAAAGTCGCATGTTGACAGTTTAGGGAAATACCATAGACGAAGATACAGAACAGATACGATACAGAACCTAAACTTTTGACACTGGTAATAAAAACAATTAACAATAATGCTTGTCAGAATGTCAGCATGATAAATTCATTGTGTTACTTTAACAGAAATAGCGTATCGGGTGGATATCTCAACCCAGTCCTCAACTTTGGTATCGCCGTTGCCTCTGGGTCATGGACGAAGCACTATGTGTATTGGATTGGCACTGGATTTGGAGGAATACTTGCAACACTACTCCATGGCTTGATCTTCGCCTCTGATGATGAACTGTGGATAAAGCCTCATAGTGATTACATTCCGGAAAGAATCACCTGATGTGATTTGTAAAATCTTTACATGAAGTATTCATATTAGCGTTGAAACACTTCACGCATGGAAATGTAGCTATTTTGTATCGTTTGTTCTCTTGAATTAGAAATATAATTTCTTTCAAAAATTTTTGGACGTCCACCGTTTTTTGACATTTATTTCAATAAATAAAACAAAATTTTCAAATAAAAAATAAATTATTGTTACATATAGGTTAGAAAACGTATTTCAAACGTCTTGTACCTGGCTTAAGTTATCACCCTCCCATTGTCAAGAATTCTTTAGTAAATGTCGTCTGGTTACACTGTATTGTATATACACTGGAATATTATTTACTTACTGGAAAATTATTTACTTACTGGAAAATTATTTACTTACTGGGAAATTCTGGTCACTTCCGTCTTCGGACTAGCAGGAGGACAATAAAATTTCAATTGATCCTCCAACTTTCGTCGACTGGTGCCAGTCTTGCATGAACATTAATCTAATTTAGAACTGTTCAAACCCAGATACACTCTCGCTACCAAGCTTAATATTTTATGATTTTCACACCCTTTTCAGCGAATCTTACCGTTTAATAATTCATTGCCCAAGACGACTAATGATAGCTGGTTCTACTTGCTTGAGGTTGCTGGACCATATCAATGTCTTCCTCATGAAAGCCCAATATGGAATTATCCACTCTAGTACATCTTATGTGATCCACACATACTCCATCTTACACCTCACCTCATTTCAGGGTTACTAAAGGAGCAATAAAATATCCACACGAGTACCATAGAACCACACTTTATCACGTGCTACGTTGCCACCAATGGAGGTGATACAATAAATGACCCATCCAGAGAGTTGACAGATTTATCCGGCGTTCTATATGCCGCATTCATTGAGGTCTGCGGTGAATAGTCTGTACTGTTGAGCGATTCATGTAACCGGATTCTATTGAGAGCGTCATATAATGATTGATTGTTCACACCGCTGTTCATTGGACTTCGTGATTGGTTCTGCTAATAAAGAAGAAATATTAAGGCTGGGAAGATAGTCAACACCGTATCATGGTAAAAAATACAGGAATTTTATTTAATCTCGATATGATTTCGTGCTTCAACTACAAGTAAACGACCTGGCATATGTTCGCCCTGCTGTGTACGTGAAATAATAATCAGTTCAAAAAAACAGTGCAGTCAACTTGCCTCAGGTTTCTCAAGAATTCGATTGAGTCTTTCCAGATGTTCATTTTGTCTCATGACAATGTTCACTTTATCTCTTAACTCCAAATTTTCTTTCTCCATTACGGACAATCTTGTCTCAGCCTCACGAAGATTTCTTAAATGTTCTCGGATAATTTCTTCGCTTTCTGTCAACCTTCGGGAGAAATCGCTTATGAAAACATAAACAATGCGCTCTGAAAATGATATCCAGCAAGACGGGTGGCAGAGACGTTTGGTAAAGGTTGCTATTACGAATTGTGTTCCGTGTTTGATCTCGTTTGTTAACTTCACTCAGATGCGTCCAAGTGCTCATATACAAACCCTACACAATTCTTCCCCCCAGCCAATAGTAACACAGTAAATTGAATTTCTTTACCTTGTTAAAAGATCTTGTTTCTCCTCGACCAGTTGTTTTCTGACGCCATCAGTCGTTTGTTTCCATTCCTCCTCTTTCTGTATCTTCTTACGAGACAACTCAATGGAGTTTTGAAGAGACAACATGGCCGCGTTTGTTGTTCTTTTTTCTCGTTCAAATTTATCTCTGAATTAAAAAAACCTTTCTAGTCTTTACATAACATCGGAGCAGCGATATTAGCTTTTAAAAAGCTGATTACCGTACAGGTACCTTGAATAACAACATGAAAGACTAACACATTGCAAATGCATGTCAAAAGTTAATTTTAATGTGAATGAAAGATGACTAAAACATACTTCAATGATTGTATTTTATGTATTGCTTTCATTTTCCTTCTCTCACATTTCCCCTCAAGATACTCAATTCTCTCCGCAGCGACAACAAGATCAACCTGAAGCTGTTCATTCGTATGACGGATTTCGTTCAGTTTGTCCACCAAAGTTTTTCCTTCGTCTTCTGCCATTTTGTTCTAAAACAAGACGATAAAACCTGCTCACTGGTAGAACCTTGTTAGGTAGACATGCTCACTACATGGTAAAACCTGGTTAGGTGGACATGCTCACTTCATGGTAAAACCTGGTTAGGTAGACATGCTCACTTCATGGTAAAACCTGGTTAGGTAGACATGCTCACTTCATGGTAAAACCTGGTTAGGTAGACATGCTCACTACATGGTAAAACCTGGTTAGGTGGACATGCTCACTTCATGGTAAAACCTGGTTAGGTGGACATGCTCACTACATGGTAAAACCTGGTTAGGTGGACATGCTCACTACATGGTAAAACCTGGTTAGGTAGACATGCTCACTACATGGTAAAACCTGGTTAGGTAGACATGTTCACTGCATGGTAAAACCTGGTTAGGTGGACATGCTCACTTCATGGTAAAACCTGGTTAGGTAGACATGCTCACTTCATGGTAAAACCTGGTTAGGTAGACATGCTCACTTCATGGTAAAACCTGGTTAGGTAGACATGCTCACTACATGGTAAAACCTGGTTAGGTGGACATGCTCACTTCATGGTAAAACCTGGTTAGGTGGACATGCTCACTACATGGTAAAACCTGGTTAGGTGGACATGCTCACTACATGGTAAAACCTGGTTAGGTAGACATGCTCACTACATGGTAAAACCTGGTTAGGTAGACATGTTCACTGCATGGTAAAACCTGGTTAGGTAGACATGCTCACTACATGGTAAAACCTGGTTAGGTAGACATGCTCACTTCATGGTAAAACCTGGTTAGGTAGACATGCTCACTTCATGGTAAAACCTGGTTAGGTAGACATGCTCACTACATGGTAAAACCTGGTTAGGTGGACATGCTCACTTCATGGTAAAACCTGGTTAGGTGGACATGCTCACTACATGGTAAAACCTGGTTAGGTGGACATGCTCACTACATGGTAAAACCTGGTTAGGTAGACATGCTCACTTCATGGTAAAACCTGGTTAGGTAGACATGCTCACTGCATGGTAAAACCTGGTTAGGTAGACATGCTCACTGGTAGAACCTGGTTAGGTAGACATGCTCACTTCATGGTAAAACCTGGTTAGGTAGACATGCTCACTGCATGGTAAAACCTGGTTAAGTAGACATGCTCACTGCATGGTAAAACCTGGTTAGGTAGACATGCTCACTGCATGGTAAAACCTGGTTAGGTAGACATGCTCACTGCATGGTAAAACCTGGTTAGGTAGACATGCTCACTTCATGGTAAAACCTGGTTAGGTGGACATGCTCACTGCATGGTAAAACCTGGTTAGGTGGACATGCTCACTGCATGGTAAAACCTGGTTAGGTAGACATGCTCACTACATGGTAAAACCTAGGTAGACATGCTCACTGGTAGAACCTGGTTAGGTAGACATGCTCACTGCATGGTAGAACCTGGTTAGGTAGATATGCTCACTGCATGGTAAAACCTGGTTAAGTAGACATGCTCACTGCATGGTAAAACCTGGTTAGGTAGACATGCTCACTGGTAGAACCTGGTTAGGTAGACATGCTCACTGCATGGTAGAACCTGGTTAGGTAGACATGCTCACTGCATGGTAAAACCTGGTTAGGTAGACATGCTCACTGCATGGCAGAACCTGGTTAGGTAGACATGCTCACTGAATGGTAAAGCCTGGCTCTACTTATAATAAATAAATTTCTTACATCATCTGAGATTTTCCGTAGTTTATTTTGCAGCATATCCACGGTACGCTCATAATCATTTAGAATTTTCTGAAGTTCATTAATCTTGTCATACGCTTGACGCTCTCTCCCGTGAAGCATGTCGACTTGTCGTTTGAGCTCGTCGATGGTAAGACGATGAAGAGATCTGAGAAGAAACAAAATATTGTAGCAAATTTGGTATTGAAGCAGATTCCAAAAAATATGGTCTTCTTGAAATTCTAGATTTGAAATTGAGACGAGTGAATGAGACTTTATTACAAAGTTGTCAATCAGGGGGGTAACTAGAACGGTAATTGGGGGGGGGGAGGTAGTATTCATATATTCAGTTCTGCCCGACGGATTTCTATTGCAACTATTGCCTCCCCCCTCCCAATTATTGTTCCATTTACGCCCCTGTTGTCAATACAGTTTTCACATTCGTCTAGTTTATAATCCATATCCTAACTATTGACATGACTTCGTTTTTCTTTAAATTGTCATCTTGCCGTGATTTCTCAACTCTTACCTGTTCTGTTCTTCATCATCAAGTTGATTTTTTAATGTAAAACTTTCCTCTCTTTTCATTTCCAGTTCAGCTTTCACTTGATATGCTTCGCCAAGATCTTTTTGGGTTCGTTCCAATTCATGGTGAATGTTCTCCTTTTCTCGTTGCATTGACATCAGCTGCAGAATATTGCACAAAAAACACGTCTTAGAATGACGAATATATTATACTATATTATATTATAATCACTCCGCCGGAGTCACATGTCTCAGATACCTTCATCTCAGCTGCTTCAGCTCTTTGTTCAGCGGTATCTCTGGCAACCATTAAACCTACGACATCACCATCTTTCTTCTGTAAACTATCCTCAGTCAACTGACACATTTGTGACTTCTAAAAATTGTAATTTTAAACCACGATTGATTTTATCATTAGCACAGGTGTAAATAGGACAGCAACCAATTCGTTTTCGTAGTTTTTAAGGTGTTTTTGATAGTAGCAGAGGGACATTTCAAATACTTTAACAATGAACATCAATAAACCACTGTACAAAAAAGATGTCTTTAACTACATGCAGGACAAATTTTATTTACTCTTTATAGAACTTACTCTTTCCAGTTCTCTCTCCAGCTGTCCTTTATCAGATTCCAGCGTGGCCAATCGCTCCATCAGTGATTTGGTTTGCCCCCAGGCTTTTGCCAGCTCGCTTTCTAAAGTGCTGTTTTTATTTTCTAACGTCTCACGAAGTCGACTTTCAAACTCAAGTGCTGTACTGGCCTTGGCCCCAGTCCTACTCGTCACGTTAAACTCACTTCTTAAATGGCTGAGCTCCTACAAGATAGAATGAAGTATATTATGGTTGTCACAATGAAATGAACAGGCCACTGTAAAAGTAAAATGATTACCTACGTTTGTCCAGAAATAATGCCTGACTTCTACGTTAATATTTACAGAAGCTATTGCTACGGATAAAACTAGTCATCATCGGACCATTAATAGAAGTGAGAGTGATATTTTACCTCTTCTCTTTGTCTTAATAAAGAACTAAAATCTTTGCTTTCTTTCACAGCTTGTTCAAGATGACTCGCTAACTTGTGTCTTTCCACAGCGTATGTTTCACGCTCATGTTGCATTTCGTTGCGAAGTTGTGTGACAAGTAAATCATATTTTGACTAGAATGGAAGAAATTTCAAGATAGAAATTCAACTGAGCACAATTTAATAATGCGGACTATTGTTTCTCACTTTACGATGAAGAGTTCCGCCCTCCAGTAAGAGTCGCCAGAGACAACCGTGCACAACCTCGTATCCAGGGTCTTTTCTCCGTGCTCAGACTCTGAGGGGGGGGGGGAGGCAAGAGACCCTGGGTACGAGGTTGGACCGTGCATTCATTTATTGTTTAGTATTAGAATGAAAAGAAAAGAACTACATATTCTCTCAAGACTTTCAATACCTGACTTTCCAAAGCAGCATCGTGTTGTTTTAATAATTTCTCAGATAGAACTCGAAGTTCTTCGCGCAAAGACTCACATTCCTGTCTCATATTTCCCAATGATTCCACACTCATGTCAAGCTTCTGGTTGGTGTCTGCAGGAGAGGAATATACTCATTACAATCATCAACTATGCATATTCAAATCCTTCTCCAGATTATCCTGATTTTTACAGCCGATTAAGGCCTTTATTACAGTTGTTTCGCTGCCCCCCCCCCTTCACCACTTTCTTCGCATAATCTCTCTTACACTACAATTTTTGAGGTTTAGAGAAACGACGGATCTCACCAGTGTTTCGATGTCTCTCGTACGAGACTACTCCTTCTTGTTCAGCCAGTTTGCGTTCTGTTTGTTGAAGCTGTGTTTACCATGCAGAAAAATAAATTGTTCTTAAACAAAGAGTGTTTACAAACGAAGTAATAACATAATTGATCGTAAACCTGACTAAAGCGACCAGGGCACAGCGCAGAGATAAACGCAACCTCGTACCCAGGGTCTTTTCTCTGCGCTCACTCTGTGCGGGGGGACAGAGAAAAGACCCTGGGTACGAGGTTAAGATTAACGTACTTTTTCATGTGTTTCAGAGACTTTACGCTCTTGAGACAAGACTATGGATTGCAGGGAAGATTTCTCTTGTTCCAGTTGACTGATTCGAATGTTTTGATTTCCCAATTCCTCTTTCTAAAAAACACAAATAATAATAATTAATACTTAAATACAGATTATATAAATACTATACAGTATGTATTGTACAATTAACCTTAACCCTAATAACAATCTTATGCCCTGACTGTCGGTGGTACAATCGCCTGATGTCACCTCTGACTTTAGAAACGAGCTGGAGTAAACGAGATATCTTTCAGCGATGTTTGGTAAACTTGATTGAGTAGGAATTTTATCACGTGCACAGTGAGAACAAAATTAAAATAAGACGAAAATTGCATAGAAGTGGAAATATCTATTTTGATCTCGAGCAGATGAAAGCCTGGAGCGCAACTATGGTGTCACTATTCCGATCATAACCCTATCGATTTCTTGAAATAACTGTGGAAATATCAAGTCATACCTGCTTCTTTCCTTGTTCAATACATCTATTCAGCTCAGACACCAATTCATTGCGGGTTTTTTCCAAGCTTTCCACCTGCCCGCTTGTCTCCTGTTCCCTGGCAACACTCGCTGATAACGAAGCATTTAGGTCCTTATTTGAAACAAACAAAAACGAGGAATTTCAAAACAGACGCGGTCCACAATGTGGAAATATAGACGGGAATCAAATGGACAGACTAAGTGAAATGGTGAGTTTTTTAGACCTGTTTTAGTTCAGAGATTTGAGCCCGGAGCGAAGTTACTTCTTGTGATGTTGACTCGTGTTTGCCAACGTTTTCATTGTATTTTTCATTCAACTGTTCAGCTTCTTGCTTCACTCTAATGATTACCTAAAATATTATAAAAAATGCTTGTATAAAGAGAGCATAAAATATTATAAAAAATGCTTTTATAAAGAGAGCATGAAATATTATAAAAAATGTTTTTATAAAGAGAGCATAAAATATTATAAAAAATGCTTTTATAAAGAGAGAATGATAAATAAACTGCCAGAAGGGATCGGCTTAGGGAGATGTTGCTACTGTGTTAACGTTTTGAGAATCGGTTTCGGGGACATTTTTATAAAACGAGTCTCTCCACCTACGAAATAAAGACAAGACGTAAAAAACCCAAGTACTTCACCTCGTCATATTCATCTTTAGTTCTTGTTAGTTCATTTCGAAGATCGATCGCTTCTGAGGTAGTCAGAGAAAGTTGCTGTTGCAACCTGTTCATCTAAAATGAACAACAAAAAGCGTTATGAAAATGGCAGAGTATAAGATCTATATTGATTGAAAACCTCTTCTCAATCATCTATACACAGTAAGTGGTCAATCAATTATTTAAGTGATCTGTTATTTTCAAGGTCAAAATTATATAAAATTTGAGGGTTGTCTTGCGTTATTTAACCAGGACAAAATGAAAATGTAGAAATAACTGAGTGGTACAACTGAGTCGATTCCAGGAACAGTTATTGAGTTCTTTCATGAGGTATACTTACTCCATTGAGTGGAAAAGAACTTTTCTTAACCTTAGTAGGATGAGAGCTAATAACTTGAAACAATTTACGGGTTATCATTGAGTTTATTCAAGTGTATACGACTTAATTCATACTCAGTGGTTGTGATTCAACTGTTTCATACAAACTAGAAACCTAGCTCACTCACGATGGAAACTCACAAGACAGACATTCTTCAAAAATTCGCTAATAATACCGTACAACAGCCCGCGGGTGCGACAAACTTCGGATTTAAACCAACCTCATTTTTTAAATCTTTCTCAGTCTTTTCTATTTGTTGTTCTTTGTCACTGATGGTTTTCTCTCGTTCAGCCAACTGCAGTGTAAGTTGATCAACGATATTTCGTTGTTCGCTGATCATTTCGTTCGCGGTTTCAAGTTCTAATGCAAGCTTTTCCTTAGCCTCTGATAATTCACGAATATGAGCCTGGAACCTAATAAATATGACAACTTTATGAAATACGGGAAATTTGCGATTAAATTCGATGCTACAGACATGAGTTGATCACTGATATGAAAAGACTAACTGTCAAAAGATTTGACATTCTCGTGATTTTGAAAGGCTAACAAAAATATAATAAACATGAATGTTTACAGTGTAGCTTCTGCACTCATTCTTTCATCCATTTCTGCATCTCTAATTCATATGCAGGAAAATTAACGTAGATTTACTGTACCTCATTGAAGATGAAAGATCCTTGTCCTAGATACAAAAATATCGTCATTATTACATGTAAAACAGAAAGTAATAGGTTTTGGGGAAGACATGGTATCAATTCTAAATACCTTTTCACTGTTAATTTGTTGTAAGTTTGTGAGGTCATGCTGCACTTGCTGTAATCTGTTGTCTGTATGTTTCTTTTCTGTCTCCATTTTGTTCAATTTAATCTGTTATAGATTTTGAAAAAAAACATGATCATTATTGCCCAACTGACACCAACTATACACCAATATAGTGTCAACACTATGCAGACATTGCACTCAATACCACCCAACATATGTATGATGACATCTAACTAAGCATAACCATCAACACAGTGAACACACCATCATCTGTAAACTATTATATCTACCTTCAAACATTGAAGTGATTGAACTGTAATAGATAGAAATTGCTATCTGCCCACAAACTATTTGAAGCTTAATATTTTAAGTTAGAACCAAGTCCTTCAACACCGTATATACACACACGGCTAATTGTATTTAAAATACACAATAATTTACACATGAATTTGAGCATGCTGGTGATGCAGCTGGCATGGAAATTTGTCTTCCAGCAAGTACAAGTCTGTTTTCTCTGAACTATTCTAGTTTTACCCCTCTAACACACTATTTCTCCAACACACCACCATAATTATGACAATCAAAGCTAAACCATCACAACTACAATCATAACAATTAGACTATTCCTATATAGTAATATGTATCTTATGAAAACTAGAATTACCTGTAGTTCCATACATTGCTGTTTACTGGTTTCTAATTCCTTTTTTAAATCTTTTAAAATGGCTTCATCTTTTATTCTAGAAACACGCAATGAATCTTTTTCCGTTTTCAAATCCCTCTCCAACTCATCAACCTTTGAAATAAAACAATAAATTAGCAAAGTGACATTAATATCCCTGTTTATAAACCTAATATAAATTTGTGTTTATCATGCATGTAAATAGGTAACCTGTAGAGGGTTACTGAGCTTTGTGGGTTGTCTGGTCTTTGAGGAAAGTTAATTACTTACAGTTTCTTGCAAATCACTTTTTTCTTTCTCAACTTCATTCTGTTTATTTTTAACTTGATCCATTTCTTCCATGACTTTGATCAACCTGTTATTTAGTTCTGTGTTCAATCCATTCTCCTGGTTATCTGTTGCTATAAAAATACCATTACTTCACATGATAATGAAAAGAAGAAACCAGAGAACTTCACAAGTACTTACCATGTTGCTTGCGAATCAACTCAGTCATATCTTTATTATGTGCTCGTTGTTCATCTTCTATTTTCCTTTTCAGGTTTAAAACCTCTATCTGTAAATCTTTACATTTCTTTTCACTTGTGTTTAATTTCTTCTGCATTTCTTGTTTCTCCATTTTTATCCCATTCACTTCCTCTTCATGCAGCCTACGTTCTTCCTGTTTTACAACTCTCATGTTGTCTTGCATTCTTTTTATTTCATTTTCCATCTCATTTCGTTCCTGTTCAAGAAGCTCTACTCTCTTTGAGTCTGACGGGACACCTGTGAAAATGAATATGAATGCATGTCAATTCTAGAGGTTCAAAGGGTCTTAATTTCAAGTGGAATTATACACACTTCAAATTCAAGCCAGGAACAGTTGACAGAAAAATGATTAAATTATAGGTTCTCCGGCAGGAATCTAACCTATGCTTTTGCAACGGCGGTGCAATGCTGATCTTGCCATTAAATGCACTTGCATGCGAATGGCCATGATCGAGTGTTGTAACTGTAGCCTGAAACTTTTGCAGTATTTTACCACAATCAATACCTATTTTTTATTTACTGATTAGCCTGCAGTGTCCTAAAACTTACTGCATTTTTATCCAGACTGCTAGTGGGCTAAAAAATTTAGCTAAATGTATCATAATAAAGCATTCATATTTTATACTAATATACCTGAACTTTTCAGTCGTCCATTTTCTAACTCAAGATGCTTGATTCTTTCTGAAACTTGGTTACTTTCCTTTGCTAAATTTCCTAAATAATTCTTCATGTCTAGTTTATTTCTGACATTTTCTAATTTCAAACCAGAATCTTTCAGAAGTGCAGCAATCTCTGGCAGACCTATCATTTGCGACTCTTGATCTTGTTTTAAATCTTCCAAATCAGACTTCAATTTTTCATTTTCAACTTCAAGCTCTAATGTTAGAGCTTCTCTTTCACTTGATAATTGTCTAATGTGATCAACATAAGTCTCAACTTCAACCATTTCCTGTGCATGCTGTTTACGTAGTTCTTCAACACTTTCTAGTGATGAGGACAAGCTTGTTTCTGAACGTAACAGCTGTCGCCAAAGATATCTAAGTTTGTGTTCAACAGAGATCTCAGTCTTGAAACCATCTTTACGAAGACGTTTGTCAATTTCATACAACTCATCTGCATCCTAGAGATAAATTAAGTAAGGTAATGGTAATATTAGACCGGTTAGCTATAGATGTACATTGTGGCTTTATATATATCTAACACTTGGTGGCTTTGCAATTTCTCTAGTATCATCTTAAATATTCCTTAAGTTCTGAGCACAAGAAGGATGATGGGTTATTGCTAAATGAGAGTCATTCAGTTGAAGATTTGGCTTTCAAGGTCCCTTCATTGGGTTATTTATATATAATAAGTTTCCTGTCTTTATTAATCAATAAGTAAATTCGTCTATTGTTGGGACAGGGCAAATTAAAATACTATAAAGGGCATTGGTTATATTTCCAATCAATGGGTTTACTAACTCACTAAGGGTGCATTAAAGTGGTAAAAGTTCATACACAAACACACATCAATGTTGTTGGCTGCTAAAAGACATGTATTTAACTATTTATGTATATGTCGCAGACTCGCAGCAGGGACTCGTTTTCCATAGTAACACAGACAATTAATGTGCATCATTTACAAGTTCACTCGTTCAGGAAACATAAAGCTACTTTCTCTTTGATTTCATAAAAACATAGTACAATTGCACATGCTACACAAACCTGGGCTATGTTTATAAAAATAATTCATGTTTTGTGGTTGTCAGTTTATAAACAAGGCGATAAGCGGTAAACTCAAAATTGAGCGCTGCCTTGAATAAATTATCGTAAAGACACTATAAATAAACGCTTACCGACTCTAGTATAACCAACGAAGTCATTGTTTGCTTCTTTAGACGTGTATTCTAACAGCAAAACTACATGAAATACATCGCAGAAAACACATATTCTTTCTAGTAAAAGGTTTTGGACTCTCCTTTTTCAGACAATTATTTCAGACTATACTTGACTTCCGAGTTTCGATTCGAGCTTAGCGCGTCCTTTTCCGAGTCACCTCCAATGAAGACTAGGGCGAGTATGTTGAATTTACCAATTTTAATGTACCTACGAAGTGATTGTCTTTCCATTTCTTGATAAAACCGTTCAAAATTATTTATCATTGCACATTACAAGTTGAACAGAAAGCATGAACCATGTGAACTGACCATACCATGTTAAGTGACCATACCATCACATTACCATAGCCTTGGGCTTGCCCCAAGTATAAAAAGAAAACACCACCATTGGTCAAGTAATCGTTTCATCGCAAGACTGAAGTTATTCAAGGATTATTTACGACTTCTGACTTGTTTACACATTTCTTACCATGTCACAGACTCAAACACTTCCAGAAATGACATTGTAATCGTTCCAGAAAATGTAAAACTCTGCCGGCAGCCTTGTCAATTGGGTCAACATGAATTCAAGCATTCGAAAATGTTCCATGCAATTCAGTGTTTCTTTCGTCAAAAAATCGTCAAAGTCAAATGCAGAAAAGTCAACGACGTGAAATAGTCCAAAAACGCTTTTCTCTAATTTGGCTAGTCATAAACTAAAATAAATTTGTTCAAAAAACCAAAAATTGTATTAAATTCTACTTTACACCATAAGCTTTCTTTGCTACAAGCTGCATCTGTTCCAGGAAGATAAATGTTAATACGGTATGAGGTCCAATTCTCATGTAACATGGGGTAAAACCCTTCCATAATGACAAGAAACCTTCCTTACGAGCAACACGACTAATAACATCCTACAAAAATAAAAAAAAATTAGAATTGGATCACAGAGATTCAAAAATCACACACACACACTTACAAATCCATTTTTATATTCGGGAACACCATCAATGATTTTCATGTTTTGAATCCTACAAATGACCACGTGTGTTAATAAAAATAAGTGGTTTTATCGTGTAAATGTTCTTATTTTATATGTGGTCAGGTTTTACCGTGTCTTTGCAATATCCACAGGCATTGAAGCATAAGTTGTGGCAAGACCACTGATCATACTTGCTGTGAAATGACACGCAATGTTGTCCTCAAAATATCCTAAAAAAAAGAACACAAAACATTTTGTTGGAATTAGAGTTTAATAACCAGGGTACGCAGTCTGTGCTGTCCCAAAAAAATCCACCCATTTTACTTAGTTCGTTGGGTGTCAAGCTCCGAAAATATTCCACTATTCCTGCTAAACAGGGCATCCTGAGAGTCAAAATATGAATCAAGCCAGACACAGGACTTCTCTCTGAAGATGAACCTGTGTCTAGCTTGATTTATATTTTTATTCTCATGCAAGATGCCCTGTTTATTCGGAATTTTTTTTTTTACTTATTATTTTTTAAATTGTCGGCTGGTGATGGTTTTTACTGCTGCTAATTCGCTGACCTGTCGCGCATGTGAATGGTGAATGGTGTTCATCTGATCGCATTTAACTGTGTGAAATCCATTGAAATACGTAACGACAACATTTTTAGAGCAAACATCAACAGACTTTGTGCGAATGAATTAGATAGAAATATGATACAATATGATATCATTAATATTCAAATCTGAACTATATTTTTCAGAAAGATTTGGATTTTTGTAGTGTGTTCGTGTATTATAATCGTCTCTCATTGTGAATTGACACTTGACAAAAAAATTTAAAACGTATGCGATTAATCATCCTATTTAGATAATCCAATAAAACCAGGTAAATGTCATGGTTACTGTTGATACATGTTTGTACCTGTTCCAAGAATAAATTGTTTTGATTGTGAGTACGTTGCCAACTGAGCTGCATTGACAACCATGGCTCGCGTCATTGTAGGAATACAACCCTGAGAGTTGAACAAATTAATGTCAAAGTTAAACAATTGCTCAAGGACGTTTGAGATTCAAAAATACACATTTCCAACAATTTATTTCCAGTCATTACCGTCCACAAAGCAGTGAAACCTTCTTCTGTTGCAATTCTCTTTAAAGCGTTAAACACGCTTGTGTAGTTTCGCCGCTCTGCTAGAGGAAGTCTAAAGAAAATACAGAAATGAAACTAGAATACAGGCCAATAAAGTCGGATATCTGAGTACCTTCATAATGTCCATGTTTCTATGATGTTTCATTGGAGATTGGGGTCATCCCCTTGGCCACACCCTGGTTGTAACCTTTTTTCTCATAATGAACAGACATGAGTGAATTAATAAAAAGACTCTGAATCAATGTACCAAAATTATTGCAAATATCACAATAATACCACAATAATATCACAATAAATAGTGACTTGATATTGGCAGATGAGAAAAACAACTTGTCATGAACGCTCATTTTGATATCAAAAATCAAATCAATCTTGTGTAAAAAGGGCTTCATTAGAGACATTTCTTATCTCTTGAGAATTAAGACCCATTCAGTTAAGACCTCTGCTATTATAATTGCCCTCTGTCACTATACCGTCCATCAGCTGTCATTCTGATTAGCGATAAATCAGCTGGTGTCCCAACAAACGCACCAATAGCACCTGCAGTGACACCTGAAAGAAAGTAAACAGAATTATAGTTTGTAGCCAGAGGCATTAGCAAGGGGGGGGGAGGGGAGGGGGTATCTTGCCCTTGGACCACAACCTAAGGGATCCCCAATTTCATACATGACTATGTACATTATCTTCATAAAAGGTTATATCTCACATAATGCAACTTATTTATTGGGAATCAACAGTCTTCTGACTACTTTATTCTGATGAAAACTTACCAAGGGCACATTTCATAAGAAAGTGAGGTTGTTGACCTTCAGGACTAAAAAGTGAGATCCAAAACTATTTTTCTAGTAACAACAGGCACGAAACGCACAGCAAGGATTTATTTACTTGAAGGCAATGGGGGGGAGGGAGAGATGCAACAGTAATCTCTGAAAGATTTTTATGAATTTTATGGTCAATGATTTACCCTTTAAATCTTTCATAAAGACTTGTATATACACCCAATCTTGTTGTTGTATAGGTTGCCTGTCTCATCAAGGCTGCAGATAACCTTAAAAAATATAAGATTTCAAAAATATTCATAAGAAACCTTGAGCCTAAATTAAAGTTTGTTTATTGCTTGCATGTATGAGAATCTGAAGACATGTATCACTGCAGGGCACTGAAAACAAACCACATTAATTGATAAAAAAACAGTGTATCAGGTGGAACTAGCCTGTTGTGAGATTGATAAAAAATACACGGTAATACCTACCCATTATATACACCCAAAAATCCTTCTTTTCTAACAATATTGACAACAGCATGAAAACTTGTTTTATGTTCACGCATAGCTCCTTCAGCCCCTAGAAAGGATATATGTTAAATTTTAATCCTGAAACAGATTGTCTTAGGCTGACCTTTGAGAAAACATTAACAGTATATCAATTTGAAATGAATCACCAATATTTCCTTACCACTCATTTGCATTCTTGTTTTCACTAAGTCTAATGGTTGAACAAAACATGTGGCAGCCATTCTATGAAATAATCAGAAATTACTGTTTTAAAATTTGACAAGAGATATTAAATCACAACACTTTGAACTTTTATTGCACTGTTCTAAGTGTTCTATAATTTGCAGTAACTCTTTCATGTATATTATCAACACAATATTTAATATATATATTATCAAAATTCATCAGAACTCTATGCAAAGGAAAATTCTATAGAGCTAAAGCTGCATATATAAGTATGTACAATTAACCTCCGCTCGACCATAACATTTCAATTACATTGTGGTTATTATGGCATGACTGATATATATCATGATGGCTAAAAATATTACATTTTTGCAGGAGAATATGTTGTACTACAATTTGACAAAACTTAAAAGAATTAAGTTTTGATTGGTTTTGGTAAATCTGATTAAACAGCCCAAATCTCCCACATCTGAATGGTCTGAAACCCCAGACTGGGCAATTTGAATTTGAGAGTCAGCAATTTTTGCTAATCCCAGCTAAATGAGCTAATAAAACAAGTGTCTACATCTACTTAGAGTGTATGCCCTAGGCTTTTGCAGGCTTGTTGCTGATCATAGAGGAAGCCTTTCTAGTTCAGGCCTGAACAAAACAGCCCCAGACTTCAACCTTATATTTTATTAATAATAAACCATTCATTATTTGTACACGTTGCACTGCCACTTATTAAATATATTCACATTTTTATAATTTCATCATGAAAACGTTGTTACAGAAAATAGCACATACATACCCAGACAATCCACCCATAACGAAACGAGCATAATTTGGGATTGCATTTTTGCGGACATTATCACTTGGACTTGTTTGTGCTGAAATTTTATTACTCGCCATTGTATTAAAATTATCAACAGCAATATAAATCACGACCTCGAAGACGACTCGAAAGAATGCAAATTATCTTTTCTTTCCAGGTCATTAATAACCCACACAATTTCTTCTATTTACTGCTTATATCAAAGCATGGATTTATTGAGAATTCAGTCTGTTGTACTATCGTATGTTTGTTTGTAAACTTGACCTGACTTGACTTCGTTCATGTCTAAAGGTTCATGTGTTCAACCTTGTGTGTACGCACTGAAGGAAAACATTGCAAAACAACCCCCCTGTGGTGTGGTTTAATTCACGTGCACGTTGCATGCTTCACCAGAAATAGATCAGATTAGACCTGTTTCAGCAATGGATCAGATTCTTATAGATACCGTTCAGGATTTAGGACTCGTTAAATGAATATTAGCCTATATAGGTGCACACGGTAACATTTTCGAGCGTTTTTACATTCCTTTCATGCCAAAACTGTTTCAAACACCATCAATTTAAAATAAAAGTTGAAGCTAATTTAACATAGTAAGCATATTTTTCCTTGCATCGTGTGGGCAGGGCATCAAAGCAACAAAATAGACAAAAACTATTTTGAATACGCTCAAAAACGACGCTTGTGTGCACATAGCCTTAAAGGGGCAGTTTGCGAAAAACATGAAGTTTTTTTAAAGATAATTACATTATTTCTCTGCAGAATGAAATGCAAAACTGAAAGTAATGTTGCATCATCACTATCAACTATCACGTTTTGTTCCCGGCGGGCACGAACGAGGTTGGATCATCAATTTAGACCTCATGCAAATACAATACAATCTCGTTTCCAAGATTTGCAGATCATGATGCAGACGCGCGCCAGTTTACATCTCAGGCGACATAGATTCAGCTTCGATAAGTTCACCGTCCTCAGGTAATTTACTTTTCTGGCTTTCCAACAAGTTCAAAACTTTACTTCCCAGATCTTCGTCCTACATTTAACAAAAAGGCATCCATCAGAAGCCGCTGCAGTGTTCATTCTAATCAAAAACATATTAACTGGGGAAAGCCAGATGTAAATAGCCGATCTACAAAATCTGATATTTCGCCCAGAAAAACTTCTTGTTTGACTGCAATCTCGTTGCCTGAGCCCGAGAGATTTTCCCTGGTTGGGTTCGATGCCGCAGCGCCAAATATGAATAAAACAAAATAAAACTTTAAACAGCAAATTGACCTGATACATCCAGGAAACAAGAACATCACAATTTTCATCTTCTTCAGTTACTGCTGCTGAAAGCTATGCCAAAATAATGTCTTTAGTTGTTGTATTAAAAAATGCCAACTTCATAATTTGGAAATGATTTTACCTTCACTATAACTGAGTCTACAGCAAGAGCTCCTTCGCCAATTCTTTGAACCGTTCTGTCTGGTAACGATCTAAAATAAATATTAATAACTTTATTGTTAGACTTACTCCCAGGACAAACAGAACAGACAATGCAATATCTCACCCTTGCAATAATGTCTGTAACTGTTCCATGACGTCATTTGCGGACTGTCTGGTGTCTAAATTTACCGATGATGTAAATCGCAATTGATGTTCGACCAAACCAAGTTCTTTGAATGCTTCGTTTTGTTCCAGTAATCTCAGTGACTATGAAATAAAAATTGAAAAAAAATGTTTCCACAGTTAAATTAAGGTAAAGGCGCATTGGCAGTAACTACGACGAATCCCTTTCTATTGTTTTCTTCGGCGTTATCGTCGAATTTTCGCTCCAGTTTATACCCACCGAGGGAGGCTGGAACCTTTCAGCCACTCTGGGTGGGTAAATCCCGGACTTACCGAACCTGCAAGTATGTTTAGTTTTTATCTCATGCCTTTTTGGGAAAAAGTGTTCAGAAAGTAACGCATTGGGTTCGGCAGCTGGGTTCGAGTTTGAACGCACCTGCATGCTCTTAGCCAATAGGAACACAGCTTTTACACTAGGTATGGGATAATAAATTAAACAATTACCGCGTCCTTCATGACTAAAACACCTTTGACTGGAAGTTTGTCGAGGACTTTAGCTCGTTTAGAAGCTAAAAAAATGTAAGCAAAAAATTGAAGATGTGATTGTCGTTCATTTATGCTCGCTGTTTCACACAGTTCACGGCGATTCTGACCACAAGATCACGCCGTATACACCCTGTCACACAGCAATAAATAAAGAAATACTCGAATCTAACGAAACCTTGTGAAGTTTCTTTCTTTATACTTCTTTTTAACAAACTAAGAGACATGTCCACGCTGACTTGAGGTGTAGTTGTTATGGAGATGGTTTCGCCATTCGCGGGTTTTGAGCAACCAATGCCTGCAACACAAGACGAGAGTACTTTCAAAAGTAGAGGTGTTTAGACCTGAGAGAAATTACTGCTCTCACTGAGCCTAGCAGAGCAATTCTAGTGGTCAGTATAAGTTATGGTAAATATCAATAATTATTCTCTATTAATTATCTATAGTCTCAATCCATTCACCGGAGCAATGTGGTTTAACAGATAAGCAACTTTGAAACGTACCAAATTCTTCTTTAACTTTATCTCGTAGAAAATCCATCTTTTGCGATTCACCATGAACTAAGACTACATGACGAGGTTCAGCCTATAGTTGTTGTAAAGATATCACTTAAGATTAGTTTTTGTTGACGTCATTATGGGAAAGATTTATTGCGATCAAATGGAAACTGAGCTTCATTCAAAGTCGTGTAATCACCTGTCGTATTAGTTGCATGATGCCCTTGGCGTCTGCATGAGCGCTAAACCAGGAAGAAAACATTTCATTATATAACAAAATGTACAAACCTTTTTTACGAATTTTTAAGCCGTTACCTGAAGGACATTTGCTGTACTGAGAGTTTCACATCAATCTGTAATATTGTTTAAAAATATATAAAAGTACGTTGAGCGGAAATGTACGAGAGCATAACGCCATGAAAACACATTTTGAAGAGACAAACTGCTTTCAAAAATTGCACAGCTTCAACGAAATAAACTACCGTTGTCTTTTTATCCAATTCTATCTTCTTCTGCCCCGCAAGAACTTTATGTCCCACAGTACCCACAACACAATATCCCGGTATCACGATCTAAAATGTTATGGTTCGTTCAGGCAAAATTGAAACAATTTAATCAAAATTAAATTAGAACAATAATTGAAAGAAACATAATGAAATTAGAAGAATAATCAAAATTAGTGCATGTTGTCTTCTCAATCTTCTTTTTTCGATGGAATTGCGAAGGTATAAATTCAGGCATTTCAACGATGTACAATGAGGATTATCGCTAAGCCTAAGCTTAACCCTACCATATTCTTTTCATCAGGTGCCCACTTCTTAAACAACTGTAAAGACAGTCCAGAATGCAACATTCCTGCTGTGGCAAACACAACCTGAAAGAATAACCAATGATATTAACCTAAGCCTGGATTTACACTTCGCTATCGAAATATTTGCATATTTTCGTTTGAATCGAGAACAGTCAAGTTGAACTCATTTATTTATGCTGTTAAAATTCAAAAGAAAATATGCAAATATTTCGCACGATTTCTCTGTAAGTGGAAATCCAGCCTTAATAAGAATCAACTTCGAACAGACAAAGTATTTAATGGAAAATGATGTGAAGGAACAGTTACCATTGGTCCAGGGTTGTCTGCAAATGATCTTTCAAATGGCTGGAAGATAAAAGAAACATGCAGCATGACTTACACACTTCCATACTGGTCTCCTGTTACGTTTCCATTCACAATACGAGCAAAAAGCATGACACAAACCTTCACAATAAGAGCAAAAAGCAGGACACAAACCTTCACATGTTTGAAGTCAAACATGTTTCTTTGAACGAATGTATTTCGGATTTTCTGATTTGTCCATGTTATGAATAATTTATAATATTGAATGGCCTAAAGAATCAAAGCAAGAATAAATCCTCCCACTTCTTTCTAAACTTCGACAAAATTTCATGTTTTTTATCTCCATTCTTTACCTTTTCAGTCAGACCAGTCGAGAAAAAAATTGGAACTTTCAAGTTCATTCTCTCCCTGGAATAAAATTTTCAAGTTCACCTCAATAAACATTTGTTTGTTAACGAACTTTATAGTCTCATTACCAATAAGTTTCCAGGAGGATACAAAGTTCTTGCGCTCTTCCCAAAGCAAACACAGGAATGAGAACCTGAAAAATAAATTTGTAAAATTGAAGTTAAGAGCCTTTTTCCTGAGGTTTACTATCCTAGAGGTTCACTGGATAGAATCCACCATGTATACCTTGCCACCTTTGTCAATGGTATCATGAACCTTCTTCAAGAACTCGCGCTCTCTTACTCTAACAAAAAAATTAAGTGATGTGATAAGTTGATGTGATCACTATGGATATTCGCAGATTCAGTTTGCAGACCTTTTTGAATCTCGTATTGTCGTCGCATATGTTGATTCTGTTATAAGAACATCAGGACGACATCTGTCAATCCATGCTGCCCTAAAACCAGTAGGAAAAAAAACGTTACTGCGATTTAACATTACAGTCGTTATTTTGAAATGACTACAGATGCAAACACAAAAGCTATATTCACCCAAGATGTCTGTCCGGTGTCATGTTGTAGTCACCCTAGAGAAAGTGAAATTTACCTCAGGTATTTACAAACACCGACATGACGTTAAATATTATCATTGCTTGAAGAACACGTTGTAATTTATTCTACGCCAATACATATTAAAACGGTTGTTCAGAGCTTAAATTTGAATATGGGTGTTATCGTTTGACAGTATAGGAAAGAAGTAATGTCAGACTTACGGTATAAACAACAGATTCTTTGCCAACTTTGACCAAATACATCGCAGCTCCCAAAACATGACCAGCATAATATGGTTTGATTTCTAATTCATCGTCAACCTGCATCCATATAAGAAAAAATCTCAAACTCGCCACAGGGGCGTGGGAACGGCGGGCACGAGAACGTGGGGCACGAGAACGGGGGGCTTTTAAAGCGGGACTTTACAGATTGGATAAAGCAGGGTAATTGTGCAACGTGACATTTTACACCCCATAAACACTTTTTAGCTGCCTTTTTTACTATCCAAAAGCACCCTGGAAACTTGTGCGCCCAACCCAAATTTTAGATGCTTCCTACGCCCCTGATCTGCCAAAACCATCAGTCCAGACTCGTTCCCTCAGACTCAGCAAAATCATTGGATCTTCTAATCACCTGAACAGACTGATGTAAGTTGACGGCAGTCACTTTCTTCATACAGTCTTTGATCATCTATGAAACAAATTAAAATTATTGCAGCTAATATTTTGATATCAAAAGAGCAGAACTTTAACGTGTTACCTGGGATGTAAAGAAATTAGTTTCTCCTTTCTTCTCCACGGTAATTTTTCTATAATCTTCCTGTAACAATAAAAAATACAACAAAAAAAATTCAATCATGTTTCAAACAGTTGCATGTTTCCTTCATACATTATCTGCAAAATATACTCAATTACGATTAGAAATTCTACGAAACTAAAATTTGGGGCTCAAATTTTTATAAACTCCCATGGAATATCCCTGCTAAAACTAGCAGTTCTCACTTCTTTTTTATTCCTAAGAGATTCCAGATTAAAGTATTATTCATTTTATTTACCAGTAGTATAGGGCAAATAGCCTTAGTTGGATGAGTCATGTAGATGGGACCATCATAACCAACCATCTCTGAGAAATATGGTAATGCTCCACAATGGTCCAGGTGAAAATGTCTGAACAACAAATTAATAAAACAGTAAATTATTAGGAAAACCAAATGTATTGACTTTCAATAAGAGAGAAAAACATACGTTATAATTACACAATCAAGATGTTGATTCAACCGACCAGTTTTCGTTATATACTTGAAGTCGGGAAAACGACGCTAAAAAATAAATATTAATATCATATATCAGGGGTGGATCCAGCACTAGTGCACAAATTTGCATTACAAAACAAAGTGGTTATTTTTAGCAGTTTTCTTGTGTCATGCAAATTAGTGCACTAGTGCTGGATCCACCCCTGTCATATATTATAATCAAAAAATTTTCTTCTTATAATCACATTTCTATTGTAATTATTTTACTATGACCACCTTAATTATCACCAAGTGTTTTGGCTGAAAATTTTTAGAGCTTTTTGAAAGCCTGTGGTACATTGTTTTTGATGTCACACAAGCGAGTCAGCTCTTGAGTGCTATCAGTTTCTATATTCTGTATAAGCATACTGTGTAGCTGACTTGTTTGTGACAATAATCAAGTGTAATGCTTGTGGTTGAGTGTAGTGAGTGGATCATTGACTCTTCCCCACAACACATATCAAATTATATCCTGTGATATCCTCATGAGATGCCTTCTAAACAGCACATGGCAAGTTATATCCACCTACAGCATATTAACTAATACCCCCTCTTCACAGCCCCAAGCAAGAAATGCCTTCCTACAAAATTACCATTTTCACAATAATTAACTAAAATATCACAATGGTAACCACCATCAACACTCAATCACCATTATTACTAACAAATATCCTAGAATACCTCATCATTGTATCCCATATGCATGCCACAATCAAACATGATATTCTTTCCTCCAATCGTGACCAAGATACAGCTCCGACCAACATCTTTAAATATTAGAAAATATGTTTCATATACACTTAAACCTTAGTTATATAACACCAATAAGAAATATTCCTGATTAATTATCCCATACCTTGTCCAGCACCTATGAAGAAAAAATAAGATATCTGAGAATCCTCATCTCCAAATTGAAATAATATCAAGAAATTATATTATAAAAATGCTGGGGATAAATAATATAAAAAAAAAACTTTGCAAACATTACTTAAAACTATCTGAACTTTTCAACACACTATTGAAATTTCCCACAATTGTTGATTGAGACATGCAACAGATGAACCACCACTCAATCTCAATATGATTCTCAGATTTGTTCTATTGGTACTGACTGGTTCTTGAAACATATTGAGCATAGCACTGTCACAACTGTATTGAGCCCTATATATACTACCTTGTGAGGTAGGACTCATTCTTTGACACTGCACTCAAATTAGTTTGAAAGTATTGTTATCAAAGTATACAAGCACCAAAACAAGTGATACACCAAGTCTATTTATTACTATTACTAGTAGTAGTAGTAGCTAGTTTATTGATTGAAATTAGTAGGGAGATAGTTGCAGGCTTGCAGCCCTAGAAAAGCTCAACATTGTCTCCCAAGGCAGTTTTATTATCCAGAGAAAGATATTCCCAAATTCCTGAAATTGTGGAATTGACTGACAAGTTAAATGACTGTCAAATCATACTACAACTAAATTCAATCAGATGCTAATTTGCAATAGTCATAGTGAAAGATTCATGAAGAAATATATTGAGAAACTTATTAATCCTTGAATGTGATTATCTTACCAAGTGGGACAATCTTTATTTCTGGCATACTGGACAATTAAAATTCCCGACCAAAATTCTAAATCAAAAGAACTGGAACGCTATTCCAATTATTTGAACTGATTTCAATCACTGACATTACTCCAATGCGCTATTCATTCTAATCCGCCATTTTAAATTTGACCGCGCATGGACAGGTGCGAGTATAAGAACCAGAATAAACCACTGGAATAAACTCAATAAAATGCATCAATAATAAATAAAAGAATTTAAACCAAATCTGTTTGATCACAGGTTTGATATATGTTCAAATTCAATGACAATGTTTTCTGCATAGAAAAATAATCCCTCAACCAGTCAACCTTTCCGGTGCCCTGCATTAATGATTTAATGTGGACTATTGTGCATGAGGCGATATCCAAAGACAGTCAAACTATTCATAGTAATCTTTCAAATTCCGCCTGGCCCTATGCAACAATACATAAGTTTAAAACAATTGGGAAAATTTATATATCGGAGCATTCATGACTATTTGCTTGTTTGCCATTCATCAAGAGAAACAAGCAAAATGGACAAAAACTATAAGTGATTGTTGAAGTGGAGAAAAGGAACAGTGGCATTTGATAAAAAATTGTTATTCTTACAGACTTTACTGTAACTGAAACATATTCGTTCCTATGACAAACAAATGAACAATAAATATATTAAAGCAATATGAATATCTGAGCCCCATAATCAGTAGAGACACAATTATAACGGCCCCAATAAATAGTCTTTTGTATAAACGCAATTGACCAATGTTTTTGTGTGTATTTGAAATTCGTGTTTCCATGGGTATCAATATCCCAGATCCGCTACCAAAACCAAACCATTCATCTTTAATCATTCAGAGATATGCAGCCCAACCTATGTACATCTTAGATAAATTATCAACGTCTGTTGCCTCCTGGAAAAAAAAAAAAAAGAAAACAGTTGAGCAAACGATAAACATTACGAGAAATGAGAGCAGCCACCCGTGGCCGTGTCAATTACCGAGATAAGCTGATGGACCTCTCCTTCAATTGATAAAGGAATAAGAATCTTGTTTTTTATGCTGTAACCTCGTAGTCTTTGTTCAATCTGTTTCACAATCTTCAGTCCCTACATTTTATTATAAAAATAACAAAAAAATCTTGTTGAAACAAGGCAGAAACATCGTAGATTATTCTCATTTCTCATATAACTTACCTCTTCTTTAGCTGCAGCAGTGGCGGTATCACGATGTCGTTTTTCACCCCACTCAACCAGAGGATCATAAACAAATGTTTTCAGCACACTAAAATGAAATATCAACCTTTCATCTCAAAATACTAACTTGGATTAGAGTGTGTCCTTCAAGTATGTCAGCCATGTTTCATTTTAACATTTCTGTTCATCCCGGGGTCGGTTCGGTTCAAAGTTTGGTTAACTTTGGGTTAATCCTGGGTTAAGCTAACCGGCTTTGAACAACCGACCCCCGGTAAACATTTTTCATACAACACCGGGTGTATTATGCAGAACGAATTTTCATAAAAATGAAAAATCCCCCGAGCTATCTTCTTTGTTTTTTTAAATAATACCATGCCTAAATAAAAGCTCACCTTAAGAGCGAATCGTTCTGGTTTCTCATTAGTTTTAATGTGACTTCACATGAACGACGGAAAATTCCTTCATAACCCAGTGGGCCCTGCAAGGAAAAACAAAATTATTGCTCACAACAGGGACTGGCGAAGCAGGTGATAAAATACGTTTTCTCTATTTTGTAACATTACCATGGCTTGGATCATGTTATGGGTGAGACGAAATGGTACACACTCCGGACACTCAAAGGTTTCACCCTAAAATAAATACACTCGTATAAATGAGGAATTAATACTGTTTTATAGCATGCAGATGAAGCAAAAATGCATGCAGTGTTGAAGTACCATCGTCTATCGTAAAATAAAGGTTAGTTTAAATGAACAATTCTCATTTTCTCGCAACAACTTGCATGTGTACTCGGAACGCTGTTGAAACCTTCAATTAACCTTGTGTTGAAAGTGTTTGTTCTGTAAACATTTCAATATTAAAGATAACAGTAGCAAATTTCACGTGTTTGCTGTATAAGAAATTGTTTTATTAACCTTATTGAACAAGCAATTAAAATCAACATGAAAACAATCTCCATTGGTTGAATCAAACAAGACATTTTCTCCGTGTCTATCACCAAGGCCCAGGATATATCCAACCATCGACATTACGGCAGCTGTACGACAATATCCGAGACGACTGTTATACCTTTTAAATGATGGAAAATTACTATATAGTCCATGTAGTCATTTCAGAGTGAAAAAAATGAAAAAATTATTTATCTATAAGTAGTTGAAACCAAAGCAAATAACTGCTGTAAGTACGTCCTGCGTTATAAAATTATTCATGTAATCGGTTTTATCAACCTACCATGAAGTTGGCGTAGGGAAGGTCTTCAGGTACCACTCGTGAAATATCGGAGGATATCTAAATGATTGACATGAAAATGAAATACTATGACAAGCAAGTTGAATTAGTATAAAACAACGTGTCCTGAAGGTAACATATTTGTTTTATGATTAACAAGAGGAATTACACTAACATTGCTTATTAGGGTTCATATGCTGATATCAGGAGACGTACTCAGTTGAAATGATTTTACCTTTTCAAAACTTTCATTTGAAATATTTTTTTTCTCTCTCTGAAAGACAGAAAATGTTTAAGTTGTCGAAGGTTATTCTTTGCACTCATTAAGAACAGATTTCTACAATAACTTTTTTATCACAGAAAAAACATACTCCTTTCCTGCGGATGTCATGGACTCATAAAGTCTTTTTATTTCTGAGGATTTCACGTACAATCCCTTCTCCCTGTGAATCAGTCAAGCAACAGTCAATCCATCGCAATGATCGCTACTCAGCATCAAATGTGGTATAACAACTGCCTAAAACAGTATCACACTAACTCTCCTGACGAAGGCCCTCAGGTCGAAACGTCGAGAAGTGTTTTGTCTATTTCAGGCAATTGTTATACCACATTTGATGCTAAGTTGTTTGAAGACGCTGCCACGCTGCTCCCTGGTTATATTGGAACTTATCTATATCGCTATTCTGGTTTGATTAATGAAGTAATCAGCACCACACAAAAATTACTTTCATGACCCAACGTTTCTTCATCAGACCGGAATGTGCATGGAATCGTTGGGTCGTGAATGTAATCTTTGTGTGTTAATTATTAATTTCAACAGTCGATCTTTTAATGTCTCGGTAAAAATTGACCAGGTATTTTCCACAAACAAGTGTCTTTTGATATCAGAGATAAAACATTATCTGGCCCAGAACATAACTTACTTGTACAGTTTTATCAGAATGTTTCGAAGTCCCGATGTATTAGGAACCCATTCTAACAAACCACACTCTTCATTCAGAGGTACAACCGCCTGACAATAACAACAAGGAAAATAAAATTATTACAACTATAACATCAATATCACTTTAGGCATAGAAACAAACGATTACTTACATATGTTCTTATGTGAAGTTGACGTCTGCGACACTCCGGATCTTTTCTTAAACACTGCATGGAAGAAAGGCAAAAGATGCCATAACTATCTATTTTCTCAAACTTAACAATAACAAATATCATATTTATATCAACATCATACCAATGTCATTTAAACAACACTTTCCCAATCCCAACCACGCAACTGAGTCCATGCGACTTTTTTTATCAGTTTATACATTGGATGAAGACTACCTAGAACTCGTAGCAATAATCATTTACCTTATTAATGAGACTGTTGAATTCCATCGTCCGACTGTCTTTACGAAGGTCGTCCTGTGAAAATTGTTGAAAAAACAGTTACCGCTTCCTATGTTTAAAATAGTTAATCGTAGCCAAGTTTAGAAAATCAAACAGATATGATATTTTCAAACATATTTTATTTCAGTCGAGTCGACCTGTCAGTTGCTGGTCGAAAGTTCGTTAAGAAATAAAGGTTTATTCAGGGTCTGTTTGATTTTAATTAGTTAAAAGATATAGTTTTTGTATTTGAACCTCGTTCGTTTAGATTTGAAACAGCAATGAAATATTATCCATGTACCTTGGGTTTACAAAGAAGATTATAATACAGCCCATCGCTTGCTTTCACCGTGACTTTCTTAGGACGTGCCAAAGATTGCAGAACGTCAACCTGATTCAAGTGGTTTGGAAATTAGCAGGATTCATTATAAATAGCTCATGCATGGATCCTAACGTTTCATTGTTAGTACTAAGGATGTTTCCAGTACTATCGACTAGAAGGACTTCGGGTGCAATCAAAACCTAGGTTGATGCAAACTCTTGCTTACGAAACTTACCTTATCTTCAAACCCAAGAAACGTCGGTTGAGAATCAGGAAATGGGTAATAATCTTTGTCAATCCCATGACTTGTGGGTAATGTGACTGTCAGTGAGGACTGGAGTGGAATTATGATTGGACTAAACTTACTAAAGAAAAAGTTACATTTATTATGGATTTTCGACAACTCTACATGGCGAAACAATCTTATTTCTATGTTGAAGTCTACAAACAGATACTAACGATTTGATTTGTGCCTTCTTCATACTGTAATGTAATGAAAAAGATACCACGGAAAAGTCATGATACAATTAACTTACTCATCACTAACAAATCTCTTCAACATTCCAAAGTCGTGGCTCATGCTTAGGACATTCTCTTTTCCACGATTTTTCTCAGAAACTTCGATCAATAATTGAGCCAACTTGCAGGCATCCTAAAGTGGAGAAAATAAACGAAATATGATGAAATGAAATATTGGATGAAAAATAATTGAATAATAGTTACAGTACAATACGAATGCTAAATTACGTACCTCAATAAAACTGGTCAGGTGTTTATCAGCTCGCCTAAATATTAAAAACACGTCATGCAAGATTTTTTGACAACTCAAAATTGAATGTGTGTAAATTAAATTCACGTACTTAGCAACTTGAAATATCTGTTGACATCGGTTTTTACGAAGTGGAAGAGAGGACTAAATATAATAAATAAATAAAGAATAAAATAAATAAATAAAGACTTTGGTAGACAATAAGATATAAGCAGAGTAACTGGAAGAAACAGTCAAGTGAAGCCGCGGCTACACAGGCGATTTTTGTCAGCGATTTTCGCTTTCTAGCGTATGTTATTGAGTGAATTATGTGCACAGTTTTCTAATTTTGGCGAAGTAAAGTATTCCACTCTGCCAAATTTATCAGTTAGTTTATTCGCATACATCAGAAGAAAACAATCGCCGTCGCCCGTGTAGTACTAATAAAGAATATTTGTAGATATGCTAATATACATTTTAGACCCAACCCTTTGCCTGTTTCGTTCAACTATGTTACCTTTGAAACCGCCATCATTAACCATATTGCCTGCTGGGGATACGTCACCAATAATTTAGATATCAAGGCCTGCAAACAACGATACAAAACCAGGAATGTTTAATAACACTGAGAAACATTTTGAAGATCTATTGTATAGAAATTATGTGTTTATCCATAAAAATTGCAACAAAACAAATCCAATCATTATGTTTCCCGACAACGAAAAAAAGGTTGCATAAAATATCCATACGAGATGTATTCTGAACACACTTTCTCCAGTGATCTTAAATTAATGACCAAGTTTTATGAGAATGTTATGTTTCTTAGATACCTTGAGTCTATTCCAGACCTCTTCGTTACGATGGCACATTCTCGAAATGAGTTGAGAGAAAGCAGTGAAAAACTGATATGTTGGCAAACGATCTGTAAGCTCACTGATTATCTGAACACAAAGATCACGTGTGATTATATTTTTTCGATAAATAATTCAAATAACCAACAACTCGTTCAATCAAAAATCAATCTACCAAGGCAATAAGCCATTAGTGAATGAATTGATCATTTTATCAAATTAAACACTATTTCATCTCTAATCTATCGAACAGTTAGAGTAGATAACTAGTTAACTTACGTTGTTCATTTCTCCTAATCGTTGATTCAACGTAGATTTTTCAGATTTTGTTTGTTTTCCTAATTTAACAATTATAGAAGCAGGTTTTATATCACAATTAAGGTAAGTTCTACCAATGACTCCATTCTATAACCAATATTCCTCTCCATTCCTTTCTTTTTCCCCATGCCCCCACTCCTTCTTCCCCTCACTCCCATCTTTCCCCCATGCCCTCACTCCATTCTTTTCTTCACTCCCTCACTCCTTTCCTTTCCCCCATGCCCTCACTCTCTTCCTCTCTTCCTTTCCCCCACGCCCTCACTCCCTTCCTCTCCCCCACGCCCTCACTCTCATCTCCTCCCCACGCCCTCACTCCCATCTTTCCCCCACGCCCTCACTCCCTTCCTCTCCCCCACGCCCTCACTCCCATCTTTCCTCCACGCCCTCACTCCCATCTTTCCCCCACGCCCTCACTCCCATCTTTACTCCACGCCCTCACTCCCATCTTTCCCCCACGCCCTCACTCCCATCTTTACTCCACGCCCTCACTCCCATCTTTACTCCACGCCCTCACTCCTATCTTCCCTCTACACCTCACACATTCCTCCTTCCTTCCCACATGTTATAGTAATATCTACTAACCATGCTCCGTGAGATTTGCTGCAAAGTCCAGCCAAAACTGAAGAATCTTAGGAATTGACTGATAAATAAATTTATCTCCATATTTGAGCGATTCGCCATAGTGTTTCATCACAAATGGTAAAAAATCTCTAAAAGAGAATTAAATATAATATTTCTGATCGGATTCGTTGAACAAGAACAAAGCGTTGAAGTTTGTAAATAAAAACAAAAACTTACAATCTTCCAGATTTCTTGGAATCGTCGACTGAGTTCATAATTTTCTCGTAATATTTTGCCAAGTAAAAATGACCGTTCTCCCACTGACTATTGAGCGACACAACTTCCTAATACAGCCACAACACGAAATGTTAAAAAGATTCTATTGTATATTGTAATTTTCGCTATTGATCGTACCTTGTACTGGGCTAGGCAGGATTGTGGACCGTAGCTTGCAGTCTCTTCCATCCAACGCGCGACAAACAACAACGTCTAAATGAAATTCAAATAATTTTTTGATGGTAGAGAATTGAATCTAAATTTTAACAGCAGCAACCCTTGAATTCACTAGTCAAATACCTTCGCTTTAGTCAAACTATTGTCTTGACTCACTGTTTTGGATGATTCACTGAAAAGTAAAAAAAAAACTTACGTAAACTTACTAACATAAAGTTATGTATTTGACCCAAGAGTCGATAAATATTTATTTTATCATCGAAAAACCCTGCATCTCGATAACTTACGAAATCCATTTCTCCAGTTTCAAAAGTGCTTGACGACAATTTCCCTAAGGCAAAGACAAAAGATATTCATGTGTTTAAATGCCTACGTAAAGAAACGTGGTTATAGACTTACTTGAGCCCACAATAATTTCGATTGCTCCAGACAGCACTCTGTGGTGTTACACAAGGAAGTGATGTTTAGTAAATAACTGTATGCTGTTTGAAAATGACCAGCTCTAAAGAATAAGCAATAAATTAATAACTGTATATTTAACTTGGTAAATTATGGTATATAACTAACTTTCGTGCAACTTTCGCAGTTTGCAGTAAGCAATTATCTTCACTGTGGCTTGTTCCTTCGCCCCTGAACGTTGAAAAAATAAACATTCAAATTATAATTAAATTTACTCAAAGTGAAAATCTAGAAAATCTTTGGTTAACTTTTAATAGTATATAATAGGTACTTCATTGCAAAAACCTCTCAATAATTGAACTTATTTTACACCCAATACCTCACCCCGCCGTCTCATCACTTTGTCTCTTTGCCCACCTACTCACCCCACCGCCTCATCCCCTTCTCTCTCTTTTTCGATACGTTGCAAAGCCATTACAGGCATATATGCGAACATGCCTCACTTCTCCACCTTTTTTATGAAACACCTATGGATGATGTAGCATCTGTCTCATTAGGCCTTTTCTCTCATTTTCCACCCACCTCCCTTCCTAAATATGACTCAGACTCGAACGGCTATTTTCCTAAGGCAGTCGATCTCAATAGCTAGTACACAAACTGATGATCGGAAGATGACAGTGAAGTGACCTGCCTTCAATAAACATCACTTTCATCGTAATGCAAAATTACTAAAACTTACTTTAATAAAAGTTTAAACATCACTCTTCTTATAGAGAGTATTGGCTCTCTCGCTTGAAACGATGCCTAGATAATGGAAAGAAAGTTCCTACAATAATTTTTCTGTCGGATCATATTTCATTCCATCAAGCAATCGCTGACTCACTCGAGTAATGGTCAATCTTTTCTGTAAATTTGTCAACATCACGTCAAGATTGCTGTTACCCAAGTCAAAACCCCCCTCACGATCAAATATATGACAGAGACAATCTTCAAGCTCGTGTAAAATATGCAAACTATAAAAAGATCCAATTCTTTTATGACCGAAGCTGACAAAAATACAATTTTTTTTTCCTGCAATAACTTTGTTGCCTGGTTTGCTATCCCCAGTAAAACATAGCTAGCGGTTTAGCTTCAATGCATCTCACGTCATACTGACTTCTTACCGAATTATGAAATCGTATCCTCTTTGATAAGAGCCCGACTCCATTTTTGCGGCAGAGAGAGGTTCCATTTGAGCAAGTCTCAAGTCATAAATGCACTTTGAAAATTCGTCCTTATTCTATTTAAAAAAAAAACAACAGGCTACTCATCTCGGAAGTATTGATTCAAGAAATATTAGAACCCAACCTTTTTTCTTGCAGCAAGCAAAATCTTTCCAACCCCAGTACTCCAATCTGTGCAATGATGCTCCTATGTTTTTTGTAAAAACAACAACAATTATCCCTCATTATCACCCACGCCGGATACTGCAGTACAGAAAAGAGCATTACCAGTTTCACGTATGACTCCAGTTCATCCCACTGACCCAAACGCCAGCAAGCTTCAACTCGAAAAGAGTTAAGAGAACCAGTCCATGCAGGTCTGAACGTAACAAACAACCACAATGTGAACTCGGTGCAAACAGTTTTTTTTGTGTTTTAGAAATGTCGTGTAGCTATCGTCAAAATTTAGCCAAACCTTCTCATGAGCACTCCATTAGCATGTTCCAAAGCCGTCGACACCTGACCAAGCGTGATCCAACAGCTCATTAGACCCTGAAAAACAGTAAATTCGTAACTATACTATGAATCACTCCGACACTGAATAAGAAACTATTTGCTGACCTTGTGGTTTTCAATCGTATCTGGTTCTAACTGTATCGCTCTTTCATAACACGCAACAGCTTCTCGTAATTTCCCTAGTGTGATGTGAAAATGATTGTTGGGTTGATATAAGTTGACAAACAACACAGTATTCCATCCCAAGCTCTAGGTTAGCGCTAGTTTATGGTTCATTCTAGTTCAGAACAAGTTTTTTTGAAATATTCTTGGCGATATACTGTACACAGACTGTACACAGACCTTTTCAAAATGCCTTGCTCATATTTTCCAACACGGCTGGTCTGAACTGAAACTTGAAGCCTCCTACCTACGCTTGTATGTTCAAGAATTTCCTCTTTCAAAGAAGCAGGACATTCTCTCACAGCAGCAACACCCACCACTCCATCTGGTTCGTTCAACGCCCAGTACAGACGTTGAATTGAGTTGAGATGAAGTTGTAAATCCTGTTTACTCTTTTCAATAAATTGTTCGAAATGCATCAGAGATCTTGTGTATGCTTTGCAATGAAATGAAGCAGTCGCCAAAGTTTCCTAAGGTGAAAAATCTTACCAATAGATTACTACATTTCAGCAAAGCGTTAAACTTGATTGCACAATTAAATTACCTGCGGAATACCATCAAGAAACATCACCACCTTGGTCAAATCATCACAACCTGTTGGATAAAGAGGTATATATAAGGATATAACAACGAAAGAAATACATTTACGCTCCTGAGAAAAACAAAATAACGGGAGCATACCAGAAGTTCCCGCCTTTTCTTGACGTGTATTTATTATGGTCTGTGTCTTTGAATTGCTGTCCGCTTTTAGCCTTGCCCAGCGAGTTAGACAATCAAGGACGGAAAATATCGTTTGGGCGCTCATATGACTGAAATCTGAAAGAAATAATACGATCAGAATCACTTTCCCCGTTGTCTCATCACCAAAAGGCCTTGTTTTCTCAGTTTAATTAACATTTATAGTCAGAGACCTTGAGAAACTTTAAAAATGGTCGTGATACAAACCTACAGAGGTACTCGCTGTATCAAAATTTGGGTTTTGTTCTTGAACGTGTTTCAGAACTACCAGAATTTCATCGTAAACCTTCAAAGAAACAAAAATAGAAAGAATTATTAAGTAGAAGCAATAAAGATAGGAATGTTGAAAGTCAAAAATCTCACTTCTTTATAATCCTCAGCAGTGCCATCAATAGCAACATATAACATAATGTGAGGCAAAAGAAAAATTGCTGTGTCTTTATTGTGCTGGTGAAGAAATTGAGCATTGATTATTTGTTTTAGGAATTTTGGCGTGAAAAACAGGATAATTCATAGAAGACGTCCTCACCTTAAAGACAGCAGAACAAGCTTTAAACAACCGCAAAGCTTTGTCATTTTTGACCTAAATAATAAACGACTTCTATAGTAGGACTAATAAAGAATAATTGACACGAAACGCCAACAGTTTCTTGCACACCTTTGAGACCAATTCTAACACCCAGACACTTATCCAATCATTGAAACTCTGACCATTATTACTGCCATAAATTGGCCTGTTAGGTTTACCACGATTAGACTGTGAAGAAAGACGATATCTAAAAACATAAAGAGCAGTAAATGTGTATTCAACGAAAATTTTGTTTACTACACAATACAAAGCGGTGGTATATTCTCTTTGCAGAGCCGTATCAAGAATGGTATTGGAGGAGTTTAACCCTAACGTTTGTGGAAATCCATTCATATCTTTAACTGGTTTCGAATTTTTTTGTTGTAGTAAAACTTACTTTGACATAAGATGTGGCTTCAAGATCTCTTGTACATGATCTGGAAACTCACGCCAAATTTTATACCCTGGACTATAAAACAAAGAAAAGGTTTGCAGAATATTGGCAAAATACTGCCATGCAAGAAATTCACCCACTTTGTACATTGAATCGACCCACCTTGTACGAATTTTATTTGAACATTCGTATACTTGTAGTACCTCTTGGATAGCATACGCAGAACAGTCCTAGGTTTGGAGAAAAATTGTATTTTTTTATTTACAATACCGTCTCTTCTCCGGAGAGTTTTTCAAGAGAATAATCGATCCCATTGCAACCATGAGCCCGGATATATAACCTGCGAACGGGTGTCAGCAGCAGCTACGAACGCTCTGGCAAGTTCATTGAGAAGATCAACTGCAAATGATTGAGAATCACACATCATCTTGAAAAAGAGAAACAGCCAATTCAGATTTAACAACTTTCTCTGGTAAATAATATCCTGGCACAAACCTCGTAAACAGCTGGCTCTTCGCTTGTCTGTTCTGGTTTCCCAAGCCTGAAAGCAACGACTACAATCAACACAGAAAGGTCTGCGGACAAACTAAGAAAAACATAAATTGCGTACATACCATCCAGGATCTACTGCTCCAAGTTCTCCAAGACATTCTCCTACTTTTGCTTGAGTACTTGGCTCACCACATCTGCCAATCAACTGAAAATAAGCTGAGTTATTACAAAAACCATTACCACCATCAATATCATTATTAACAATACTATAATCATTATTACCATCATTATTATGATCATTATTATATCATCGATATTATAATCAACATTATAATCATTATCATCATCATTATTATAATATCATCGTGATCATCATTCATCACTATCATTATTATCATCAATAACTTCACCACCACCATCACCATCCTAGCCAAATTCTTACCGTGTCTATAACTTTACAAACTACAGGATCCACCTCGTCCTTCCTCGTAATATATTCATGAAGTGTGCCCTAATTAAATGAAAAAACCTTATTTCAGCTCATTTTAGTTTACCTTCTGCAATAAATTTCCGACAATCCTGTAACTGCATCAATATAAAGTAAAGTCATAAGTACCTGATTATCATGTAAAATAGTTTTTAATTTGGACACAGCATGGAATCCAACAACAGCACTCTCGTGTGAAACACATTTTATCACCTCATTCATCTCATCTCTTAGCTCGGTATTTGACTTGCTTTGTAGCACCAGTTCATAAACAACTTTAATATCATCAAATTGCGGATATTCCGGGATAAAATAAATATCTTTAAAGTTATCTTTCAAATCTTCTTTTCTTTCCACGATTAAATAACGGAAAATACTTGCAACCTAAATTTGACAATGATAAAGATGGTTCCTTATGAAGCTTACCCAATACAAAATACTAGCTTCAAATCATCGGTAACGCGAAATATGACGGAACATGGCACGGTTTTCATTGAACTGCAGCCGGTTGTTCAAAAGGCGCTTAGCTTAAACAGTGGATAAGTTCAAAATGGAAAACAAAATTATCTATTTATTGAACAACCGAGCTGAAATATTTTGATGTAAATAGTTTTAATAATTTTCAATGGAAGTGCATATTTAATGCATAAGAAGCAGTTTCAGTCATTCGCAAGATGTATGAAAGTATTTTTAACTTTGGCCTATCCACCTTTTAACGCCCTTCGAACAACGGGCCCCTCTTACTGTGTTAAACACTGCAGGACATCTTACCTTATCGACAGAATGATCAATGAGGGGTATGATAGTAACAACAATATGACCAAGCATTGACTGAAGTGACGTCACATCTAAACATCGTACGAAGCATTCCCAGGCCTCGCAACACAGGTCTCCCAAGTCTCGTGATTTAAATTTCAGCGCAAGTTTGAGAATAGCCATAACTTTAACACGAACGACGGTGATATGTTTCGCTCCCATCAACTCCATAAGTTTCACCAACGAAGCCAGGGCGAGATGTTTTTCCTCGATATTTTTGTCGTCCAGTAGTACGGTATTAAAAAACGCCAAAATGCCAAGAAGACGAGGCTGTAGGAATTCAGCCTAAATGTCGATAAGATATATATTAACCACATCAAGGTATTCATGGTTAGGGTTAGTGGTTTAACATCTGATCAAAAACGTTCTGAATTTTTGATGTGTTTTAAAAGTAATTTGATAAACATGTGTTAGTGTCATTTCGCAGATTAGCCAAAATGCGGAGCCTATTGGAAAATCACTCTTTATAGTGAAACACTAAGTAAATAATAATCATGATAATGATTCGTACAGTGATTACTAAATGGTTACTCTATGCAGTGGTGACTCTATCGGTAGGCAGTGGTTACTGTGGGCAGTTTTAACGTTGGTTAATGGTCCTATAGTCCCTGCCAGGGCCGATACTAGAACGATAATTGGAGTGTTTTTTCATGTATTCAGTTCTGCTTGACGGATTTCAGAACTGAATATATGAATAAACACCTCCAAATTGCCGTTCTAGTTTCGGCCCTGGTCCCTGCGCACCTTTCATTACATATGAATAAAATGATCGGCGGTGATCACAATGAAAAACTACACCTACCATTTCTTCAGAGTTGGGAATGTCAGTAACAGCAGTGTTGGCTTTGTTTGCCAGGATCGAAAGTCCAGTAAAAACTTTGTTGTAGGATGATTTTAAATGTAAAAGAAGTTGGTTGACAACACTTTGAGAGTCAGACTTCAATAAACTTCCAAGATCTACATTTGTCTCGTGCTGGAAAAGTTGGACAAACAAGGAATTAGTAATTTGATAAGATACCAAGAGGCATTGACTAAGATTAGACAAATATATAGTCACTGTCAGAACTCTCACTCAATAGCACGGAAAGCATACTAAGGAAGCGAAATGTTGTGGGAGAACGAAGAGTTGATGATGGCTAGGGAAAACCAGGGAAGGCTAAGGACGTTAAAGGACATTAAGGACTGAAGACCGAGAAAAGCTGAAGAGAGCTAGCCACGATATTTTTACAATAAATTTACTCTAAAAGACAACTGCGTTGTTTGAATAATACGTGTATAGAATTTTATACTTACCTCGACAAAAGCCAGTGCTTCTTTAAGTTCATCCCCAGAGCACGTGCGGACAAGATACGAAAAGATAAAATTAAAATTCATCAAAAGCAAGTCCTTTCTGTAGTTTACTTTGAGATGAGCTGCCAAATGACGTAGAATTTGAGATGATTCAGGAAGAGCTTTTTGTACTAGTTGTGGAACAACAATGCTTTGAGCGTTCTGAAATAAACAACGCGAAACTAAGACAACTTCTTAAATTGACATATCAGACCTGGTTTAAGGTTGCGTTCAGAGTGCCCAGTACTGGTGCTCCGCCGCTTTTTCTAGCGCCTAAGTTGAACATAACGCTTCCAATAAATTGGGCACAGTGCCCAAGAAAGGCCACTACCTCCAGAGGTAGTACTCGACCGGGCACTGCGTTCAGCATGTTTATAAACCAGTTTTGACTTTGGGCACCGATGCCAGGCGCACACACAGCCTAACAGCACTCCAGACAGGGCCGTGATGAGAAGGGCCCGTATCGGGGAGGGGGGTTGGTCGTGGCCACGAGGGGGTTGACGCTTTGGGGATCATACGCGATTGCCTCTGCACAAGGTGTCGTGTTGTGAAACATACATATACCGCATTGGCTACGACACTGTGAAAATTTGATTTTAATTTGGAAATTTTTATTCGATCCCCTCTAAGTTTACAATATACGCTTTACCTCAACAGTTATTTCGGGAAAAGTCCAACAAAAAACAAGAAAACGGACAAGACAGAAAATATACAAACCTGCATTAGAGCCTTGATACTCTTGAAATCAAAAACACTACTAACGGTTGTGAATGGTCGCATACAGTAATCAACATCTTCTCGAACTTGTTGCTTTAAGACAACGTCCACCATGAACTTGCAAATATGAAGTTTTAAGTCACCAAATATTTCTTGTAGTGACTTTTTCTTGTGTTTGGCAACAGCGCGAATCTAATAAAAGGTTTTATTCAGCAAGAGTCAGACTCTATCAATCAATATGAAATAAAAGCAGTCTCGTGCAAAGAAACGGGAAAATAAAAACAAAATATTCAGTGTTACAAAAATAACAAAGATCCATTAACACTACCACAAATAAACACCATAACACTGACATAATTGTCATTATTACCATCATCAAATTCTCTTTCACCATCAGTATAAATAGCTATCGGCTATTACCACCATCATACGTGATATCATTTATCATCGCTATCAATCACAATTATTACTAAAATCGTCATCACAGCACAGATCATGGCCTATATCATCAACTAGCAACCATCATAACGACTGATATGATCAACATATCATCACAATCATTTATGACCTCCGATATAATCATCGCATATCATCAATATTAGCTCCTACCTGGTTAAATGCCAATGATGAAATTATTCTGGTTTCACTCAACAATGTTTCAAGCAAACTAATAACCACAACGAGTAGCAAGTCATCTTCAGCCTCCTTCCCGAGTTCACCAATTGTATGAACGATTGTGTCTTGTAACCTAATGCAACATTTATAATTTTAACAGGTGAGAATATGATAACATGATGAACAAACTGCTCTTGCTATTAAAAATGGGTTGGCAGTGAACTGAGACAACATCAGTTGAAAAGAAATAAACCTGAAATTCTTCATGGCAGACGCTTTAGTATAAACATCTTTCAACTTGGTAACTACCATCTTTGTGCTCTCCGTATCTTGTTTTGTGAGAAACGGTAGCAATTTACTAAATAAATAGATACTACTGCAATAATCAGTCCGTAAGACTAATATAATTGATCCAGTGTTCCCGGTAAAAATCTTTATACAGTGAACTAGAAGATCTGCCTAATTGTGACGTGAGGTGAAATAAATAGATTATCGAAAAGTGAAATATAAATATACTATAAGTTATCGAAGCAATAAAGTGTTTAGATTTTGTCAAATCAAAACTACAAATACCTGAACTTCAAGCGAACGTTATAGTCGGCGTCCTCAACAAGATCAATGCAAACATACAATAGTCGAGAACAATAATCGCGGGAAATTACAGCATGTTTCTGAAGATGTTTGAATCCATCAATGAACAATAACTTAGTTTTTGCAGGTGTTTCGAGAGAAACCAGGTCCAAAATTTGACGGAAGAAAACCTCAAGATCGGAAGGACAAACTAAAAATAACGAGAAACACCAGTTCAGTTACTCGTATGCTTTAAAAAGTGTAAACACTTGCAATTTTTCGTGATTCTAGTTAAAACGTACCAGTAACACTTGTGGAATCCTCTCTACCATTGCTCAACGAACAAGTAAATTCTTGAAACTTTGGTGGAAATTCTGTGATACTAACTGAAGTCGTTAAACAACGAAATAGTGCACAGCCCAGGTGGCGAAAACTTTGGCACAAAGAAACATGTAACTCTGAGGGAGACTGTTTTAAAACCAAGGCCAATATTTCGTTTCGTTCTTCGCCTTCTAAATGCACAGCTAACCACACTGGAAGCAACTTGATCACAGTACTGCGAGTATCCAGGAAGTCATTGGAGCTCTGAAATAAGAGAAATCTTGTTTGCAGCTTTCACCTGGGTTCAATTGACTTTGGAAGTAAATATAACATTGTCTTAAAATACATACCAATGTTTCTTTAAATACATGAAGTTTCCAATTGCGGAAAATCTCCGGAGGAAACATCGTTAAAACTTCAAAACAGACTTCACAGTCCATTTCTTTTGCGATTACGCGAGATAACTGCTTCAGTCTTGCAAAACTCCATTCATCAACACAAGGTACGATATTTGTATATTCCGAGCTGACTTTCGAAATCCAAGGCATGGTTGCAATGCACACGCAAAGACCAAGGTGGTCCAGTTTTATAGCTATGTGTTTGTGACAGTACAGAAGCAATTTTATCATGTTCAAAGATATTTCCATAACAGACTTCACACTATCAACACTAGTTTCAGATGATTTCATCATCACAACCGATAATTTTTTAAGAACGGTGAGCATTGCTGACCTCAGCTTCAAAATAACAGCAGTAGTCACGTCTACGAAAAGTACAAAACACAATATAGAAATATTCAACATATTCACATCGATTGAAGGTCCATGCAATCGAACAAACCTTTGACAATTGTTAAAATACTCTCATCCAGAACAGAAGATTTATCAATGAGAAGCAGAAGAGACCTGAAAACCAATGTCAAACCTTCCAACGCCGATGAAAATCTCTAAAATGACAAAAGTTGTAAAGATTTCCACCAACGTTACAGATCACTGTACTACATGGCATGCGTAATTCTCGACAGCTCTAGTTCGTACCTGCGACATTTTTTGGTCGGTGAGAATTTCAAGCAGATGGTTAACCGCTGTGCAAAGATGATGCATTGCTGTATCCTGCAGTTTGTAGTTTGTGCTTTAAAAAAAACAAAAATCACTAACCTATCAAACAAAAATGAACAAACAAGGCGTGCTCTTACAAGAATGATACGATAACGGTAGAGCAAAATTCATAATCTCCTAATCGTGTAAAAGCAAAAAATTAAATTATCACCAAATATTTTGCAAAGTTGAAACACAATTCTCGTCCTCTGGCAAGTCAACATCCATGATCTCCTCAAGTTCTCGCGGTCTTTTGGATGGACAGTTCTCAGCCTAAAATGTCGGACAGTTCTCAGCCAAGAAAACAAGAATCTACCATAATCATGCACCAGCATCTACCATAATCTATCATGATCCACCAACATCTACCATAATCTATCATAATTCACTAACATCTACCATTATCTGCCAGCATTGTGCAATCCACCAGCATCTACCATAATCTACCAGCATTGTGACAACCACTCAAGTTGTAATAAACAATATTAGCAGCACACCTGTTTTCCCTGACGAAGATCGTAAAGAACCAACTCTGATAAACACTTCGCCAAGAACTAAAACATCGATAAAAAATTATTAATTGGACTTGATGATTAATGATTTATGTTTGCACTATGTTGAACACAGTATATACAAATTTAACTTGAGAACAGGAATGTCAGAAACGACGCAAAAATAGCGAATAAATGCCGTGACACGTCCAAATTTGGCGTCATTCGCTATTTTCACGTCGTCTTTGACGTTCCGTTTTCAAGTTAAATTTGCTCTACGACGTCACCAAGATACTGCAAGATATATTTCTTACCTGGAAATGGCGAGAGTTAACAAACCAGTCAATCAAGTTTTTAGTACTGGTTCTAAGTGTTTTATGAAGTACTGGGTCGGCCAACCTCTCTTCAAGACAGACGATAGAGATCATCTCAGATATTGCAATCTAGAAAAAAGTTATGTAGTTCTCTATGCAAAGATTTTCAATACATATTACGCTGTTTCTGACCCAGGACCAGACTCCTAAATGAATAACGAGACAAGTTGAAATCCTGCCGTTTGCCATCTCACATAAATCACTGCTTTTTACTTTTATCTATTTAAGACGTGATGCATCATTGCATCCAAAAAACTGTTCAAAGTATCATTAAAACATGAGAATAAAAAAGTGAAAAAACATATGTAATACCTTCAATTCTTGACACAGAACAGCGCTAAACACAGCAGTAACTGCACAAACTGATGTCATCAGAGGATTTATATAAACAAGAGGTATACGTTTTGGACGGCAACTTGGCTTGATCACGGTTGTAATTAAACAAGCCAATGATTTTTGTAGTTTGCGTCTTTTTTCTGACCTAAAAACAGAAAAGACGTCAAACAGATAGAAGGATAATACTGCGGGTATAGTGCCTGAATTATTAGGAAAACAACCTCGCAAGCCAGGCTTTTCTACCTACGCTCCACGGGTAGAAAACTGGTCGAACTTTAAGATGCATCTTTTACACGAAGTTCAGACACACTAGATGATAAATCCTTTTCCTGGTGAAAGGATTCCAAACTCTCCACATTTTAACGCATCACGCTAAACAGTGTGAGAGTTCTGATATAACTTGAAGTCACTTTGCAAATTTATAAATGTTGGTATTGCTACTGTTTTAAATTTGAACTACAGCAGGAGCATATTGAGCGGTACAACAGGTTGTGTCAAATATATTTATTGTATCTTACCCAGGTTGATTAGCTTCTGAAGAAATAGCTTGCAGACTTGAAATGATGACAGTGAACAGGTCATCAGAGATTGCTTCAAACTGTAGTCTACCTGTCTTGTTAAGACTGTCCATACAGCGGAAAGAAACCTGGTGTAAAAAAGGTTTTATGGAATATACAGAACATGGAAGTTTTTCTAAGAAGTGCCATTGCAAAAATATTAGTACAAGACTTTGTCCCTTTGTACAAACAATAATCAGTGTCCTGTGATAGTCTAATGTTCCAATAATAGTCTAGTGTATTGATTAATTCATGTTTATATAACTCTAAGTCTCTTCGTATTTTCTATGAGAGATGGAAATGAAGGTAATATTCACATATGTCCTGCACAAAATAATTTGAAGCTAATACCAAGTGACTTCCTAAGGCTACCTTATGAACAATCTACTGAAATTAAAAATTAAACAACATTATTTCTATCTACTAATAAAAATATTAACCTCTTGGACACCAGAGTCTGTCCAAAGAGCTTGGGAACTAAACACTTTCCATAATGATTTTCCATGAGAACCAAGAGATTGACAAGTGTCAGACAGAAATAAGAACATAACTTCACTAAATGGGACAAAACATACTTTCAATTATTCAATATAAATCTAAGGATCTTGAAGCTGAGAAAAAAAATGATGTTGGGCATTTTATAATAACTATATCACTGACCTTAAATTTTCAAGTAATATCCAAGCATCTGCTATGTTTCTCAGATGTAAACATGAATCATCAGAGATAGAACCAGGGTTTGCAATCTGCCATTAAAATGTTTAAATATCTATCTGCCATCACATAAGTGGTATAGCTATGAAAGCAACCATGTTTCATACCCAGGGTATTTTTCAAAAAGAAATGGCAGAGACTCTGGATAATTTGCTACTTCTATATGAAGGCTAACCTTGAAATGCTTAAAATCTATTGGAAAAGTAATGCTGTCCTCTTGAACAAACAATTTAACAACCGTTGAGTGGACATCTGGAAATGAAAAATTCAAAAATTACAACCAACTAGCTCGATCTATACCCTTAGAAGTACTCCAAATATTCTAGTTCACCTTCAATTAATTTCACAAGAGTACCAATGATGGATATGTATAGTTTATGATGTTTGTATTTGAGTAGCTAAAACAAAAATGAATCATGATTAGGTCAGTATAGCTGGAGAGCTTAACTGTGCATATTCATATATCACATTTACATACTGTAGGAACAATAGCTTTCCAAAGGAAATCAGTAATGCATATAAGAGAAATATATGAATATGCATCGCTCCAATTAAGCTTCTAGCTATGGCCCTTATTAGTGATGACAACAGTGTGTAATAACAGTTGTGTTGTGCATCAATGAAATCTATAAAACATACAATTGCCAAGGAATACACTGCTTCAGAAAATTTCTGGTAAAGTAATGTTGAGTACGAAGATGCAGCAAGAAACACAACCAGGCGATAGACCGTCCAAAATGAAAAATCTAGTGGGAAATAACTCCAGTTACTTTTCTAACTTAACTTTCTTTTGTTAGTACAAGAGAACAAATATAAGATAAATGGTGGATAAACTTACAATATTCATCAGGACAGAAAGGGTTATGACCAGTAAGAAAGCAATCTGGGTAGGTTTTAACACTTTTTAAAAGAAGGTCTAAAGTAGCCACAACTTTTTGCTCCCGAGTTGTCTGCCTTTTGATTTCTTTAGAAGAGAATAACATACAGCCTCTATGTAGATATCAATGTTGGCTTGGTCTATGTTAATGTAGACATCAAGTATGATCTACAAGCTAGTATCTCATAATTAAAATGCTATTAGTCAATTAATACCTCACCTTCGCCTGAGGAAGGGAAGTCTGCAAAGAAACTTTGAAAAATTGACTCCATATCAAGTTCACCATCTTGTTTGCCTTTACTGTGAGATGGAAACATTGATGGAAATTATTTGAGCATCCACAAACACCTTGCAGTATTTTGCAGCACAGCTAGGACGTCTTTTACTTGTTTGGAAGAGAGTAATTACTGGAGGGATTAAAGATTTTTGCAAGGCTTAGGAGTCAAGTCTTAGAAGTACGAATGACAGACAAACAGCACAGCCTAATACCCCAACTCTCCCTGTCAAGGGTCTTAATTTTCAAGATGGTTAATTGGACATATTTTCCTAGGGCTGGTTGTATATAAACTCTTAAATACATTTAATTGTTTACAGTTACATTTTTCCATCAAAACATTCTTTCAAGCCTGTCTTGTCCATGTCCATAATTCTTCTGCTGTCCTGCTAAATTACTTTTATCAAATCATAGTAATATCTTTCAAAATTTCGTCCTCTCTCCACTGTTTGCTGCAACGGAATCCTGCTGCAGCGGTCATACCAGTTGATCATACGAGTTGATCATACAGAATATTTGCAAAACATTTGCAAAACAATTGAAGATCCTCCTGAATTCCCTCAACACACAACACACGTGCTACTCACTGGTTAGTGGTTACTATACTACAAGTATATGTCAATGTGTTTCCATTTTGAGAAAGTTTAATATTTTTACTTTAGAAATGTTACATTGTGATTGGGTAAATTTCCTATTCCATACGTGGTACTGATTTCCCAGTGTGATTTTGTGATTTTCTGACCAATCAGCGAATTGGTTAACCTTACACTTACAATGAATTACAGTTTTATCTTTTTATTTTATTACCTTTTCTAAAGGCTCTCCCTTGGGAGTTGACCTCCCATATCAATTCAAGTCAGCGAACAGCGTCAACTAAATGCGTCAACCGTTTTAAATTGAAAGATCACAGCAATAGATAACCGTTACAACAATTGACAAATGAGTACAATTAGGCCTTTTATTCACTAATTAATTAAGTAATACAATGAGACATCTTGTACTTATATGATATGAATTTAAAGCGGGACGATATTTTCTCTTTATTGAGAATTATAATAAAATTGCTCTTGTTATTAGGCTATCTGTAAATAAGAAAGACTCGGACGAAATCGGCTTTAGAACAATCAGGTGTTGTGATGATATCTTTATAATTTTGCATGGTGCATCAATAATGAGATAATCAATCCGTAAAAAATGAAGAACCGGGTTAACGGACCGAAAGATCTGCGTGAGAACATGAATTACCCCCCCCCCCCATTATCGCTCTAGTTTCGGTCATGCACACAACCACGGTCTTTCAACTTGATTTATACGAAAGACAAACGAACATGAAGCATGAATAAGTGAGTATAGAACTATCAAGTATTGTTGAACCCAAGTATCGTAATGTAAAATGAAGGCTAAACTAGTTTAACTCCTCCAAGGATAAAAGAAGTGTGTTTAAAATGCATTGAATCTCCGTCATGCACTGCGGATGCTACAGCATTCGAGCTTCTCGATACAAGAGATCTTGTCACATTTGTGGGTATAGATACCAACTATATAGTGCAGTGGTTTGCTGCATCCAACCTTGGCCCAAGGCTCATCAAAACTTGACATGATATCTTCAACAAAGCATTCACCCCAATCGCTAGGTCCATTTGAAGGTTTACAACAACGGCCTTCCTCCAGTCTTACTATTGAATCACCATCAGATCTGATGAAGCCATTAACAAAATACCCACGAGGACAGTAGTTCCACGAGCGACTGCAACGAATTGGAAATAAAATGTTTTATTCTGTATGTAGGTTTTACCTAAGTCTAAGACGCTTCAACAATCTTCATGGGGGAAATCAGCCGCAAGCCAAACAATTTTGCACAACAGAAAACTAAGTTCTTTCGATTTTGATTAAGTTTTTCAAATATGACATAGGGCGCTTTAAATTGTGCATAATTGAAACATGGAATTTTTTGCGACAATCTTAATTCTTATTAATATGAATTACACTTACGACCCAAAGGAAGAATACCAGTTGGCGTTTGTACAAGTTTGGGCTGCCTGACTGTACTCAATTTGAGGTGGACAACAATCTACTTTATCAAGACAGTAAAGCCATTGACAGGCAGATCTTTGAAAGCCTCTCATGTAGTTCTTCCCACCGCAATAGTGTGTACCAGGATTATCAAATCGTAGAGTCCAATCCTCAGTTACGCAGGCTGAAATATATTTTTGAAACACTATATAACTGAATATATTGTTTGATTAATAAGTTCACGGCAACCATGCAGTATATAATGCATTGCAATTATCGCTACTCTGGTTTAATTAATGAAAGTAATCAACAGACAAAGATAACATTCACGACTCAACGTTTTGACACTCCGGTTTAGTGTGTTCATCAGGGGTGATTTGATATTGAGACTCAGGGTCGTGAATGTAGCTAATCTTTGTGTGGTGATTACTTTCATTAATTAAACCAAAGTAGCGATGATTGCGATGGATATTGTTTGATTATTTTTTTGAGACATGGTATTTTGATCAGTGCTGTTCCTCAGTGATAAACAAGGATATACTGCAAGTCTGCGTTAAAAATGGACAGCTCTCCAAATCTGGGCCGGAAAAACATCTCGCGGCTCGTGCGCCAATGTGGATATAATACCAAAAGTCCCGAGATTTTTTGGGGCTCTCCCCCACCTCCCGATACTTATATACCCAGTGGGCAGTCCTTCACATTTTGCAATGAGGGGGATCCCGATAATGATCAGAAGAAAATGAAGCCAAACCTGCAGAAGTTACAGAAAGAAACAAATTTGACATGTTTTCGCAAGGCATCATCACGACATCATGCAGATTCAGACAACATGTCATTCGTCGTGTTTTTAATTTCGAACCTAAAGATGACCTTCTTTTCGTATTTTCTACATAAATTGTTCGATCTCTTCGTATAAGAAAGGGTACTTTACCAGGGCCGTCGCTAGAAGCTTAATTGGGGGGGGGGTGTATATTCATATATTCATGTTCGTACAAGCGTAGAAACAATAGCCAACAAAAGAAATCAGTCGGGCATAAGACGAATATATTAATATGCACCCCTCCCCCCAAATAAGGTTCTAGCGACGGCCCTGGTAATTACAATGAAAAGATAGGTTTTACCTGTATTCCATTCACAATTATCACCTTGTTTATCAGAAGGACAATCACAAACGTGGTACGGAGGGTAACAAACATCTTGACACGTTCCACCATTAAGGCAAGGACTGCTTGCACAACCCTACATGCGAAAACATAATCACCATAACAGCTACGCGAGGTCTAACACCATTGCCATCACCCGTAATTAAATCTCGCTTGTCACAATGCGTGCACTCACAGTTAATGGAGGTGTATTATAATGTTTATACACTTACAGTAATTGACATTCCAGGTACTTTCTTATAAACAACAGACTTGGCAGAAGACGACTCGCCATCAACACTAGCACTAAGTTGACAATTATCAGTGGCTGTCTCGGTAAGATATGTGAATGAGTTGCATCCCGGAAAGTTGGTACATTCTGTAGAACAGAATACTTCTGCTGACACAGTTGTTGTTTTTATCGGGTTTATTGCTGGGAGTGAACCTATATGGAAATAATTAGGTCATGGGTTTTAGAAACTGATTTGACTCCTTCCCCCAAAAACGCGTTTTGATATTGTAAGCAACCGAACTACCGAAGCTTACTATTAATACCCAGGGGCCGGTTGTCCGTAAGGCGTCTAGCTTAAACAGTGGATAAGGCAAAATTTGAAAATACTCTGATACATCTTGTGAATGACTAAACCTGCATTTTATGCATTAAATATGCACTTCCATATTTCAGCTCATTTGCCACATAAAGAGATAATTGCCACATAAAGAGATCACTTTGTTTTCCGCCGTTTAAGCTAAACGCCTTTCGAACAACCGCCGGGCCCCAGGACGCCGGGCCACCGGGGAAGCGACTACTCCACTGCCTACAAGAACACAAAGACGAATGCGCAAACCAAAGTCAAAAGTAAAAAATAAATTTTTAATTTCCAGCCTACCTTCTGCTTTAACAAACTTTTCTTCGCGATGACAGAGTATTGCAGTTACATGCTCGCATAACATGGAAATCAAGAGCAAAAAACAAATAATTACACGGAAAACACTCATCAAGACGTTTATTTCTTGACTGTACAAAACACAACTTCTCTTTAATTCCTGATGCGAAATATGCTGGAAAACAAACAGAAATTGCTACGGCAAATAAAATCCGCAACACCTGTTACAAAAGTGTTTTGGAAACATTTACCCACTAAATCACAGGTACTTCAAAGCTAGTTCAAAATAGCTGTAAGTGTAACTGTATTAAGCAATTTCTGCATTTTACAACATTTCGCCACCAAACCGTACAATTTCACTAATTTAAGCACGCTCTTACCGAGAATAAAGACAAGAAAACCATGATTTAGTGATATAAAACATCGTTTACCGGTTCCCTTCTATTTTTAAAGTGAAATAAAGTATTCAACGTCGCTTTCATCGCATCAAGTGTGGTGTAAACAAACGACTGCTTAAAAAAGAAAAAAAATCGGCAGTTCTCGACGTTTTGATGGGCCCTCGTCAGAAGAGTTAGGATGTATTATGCAACGCTTTAGTGTTCAATAGTCGAACAGCTTAAAGATGAATAAGATAAATTGTCATTGCCGAAAAATGGCTTTGGTTATACCACATTTGATGCGAAGTTGTCAGAAAACGCTGCTTCGCTGCTATATATCATACTTTCTGATTTCTCTTTGCCAGGACAACATATATTGTACACGTGAAACATGAAATACTACAGTCTACATGCACAAACTGTTTTTCATGCAAAAAATGTTCCCCTCGTTGCTCTAGTATCAGTTCTCAATCTTAAATCTGACCGCGATCTATCATCTGGATGGATAATTCGCAGCGATGATTCATCCCTTGGCTGACCAGTGAGAAAATGAGGATATAAATCATGAGGACCACCTGAAAATGAAGATATTCTTCATTGGATAAGATCATATTCAAACAAGAAAAATAATATTAATGAGGATAAAAAATTGTTCAGGTTTGATTATCAAATGGTTGCTGGTGCATATAGAATTATTGCACCAATTCTCATTCGCTTTTGCCTTTTGACCGGTGCATGAAGCTATCTAGTTAGCTGGAAGATGATTGGTCAATATGAAGCTGGAAGATGATTGGTCAATATGAAGCTGGTAAACGATTGGTGAATATCAAGCTTGTGGCTAATTTCAAAATATGAGACAAATATCAAGCTACCCAACATGCAGTTTTTAAAACCATCTGTTTCCCATTGCCCGGTAGCACTGATTCCTTGAAATTTAAGTCCCTGTCATCTTACCTAAAATATGAGGAATCCGAGGCAAGAATGGATTAAATCCAGGTACAACTGGAGAGATTTCAGGAAAGGAAGAAGACGATGCTCCCATTTGGTTTCTTTTAAGTTGCTGTTTCCGTCGTTGGTATAGCATTTTGTATTGCTGAAACATCAATATTGTTCTAGGTTATGTATGAACAAGAAATAAAAAAAAATGAACAAGAATGATAAAAAATCAAGACTCAAGGAGACGTAGCTTTGTCTTTTTCGTATCATTGCAACTACATCACTCTACATGATGTAAATTGTGGCATGGCTGGGCAGCTGGGAGTAATTAGGATATAAGACTACTGAGGATAAGACTACATAAGGTCCCTAACTACAACACTAATTCCCGTTAGCTGGTCACATCATCTTTGTTTGCCATTACGAGAAGAAAAATGCTCATTAGATTTATATTACTGTGGGTCCCTGGCATTAAAAAATCATCACAGCATTACAACAATGAAAGTACCTACTCCAATAGCAACCCGATATAGTAAAATACATATAAAATACATATAGTCTAACCTTCTTCCAACTTTCCACTGTATTCTTTTCTACACCTGATAGAAACAAAAAGGCATATTACATCACATTCCAGGCAGCTGTTACCATGCAGAGTTCAATTGACAACAATTACACACCAAAATCCCTTTGGCAAAAAAATTGCCAGAGTTTTTCATCATTACAGACAATTTTGAGAGTTTTGCATGACACAGATAGTGTCAAAAGATCTGCAGCAGTCAACTGACTCAATATCATCAGCTAAAATTTAAAAAAATATCTTTAATATTGGTCAGATGGTTTCTTTTATGGTGGTGCACGTGCACAAAGTGGTCTTTTGGTCTTAATTGCAGGTTTTGATAAGAGTCAAAGAGATAAGGATTTTTGCTAAGAAGATCACATACATCACACTGGTTCACCATTGGTTCCATTAATATATTGGCATACCAGTAAAGGTTCAATTACCTGTATTTCAGGTGGAAGACCTGTCAGTGAGAGTGGTGATGTCAAACCAAGATCTAAGAACCAATCTCATAGTTAAGCATATAGTCAAAATGAATTATTGATTAAGGGCTTGATTTATGAAAAAATCATTTGATATGCAAGAACTTAAATCTCACATGAATGAATGTTAGCCAAAATTGGATGGACCATCTTATTCTTGACTAGTCTTGAAACTTTATGTAAGTTTTTATAAATATACTTTGCACCTTAAAAAGTATAGACATAATTGTTAGAAATTTTTAAAAACTTAAACATGCATCATCAGATATACAAAAAGGAAAATTTTGATGATCATGCCTAAATCTATTACCTTGTGTTAATTGTATGTCACCTCTGATGTATTGTGAAACAATCAACTTCACTTTGTAGGCATTGGATTGTATTTCCGCTGACCAAACTACAGTTGAAAACGCAGCTGGGATCATTAGTATGAAAAGCTATACCATTTTATGGCCTTTTCAACTCATGTGATGGACTTTTCCAACTAATATTATAGCCTTTTACACATATAATAGACATTTCTACCCACAATTTTAGGTATTATTTACCATGGGCATAGATAAATGGTCCAAGAGATGTAATCACAAGCTGACAGCTGATTGAGGAACTTAACTTGTTGACATATGACAATCTTACAATATTATTACTATTCCACCCAACTGGTAACATTTCTGTAGTTTGCAGCTTTTCAATATTGTGCTAAAAATGGCAAAAAGATAACATGGCAAATTAAAACTTTATTACCAAATAATTTCTTTCAAAACAACAAAGGTAATGATTACAATCATGGTGGATTTACAATGGTGATTAGTATTCTATACTGATAATTGTGGGTAAAGGTACTGGATCGAGAGTAATTAACTGTTTACCTTCAAACAAAACCCAGACTCAAGCATCAAAGCATGGATAAGCACAAACACTGCATGATGATGAGTTTTGACATTAGCTGTGCTGTACAACTTTTCAAGTGTTGCAGAAACCCCATCTCTGCAGAACACAGGGTCACACACATTGTCTGGAATGTGGCGGGCCTCTTCCAAGACAGAACTTGCTGCAGAGGTTGATGGTTGGTGACAACTTTCATTTGAAATGAGGTTGACTGCCCTGCCATAAGATGGTGGCGTGCTTGCTTCATTATTTGTAATGATTTCAATTGCAGCCTCAATACTTGTAAAGTTCACTTGTACAAGAGCATGTTCAGCTAATGCCTAGATTGAATGAGAATTATAATATTATCTTGGATCAATCCACCCCAGCACTAGTGTCATTAATGATCACTATTGTGTAATATTACTAATATACAGGTCATAACCACAATTAAACCACAAGATTACCTTATCAAATCCCATGTTAATCAGCTGGGATATCATGGTATCTCTCTCACTGCCAGTCTCATCTGGTATTGATGAAAAAGCATACACTAGATCTCCATTCACTAAACCAAGCAGAGCTAAGCTTTTGTCATTTTCATCTATAATATCTGAACCATTCAAAGAGACTTTTATTAACGAAGTATCCCTATAATTGTGGAGAACAATATATACTATCAATCACTTATAATATTGTCTAGTTAGTACTGGTTCGTTTAAAACATTCAATGTCCATAAAATGGTGGAGTCGGGTGGATTTTTTTTAAGAAAACTGAGAAAGTGAGAAACTGTACCTCAGAGACGTTTCATCGCAAATAGCCTGTTTCAGACTTTCAACAGTACCATTTTTGTGGTCGACGTCGACAACAAACCGCCGTTTTCCGTAACGAACACGAAATTTCATTTTACATTCTTTCACTTTTGCAAAATAACCGATTTGACTCCTTGACACCCGCCATTTTGATATATTTCTGTATTTCCAGGTGCAGAAATACTTCATGTTAGAATAAATATGAGCTCTATATATAATATGGAGTAGAAGACCTGCAGGCGCCTCTTAATGAGGAAATTCTTCTTTGGATCGGACAGGACCACAGGAAAGTTTCCTTTGTATAAACGCCACCTGAGAAATTTGATCACCGACAAAGGAAATTTTCCTGTCCGTTCCGATCAAAAGGAGATTCCTCCTGAGTGGAAACTAGCCTTAAGGCTCTTATCATCACATCCAAAGGTCTTTACCCAATTACCCATCGGTTTGAAAAAACTTTAAGCTTTATTGAGATGGCATATACCTTTTAACTGCTTTCCAAATAATTTCATGAATGAATCAATAATTTATAGATTATCAGAATGACGGACATGCAAAGTCAGTTATATCTTGATAAAATATTTGTCATCGATTTATGTCTTGGTAAAATGGATTCGTGGGTTCAATTGGTTTGGCGTTCTGTTCATGTGATTGAGCATCATCATAACCAGCAGAATGTTGAAACAAACTAAGGCCAATGGTATCTTGAAGAACGGTTGCATCACTGTGGTTCACTGTTGTAGACTCATGTGGTAGATCAGAATTCTGTTCTGAAGCAGGGAGCAAGGTATCGTGTTGAACGTTGCAAGGCATGTTAAGTTTTGAAATGTAGTTAGCCTGTGCGTTGCTTGGTGGTGTGATACCTGGTGGAGTGAGTTCTTGGACAACACTCTGAAAAGTCCCAATTTTAGTTGTAATGGAAAGTTCCTGGCTCGTCTCCTCATATACAGCACCTGGTTGTTGTTTTGTTCTGGTGGGTTCGTGAGATAATGGACTTGAGACGATACCGGTTGTGATGATAGTTGCATTAGCTGGTTCATTCGCTTCTTGGTGTAAGTTCATGTTAGGGAATGCGTTGGTAGGATTGCAGGCCTGATCAGATCCAAGGTTTGGGAACTGTTGTACCGTAGACGCGAGTGCCATTGGATTAAAACTGGGCGCGATGTTAGTTGATTCGTCTCTTTGATCAATAAAAGATTGTTCTTGATTTGGTATCATGCTTGTCTGGACATTGAAATTAGATTCATTAGGCGGAATCAGTGTGCCAGTAGGTTCTAGGGACATTTGACATGGAACAACATTTGATGTAATAATGGTTTGTCCATGTGTTAGGCCAGAAAAAGGTTGATCCGTACTTCCGCTAGCAAAATATTGCCCATGATGGGTAGAAATAACGCTGGGGTATTTGATTAAAGGCTCGTCTCCAAATGATCCTTGTTCCCGATGTGAGATCCCGCTGGGCTGTGTTACAGCTAGACCATGGGTTGAAGATGGAATGTTTCTTACATGGTTTTGCTCGTCGACGTCATCAATTAGAACGATTGACGCAAATGATGGATCTTTATCTAAGCTCAGGTCAATTGAAATATCTTCAAGCAACGCAACGTCTTCAGGACAACCTTCCGCGACTATACTTTGCATTGAATGAAGTACAGACGTCTGGAGTTTATAATAGGAACTCAGCGCACTACTAGCCTGGCTTGAAGGCTCAACATTAAGACCTAACATGGGTTCTTTGGTGGCTGGCGTTTCCACAACAATAACGTTCTTCTTTTCATGGTGGTCTGTTGATTCAGTGTTCTTTTCAGTATTTTCTGCGAAGTTGGAAGAGATGGTTGATTCTTTGTTTGACTTCTGTAATGATGATTGTTGTGACGTCAGACTTTGAATGACGTCAGCAATAACGGTGCTTAGTTCACATGATAGAGGACTTGTTGCAGGAGCAACTTCTTGAGAGTTACAATTTTGATGTTCGTTTCCTTTTACAGATCCCAAACTTGTAGGTTTTAAAGGTTCTGGGAGCTGTTTTTGCGTTAAAACGTCGTTAATTCCACTCATATGCGAGGGTTCTGTTGAAAACGCTGTAGAAACACACGAACTGGTCATTTCAGGAATGAAAGTGGCAGACAACATTAGAGATTCTTGGTTATGACCTAGTCCTGGCTCCAATCCACCCAATCCTGTGTCAAGTCCCGTAAGTCCAGGTTCCAATCCTGTATCAATTCCCGTAGGTCCAGGCTCCATTCCAGATTCGAATCCAGTGCATTTAATTAGAGGTTGTTGCTGATTATTATTAACGTCAGGCGAAAAAGGAATCGCAGCTAGATGGGTTGTAGCTAATTCACTTTCTTGAACAAGTGTGTCTAGTTCTGCCAACATAGCCTCTGGTGAACTGGCATCAGCTTTTTGCACGTGATCTGTCTTAATGGTATTCATGTGATGTTTGTGTTGGGGTGGAGGAGATATTTTTGGCACATCATGTTCTATTTGCAAATGAATGATATCTTCGTGTGCTTCACTAAGGGTCACTGTATTGGATGTGATGCAGTTGAATGATGCACTAGCCTCTAAAGGAAGCGACTTATCTGACGTTTTAACTTGTAACTCCAAGTTTATTATGTTTTGTGCGTCAAAATTTTGTCCCTCATCATTTTGCGAACTTGTGGCAAAGGCGACCAACTGCACATCTTCCGTCACCTCATTTGCTCCAATATCAATCATCTGTTGATCATTTTCACTCCCAGCACTGATTGGTGATGTCATGACTGGTGGAAATGTGCATTCGTCATTCACAGTTTGTGCACTTCTGTTCGCAAAGTGTGTCCCTACATCATATATCACTGTTTGAGTGCTGGAACTTTTCATCGCACTTGTGACAGACGACGTTGTGTTTGACTCCTGTTCATTGCTAATGGTAACTGTTGTTCCCAGACCCTCAGTCGCTGACTTATCTACGGAGTTAACATCCTCGAAAGCAATGTTTGATGACTCTCCGCTACACACTGGCATTTGAATCTTTTCAACAGCTCTATTAATAGTTCCACTATCTTCAATTTGTGCGTTAGTATCTTCACTTCCTTCGCCATCGTTGCGTGTAATTTCAATAGTCTCGGTTCGACCAGCTTTTTGTATGATCACATTTACCAAACGAAGATCTGGACTGTCGGATGCTAGATTAATTACAACATTATACTCTCCTTGTGTCCCTGCTTCAGTTGGCAATATAGGATCCTCAGAGATAGGATTTATTGTACTAGTTTCTCCGCCCTCTATTTCATGAGTGTACTTTACTTGGCTGCGACGGTAGTACGGGACTAGGAACAGCAACAAAGCTCCGATGATTTCAGGAATAGCAGCGAAACAAAATGCTGCTTTGTACGATTTGTATGTGTCGTACAACATGCCTATATAGAAATAAACAAATGATTTTCTGATCAAATTCTTCTCGGATTGAAATTCTTGAAGACCACACTAAGTCTCGTGTGAAGTTAGTCTGCTAAATTGTACGAAATTGTCATTCTATTCAATGAAGACAAGTGCTGATGTCAATCACTAATTCCGAAATTTTTTATAACATGTAAGAACTGTAAGAACTAAGAACTTAACATTAAAATAGTCCTTAAAACAATAATTTACCTGACAGTGGTGGGCCGATCACATTGGAATAAGATTGGCAAAACAACATGAACCCAAAACCTTCCACCATTTTTTCGGGACCAACAATCTCCATGGTAACTAAGGAAAGAGACGCGACAAAACCACCATCAGGGAGACCAAATATAATAGCTGTGATCACAAGAGCTAAATATGACTTCAGAAATGGATAAAGAAACGCAGAAATGGCACAACCAATAATACACGCTTGACACAAGTACAGGTTAGGTAACCATTCACAAAGACGACCAAATGTTATGCGTCCGATCGCAGAAGATGCGCAGAGATAAGAGACAAGCCACGCTGAAGCATCTTTTGAAATTCCTTGATCAATTGCATACTTTGCCTGGAAATAAAACGCATCAATTTGAGTTAAACAATCTCCAAGAAAACTTGACTTTTGATTGTAAACACTCTCAGAACTTGCTACGAGATTTATGATTCACTCAACACCCTATTTACTCTGTCCGTCATCAGAAGTACGGTTGATTGAGGTTTTGTTCAGTGCATAGCTTGATCAAATATGTATTATTTAGGTGTATTTTATCAGGTTATTTCAACAAGAAACTGTATGTCGGGTGTTATTTACCAGTGTATAACGCGGTATATTGTATCCTAATGTCACCATTGTAGTGCCCAGTGCCCAAACAATATACGGTTTACTCTTCCAAACATTCAACATCTCTTTAGGTGATTTTTTAGCAGAGGTCGGTCGTGATGTATTATCTTGCTCTGATCTATATACTAAACTGGCTATTGCAACAACCAGCAACAGACCGGAGAATGTTCGAAACGTGTTGGCATATCCCAAGCGATCAAAAAGAACTTGAGACAGAGGAGCCAAAGATATTCCACCAAACTGACTTCCTGATGTACACAATCCTTGGAAAAGAATTGACATACTGTAAATATATCACTGCTCGCTGTTTAGTCAAACCATAACTATGGTCAAACAAGAATAAAGACCAAACGAGAACATGGATTGTATACCTTACATACCACACCTATCAGTGTTGACAAGACAACCTTTTTCAAATTATATTAAAGTTTAGTTATAGCATAGGTAAATAGCATATATATAGGCACGTTTACACAGTGATTTGATTAATTATACGTAAATGATCTCGGCATGATGACAACATCAACTACGAATATTCTTTAATGATCAAACTGAAGTGGCCTGACAAATCGCGCACGTATTAAGGGCAGCTATAAACGTTCATTAGAGAGGACAAGAGCTGGTGAATGATGGTAACCAACCTGTGGCGATATTCCTTCGTCTCTCAAAACTTCGCGTCACGACTGTCATAGCTGCTGAGTAAGTGAGACTAGTACCCAATCCAAAGAGCAGACCATGTGAAAAGTATAGTAGGGCTATGCCAGTGGCAAATGAGGATAGCAGAAACCCCAAGGAACACAGAAATGCTCCTATAATACTTGTAGCACGACACCCGATCTGTTCAATAAGAACACTCGCCACAGGACAGAAAAAACAGAGAAGACCAAGAGAGATTGAACCGATCCATGCTATAAAAATAGAAATACTAGTTTTTTTTTTAGACAAAACTACTTGGAGAGCAGTCGCGTTTTCATTGCTTGAAGAGATGAAGGCGCAAATCGTTTTCAATAGACATTTTACATCTACAAATCATGTATTTATTTGCTAAAGCTATCTATTTGCTACACGTTGTGAAATGAACAAAGTTCAAGAAACTATTTCACGTTGAATGGACTCATTGACTAAAAAACAGATTTCTCCTGGTAACAGACTGAAACTGTTTCATGATAAAACAGCTATGTTAATCCTACCTGTTTCTTCACGTCCTGAATCAAAATGAGAGATAAGTTCGGCGTACAAGATTCCAAACGAGGCGTGCATTCCATTGGTTATAAACAACGTTAAAAATGCAGCAAATAAAACAACCCATGACCATCCCTGATCACGTTGAATATGGTTTTCCCTTATTAACGACGGTTCTTGTGACGTCTGTACAATTGTGCCTTCAAATTGTACGTTATAACCATCTCTCAACATTATTAAATGGTTACTTCTCCTTCAGTCATATTTAGTACGCAATTCATGCCCTCGAATAGACCATTTTTTTATATTTAGTGTTTTTTTTCTACATTACACTTTGCGCCATCTCTCCGGGAGAGCACGCGCGATTGAATCACTATGACGCGCATTAATTGCTACTGAAAACGCGTATTTTCAGTTGGAGTCTTTGTATTGCCGTAAAGCCTTTTAAGAGTGATCGATTGAAGCTGCGAGGCATCAAAGGAACTATTACCCTTTTCTACATTTTTTTGAGCGTGAACTATCATAGAACCATTGTATAAGGTCAGTTACCCGGTATACTTCAAACGGGTAATTACAAAATGGAACGGAGCAATAATGACCAGTGATACAGTCCCTTTTTGCATATGCTTTTTGGCATCGCATCACCGTTATATGCATATGGTTATATCAGTGATTAGCATGCGTTGCGCGCATGTGCGCAGATCACACATTTGTCCTGGGTTGCTGTGGTTCTAAAATTGCGCAATTATTTAACAAATGTAAACAAATAGAAATTTCAAAGTGCAGTAAAATCACTAAGATGCCGTTTTTCTCTCTAAAGAGACAATCCCCGAGAATTTAGCAATATTTCATACAATACTCCTCAATGGCTTTCCTGTGTCCAACGGGCTTTCTCAGCCACAGGCGACGTAAACGTAAGTTTAAACAAAAATAAGAATGTTTTTGAAAATATATATAACTGTTGCTGAACATATCATCACATGTATTGTACATGTTTTCAAGTAATTTAGAACTGTACATTGGGAAATACTTTAACACCGTCTTGAATTAAAGGTGGCACACAAGACAACAGTGAAACCAGCCAGGAACTGATTAAAGAAGTGGAATTTGAACCAACCAAAATGATTGTAGTTCAAGACTTTACTCCATGTGTGGAAGATGAACTCGAAGTGAAACGAGGACAAGTGGTGAAAGCTCTGTATCAAGAGAATGAGTGGCGGTTTGTAGTAGCAGAAAATGGTTATGAAGGATTTATACCATACACCTACTGTTTGCCTGTTGACAAGTCAACCATAAAACCAGAGTATGGGAAACATTTTATGCCAGAGTCACACCAAGTCAATGCTATAGGTAACATCCATCAACACCTATTGATCAGTTGAATTGCTTTGAATGAAATATTATGCATATAGGTATTATTGTTGTTATTGTATTATTATTGTTTTCACCTAATTTTCTTTACTTTCTCACAGAGAACAACAGTGACAGTGCAAGTGTTCAGACTCTCAACAGCGAATCATACCAGGAGTTTGTTAAAAGAAATCATGGCCAATATTCAGTATTGTTTGATTTTGAGGCTGTCCAAGAAGATGATGTAAGTGTAAAGCAAGGAGAGAGGGTTGTGGTACTGAATAAAGATGATGCTGATTGGTACTGGGTCAAGACTAAAGATGGACGAGAAGGGTTTACCCCTAAGGAATATCTGCAGTATCACCCAGCCACAACACATCTTGGTAAGTTTTAAATGTACTATTGGATCAACCGACTGCTGATATTTTTGACAAACAGATAATCTTTGTATTCAGAATTTCAATAATAGTGCAATAATATAAAATTTCTTCTTCAGAATCAAACCATTTGAACAAACAGACAAACAAAGAAGACTCGCATTTATCTCTTCCTGCTTTTCTTGGTGATGGGGAAAATATGAAATGTGGTGTTAAACAATTAAATGCAATCAGAAACTTTGTTGCTCAAGGGCAATACGAGCTAACAGTACATGAAGGAGAACAACTATTCACTGATGATAAAAATCTTGATAGATTGACATGGATTTGGGTTTATTCAGCCAGAACCAGACAGCGAGGTTTTGTTCCTAGAACACATGTACGCTGGGCCCAAAATACAACATTTTTGTAGTGTAATGTTAACCATCAACCACTTTCTGGGGTTTGGTAAAAATTTATTTTGCACATTTATTATTATTAAGTGTCTTTAAGACCCATCAGGTGTGTAGATAAAATGCTTTGTGTGTAGTATACTAGTTTGTGCTATAATGTTGAAAGTGCAATATGTTCAAAGTTGATCAAACTGAACATAATTTAAAACTATCTGTTGGGTTAGTAATAGCCACAAACAGACTGCAAGGGAGACTGCAAGGTTGACAGATTAGCTGAATAATTAGGCCTAGTCTCCATCTGTGCCATTATGAAAATAAAAGACCAGAGAAAGAAAACAAAGGGCTGGTATTTGGCTTAATTATTCAGCTAATCTACGAACCCAGATGATTTGTTAGTTCAAGTTTAATTATGTATAGAAACAACAAATTACTACATTCAATGATTCCAAGACAATGATTCGACTCCAAGGGCACCACCAATGGTTTTATATACAATACTACATTTTCCACCAACGAAGAACCATCTATTGAGTTTTCTTCTCATCTTTCGTCTCTGATGTCCAAATTTGCAACAAGCGATTATGAAGGTCCAAAAACATAAATGTACCACTGAAGACCAGGGCAGTAGCGATCCAATGGTATATTGTGAAAGAATTTTTGAAGAAAAACACAGACACCATAATACTGATAAACTTCCGTAGAGTCACAACCAAGGTTACAGAAAGAGATGTAAACTCTGTTGTTAGCACAAACACACTTCGAATACATATGAATTGGGTCACACAATTACCAATAATGTAGAACCAAAGCCTCGGGATGTTTATGGTGATGCCTTGGAACACTAAGTAATCTGACAAAATAAAAAAGTTTAGACAAGACCTTGGTGAAATAAAATATTGCACCTTCCACACGATTAATAAACTATTTCACATACCTGATGCATTATACAATATGATATGTCTGTAAATATCTCCAACTAGCAGCAAAAAGACTGGCAAAGGTAAGCAATGCTGAAATAATTAAGGATATGAATAATGAGGAAATAAAGAACCAAAAATTATTTTTTGTAAGTGTTGCCAAAAGTCAAACTTACAGAATAGAACAATGCTTCATTTGGGTGCTTCCCATATTCTTTGTAAAGAACTTCCTAAATAATTATAATTTTGTGGATGAATTAAAGTGAATTAATCATTTAGTTTTTGTAATACCTGGTGACCACTGTTCTAACCTGATAAATTCCAAGTCTTGATGTTGTCACCAAAGATATAATAAGAATTGTTACACCTATACAGGTAAAACATACATGAATTGATACAAAAATCATAGGTGAACAATATGAAAATAATGTCATTACTATTATGTATTACCATAGGCTGTCTGGATGTTTCAATAGCTTATATAGCCCAACTTACCCACTCCCATCCACATGACATCAACTGCACTATCCCCAGATGATCCTACTAGATTACCACTATCCTACAAAATTAAACGTTGATCAATAAAGTTTCCAGAAAAAGTGCAGAAGTAACAATGCAACTTACTAAATTCTTTGCAGAAACTATTGTAGCAATTGAAATTCCTATTGTAATCATGACCACAGATAAATATGTGGTAATCTTATAACTACAAAGAAATGAAAATATTTGGTTATAAAAGGGTAGCCAATCCCAAACAGAAAGAGTATGTATTTTAACTTACCTTTTTTCTAAAATTATTATTCCTAAAATTAAACTGGACACCAAGGAACCCTGGGGGAAGCAAAATATAGAATGAAGTTCCTTACATCAAAATGTGAAAGAACATTTTCTATATACACTGCCTATAAACATACCGATCTGAATATCATGTGCAATGGCATTGGAATGTGAAAATTTGGTGCAATATTATTTAATAGACTGACAACAATGAAATATGAGACCATTGTACCATAACATCTAAAAAAAAAGATTGGTTTTAATTCATTACATAAACACATAGACCATAACCTGTTGAATAGGTCCAATATTGGGAGTCAACTTGAGTATTTAGAAATAACAAATATAGAACATGCTCTTTATGGTAAAAAACAATGGGAAAATTCTCCTCACCTGATAGGAATGACTGGTTTTACAGTCAGACATTTTGTTGTGGAGAAAAAACCATGAATGGCAATAAAAAAAAATTGCAAAAATGTGATAATATTTCCAGAGCTTGGAACCTCTCTGTAAAGAAAAGAATTATACCCTCATTATTATATAAAATATACAAAAAAATTACTTAAATTGTACTGGACTATGAAAGTTCCAAAGCCTTTAGAAGTTATCCTCAATGAAATTGCATTTGGTAAAAATCAAGGTTTCATACAGCAAGTTAATACTCATGTTTACATACACAGCAAGTTGATATTCAATTTTTCTTGGAATGTAAATTTGTCAATCAATGATTGGCTCCCTGAACTATCAGATATCAAATTACACATTCACTGTCACTGTTTCATTAATAATGCTTCTCCCTGGCTTAATTTTGCCCAAAATCTAACTGAAAGTTTTAAAAAGTATTATAATATTATAAAAATTTTAAGTACAACAATAAACCTCCTTTTATGTTTATTACCGAATATAGTAAAAACGGAAATATTGGAAATTGATTCATGCATGCCTCAAATGAAAACAATACAAGACTGTTTAGATTTCTTACCGTACTATAGCCTCTAAAAACATACTATTCGCAATGCATCCACCAAAAACGAACAGCACTGCCAGCATTTGATGAAGCTCCATAATATTTAGCGAAAATGCCAACGAAATGGCGAATTCTCAATTTCAACGAGGACCCGGCATTATCACATAGTAAGTGAAGTTTCTATTTCATATCAATACATGTCATATTTTTAATGTACGCGCCTGCGAGCAAGTCAGCGTGTATATAATACTTTATGTTGGTTGAACAGCAGGAAAGCAGTAGTTTACGTATTTCAGTGGTATTCCAGTCTTTTGGTAGATGTGAATTAGTAATAGATGTTCTGCTTATACCTGTCTTGTCTACAATTTCATAACATGGACGCGTGACTCAAAGTTATTCTAATTCTTAGTGCGAAATCGTTACACAAGTTGCAACCATCAAATAGCAACAGTTAACCTTAGGTGATGGTTTTACCATACAGTTTCATGTGACCATACCATGGCACCATTTTGATTTGTGCGCCGCAAACTGTGATATAGACTGGACACTGGACGCATACGTACGTCTGGAGTGCTTACCATTTACCTTGGGAAATCAGAAATTCCGGTGGGAAAAGCGAATACCGAATGGTACAAAGAGTTTCCATTAGAAAGTTCGGAATACCGGATGGGAATTCCTAGTACTATTTCCTTCTCCGATCGAGATTCCCAACTCCCCAACGTTGAGCACTCCTGGCCTATCTGGGATTCAATTTTAGTGTGGATTTTAAACAGCACGATTATGGCGAAGTATATTATGAATTTTACTGTAATTCTGCTTATTTTTTTGTGTACATATATATCATGGATAGATAACCAACCAACTAACCAAGCATTACGGAGACATTACGTTATGTCTTCAATCAAAGGTTTCTTAATCTTATCAGTTTTTTTCAACATTAAGTTATTTTCATTGATCTCACCAACATTAGTGTCTATATTCTCATCACTGGAGTAACTGTCAGATGAAGTATCGTCAAGTTCCACCAATTGTAGGTCCTTAAAAAATATGCAAAAATACGATAGTAAAGCCACGTATGAATTTCCAACAAGGCACGGTCAAAAAAGGAACACGAATATAACATGAAATATACTCATTTTGAATTTCACGTATATCGAAGATTATATTAAACGTGGGTATCTATACATCAATGTGACGTCTCACGACCTGACAAGGTCTTTAGTTCGGGATTGAAGAACGAGGGAGATCTATTTTCTCCCAGGATGGGAGAACATGGTTGTGGTGCAAAATCAAATCAGAAATTACCATATTTATACATGGTTCACCATCTTCAACGTCTTCTATGGTGCCGTGATCCTCTAGTGAAAGTTCTTCTTGTGCTTGCTTCATGATTGGTAGAAAATCTTTCACTTGCTGCAGAACTAGAAAATATATTGTCAGTATAAAATGTGCTTTTTGAAAACTAAAAAAACTAAAAAGTAATTGAATGAGATGACAGCCGAAACAGATTTCTACTAAAGAAATAGAGCGAAATAGAGAGAAACTTTTGAGAAATTTTTAATTACATTTACACCTTCAAATAATACAAAATGGTTCTGAAATGTTAAACAACACGAAGTATTTCACACCGCTGCTGACACGATTATAGTCACAGCAGGCTCACACATGCTTCTTTTGTGTGGCTTGCGATGTGAAAACAAGATTCCCGACATCAAAACACCACGATATTTGCGAATATTTGATTTTTCAACATACATTTTACATCATCTTGTGGCAATGAAATACGTTCTAGTTCAATGGAGTGCGGGAAATATTAAAACCAGTATTTTAACCGAAAACTATGTGCGAGATAAAAGCATGCTCTATGATTTCACAAAGGAGGGCATCATTTCGTTTGTTACCGTTCAACGGGGCGAAGTATCAGTCGCCAAAAATAAAGGAAAACTTGGGCGCATAGCCTGTGTTAGTGGTGAGTGTTTTTAATAATAGAGAAAAAACATTAAGCGCTGCTTTTCACTGTCGCGTTTTTTGCACCTACGTACACGACTACACGCACGTAAAAGCTTAAAAGCTATTTAGGTTGTTGTATGATTAATTTTATGCCAGAAAAAACAAACCAAATCATCAACAGAATCCAGTCCTATGCATCTATTTAATCGCTGATTTCATAAGTATCATTTAAATGATTTTACGTGCGCATAGGTATGGCAAGCATAGAAAACAGCCCTAAGTTTTTTTTTGAGCTTTTTGTGCAATATTGTTTAGATTTTAAATTTTAAATTCACGTCTTAAATTTCAGACCATTTAAGGAGGTTCTCCAGTTTTCCTCATCTATGCAATTCCATTTTTAAAAAATTTTAAGACATGCCACTCAGCCCCTCCTCCCCCTTTCATGACCCTTGCTTTCCCTCTGGAAGGTTAGGGTGATTCCTGGTTCCCCTTGCATTAGATCTACTTGCAAGAGTGGGAACTAGAAAGATGGAAAGTCCACAACTGGTTTTTCACTATGTGGTATTTTTCAATTTCTTAATTTTCTTAATAAAAATCCATGCTCAGACATGACAATCACTACCAATTATTTGAGTAACCTTGTATGGTCAGGTCAATACAAGTTTCAATTTCCGAAAATGCACACTGAAAGCAATCCTTTACTGTAGATGATAGAAAAGTAATTGAAGAACATCAAAACTTATTGCTGGCTGAAGACAATGAATTTATTGAAGATGATGAGTTGCCACTTGTGTCATATTCGTCAAAAAGACCAAGATTAGATGATGAAGGTCTAACTGAGTTCAATGAGAAAAATGATTCATCTTCTGTTGCCGAATTGAGGCAGAAAGTATCAACGCTTTCAAAGGAATTGTCATTAGAAAAAGCAAAGGTTAAAGAGTTACAAAACTTGAACCAAACATTACAGAAGCGTAAGTTTTTTGGGAAGATTTTAAATCAAATGGGAAATGAGATAAAAACATAGCTCTGTTGTTGACTGTGTTATTGCTTAATTTTCTAGGACTTCCTGTGTTACTAAAAAATGCAATGCAATCAAGTGGAGTTATCACACAATTGAGAATGTGTGCAAGTTGTAATAATCAGTCTTCTGGTAACATTGTAGAAGACACAATACTCCCAGAACCAACTATTACAGCTAAAGATCTACCATCCACCACAAATTCCATTACTAATACAACCTTCACAAACATATCAAATACTTCATGTACTTCTGCTCTAACATCATTACAAACACAGGAAATATCTCCAATTTTCACTTGCCCTCCAAACAGCATGTTAATATCAACACCAATGATTAGTTCACCAGCCATAACTAGTGTACATTCAAACGCTGAAGGTCTGAACCAACCATCAACACCAGATAGTACCCTTGCCCTGACCTTACCTGGTATGTCAACTTCAGAAGTATATGATACATCAACAGCTAAAATACCCTTGGCAGAAAGTTTAAAGATTGTGCCACTTTGCAATTGTCCAGAAAACAATGGCAACATAGTTTCAGAACAGGTGGGTTCATAGCAGTATAGTCTTAGGAAAGAGTTACAATACCTACATTTTTTCATTGATGCAAAAATGTTTAGAATTATTGTTGTTATTGATATCTGTGGTTTTAGGATAAAATTAACAATTCAATACCACTGGAGGTTACATATGCTGGGACTTTCAGAAAAATGACATTAGCTATGATGACTCATTTTTTTGACAAAGAAGTACTTAGAGAATCCAGTGTCACAGGATCAGGAAAGGAAGGACGACATTCACGCCCAGCACTTGATGAAAAGATTGTTCATTATATTATTGGTAGGCAGGCCCTTGTAGCTATTTTGGGTCCTGCACCCTGCAAACATGGTTGTTATTAAGTTGCAGCCTATAAAAAGTTGCTGTAAGTTGATAACAACCATGTTTAGGAATGCAGCACCACATTATTTCATCAACCAGGAACAATGTGAGCATTTTTAGCAGTGTAACTAGAACTGCATTAGAAAAAGTTAGTTAGTGTAACTAGAACTGCATTATTCCATCTTCAGATTCATTATACCTGCTTTGAGGGTTTTCCCAAACTACACGTAGTTGTCCTCAGTTAATTTATTCCATCTAATACTATACTAATTTTCATTGTACTGAAATATTTCTTTCAGATAATGTTCAAAAAAAGTTCCCTGGTGTTGCATCAAAAGCAATCAAGGCAACAATGGCTCAAAAATGTAAATATTTACGACTGGTAAAAAAGAAAAATCAAAAGACAGCCAAAGCTACCCAAGATGAAACTAGGGCCACCACTAAATGAAAGTGTATTTAGTAGTGTAACAATGTTACAACTTTTGAAGTGGAAAATATAGAATTTTACGATTTTTATAACAGAAACTTTCAGCTACATACCTGGACAGGCAGATGGTTTATATGTCTTGCGTTGTGCATTTATTTGTTTATTCTTCTCCAGTAAATACTTGTCCAATCCTATTAATATACATAATCTTATCTTAGTAGCGCATTTGGCGAACTTTTTGCCATAAATGTTATACAATATGTAAAAATAGAACATCTTTCACCCACCCCGTTCTGGACACACCTTCAGTAGGTCTTTGCAATTCTCTTTTCGCTCGAAATTATTATTTGGAGATTTTTTTGATCCATTTTTCTCGTTTGAACAATTCTGTAATTTTTCCCCACTGCTTGCGGCAGCCGCCATCTTTTAAATTTTAATTTCCAACTCCAGAGCCCGCTATTATTGATGACTTTCATTCAACCTACATTACTTCAACTTGCGTAGCTCTAATGTATTGAGGTTGATTATACCACATTCCTGTATATTCGACCTTACCAAAGTTGAATATACCATATTCCGGTATATTCGAACTCACCAAGATCAATTATACCATATTCTGGTATATTGGACCTTAAAAAGTCGAATACACCATATTCCGGTGTATTCGACCTGACCAAAGTTGAATATACCTTATTCTGGTATACTTGCCTCAGCAATACTATCCATACTCCAGTATATTCGATGATTTCGATCCCAGCAAGGTAGCCAAGTACATGTGTACCGCACCTTTTTTTGAGGTGTATAGGGGAACATAGAGGATTTTAGGGCCCTCTATAGGTGAATTATATCTGTTCTATATCAAGAACGTTTAACCCGGACAAATCTGCTTCCTCTCTCGTACTGGCATGAAATCAAGGGCTTACTCTTTCTACATGGATGTGTTTATGGAAAATATGACATTGATTTACAAAACTATCTGCCAACACTACCACCTAACAACCTCAGAAACTCATGCTCTTCAAATCTGCAAGTTCCAAAATCTCGGACTAAATGCTTTCAAACCAGCTACTTTGTTCGCGCTTCAAGACTGTGGAACACTTTACCTACACCTCTAAAAGAAATTCCTGTGTATAACACTTTTAAAGCAATCCTTAAAACTACGTACTCTTCCGCTCTTCAAGATATCTACGACATTGACATCAATTCAACCTGGCGATCGATATGTCCACGTTGCAACACCATCAGAAACCTCTTCCAACCGTCCTTGACTCATCTTGCTGTTAGATCATGTTTAGAATTAGATCATGTCCGTCTGTCTGTCTTTCTTTCTGTCTGTCCGTCTGTCTTTCTGTCTGTTTTCGTTTTTAAATAGCGGTGGGTGGCCTTAGCTAGGGTGTTATAGCCCTGTTGTTACCTGCCTATGTATGTGTCATGGTTATTCATGTACATGAAGTTTTGAAATAAATAAATAAATAAATAAATTAGGTTATAAAGAGTGGCAGCCCTGATTTGAGTGCACCATTTCGCGAAAAATAATTAAAAAACGTCTTGAATTGTGGGATAAAAATGATTTATCACTTTTAATGTTAAATACCTGTGATTAAATATAATATATTAGTTATCTACGTACCTAAGGTAGGTTACACCATTATATTAAGTTACCATACAAAAACAAATAAGAAAGCAAGAAACTTCTAGGCCTTCGCCTTTGGAGTTTTGGCGTATTTTAAATACGATCAAAAAGCCAATTATATCTACACAGTGGCGCCGCCAGGTTTAATTGAATGGGGAGAGGGGTCATCCAGTGTCAAAAGATGTTTGGGGGGACTTATACGCATAGATGGGCTGGAATACTAAAATCAGTGAAACGAACATCGCATGAAACTATAAACAACTTTCTTAACATTTTTTCGTAACAGTTTTGAAAAAGGGGGCAGACAACAAAATTAGGGGGAACCCCCTGCCCCCTTGGCTCCCCCTTCCCGGGCTTTCCTAGCGCAGCCACTGTTTCTATGTATAAATGCGTACATTCATTGGGATTATTTAATTCAAGCTACAAAGTATTAACATAACCTAAATACACCGGATCCAAATATCTAAGTGAGGAAACATCAATTAACTTGCTTTGTACGGATGGCGAATCAATTAGTTTGGTTCGACGTCGTAAAACTTGGTTACAGAACTGCGCATCCTAATCTTCAAGCTAATTTTAATACTAGCGCATCAGTTTGTATACTCAACTGAAATTTCATCCGACGCAGAACAAGTCATTTGAATATGGGACTGAGACTATTAAAATGAGTTCTTACCAAAAAACATACCTCTAGAATAAAGTAATCGCAACAAAACATTTTAGACCTGTAATAAGGGAAAGCATGGGAAATGCGTTCTAGATACTACTAAATCAAAATATACATCCTCTAATAACCGAAATACCTAACAATCAAGGCCGATACTTTTCAACAAATTCTCCAGAATTTCAAGTCTGCACTCAGACGAAGAGTTCTGTGTCCAAAAATTGTTTGGAAGCAATGAGTTATAGAGATGAGATCGGATGTCATCCACTAGAGGAATGGAATCTGTTTCTTGTCTTTCTTTTATGCTTTGAGCGTCTTCCACAATCAACTCAATCAATCCTGGGTCGTCTTTCATCTAGTGAACAAAATACGTACAGCTAGAGAAGACTAATCATAACATTTGGTACTGATGATTATAAAAGTCCTTTATCGATTAGCCACTTATTATCGATTAGCCACTCATTATCGATTAGCCACTCATTATCGATTAGCCACTCATTATCGATTAGCCACTCATTATCGATTAACCACTCCAAAGTTGCGGCTAAGACTGATAATAGGAGGGCTGACAAAATGCATCAAGGGACTAATTTGGTGACGTGAGCAAGAAACTCGTCCCATGATCATTGTCAATCTCGATATCACTATATTGAAACTACGAAATAGCTAATAACTGTCATTATGAGGAGGTGGGGGGTTCGAGTGGGGATAAAGCAGGATCTCAGAGTCTCACCTCGTCTACATATTCAGCAATAAATCGGCAACATTCACTTTCCAATCTTGGCACGGAGAACGTTCTGCTGATACGAACAACCTCGACAACATTACTTACATCAAGTATTTTAATCATTGCCTTTGCACAAAGTCGTTTGAGACCTTTCAACAAGTACATCTCCGCTGCACAAATCACATTATAAATGTCATCGAAATTACAAGGAATCTAAAAAAAATAAGAACTTTAGGTTCCTTGACATTCTTCCTAGGACCTCTTTCTGGGAGATAGGCCTCTAGGAAGAACAGGTTTGAAGAACAAATAAAGTTATAGAGAGTTTAAATTATTCTACGAAAAAGATTTTTCATGGAAAAGTTTCAAGAAATGTCTTTTATTCTCACCTCAGCTTCATCAATGTACAAGTAAGTAACGACAATCGAAAATACGTCTGGTGTGACGTCATTGATAGTGATTCGACAGTCATCCTCTTGGAGATCCTGATTACTGGCAGCAGTTTCCGAGAACTCAAACAATGCTTTAAAATAATCGCTACGATGACAGAAAAATACCTGATGAATAAAAGAGAAAGTGTTAAAAACGACAATATATTATTTTGTTTGCCTACGAGAAGCTCAGCCAATCAGATGGAAGAAAACGTTAAATGAATGCGATTAGTTGATCGGATTAGAATTAAATTTGAAATCACAAGAATTTTACATCATCAGTCTCTGCTCGTTCTACAATCTCTATTAACTCATAAATAAAAATTCTACCTTGTTGCAGTAAAACTCATAATTCTGAACGTCGAAACAAACATCAGAAAATGATAAGAAATTTTGTAAGTTTTGAAATTCATAATCAACATCACCTACAAGGAAAAATATTTATAACGACCATTAATGTCACTCATTTTGTGTGACGGGGAAAAGATATTCCAAGTAAACTTGAATGAAACACTTACCCAATAGTTGTGAGATACACATCGACACTTCTGGAAGTTGCTGTGATAGACAAAAATAATCATCAATATTCATCATGGAAATGTTTAACTTTCCTGTATCTATTCTGATCGGTTAAGCCTTAAAGGTATATGGTTCTTTAAAGAAAGGTTTATCACTTAACCTGTGATCTAAAAGGTTCTGGTAACGCAACTTCAGTAAGTTTGGTAAAATCGTCTTTTAGACTTTTCTCTTCCATCGCTGGATCAATACTTATCATCGTTACTCGTACAAAACCACGCTTTGACGCATGAAAAGTCTTCGCCTTTTCCAACCTTGATTTGATCAGCTGCATTAATTGCCAGAAGTGAAACTGTCGAGCAAGGTTGAAATAGGATTCACACTCCTCAAAAGGAACATCCAGTTTTCCTGAAGAGATGAATAAAAACATTGAATTGTTTTGAAAGATTATCAGTCTCGAATTATAGTACACTGAAAACTTATATATGTATTTAATATTACAACAGCATTCCTGTGATACAATTACGTGCGTGTCTTTGTAGTAAAATTGTTGACAAATTATCTCCAAACCGATGAGATAAAGTATTTTGCAGTGAACCAGCCTTACCTGTATACAAGTATTTTAACATGTTTCGAAATTGCTGTGGGTTGAACTAAAGCAGTCAAATATAGGAATTACTGATAAGAAGTAGAGGATTCAAAAACAGATTCACAAAGGAAACTGATCAAGTGAGTTTGACACATTTTATCCTTAAAGCTCACCTCCGCCATTGTTGGAAAAAACACCATTTTTTCTTGCCATTTAGTCTGAAGCATTTCTGCAAAATATGTGGACCTGGCTGCTAAAATGACGCGATGCGCTGGAATTGTTTCCCCACCAACCACGAAGAATATGTCCCCAAATGTTCCTTGTTCAAATGCTCTGTTTTAAAGCAAGACACAATCATGTTTAATAAAAGAACGTGGTTAATTAGCTATCAATTCTTTGTGCTTCACTTTTCGTTGCGGATTATGCTCGCTTGATGCTGACCTTATATAACATAATAACTGCGTTCTACTTTGACTCATGACCGGGCCTTGACTGCGTTCTACCTTGGTGCATTAGTTCCGTCCCATTACCTCCTATTACCTTTTCAATAGAACAAAACCTTCGATTTACCTTCGTAAAAACTCGTCGTAAGACTCTCGCCTCATGCAATTGGAATTGATAGCGTTATACCGTTGTAAGATTCTTCTGATGTTGTCAGTTAGGGCCCCATAAAGACATCGTTCACCATCAAATGTGTTTGCCTCACAACGAGAACCTGGCAAGTTGAGGTACGTATTTTAATTAAGTTCCAAGACGTACTGCGGGGAATTTTTAATTGAACTGTACTAATTATGTTCCAATATTTCTGACTAATAGAGAAATACGCCACTCTGACATATTACTGCGTAATATGATGTGCCACACCCAAAGCTATCAGAGCAGAAAGTACCAGACTGGCGTTAGAGTAGGATTTGAGGTTGACAATGAGGTGAAAAAAGTTGATGTCAATCAATGGGATTGGCAGTTGAGACAAACTGGGAGCTATGAAGGTCTAGGGTCAAGTTAACAAGGATTAGGAGCTGAGAAGGTTTGAAAATAAAGAAAGGTTAGGGTTAAGACATCAAGGATTAGAAGATTAAGAGGTTTATGGTAAATTAATTATCATGGATTATGGAACTAGGATATAGAAAAGGATTAGGGGGATTGAATCCATGAGTTTTAGAGGATTAGTAGTTTGAAGAAATGAGAGCCAGGATGGTTTAGGGTCTTAAGGAGTTGTTAAGGATTAAGTGTTGATTAATATCTTGGCCACCTTTATGTCAATGCATGGATCTGAAAACTTCTAACAACACCCCCAACTCTATTATTAGACATGATACACCTATATATGATTAATAATATTGTAAATTACCAACAAAATATAACATCCCTAACCATTCTTTAAGAGAAGTTCAACCATGTCTTCATGTCCACACAAACATGCATAATATCTGGCAAGAAATGAGCCATTTAAAACAATAAACGAACAAAAAAAACAACATGTGTGGCCAGTGTGGGTATAATTTCAGTATGTGGGTATGATTCTTACAATGGAGTACTGTCCCAATTATCTCTGGCATTCACTTCAACGTCTTTAACATCAATCAGATACCTGGAAAAGAATGCATAACCTTGGAAAAATACTGTATGTTTATGTATTTGTGCAAAGCTGCTGAAGGTAATGCTAAATAGAATTCAGTAAAATTGCAACATCATCCTTTATTACAAGCTAAATTGAAACTTCAACCCGGGTGTGTGTGCTACTTTTTGGACAGATTACATGGACTCGTAACCTACCCTTAGGCTAAGGCCCTTAGCAATTAATTCCTAACCTAGCCACTTATTATCTACACTATGGTGTGCATTTGTAGGATTATGCAAAACAAAATAGTGACAAATATTTGCAGTGAAGTGAGTGAACCAAAGAATGTTCTTGTTCTAGGCTTCATCAGATTAGTCTGTACTATAGTTTAGCAGCATAATGTGGCAGTGAGCCCAGTCTGGTAGATCTCATATAGTCATATGTAAACACTGCTACTGATATGTATATTTGCAGTTACGTTGGCAGCTAATCCGGGTATGTAGGCACTTTAAGGGACCTTTACTATGTTAGGAATAATAAATTAAAATTCTGTAGCAAAAACTGCTAAAAAACTGGATAAAATGTTGCACAAAAACCTGCAATTGTGCAAAAAGGAATACCTTAACTTTTCAATGTCGCCCGTTCTGCAACAGCGAAATAACTCTTTGACATCCATACCAAGACCATTTAAATGCTTGACTTATAAAAATAAGTCTAACTCATTTCGTTTATACTTTATATACTGTGCTTGCAATCTTCCTGCTTCTCTATAACTCAGAAAGCAACGAAGACCACAACTCATAGGCATTTTTCGCTTCGTATATTCCGCTGAAATTATTAACAGTTTTGACTTGTGTATGTTTGGAATTCCTCGACTATTTTGTTTACAACCTGCAGAATTTTTAACAAGTTTCTACAGCACATGCGCATTGCGCATCTCTCAACTTCAACTGCGTTTTTCGTTTCAGTTAATTAAATCTGGTTAGAGAACTCGGTCTTAATGCAATAAAATACTCGACAACTGTGAAAAACCACAATGATCGATACAGAAGATTAGGAGATCTTGATATAGAGAGGATTCATTTCTTTTGTTGAGACATTTTGGGAGAGGGCACCGGACACCGTCGAAAAGCAAACGGCCAAATCCGGTAGAATCCGTAAACGTGGTTTCTGAAGGATTGAATTATATTATTTTTACGTGAAAAATGAAAATGGCGTCTCAAGAGGAGTGAAAGAATCCCAATATGCCAAAAAGAGGAAAGAAAAGATCAGGTGATGGAAGAGAAGAGTACGAAGGTCGACCAGCTGAGTTAACATTTGCTGAATTCTTACCAACGACTGCAAATGAAGCAAAAACTTCATTTTCCAGCGAAAATCTGACAGATATTACAACAAGCACCGAGACACAAGATTCACAAGACAATAATCAAGAGCATACGGGACTAGCCGAAACCTCAGAACAATCCCAGGAGTACACCGTAACCCGTACAAAGAAAGGAAAACTTCCAATAACCTACGAAAACCGCTCAAAAGGCAAGAAAGTGACTGTAGTTTCTAATATAAGTGGAAATGCAGAGTTACTCCTGGTCGAGCTTCGAAAACGTTTGGGCGTCGGCGGCGTTTCACGAGGGACATTTATAGAACTCCAAGGTGATCAACAAAAGTTTGTGGAACAATTTCTAAACAAGCATCCTTGTGTTAAATAGAATTGTTCATTTCTAGAAATTTTACTATTAATACAATGCCATTTGTTGAGGAATGATAAATATTTTAGCACGATTGTGATTTTTCAGTCAACCCTTGGTGTGAGTGTCAAGCATTGCTCAAGCTACTGCACAGACTGCGTCATTCTTTCGTAGAAATTGTAAAAAAAATACGGTATATATGGACAAAGTTGTAGGTAAAGAAAAAAAGTAAAATAATGTCTGTTTCGTTATTTCATAGCATCATAACTTCATCCTGAAAAATAAAATGGAGATCTGATTAAGATTTATTCACAAGGTACAAAAAGCTAAAAAATCAATTATAAGCCATGGTAATTGATAAATTGACTTTGGATTTGACACGGCAAACAAGATAATATATTATCTATGCTTTAACAGCCCAGTATCAAAGATTGAAATTTTACACTGTTTAATTACAGCAATAATCTTATTACTTTGTATCAGCACCCACTGACTCAGCAGTCAGCACTTTTTTCAGTCAGATTATGATAATTGATGATGGCATCTAGTCGACTGACTGGGGGAAAGGTTCACCTATTAACATTGATATTTGCTATCATGAAAACGGGTCTTTATTTATTCATTTCTTTTCAATGACCCATTGTATTGATAGCCGTCGTCGTCGCGTTGGCGTCCTACTTGCTTAAGGTCGCTATTAGCCTTTCTCACGATGACGTTTTGGGGTACTTTCAATTTTCTGAAATGGGTTTAAAAATTATGTTTAAACATCAAAAAGCAATTTCTTTAGAATAAACAGACCATTTGAAGAATAAATTCAGCCTAAAACTAAAGACAGTCGCCGTTACCAAGTCTTAGCTCACGGTTTTTGAAAAAGTACCCCAAAAATGGCGGCATATTCGTCATCGTGAGAAAGGCTAATTGGGGAGCGCGTTAATGGGGGACAAATCCATGTCCCGGATGTTCACTCATTCACGATGTCCGAGGCCAAAATAAGTCGTTTTTAACGAGTTTTTTTATTTCTAAATGTTTTTTTGCCTAAAATATCGTTTCAGGATGTCTAAATTAGTAAAACCAGTTTCAAAAAGCACTGTTTTTCCTTAAATCTAGCCAATCTGTCCATTGATCTAACCAATGAGCGCTTGGCTTAGCATCCGGGACTTGAATTTGCCCCCCCCCCCCCTTATCGCGCTCCCTTTTTTGACTGATGTTTCCGATACCAATGCCTCCTCTAGTGTTATTTATAATCTCTATGCCAAGAACCATGTGGCGTCAGCAGACCTTAAAATCCGCCATCTTTTTGGCGACACGAATACACGATTTGGCCGGGAGCAAGTTTAATATAGCTCAGTGATTACAACTAGGGTTGGTAGATAGCTGCATATTTAAGGCCAAACAACATCACACTAGTTCTTTGTTTACTTTGTCTTTGCCTTTTGTTTTCTTTGTTTTCTTGATAGCACTAATGACAATTTGGCCTCAAATATTTGCATATCCACCAACTCTGATTACAAACTTATTTTGGAAATTAATGTGGTTTTGAAATGCGATTCCTAAACGCTGACAGGTGAATAATATTTAGAGATACCTCAATGGATCATTCAAGTTAATTTTTTGCGAAACGCGTAAGAACAGGCAGAATTATTGTAGATTTATTGCCAGTATAAATGTATAAAAGATCTTAAAATTATACAAGCAAGATAAGAAACTAGAATACACACTGCTACTTTTGGTTGTGAAAATGAAAAGCGCAGTCCTACCTGGAGTTAACTTTCGTGGTTTTGTTGGGCTTGGAATATCGGCCAAAATTCTTCAAACGAAATACGTTTACCAGCCTTGAACTGCTGTTCCAGCTTAACTAGCTCGCTTTCTGTTGGATTTGAACCCAAAGCTCTCAAAACTTCGCCTACTTCGTGGACATCTATCTTGTGATCTCCTGCAACTCGAGCGTATAACAAAAACACCTCTTTGCAATCATCAACGTCAATTTCATGATTATTCGCCATCTTAATATGCTATACTAAACTTTGTAAGACAATTTTCCTTTCACCACAGTTCTAAGTTCTAACTTGGTAAACTTGGTAGCTAGTTTGAACGAGTCAGGGGGTCAGTCACACAGGATTGCCAGGTATTATGATGAGGGGATTGGGGAGAAGTCTATCATACCGTTTTGTCCAGTTTTGTCTGACAAAAAGATTTGCAAACTACAAATTTACACTCGAAATGTTGTGACTTTGTTATATTATCTATGAAACTACAAATTTACTAGTTTTTGACTTTGTCTTTTTGTAACTTATTATCATCGCCTAGTATATATATAGTGCATACAGTTTTGTCGACTTGTTACTCAAGTAACTCCACAGTCTCAAACATTTTTAAAGTGTATTTGAGAGAAAACTGAATAATTTCACCTTAGAAACATCATATTCGCCCTGGAAACGTGTACCGGCATTTTAAGCGCGTGCACGCGCGCACTGAGATCGCGCCTGTGCAAGGTCAATCGAATTCTTAAAGTACTTTATTAGTTTTTTCAAAGTCTAATATTTTTTGTGTTTGTCGGACGTCCACGATGCTAGCAGCAACGAAGTAACAAGGGTCTGAGCTTTGCTGTCGTTGGTTGGAAGTGGGTCAAATTGAATCAATCATAAAACAAAAAGCTATATTTGATTGAAAAATACGAATATATGATCTCTAACACCATTTTATAAAAAGAAGCCAAAATAAGCCAGATAATAAATTTAAGCCAAACGAAGTTTACCTAAGCGTCTCAAGAGGAGTGAAAGAATCCCAATATGCCAAAAAGAGGAAAGAAAAGATCAGGTGATGGAAGAGAACAGTACGAAGGTCGACCAGCTGAGTTAACATTTACTGAATTCTTACCAACGAAAAATTTTCCAGTGAAAATCATGATATTACAACAAACACAGAGACACAAGATTCACAAGACAATAATCAAGAGCGTATGGGGCTAGCCGAAACCTCAGAACAATCACGGGAATACACCGTTACCCGTACAAAGAAAGGAAAACTTCCAATAACCTACGAAAACCGCTCAAAAGGCAAGAAAGTGACTGTAGTTTCTAATATAAGTGAAAATGCAGAGTTACTCCTGGTCGAGCTTCGAAAACGTTTGGGCGTCGGCGGCGTTTCACGAGGGACGTTTATAGAACTCCAAGGTCTCTCTTGCTCCCTCCCAAAGATGGTGGATTACTTACGAACTGAGTACTCAAACTGTCCTGCATGTAAAGAACAGTGAACTCTTGACTATAAAGACTGGAACGATAACTGGCAGTAACAGTTATCTCATAGAGTTATCTGGTCGCCAACTTTGAAGACCGTTTAAGGCCCGTTTCAAACGTCGACGTCTGAAATGGGCCTTAAAATTTCTTTAGAATTAGCATGTAAAACATCATTAACGTGTAAAACATATTTAACGTGTATATACATGTATGCATCAGTATATTTCAACTTTGATCGATCGTTTTATGTACATTGAATGACTACAGAAATAATATGAATGACAGTCGTTTAGTTCCGACGTTTTAAACTGAAGTGATGGATGTTACGAGGTTTTCGTAATGAATCTGGCCATTGTTGTCCTCCTGGCCAGCCAAAAGAAGATCAACTTCCTCATCGCTTAATCGGTCCCCAAGATTTGTGAGTAGCTGTCGAAATTCTGCAGAGCTTATTGTACCATTTGCATTTCTATCAAACACTTTGAAGCATTCAACAAACGACGCTTTAATAGCTGTATGAAATTTAAAGTATGGAGATATTAGTGCATGGACAGCATGGTATGACAGTATATGACTATAGGGCAAAGACGTTACGGCACGGGAGGGGGGAGGAAGAGCGTTCCCAATCTCGTTCCCAGGCTCTTTACTCGTGGGGGGGTTGAACGAGGTTGGAGCGTTCCCACCAGAAACATTCGAATCTAGAGAAGTTGGGCGCACGCGATAAAGAATAGAACGTGCACCCGGGTTTATGATGAATGATCAAATTCCTACCAAAAGTTTTACCCGGGGGCGGGGAATCATGTTGACGAGTTATTTCTCCCTACTTCCTAGTTACCTTAAGCTTGACGAACCCTAGAGCTTTGTATTTAGCAAAATGTCACGCTTTCTACTTAGCAAAATGTCACTCGTAGAGTGTTCGGTGAACATTTTCACCGAACCATAGACTTCCACTTGGCTACGAATGACATTTGATGCACCGGGCTTTTACAAATGCATTTTAAGACAGAGGCTCGATTTACCGTAGGGAACCAAACGCATGTATGTAATGTTTACACCAGGCATACAGTTTTTGTACTTTTTCTCGCTAATGGCTGTTTAATATTTAAAATAAATGTGTGTGGCCGTGCGGTCGTCAGATCTTTTCGAATGCAAATTTCTGAACTCTGAAAAATCGAAGAATCTCTACGTAGTCTGTTTCAAGAGATTTTTGGGTATTGAACCACCAAACCAAATACCCTGTGGCTGTGCATGAAAACATGAACAGTTTTAAAACCTAGCAGTAGCATATCTCATATTATAGCCGACGCTGCTGATACAGACAGGCTAATATTAGGTAGACCAGTTCCTCATTTCACACTGAATCTTCCTAGGTACTGAAAATGGTCATTTTAGGACCTCAGCTAAGGCCAGATCATGACCAGTCAGTTTTCAAGGCAGCTCAACTTGAATTAAATTAAAAAAAATCGCAATTAAAATTTGTAAATGGGATAGTATTGTTTGCTTTTGGAATTGAAGTACATATTACAAACTTATTTTGGAAATTAATGTGGTTTTGAAACGCGATTCTTAAAAACTGACAGGTGAATAATATTTAGAGATACCTCAATGGATCATTCAAGTTGATTTTTTGCGAAACGCGTAAGAACAAGCAGAATATTGTTGATTTATTGCCAGTATAAATGTATAAAAGATCTTAAAATTATACAAGCAAGATAAGAACCTAGAATACACACTGCTACTTTTAGTTGTGAAAATGAAAAGCGCAGTCCTACCTGGAGTTAACTTTCGTGGTTTTGTTGCTTGGAATATCGGCCAAAATGCTTCAAACGAAATACGTTTACCAGCCTTGAACTGCTGTTCCAGCTTAACTAGCTCGCTTTCTGTTGGATTTGAACCCAAAGCTCTCAAAACTTCGCCTACTTCGTGGACATCTATCTTGTGATCTCCAACTCGATCGTATAACAAAAACACCTCTCTGCAATCATCAACTTCATAATTCGCCATCTGAATATGTTATACTAAACTTTGTAAGACACTTTTCCTTTCACCGCGGTTCTAACTTGGTAGCTAGTTTGAACGAGTCAGCACGCCTTCAGGTTTTATACTGTTTACATACGAAACGATTCATAAATTATTCAGGTTACGATGAGGGCCGACAGGTTATGTGAGTGTAATTTGAATAATAAAGACGCGAAGATGATCAGGCGCGGATCCAGCCGAAAATCTGACCGTGTCATATTGGACTAAAAATTTTCCGGTCGGGGGGGGGGGCGTATGGCGAAGGGGGAACGTTTAAAAGCGAATATTGTAATTTGTAAATCCCTGTACTTTCATAAAACCACTGTAAACCATTTTCAAAATTTTTGTCAAGGTATTTACGGATATTTCATTCACACTCAACATAACGTGAGATTTGCATACACAAATTATTCACAGCGTAAATGCAAATTTGTATCATATGGCGCTTTCCATTAAGCGGCCAAAAAGGTCAGACCGGTCATATTTTAAATTGAAATAAAGTATTTCGTTAAGAATATAGCGGTGAAACTGCATTTCCTGTGCTAGGCAGATGTAAATAACGATATACTTTTGTCTGTACCGACTACCGAACACAACAGAACCGGTCTGGCCGTTTTTCCGCATAAAGAAGAGCGCCCATAGTTCGATTTAAAACCTAAAAGTCTTACCTTACAAGGACATTAAGTAAAGATTTTCAGTATTTGTCTCTTGGGAAATAGCAGTTTAAAAATTGTCGTTGCGATTGTATAACGCGAGCGAGCGAAGCCTTTCTTTAGTAATCATTCCATCACGTTGTAGCATGAAGAGCGATATTTCCCCTGAAATATGCTCGCTTAGATTTGCTTTTGAGAAATTTCGACGGATTCATGTATTAATACATTCGATTCAGCCTGAATCAGCCAGGATGCAGCGAACAGACCAATTTAACATGTTATTTGTAAACTATATTCCGAGTTCGAAGTCGAGAAGTGTCGAACTTTATTGTTTATCATGTTTATTGCGCAATCAAAAACAGGCCACCGTGTCGCACCGTGTCGCACCGTGGCTCACGTGGCAAAAGCTTGCCCTGTGATTGGTTTGCTACACTGCACCGTGTCCGAACGTTACTATATTTAGTAACAATTGCGCAATAATCTGCACGCTGACCGTGTCAACTAGTTGCTGTGATCGCAGCTTCGAATGCACGACTAGCTTCCGAACATACTCGGCACAATTCGGCAAGCTTTCGGCGAATTTTATAGTTCAGTGTTAACTGAACAATCATAATATGAAACAAGGAATAATAATTGGGAATTTGTTACCACTTTTAGCAGGAATTGGTAATAATATGACAACGATTACGAAAGATATTACTCAAATAATTTGTTTTAGACATATATTTCCTTAATTCTGGTGTGATTCAAAGAATTAATATGTACTTCTAAATAATGTGTGAATATTAGATTGCAGATGGGAAAATTCTGGATGGGAAAATCTGACCGTGGCTCGAGCCACGTTCGATACGGTCTGGATCCGCGCCTGATGATGGCAACTGATGAACAGAAGTTTCGATTAAATATATTGAATTAAAGTTAAAGTAGGTCTGTTTGTCTGTGTCCACTGAAATTGAAATAAAAAAGATAGCAACAAAATAGTGATAAAAATGAAAACGCAAGTCTTACTCTTATGGCATGACGGAAGTTGGTGGAAATTGCAGTTTTGCATGATATTGAAAAAAACTTTATTCAAATTAGCTTGCTACTGCAAGGATAGATATTTACATTTGGCGAACATTAGGATTGGAAAGCCATGCACATTACTACAATAAAGAAAAGTTTTGGGTGTCAGACTAAATGCCCTAACAGTCTAGCTGTTACACAGTGCAATTTTTCATGCAATCTCACGACACCATTTCGAGATTTAAACTTTCCTCCAGGAGGATTCTAAACTATATATAGTAAAGAACTTCGAGGAGATAATGAATATGAGATACCATGAGATACCATAATCACATATTGTTGCTTTGCAAAGGAATTCAATATACTATATAGCAATTCAATTATATAAACCAATTTTTTTATCACCAGGCTAGGGCTGCTTTGGTGAGACAAATAAGTTTGTGATTTCCTACTGTTTCTGCCACTGAGCCGCGGGATCCTTCGTTATACATTACATTTTTCTCGGATACAGGAAAATTTCCTTTGGTCTTTGGATAGTATATCCACAGAGTTTTTGTTAATCTAAGATTTTCAAAAACATTTGCACCGTTTGAAAAGTGACCTAGAAGGAAGGCCCCAACCTTGACGTGCTTTCAACCCCTCTGAAGAAAGATTCGAGAGTCTCTGGTCACCTAAGGTTACATTTTTTTATCGCGTGTCCGCTGGTCATTTCTCTATTTTTTTCTTTCATGTTTCGTGCTTAATGGACCTTTTGCAGAATAGACCAACTTTTGAATTAGGCAGCAAAAAGGAAATTTCCGAAAAGTGCAAACTAAATTTAGTAAAATTAACAAGTTTGGCTGCAAAATATTGTAAAGTATGGAAAATATAGCCTTGCGAAGTTGCCAATTTTGTATACTTTTTTACTACGGCTGGAAGCGTGTAACTAATTTAGTTACACGCGTCCGGCCGTAATACAAAAGTATACAAAATTCGCCAACTTCGCATGGCTATATCTGCGGCACTTTACAATATTTCACACCAAAACTTGGTAATTTTACTAAGTTTTGTATGCTCTTTTAGGAAATTCCCTTTTTGTCACCTGAATCAAAAGTTGGTCTATTATGCAAAAGGTCCATTGTGCCATGTAATAATGAAGCAGCAAAAAACCCAACTTCTTTAGATGGGAGATTGATAGTGCGAGAGAAAACTGCACTGATTTAACTTTGCACACTGGAACTATGGTGAGGTAAAGGACTGTTTTAGTTAGTTTGGTAATGTTACCCAGCATGCGGTTCTTGTGATGGCATCTGAATTTCCTGTATTTTGTGAATATTTTTCTTATTTTTCACATTATATCTTTCCAATGATATTCATCAATCTGCAGGCATGTGCTATCATTTAGGAAACCATATAATTAAAACTGGCATGAAGCAAATCCATTTTACGCTTCGTTAAATCTGGGTAACCGAGCTCATGTGAACAACCCCTAATATTTTAACAACCTTGACCCAGCCAAGTGACTATAAATAGTTCATCATCCTGTCATATATTTGACTGATTTGACGGGTGATATGGCCCACCCCCAATCAAGAGACACAATATAGAAAGAACAGACAGAACCGTTGTAAGACGCAGAGCATCGAATCACAGTGATCAGAATTAAAGAAATCATCCTGAGACAGAACAAGAATTGACCATAATGGTAAGAGAATAAACTACAGTGAATATTGTGATGAAGTTGCTCTCTCTAAGTCACCAACCGGGTAAGCTGAAAAATTAGTTTGATCACGGTGGGAATCGAACCCGCGTCCTAACTCCTTTGGTTAGCTAGTCTAAACTAGCTAGACTAAACTACAATGTTAGATCCATCAACACAACCATGCAGTTCATGCTATTTACTGCTGATGTAGAAAGATGCAGTGAAATTATTGCTAGTGCAGTACAATGCCAATGGATGTAGCGCAGTATGTGCGGTAAACGTTCAGCACAAAGACGGTCTGAGCTCAGTCTAGTTCAGCGCTGCAGAAAAAAGCAGAAGTAATTGCATGTGGAACATCTACTTTGAAACATTTCAGTGGCGGAACATTGTGCATATATAATGTGCGTTACATTAGATTATTTATATAGCTTGCATTCGTACTTGAATTCATTACAGAATGCCTTTTTTCTCGCGAGGGGGGAAATATCGACGGCTGTTTCAAGCTAGCATTTTTTACACAGAAAATTGCTGGGCCTCAGGTCAAACTCGTTCCTTACAATTAATTTGTAAATTTTATGAGTGAATGCCGCCAATTAAATTGGACAAGTGTCAAGCTGTGCCGTATGATAAAGACTGTGATATTTATTATTTTTCAAACTAAATACAGGTGCACCTGGAATCGTACTTTGTCTTTGATTACGTTTACAGGATTACTCCTAAATGCGTGTAATATCGACAACCAAGTTCTATTGCATCGTGAGAAACATGATTAAAACCTAGTTCGCAAATTCGCTCATTTTGCAACTGAAAATTTAGGGCTTCAGGGTGGTCCAAACAGGTGTGGGGTCATGTTCATTTATATATAGCGAGTCGCCAGACGGGACACGCATTGTGGAGGTTAACTTTTGTAAATCTACAACTGCGCTAACCTCTCTCAAACAGGTAACGTACTGCAGTTACAGAAATACGGCTAGTACAATACAACCGCAATATCAGTGTTTCACTGACATCAGTCGTAGAGGCGTGTATCTATTCCATAGGTTTGCCATTAACGCGTTTTAATTCTGTAGATTTATTAAGACTTTAGTTATTTTTACAAATATTTAGAGCTTTTTGTGCATGTATGTGAATGTGAAAACACTACTCTGTGGCCTCCCGGAGTTTTGGGAGAAATTCATATATTCGTCTTATATGCCATTAGAGAAACTTGCTGAGCCAGCTGAGGATAGAAAAACGCACTAAGCAACTTTTGGGCTTTCAATCAATGAGAGTGAATCATTACTAAAGCTATTTTGGGTAAAACGTCATGGTTCTATTGTTCATTTACAAAGAAAGGTCATTTCTATTTATAGAATCGTGGGAAAATTTCCGGGCAAATAGCTCGGGGTTTTTCACTCAGAGCATTATTATCTCAACAAAACGTCTATTTAGGGAGAGGGGGTCAGAGGTAACAACTCTGAACTTTGACTTACCTGGTTGAAGGAAGGGAGGGTCTCTGGGCAGGGTCACCCTATAGGGGGGTGATCCTGAGGAAATATTCATCTTTTTTGATATTGTAATAATTTCATGATAAATGTAAGTGTAAACTTTAACCAGTAATTTTAATTGTTCGGTAATATTTAGGAATATCTCACAGCAGAAGGTATAATTGTAACAAACAGAATTTTTGTTGGTAGTATTCCTGATTGGGTGAGTGATTGCCATTCATTTTATCAGCACATGTTCATTATTTTTGGCAGTGAAAATTCTACCAATGAGATTTAATATTTCACACAAGTAAATTGACTATTTTGTTTGATGTATACTGTAGATGTGTGAAACTAAACTGCAGTTGGCATTCCAAGATCTCAACTTTGATGTTCAAGATACAAGAATTGTATTAGACATGAAGACAGGGGAACCGAAAGGGTAAAATAAATCTATTTTGATAATCAAGAATGAGTAAAAACCTACACATTTCTGCAATGTTCTCATGTCAATTCTAAAATTGAATATATATATGCTGTGCTTTAGGTATGGTTTTGTGACATTTTATAATGTAAATGATGCAAAGGAATTGATAAAGAAGGTGATTGGGGGGATCAGATTTACTATTCTACAACACTATTCACACATCAATTGCTAAAGTGTCTTGACTCATAAGGTTGTTATATCAGTTATATAAACTTGTGTGTTAATTTGCTTTAGGGTTTTGTTGTTACCAATGATGGAGTTAAACTTAAAATTGATACAGCTGTTAGAAAGAAGGTATATTTAACCAATGGATCAATGCATACACATGTTGCATTCAGTGGAAAATGCCTTGGGATTGTGCAAGACAACTTATCTATCTTCTACTAATTATAGGGTATGCAACATCGATTACAGAACATGTTTTCTCAGAGTAAGTGTCAATTGATAACTAAATCATCAATTTGTATGTAGAAAATCCCATGTGTATTTGTTATATGCAAACGCTTTAGGGCCTTATTATTTCATCTTTTGTTTTGTTTTTGCTTATTAGACGTAATGATCAACAAACCTGCGGGATACGATCATTGCATATTCTACCCAAGTACACAGAATCATCACACACAGCAAGCTCAGGTGAAAAATTAAGCTCATATGATTGTGTCATGATGTTCTAATTTCATGTACCTTGATTTGTGATTCTTGTTTTCACTACAGATACCTGACAGTTACAAAGCAATGGGCAATTATGCTACGAATATTCCATTTCATCCATCATGCACTTACTTTTGGCAAACCTAGGTTTCAACAGCTGGGCATCCAGCTTTCAAACATACTGTAAATATTAAGCAGCATGCTGCCCCTGCTGGACAGATTATTGCATGCCTGCTGGGGGATATTTTATAATCATTTTATCAAAAAATGGTTCGTGTTTAATATTAAAGGTAACATTTGGGGAACTTTCATGAATAAACTATTTTACATATACTTTTGGTTTATAGGTACAATTGGGGAAATAATTGGGATAAATGTGTATATATGCATAAAAAGTTATAGTTTAAATAAAATTTTACATACACAATACATTTATTAAATCTTATGTGATATGCATCATGCACTACAGACTGTAAACAGTCACTTTTAGGGTTGATTCATCTGTTATATTGTCCTATTATATACCTTCTCTTAAGTGTGAAATGCAACCAATCTTATAAGATTACAGTTATCAGGATGTCGCTGTATGATGTTGGATCGTAGTAGCAGTTGTATGTAAGGTGCCCAGTATGTTGGCAGTATCTTGACATAACAATCATGAGGACTTTCAAACAACCTATTCATCAGCGCCTTTGTTAAAAATAAAAATATAAAGCTGGTTTTGATAACCCTACCAATTCCAAAGAGAAAATTCTGAAAAGTATTACAAGGAAAATCTATTTACCTCAATTATATGCTGCAAACTGCAGTATTGTGTTTGCCATCCAGATTCCTCATCCTACAACAGATTTGAAATTTTGAGCAGAATAATTGAGAAGATAACAAAACAACGGAAATTAAATAGCTGTACCTCACTATCTGTGTGGTTTGGAGCTGGAAAATGATCTGACAAAAACTTGCCCTGGAAGAATTTAAAGAAAATAGTTATTTTTGATGCCAGAAAAACATCAAGGCATTGATTCAAAAAGTGCAAGTTCTTACAAGCTGATTCATGACTGTTAAATGATCTTTGGCAGCTTCTTTCTTCTTTGCCTGAAGCTCAGTCAGTATACTAAGTTAAGACAAAAGTTCATCAATCCATATTTGTTCCTGGTATGTTTGTTATTGCATAGTTTATTTCTGACAATTCTTTTTATGAAATCAAAGACCTGCTTTTTTGCTGCTCATCTTCTTGTTTGTACAACACCTTAATTTTCCTTTCCAAGGATTCTTGGATTGCTTTTTGTTCCTCCAACATTTTTTTCTCCCTGCAGTGAGCAAAAATGTAGGAAACTATAGGCAAACTGATTGGAGATTGAAAGAATGTATACTGTTGGTATGTTCACAAAGTTTTAACTGAGAATATAGACATATCTAAATTACCTTATTATATCATCAGCAACCTCCACTCTTTGCTCTTTCACAATACCCAAGGCATTTTGCAATTGAGAAACATTTTGCTTAATCTTTGAAGAAACAAACTGAACATTTACAAAATGTAATTTTGAGGGATTCCCTCATAATTACTTAATTTTAACAGTTAGTTTACTTACACTATCCCAAAGAAATGCCTCCACATTACGAAAATCTTTTGATATCACTATATAAACAGTTATTTTACACATCTTAGCTCACTTTAGTTGTAAATGAATAGTGAAACAAAAAATCAAACCTTCAACATCTTGATTTTTAAGAATATCCAGCTGAGCTTGTAATCTTCTTTCTTTATGCCTTAAGATTTTTATTGTCTAGAAAAAAATATTCACATAAGAATTATTAATAGGCGAACAATAGCAGGTGTGGAATTACTAGATGTAAAAATGTGATCAAGAAGGGCAGACAATATTCTGTATATGCAACAAGGTATTCTCCGGTGACCAGCGAGGTAACATAATCATCTGCACATGCATGATAACAGCAAGTATTTAACCGAGTTTATACATTCATAGTTGTTTTACATCCTGGCAAAGCATGGTTGGTCAGCACACTAGTTCCATCTCTATATCCATTTTTTTCACTCTATAACCAGCAGTGTGTGAGAACAATACTTACTGCATTTGACTTGTCTGTTCCAACTGGGGGTTTATCATTTTTGTGACTTGCCAATCTGTTATGAGTCTACAACACATGGAGACATTTGTGCATTATATATATTTGGTATTTTTCCTATCAATTTAACCATTGATTTGTATAAATGGTTAAACAGATGTCAGCTTACGCACCACTACCCACTGGGCCTTGCCCACTTCATAATATATTCCACCACTATCTATAGACGTATAGAGTGATGGGTATCAGTCATGCATGTCCCCATTGAAATTTCTATTGTCTTTGCACCCCTGCGAGATGGCGCGGGCCTTTAACCTTGGAAGGGTCTGTTAAGGGTAGGGCATACACCAAATCTTAATTCTCCATCGTTTGTGTATTGGGAGGAAATTTTGATAACAATTAAACGAGGTCAAATTATTTATACCTCCTGAATATGTTCCCACGTTAATTCACATTCATCCATAATTTCGCCAAACTTTTTTCTTGATTCATTTGCACTGCTGGTTGGACTGCAGTCATGACTATCATACGATGTTTGCACATTTGCAGACGCCATAACTTCAATAAAAGATAACTCCTTTTACCCAGCAACACATTGCTTCTAGTTTTACGTCAATTTTGCGTTAGTTTGAAATAAAAAAACCATCGAAAATTAGACTATTTTCTCGCTAAAACAAATTACCCGCCAGGAAACCGGTAAAATTTCTCGCGATAAACGTTGTTTATAAAAGCGCGGCGCCAAAAACTTCCAATGCCACTGATCTCAAAATCACAAGGTTGCAGTATGTATTCTTTGGAACTTGATACCAGTTTTACAGTTTAATATTTGCGCATTTTACAAATTGACGCGAGCGCGGCAAAACAATGCGTGGATTAAGTGGTGTCGCATTTCTATTGACAGATGTGAAAGAATGAACCGTAATTACAATACATAAGAACCAATCAAAAATCGTCATCAAAATTACCATGGTGAAATATTTTGCGAGACAATGGCGTCTGGCGTTTGCACAAATCTACTGAATGAAATAATCCTAAATTGCCTTTGAGAAGGACGTTTAGAAAATCGCCCTAAAATTGGTCTGCACGAAAAACTGCTGACGTGCGCAAGTACGAAACACTGCAAGATAACATATCGGATGTTAGGTAAGATATCAAATATATCAAATACATGTGATGTACAGTCATTGATATTAAATCTAAGTAGGACTATTTACAACATGGTTCATTCATTGTGATGCATATCCCGCCAAGCACATCTTTGCGAGCAAAATGATTGCGTTCAGTCAAAACCTGCAGCACTTTGCCAAAAATAACACCGTGAGAGTGTCGTTGGTAATTTTGGTTTAGGGTAGAACATGTTTTTACGGATTGAAGCCAGTGGAGTACAATTTTGATATGTTGTACAAATTGAAATCTAATCAATGAAAATGGTGCTTCAGTCGCGAAAATCCAAATGCGTCGTGCATGGAATTGAGATTATCCAAAAAGACAAAGTGCTAGACAAAAAAAAATTGCATTTGGGCACTAAATCAGTCGCATTTTTGTTCTTGCTCTGAAGAAACAAGCACAGATGGACAGTCACTTAACTACCAAATAATTTCAGAGCGAATTACCGTGTGCATAATTGTCCAAATTTCATTCATTTGCCCGCACTAAACCATTTGCATTCGAAAAAACTCTAAAGAGTTTGGCAAAAATTTCCAAAAATGAAATGGCGTTTCCGAGAAAGTAATAAACAACAATTATGTGTTTGGAAATGGAGAATACTTCTACCCTTTTAGGCTGTTACTGCTTGTCTATTACCAATAATATAAATTACTAATAATCCCGATCAACGACTTCAGCTGATGACACTTTGTATACGAGTTTTATATTCATAGCGGTAGACGCTTTTCTAGTTGCGCTTAATCTTCGGCAATTTCAAACTCAAGATGGAAGAAAACAAATTTGTTGACAACCTCTGCTTAAATTCAAGTTCGATGTTTTTCGAGTCGAGGGTTATTAATGACGTATCGGGAGTTTGTAGTGGAGTCAAGACGCGACAGACGCGACTCATGACACGCATAAATATTTTTACCAACACTGATATACAGCTAAATGAAATACGACGTGCAATGATTTTCAACCCCACTTTATCAAACATTGCATTGTTTCTTCAGATACTAACGTTTCCTCCCGTCCAGTGACAGGGACGATCCGGGTCCAAGTCCAACTGAGGAGACTACATTTCAGAACTAGTTGAGCTTCATATAGTAAAAATATAAGTAATAATGATGGTCTAGTTTTGTATTACGCAGAACTAGAATGCATGGGGTTGAGTAATATTTGAGTGTAAAAGGAGGCATACGGTTGGAATTTTGGTGTTATCACAACTGCGGTCCGATGAAAGCCAGGGATTAAGATTTATTGCAATAAATGAATGAAACCTAAGCTTCGAAAAGCTCTTGATAAATCATTGAGCAAAAACATTCACAAAAACTATATTCAATATAAAAGTTGACTTGAGCTGTAGACTGCTCATTTTTTCTTTAATTCCTTCTACGTTTTGTAAATATTTCAAGCAAATAGCCTGGAAAGCAGTTGTTGTTTTCCAGAGGCAATAAAAGCCGTAAAGTCAATATTTGTCAGTCCGCAATGACACTGGGATTAAGGATAAGCTCAGTGGACAATACCCGTGCATTTAATGTTTGTACATTACGTCCTTAATCCAATCAGTTTTCTTTCCTTTATCAGCTGATGTATGACGTCACAGTTGTGCCTGTTGAACACTGAGGAGTGAAGCCTTGACACCCAACGCGCACCAGTTGCGTCTTACGCTGCCCTAGGCCTATTAAACTAAATTTTCGTTAAGTGCACTTCAGCGATGAGTTGCCTTTAAGACCTGGGTCACCTGTTGTGATGTTTTGGCTAATGGCTCGCAGTAGTCTATTAAATTTAATTTCAGACTTTGATACCGATGAGGTCTGGCTTGAGGTCTGGAGTACCTAAATCCCGTAGCACGCCACAATCTCGACACCAGAACCCGTGATCCAACGCGGGCTCTGGTTTCGAGATTGAGCACGCCACTGCTTCACCGTAGACAGAAATCAATTCTTAACTATGACTATTATTGAAATTACCCAGGTTGACCGGCTCGTAAAGAAGATAGTGGTATATATGATAGTGACAAAATAATGATACGCTCAACAAGTATGAAGCCACAGAAAAAATCCAAACCACCGCCCTTAGTTCTGTGCAGCTCGGAGGCTCATTATTGGCCTCTTCCCAGTCCTCTCGCTGAATTCGCAGCAATCGCTACAAGTCCTGAGAGCCCATTGGTCAAAGAAATGTCATGTGATAATATGTCGTCGGTTAGTAACGCCTTCAAGGTAAAGGTTTGGCAATGTTTCGCAATGTAAAATCACTCAAAAGTAGAATAAAGTTTTACTCATATACTATAGCTATTACCCAATGAGTCACGTGTGGCTCTGTGCTATTCCTTGGTCTAATATGGTTGAAATCATTTTTAGCTTCCCAGTATCGAACATGTTACTCCGTCAACTGATCCGTGCACTTCAGACTTGTCGTCATGTAGTGAAACTCCCCTGCTTACCACCCCTTGCTCATCATTTTGGGAGAGATTTAATCAAGACCTATCGAGCCAAACAGACACCAACTGTGCGTCAATAAAATACACAAGTCTTCAAGTAGATGACAGATCCATGGAAACCACGAAGGTATAATGGTTTTGTTTTCTTGTAAAAAGTATATTTTCTTAACCCGCCTTTTACATGTATAATAATTTTTTTTTTATGTTTTAATAACTGTGTAAATGCCTTCTAATTGTTATGGTGATAAATCAATACAATTTAAATAAACAAATATATTTTAACATACGTACACAATTATCTAGACGTCCACCTTGTTTCGACCTCACAACATGAAAGACATTAAACGAGAATTATCCAACGTTGACGACAACAACTCCTCTACATCGTTCAACAATCAGTCTCCTTGGTCAAAATACTACACGCATGAAAACTTGAGTCGTCTTGGGATACCTTGTCGAGAGTTGTTGCTTGGTGATGTCTGTATTCCACTTTGCAACACAAAAGAAACAACTCCACAAAATGAACATTTTGCCGGAAAGACACAAGATACAAAACCGTAAGTAATGACGTTGATCTTTTCTGCCTGCGTTTGTCTGCGTTATATCTTTTCATCTCTTGGGGCCAGCACTTGAACTTCTTAAATCTTAAACCCCATGATTAAGCTTTTACTGACGATGTCAAGCATATTTGGCACACATTTTTATATTCATACATCATTTTCAAGCCATTTTTCTTCCTTCGTTTCTGTTTTTCTTGAAAATCTGTTTTACATTTTTTAACTTTCTTCTTTCTCACAAACTCAAAACACGTTTAATCACATAATAAAGAAAGCGTGCAAAAGACGTGTAAATATATTATTCATTTTGTTGATAGATCTGTTCTTTTTGACTTGGATTCGGCAGCCCAAGCATTGAGTAACATGGCCAAGGTAGAATAAAATATTTTCAGATGCATATGAGAAAAGTTAAGAGTGTTTCATATCGACTGGATTATTTAAATATTTCAGAGAAAGGAACAACATGTTGAATACAAAAGAAAGCTAGAATCGACTTTGAAGATTGTGAAAAATAAAGGAACTCGTGTCAGAAAACGAAAAACCTCAAATTCATCAGCACGAAGACCTATGAATGCATTTATGTTGTTCGCGAAACGATTTCGACTGGAAATCACAAGAAAACATCCCGGAAAAGATAACAGGTGCGAGTCGGTTGGTTTGAGAGTTTATGCTAACCATTATGTTCAAACCTGACGCCTCTATAAAACCATGAATGCATTGTACCCGAGCTTGTTCAGTATGAGGCAAGTTTGACTGCAATTGCGATGCATATCCCATTCAGCCTTTTCTTGGTCGAGTTTTGAAAAAAAAACGCCGAAGACAACCAGGGCCGTAGCTAGACCGCTTAATTGGGGGGGGGGGGTGTATATTCATATATTCATGTTTATATACCATAGGAACAATAGCATACAAAATAAATCATTCGGGCATATGACGAATATATGAATATGCACCCCCCAATTAAGCTTCTAGCTACGGCCCTGAAGACAACAATATTGCGCTGCAAGTTGCAGAGACTGCATGCATGAATCGTCTCGCCGTAATCAATCTTGATGTCATTTACACTACATAGCTATCTACAGTGAAAGCCAATTCAATTGAAGTTTTTTCATTCAATGTTTTATACCAGAGCAATCAGCGTAATTCTCGGAGATGAGTGGAAATCCTTAAGTTCAGAAGATCGTAAGGTGTACATCTTGGAAGCAAAGTCTCTTGCGGAGGAGCATAAACGGATTTACCCTGATTGTTGGAAAAGAAAACGTACAACACAGGTAATGATATCAACACTTTGTGATAACATTAGATCACTTCTTTTAAATCTCACTCACACGCAGCAGATACATGATCATTATATTAATTATGAGGACGAGTTACGCGAAATTAATAACTGTAGTTTGCTGTGGTATTTAGCGGTAGCCTCTATTTCGTTTTACAGGTCTCATCAAGAGGGAATCGAAAACATTGAAAAACCCAAGATGTACATACATACAACAGAATGTTTCCAACAAGCTTGAAAGAACAATGCTTTTCAATCCATTTATCTTGGTATTCACGGGAGCACAGGGCTGGATTGATACGCTGTTGGTCCTGGAACTTCGGGACTGAATGTGTGGGCCTTAAATATACATATATTTAAATTTATAATATCGCTTTTTGGTTGTTTCCAAAGAAAAGGGCCTATTAAACTATCTTTACACCTGGGCCTGGAGCTGCCGCCTCATCCGTCCCTTGCGGAGTATACACAAATGATTTGACCTGGAGGGTGGAGGGTGGGGGTAGCATTGTCGCTACAAGCCGGCACAAGCATAAGGGTAATCGTGTAGAGTTGAAACATCTCGAGGGTTACCCCCTGCCTCCCTCCTCCGCATCTACGGCCCTGGGCCCAGCATTGGCAATGTATAGATCTTTCATCATCGTTCCCAGGTTTTTTGATAGAGGCTTTAGAGGTATTGGTAATGACATGAAATAAACAGGTGTAAGATTTTCCAATTATAAAAAATTTTAAAAACTCCATATCACTATATCTCCTCATTGCATTGTATATTACAGGGAAGAAACTTGTGCAATCTTAGTTAGTGTAGTCTCTGACAGGGTGTTTGAAAACAGACGGAATCCGCATATAAATAATTATGTATTCCAAGGTTTTCTAAATTGATTCAGTACCCTAAGTGTTCTTTTTCAATCACTTTAAAATTTCCTGCTGCGCGTCAGCGCGTTGTAACTTTAGCGATTGCAGGCATTGATTTGACTAACATGTCTTGGGGATTTAGAGAATAGGTAGAGAATAGAGACGATAACCCAACCAGAGTTTCGAGATTGCCCCATGAGCAGCCCATGAGAACATGAGAGGTTCCCATGAGATTGCCCTAGCGACAAGCCGACAACCCTAAAAAGCCTGGGACTAGCATTCATAAAAGTTTATTTTGTTTCATAAATTATATGAATCATGAATATGAATCAGTTCCATTTCATTTTTTTACAATAATGATTTACAAGGACATAACATGTTAAAGAAATACAAGAAATATATACCTTTTAATGGATTATTTGCAGGAGTGAAATTTGCGTAATGGTGAAGGGTTGAAGTTGAAAACAACAAAATATTTCGTCCAAGGGCAAGTTGTGTGAAGTATTCTGGATACTTTGGTTTGACAGGACAGGTTGAGGTTCGGTGATGTTGAGACGATTAAAAAACCTCTTCTATCGCTTTGTGGTGCAAAATTTAACTGTAAAGACAGTGGTAGGGTTTATCGTTGTGATATGTTTACTAAAAACTCTGAAATATGGAATACTATACTATGCAGATATTGAGAGATATTACGTAAAGGTGAGTCAATATAATCTAAATTATAATATAATTTATCAACGGATTAGAGTTCTTCAATTGATAACTACTGATTGAACATCTCGAAGCATCTGCAGCGGGCTTTGCATCAGAATGCCTTGCAATCTGGCATAATATATAATTAATAGAGGTTTAAAGGGTCTTAATTATAATCGAAATTTTTTTTCTTGCAAGAAAAGGACAATTGTCCAAAACCTAGCAGGTCATTGTCATATTCAGTAGACCACACCTCAATGAAATGAAAAGTGACACAGACACTCCTTTCACAAGTGAAATCACAGAATTTAATTCAATAAACTAAGAATGATTATTTTTGGAATTTGCAGATTGAAAACTTGGATATTATATCGGGTGATTTTTATTGCAAAAGCTCAATCACAAATAACTCATGCACTTTGTACACAAGTGATGCAATGTCAATGTGTTACAACTTGGGAGATAAGTGTAATGGTTTCACATATAACATTGGGCCAAGAACATCAACACTTAAACAAGGGACCAAAGGAAAACCAAGATTTACACTTGGAGTGGTGACATTTTATAAAGATGAGTATAAAGATCTCTTGATGTTGAAGGAAACAAAGGGCTGTGCTCCTGTGTTGGTGAGTAACGTAAAAGTGAAGCCAGATTTCCATATATTGCCATTTTTATGCCTAATTAATTCCTGATGTCTGTGGCTCAAGGATTGTGTTTTTGATTTAGTTGTGTTGTGTTATCATGTTTCTAGGAAAAAAAACAAAGTGATAAGAAGATATCAAATGCAATTTGTAACATTCCTGAAATTGACCCATTTGATGCGACAGTAATGAAAATGATTGAAAAAGTGAAGCCCCTGGTCTGTAAAGGGAATAAAAATTTGACATTTTATAACAACGGAAGACTAATGATAACACCAGGTAAAAATCCAGATATTACCTCCTTCTGCTGTAGATCATGAATGTTATATAAACACTGCTTTACACTGTTGAGTAATGAAAGTGTACACTCTGTTCGCATGGAAATGAGAAAAAAATATAATCAAATAACTATTGATTTAAGGTGCAAACTACATGCACTAACCGCTATTTACCAAAACAAACAGCCAAATTTTACCAGACATTGTGTTGTAGGTGCTAAATCGAAAGTTAAAAAAGTGGACTATGAAGTGATCAGAGGATTGAGCAACTCTGGTCAAGGCTATCAAATTTTCAAAACAGGAACCTTGACTCCATCAGACCCTGTTGTAACCTTAAATGAAGACATGTTATATGTTGAGATTCAGAAAACAGACAATACTGTTCAAAAAGAGTTTCACATGGAAGTCATTCCTCGTGAGGAGGTACTACAAAAGGTACCTAAAACTGCACCAGGAATACCTCTGAACATAATGATGGTGGGCCTAGATTCGACATCTCATGCACACTTTCGGAGGAAACTGGGTCCCATATACAAATATCTTAAAGATGAGTTAGAATCTCATATATTTAATGGTTATTCAATCCTTGGTGATGGAACAACTGTAGCACTTATTGGGATGTTGGTGGGAAGACATTTTGATGAATTACCTGAGGGAAGAAAGGGGTGAGGATAATTATCCACAACTGATTTGAGAGATCTTATTGGTTGCAACATTCTCCATTTCTTTCTTTCTTCTAAAAGACCCTGTCGTTAACAGCCTTAGGATCAGAAAGATAGCAACATGCCACGCCCAGCTGATAAAGGCTATGTGCACACGAGCATCGTCTAATTTATTGTTTTGATGCCCTGTCCACACGATCCAAGGAAAAATATGCCTAATATGTTAAATTAGCTTCAACTTCTAGTGCATGTAAGTTGACGGTGTTTGAAACTGTTTTGGCATGAAACAGTGCATGAAAACGAATGTGAAAACGCTGGAAAATGTTACCGTGTGCACATAGCCAAAGTCACTTGGTGAATGCCCAAAGCATAAATAAACCATTTTTTAAGTTCTCTTAATAGACATTAAGAGGAGATTTTTACCTATTTAAGATCATTTAATATTTCTCCAACAGCAAGAGACTAGTTTTGGGACTGTAGTTTTAACCAGCCTTGAACGCAATTCGACTCGCAACCGAAAAACATTTTAGAATATATGATATCAGCTCCGAGAAACATCTCAGAATCAGAATATATGACATCGTCATCAGATTAACTGCACGGATGTTTGAATGTATGATGATGTGTGAATCGAAGTTGCTATTATCGTCATATCTCATGACAGTTTATCTTTCTTAATATAGAAAATTGTTTGCGCAGTGTTTAGATCGTTGGCCATGGATATTCAAAGATATGAACGATCATGGTTATGCAACATATTATAACGAAGATGAAGTATTTAATGGTGCAATAACCACGCGTCTTAAAGGCTTCTGTAAACCACCAATAGATCATTACCTTCTACCGTTCTGGTATTCGGCTTTGGAAAAACACTCTTCGATGTACCAAAAAATGGTGAGCGGTATTAGTTATATCAAAGGCCACTGTCTTGGCTCCGAAGCTATATACAACGTTAGCTTAAACACCATCAAAAGTTTCTTTAAGGCATATCCTAAGAAGTTGAAATTCGGTTTTCATATGAATTCAGACTTCTGTCATCACGAGGACTTCAATTTTATATCATTAGTAGAAGACGATTTGTTAAATTTTCTGAAGTATTTTAAGAAACAAGGATTTCTTAATAATACGCTCTTGGTTCTATTTGGTGATCATGGTTTGCGCTATGGCTTTGTTCGTTCAACTGTGTTGGGACGTATGGAGGAGAGACTTCCATTTCTATCAATGACATTTCCACCGTGGTTTGAGAAAACGTATCCGGAACTGTACCATAATTTAAGGAAGAATAGCAAAGTATTGAGTACACCATTTGACCTTCACGCGACCTTTCAACATATCCTGTCGTACCCTGAGATCCCCAAAGATCTGCCTCACGGGAAGAGCTTGTTTACTGATATAGGCTGGAGGACCTGCGAACAGGCTGGAATTCCTTTTCACTTTTGTCCGTGTGTCGATTGGAATGAAGTTGAGGTAGTTTTAAATAACAAAGTAAACACCAAAAACTTTCCAAATATGACCACATTAGGTGAACAAACGCTCGCATAGATTTGAAATTATGAAATTGATCGTTCATAAGGCGAAGATGTGTTCAAGAAATTCTTCAGGAAGATTTTGCTCTGGCATTGAATATCTTTCATTTCATATATTTACTAGGTAGACAATGATGACGTCAGAAGCAGTGCACTTGCTGTGGTTGAAATGATGAATGAACGGATAGCGAATAACGGCGTTGCGGCGAAATGTGCCCAACTTCAATTAAAAAGGGTCATTTCTGCCCTTTTGATATCTTCTAAAGGTGACGAAGACGAGGATTTAAATGCAGAGAGGCGTTTCACTATGGCAAAGACTTTGAAAGGTAAAGTGTTTGGGAGCTCAAGATGATGTAGTATCGTTAGGTTACGTTGATCAAAATATTAGTCATTGCAATAGAAGGTATAATACCTAGCTAGTCGAAAAAAGAAGAATAAGTGGGGTATATACGTTACAATATAACCAAGCAGCAGCATAGCAACGTCTTCAACCAACTTCACATGAAAGTTGACAAAAAAACTTCTCGACTTTTCGACCCGAGGGCTTTATTAATTACGTCAGGAGAGTTACGTCGAGAAAATATATTTTTGTCTATTTTAGTTATTTGTTATACCAGATTTGATGTTAAGTTGAGGCATGTAAGAATTGTGATTGATATGGAAAAGTTGAGAAGATGTTTTCTCTTTAGGTGGATGTATGTATCAACTACAACTGGAAACATCGCCAAATAACGGAATTTATGAATCAACGGTCCAGTTAATCATGGGGATACCGAAGGTCAATCAACATTTAAGCAGAGTAAACAAATACAATGATGAATCAGACTGCATAAGAACGACACATCCGCTGCTCAGAGAGTTTTGTTATTGTAACATAAATGACGGAAAAACGCGGTGACCAAAATATCACCTTGTCATAAGGATATTTCATGTCTCAGTGTAAGGATGTCAGTAGAACATGCATTCAGTCTTACAGCATTCGCTTAGTATATTATTATGATCGAGGGGAGTGCTTTTTTTGAACTGCCGAAAGTGGCATTATAATGGTCGAGAGCATAGTAGCGATGCGTAATGCGATATGCGTAAGGGCAAACGTAAAAAGTTCCGACTTGAGATGTCTACTGTATATTCCTTATTCTGTGCAGTTTACAGAATTAGTAATTGACATGCATAATTTAAACATCGCAGCTGTCGTGATTCATCGCACGATCAATTGACTGTCCATTTAGAGTCGTAAAAAATATCTATATCTAACGCAAATTTTCTACCAAAAATCTTAATGATAAATTTTATGCAGAAAGCCTTTATTTATAAATTTGATTACTTTAATAATACCTTATTTACTAAAAATTAAAATGCAACAATTTAACATTTAATTTGCAACTATCATTTTCATTTTCCCATATTTGGGGGAGATACGAATCACATGACCAATGGTAACTAGGGTGTGTTTCTCGTCGAAAGACTGTTTTTCAGTAACAGTCACGCGTCTTTCATAAGCACACACCGAGATGTGTGTGATGTGATCGATAAAAAACCAAGTGAAATATAAATAAATGAAAAGAACGTACATTTAATATTATTTTGCATTCTGCAGTCCTCCCCAGTTCAAACTAATTTAGACAATTGTTATATCACATTTCTATTAGCTTTTTTCGACTCTTACCCATGGAAAATATTGGTAGCCATTCACGGTTGACAGGAATACACATTGCGACCCGCCACATTGATCCGACATTGTCTGAACGTCCACTCTTCGTACGATAATCTGAAGTGATTGTGGTTCATTCGGCCGACACAATGTCTGAACATTGGTCGATATTGGTCTGTACAAATCACTGGGGGTGATTTGATCTGATCTGACACAATGTACAAATCACTGGGGGTGTTTTGATCTGACACATTGTACAAATCACTGGGGGTGTTTTGATCCGACACGTCGTACAAACGTTAATCCGACGTCCCATGATCTGCAACTAAATTGTCGGCTTGCTGATAACCGACAAGTCTTCACAATGCCATACACCTTAAAATACCTGGCCTGGGATTCCTGGGAACCTTGCTGAAATGAATCGTCGATAAAACCGCATTCATGATGTAGCTATTGAGAGGCGGTGTATTGATGTGTTTATGCAATTAATTGAGAATAATTATTTCGAAATTCTTCATAAACAAGTTGAATGTTTGCAGAACATTTAATTACTAATGACGCAAGGTACAAATTTACAATCGTCGTTCTAATTGCTCAATTACAGGCATTATAGCAACAAATTAGCAATTCTTATGTCCATATTGTCCATATTAGGCGAATGTATGATCGTAACTATGTTACAATACAAGCTTGTAAATACGCTTCCAAGGTAAACCTTGCTTGAGGGTTTCTTCCGACATTTCCACTTCTTAACATCTGCCTTTCAAACGACCTACTTAGACATTTCGTTCGTGCTATGATTTGAAAAAAATCATCCAGATCTACGTTCCCGTTCTTGTTTGCAAATCTTCGTATAAAGATTTCGATCGCCTTTTGAGAGATGTTAAAATCTGGTATTTCCTTCAATGCTCTGTTGAGTTCTCGGGCGCTCATATCAAAACTCTTGTCTGCATCGTATTTCTTAAATATACCATACCAAATTTTCAAGTCTTTCCATAGTTTATAAAACTCGTCGAATTCAACACAAAAGCTAGCATCTGTATCATATAACAGCAATAAACTTCGACAAGTTTCCAAATTGAACTTGTACTCCCCCAACTCACGACGAAAACAAGTCTGAAGCAGGTTTTGCAATTCAAAAGCATCTATCACTCCATCATGACCAGCCACCTTTTCAAAAATTTGAACAATTATTTGGTCTTTGCTGTTTACAACTGGTATTCTATAGCTACGCCGACGTTGAGATTCTGGGATGACTCGAAAATCGTTGTAATTGAAAGACATTTGCAGAGTGAAGTAAAGAATGGCTTATAGACGAGTACAAGGTTGTTACGAGTCAAGCACGACTGCAGATGTAATGTCAATACTTATGTTCGTGTTTTTGTTGGAAAACCAGGAAGCGTGGGCTGGCGGAAATGACGTTCAAGAAATTGAAAGATACTGCCATTTATAGTAGTAATTTAGCAGGATTTAACAGAGGTTATACCCACTTTAGTATAGGTCACAGCTCAAAACTTTGCTTTTTCTGCATCTGCGCTTTTTTTGTACAGTGCCCGAGATTAAAACTTAATGTAACTTAAAATGGTAAGATAATAAAATAATAATAATAAACCTCTACGAAAGATACTAAAAATAAGTAACTTGATGGCAATGAAAGAATAGTGGAGTTTTCTAGCACATAAAAGGTTATCCTAAATACATACCTGAACACACAAGACCACATCACATTACATCATTGCTCCTCCATGCTTGGTGACGTGATAATCGAGATGACTGAACTGCTATCAAAACTGGATGTAGTGTCATAACTCGTTGATGAAATTCTGTCGAAGATAGTTGTAGCTTGAGAAGTTGTTCGGGAACTATCATCCAGAAGATGTCGTAGTAAGGACTCAGACAGAATACCCTGTACGAACATGAAGTATTGTATGATTCAGTGAACAGGTCTATTGCCACTGAGAATGTACGAGGCCGCTGGTATACCGCAGTTTCAGAGCAGGGTTTAGTCTAACTTACCTCGTCATGGTCATCGTCTTGAAATCCTTGTAGTTGATTTTCTATCGCCATTAATCGCTGTTTCATTTCACGCATTTCTTTCTTTTCTTGTAAAACCAACTCACCAAACGCTAGAAATATAACGACGTGTTTGAGACACAGCTAGTAGCAACTACTTTCATATATTTTTCATTGCTAATATCATATAAACCCTTCAACACTGAGAATTACCACACATGCATTATCACAACAATACGGTTTCTCATCCAATCATGATCGAATCCATTGCATCAGTTATGATTCAGTAATCAGGACGAATCTTTTCATTGTTTAAAATACTTTTGTTCTCATGTTTGTGACGTTTATGCATGTGCTCAAACGCGAGTATAAACCTCAGAAATTTACCGTTGTTTTAAAGTAAAATGCACGGTTTACCGAGGCTGTTTGTATGAGCCTGGTTACCGAGATTTAACGAAGCGTAAAGTAACTTTGAGGTATTGAAATGAGTAAATAACATGATCCTGTGGTCGTGTTTAATACGTAAAATCATGTCACGTTTCGTAAAATATCGGGTAACTGAGCTCATGTGAATATTAATATAAAATATAACACGACCCAATACAAGTTGTGAACATTATTAGCCGTTGTCACTGTTGTCCTAAATTTCATTCAATCTGGAAAATTAAAAAACAGTGAATTTAAAAACTCATGCCCTGTCTCATACACCACACTTCACATGTGCCGAATACATAAAGGCCTCGTTCCGGGTACCGTTTGAACGCAACAAAAAGACAATAAAGCTGAAATACTCCAACTTATTATCTATTGTTTTTAATGAATTCGGCACATGTTGAATACGGCGTATGAAACGGGCGGTTTGTGTAATTCTTACTTGGCATATCTTTTTCAGAAAGAAAACTTCCTGTTCCACTTCTTGGAGTCTCACTCTGAAATAAAAACGCAGATCCTGTTAAAAAAGGTTTAAACTTTGGTATTCGGTTAAAACAAAACCTACGTGAAGAGATTGCTTGTCTTCTTCAGTTTGTTCACACAACGCTGCGTATTCTTCACATGGTATAAGAGACTGTAGACGACTGTAATCAAACGAAACTTTAGCTGTTTTTTATAGCATTTAGTATAAAGTACTCATTTCTTCTATCACGAAGTCCATGAACAAAGAAACCGACACACTGACAGTCGACGATGGCTATTATAAATTTTCACTAGAGGAAGACAACGCTGTTATTTTGTATATTTTCCCCACCAGTCACCAACAATATATCGCTGACTGTCAGTAAATAATGAGAAGCAGGTTTAAGCTTAGAGGCTGAGAGGACTTTGAGGTATTGAAATAAGTCTTTATGACACGAAATAAGTCTTTATGACACCAAACAAGCACAAGCTATTGCTGTGGTGATTATATGACTGTCAGGATCACGTTATCTGCTCATTTCAACACCTCAAAATCATCTCACGCTTCGTTGAATCTCGGGTAACCGGGCTCATGTAAACAGCGCCTTAGCTATCGCTCTCATCACCGTGCGATGTTCTACGATCCACTGCGCCCTGTACTTGATGAAAAAGAAATTCCTTTCCGAAAAAGAGGACATTCTATGTGCCACCCACTAACAACGAAGATCATCATTGTATGATAAATTACGATGATGACGCCCAGACATAAATTAAATGACGTACGTGTCTATATCAGCCAGTTGTTCAGCCTCTTCTTGACTTGGAACAAAACCACTTCCATATAGAATCAATGATTCCTTATTCACTGGCTAAAATCAACGTTAAGATTACATGATGCTTTACGAAATCATTTCATTCGAATGTGAAAAACCTTTGATTACAGTATCTTATATTTCTACCTCTTCCATAAGATCTCCTACATCAGAAAGGATTTCTTCCAGTCGTTTCTTCTCCTCTTCCGTCATAGCGACCATGTTATTAGCATCCGCTGCTAACTGAAATAGTAAAGTGAACTTGAAGTAAGTCTTGAAGTATGTCTGTAGTCTGCTGGCTGTAAGACTAACATGGTTGGTCAACTCACCAAAATATTTCGCTTGATAAAATCCCTCTTTCTCATTTTCCCATCTTTTTTATTCTTTTTGTTATTTTTCCTCACTTTCTCCTCATTCCCAACACCACTCGCACCTGCTTTATTTTTACTTTCCGCAGTCGGGATGTCATCTTCTTCAAAGAATTAAGAGCAATTGAAATTTTTATTGGAAGCGAACGGCGTTGTAGGTATGGGAGTTGCAGATCGTAAGCTCACGGACACGGCAAACACAACAAATCTATCTTTAGGACTATTTTCCTCTTACGCGTCTTCATATTTCACACACTCGTAAAACTCGGTAGTAATTTCATGTCCAGAATCCACGATAATCAGATAATAATCCTAACTTTTAATCCTAAACCTGACCCTAATCCTTACACAACTACTTATACTAGGATCAGAATTAAAGATTCTGGACATGAAATTATTACCAAAAGCACTAAATTCATGTATATATTTATCTTATCTTTGAAAAGTAAATAAATGCCAGGAAACTAGTTTTCCGCGGATTTTAGAATGTATTTCTTGACCTACATCTTAAATAATAAAAATTTAGATGTATTTGAAAAACGCAACAGTGTAAAGCAAGCCTTAGTCTTCGTCAAAATTCTGTCAAACCTCGGTGAATGTTACCTTTAACGTCACTGGAATGTGTCTGAGAAGAGCTTCCTTCAAAATGTTTTTGCATTCTTTCCTCATCCACCAGGGGTTGTGTAGTAAACAGTGGAGTCACTGGTGGAGAATCCTCGTAAACACTTTCATCTGAAATACGTAAATACAAATATTTGTTGCGAGTCAACTAAGACTTATAGGAAAGCTTTCATCTGATAAAACCGATACTGTCAGCTGCTGCAGTAATAAGTACGTGCTTCCAATCAATCAATTAATCAATTAATTAATCAATCAATCAATTAATTAATCAATTAATTAACAAATCAATCAATTAATTAATCAACTAATAAATCAATCAATTAATCAATCAATATAGAGTATTAGTAATAACCTGTGTCCTGTGGAGCTCCAAGAGCCAACATATGAGCAGGCCCAAGATCAACAGGTCTCCCAAGTTCAGCATCTCTATTTTTCTCAAGCACATCAAGTTGTTCCCGCCATAAACGTTCTTGATCAAGACGTTGTCTCTTGACCTCTCTTTCCCTCTACAATCAAACATTTCATTTCTCAAACCTGATAGGATTGTGAATGATAGTTATTACTCCGGCGTCAGCGACGGAGTTGAAAATTCGCCCCGGTTTTGTTTTGTTTTTGTTTTTTTTTTTTTATTTTTTTTTTTATTATTTTTCGTCGTCGCAAGTCTGTAATGGCGCGAAATATACTAGTATTTGAATAGTGTATGTGATCGTATTTATCTACGTCCCAGTCTTATCTCCCAAGAGTTGTGGTGCACAGCTTTGGCTAATTTTCCAATGCGCGATTCGATTTCGCTCGCATGATATGGCAATTCCTCCAAGAGGAACAAATAAACCGTTCTTTTTATGCTGTTCGATTAAGTTTAGATTGAATTGGGGTAAGAATATATTTAATACATGTAGACTCGGTCCTATTTTAATAATATCGCTGCTATTTCGCCGTTTAACAAGATGATGTGGTCGTGTATGGGCGCGTTGACACGTCGCGTAGTTTGCACAGGATCGAAGATTTAATACAACTATATATAAGCGCGAATTCCAAAGGCAAAGTGTAAGACGAAGCGAATGTATCATGCGGTTTATTTACATTTTTGAACAATTGAACTTCTATACTGCGATGTGCTTCTGAATTTCGCGATCGAACATTTAGGTTCGCAAGGCATCTAAATGCGAATATGTATGCGAAACAATACGCGAACTGTATTGTTTATGTTCAGAAGCTCTATATTGAAGACTGGCACGTGCGCCGGAGTTAACGCCAGAACGGCGTCTTGTTGTTTTTGAAAAAGACAGCAACATACACTATACCTTCGTTTTCTCACTCAAAATATTATCAAGTTTCTTGATTCTCTCCAGTCCTTGTCGAACTTTTGGATCAAGATTGTCATAATTTCCTGTGGTTGAACTGTTTCCGCTTTTTAAAATATCTTCATCCTGATCAGGTTGTGTTTCAATATTTTCTGATGCATTTTCTATGGATTTTTTAATAATTTGAAAGAATTTAGTAGCTCAATCATTTAAAGATTAAGTTGACTTTTAAACATCTTTTGTTTTACTATTGATGGAGTGGTCTTTCTTTAAACTCTGGGTGAAAATAGGTATGTGTAGCTCCTTTTAATACAACTTTAATTGTCAGTGCCAAACTAGTTTTGTGTTTCATTTAACAAATTAAAGGATTTAGCTTTGCAAATATTTTAGGATTATGTTTATAAGCCATTCATATAGTATTATAAAAATATCTTCATGATTGACACATGGAATTCTGTTAATTAAAGCAGTCTTTTTTTGGAATGTATAATTCTAAAAAAGTATACATACCATATTGCTCTGTCGTCACTTCCAAAGTTTTTTCATTTGCTGACAAATAATTTCCCTCCTCGTTTTCAAAGTTGACTTTCTGTTGCTCAGTTTTAGTTGAATCGGGAGACAAAGCAGAGTTGGTTATCTCATCATTGGCTTCTTCAGTATTTGCCTGTAAGGAGGCTTCATCTGTATTTAACAAATCTTGTTCGTTCCCAAAAATTACATCATCTGTGACATCTGTGACAACAATATCCTTTTCAACCTAAGGATATCAATTGGGCACACTATTATATAAAATTAACACTTACAAACCATTTTCCTAAAACCAATACCAGGACAAGTCAGCCGATAATGTATTTTATAGTACAATTTAATCCAAGAATTGCATGGAGCATGCATGGTTCACACTATATACACAAACCAAACTTCAACCCAAGCCTTGAATCTTTACACCAAAAATTTGGACAAACATGATTCATCTAACCTCAAATTTGTTTGACCAGTTAAGAGTTGGTTCTAAATAAATTTAGACAGGATAAAATTCCAATTAAAAAGACAAAATTCATATTGTACTTATATTCACCAGTTTTATATCAATAGAACCATAGAGTTTTAAATTATATAATTTTCAGAATATACCTTCTGGAGGAAGAATATCCAAGGAATGTTGTACTGAACTTGATGCTGATCTCTAAAGAAATAACATCACTATTGTAAATATACATTGGTCTTAACAATTAGGGGAGTTTGGCTAAGCAAATATTGGGAAAAGTTATCAAAATATTTATTCAATTCCTGACAATTAAATGCATGAAAAATCTTAAATCTCAGTCACAATTATTTGGAATTAATCGTAGTAGATCCCTGACAAGCCTGTGAGAGTAATGAGATTGTGCACATCTCAAAATGGTATTCAAATAACAACTTGTTAGAAATTTCCCCAGGGCGAAGTGGGCCAGAAATGACTGGCAGAGTGGCAGGACAAGATGAATGAGAAACAATTAAAAGGGGGCATATGAGTGATATGGGAATATAGAAGTAAAACAGGGTAATGTATAAGTACGAGAGGACTGTGCAACAGGATGAACTGCATAATCAATTGGGAAATATATTGAGAAGTAAAAGGTTTCAGCTAGAGCCCATCTGGACTCTGGAGTGGTAGAGCCAGAGAAAGTCATAACAATATTTTAAGCTGTCCTTGCTTATTAAAATTGAAAACAGTATTTCTGGAAACATACCACAGAGGATCGACTACCACATCTTTTGCTTGTTGAAGCTGGTCTGCTGATAAACTCTAAGCTAAAAAGATATTGCGAGTCTTTATTAAATATACCTTTTATATATATTATTCTAATTGTCTTGAGCTAAACTATTTACGTCTAGATAGTACTAAAATAACTAAAAATAACATTTGTACCTTCCCTCTGAAACTATTTCCATGCCATGAAACTATTTGAGTTTTATTCAGTGGTTTTATTGCACGAGAATATTCAGACGCTTTTGCGTTGTCAAGGATGTTCTGGCGGCCATAATTGTTTTTGGCTTGATCGTCCGATACTTCATATAAAAAATATATACGAATCACTGATCTGCTGTATTTTGGATGGTTACTGATCTGCAGTTACCTTCTGGGATCATTAGGGCTGCGTGGAGAACTCGATTTTAAGTATCTTAGGTCATGTACGAAATATGCCTTTCTTTTAGGGGATTGCCCGAGGTAAAAAATTACATTGAAAAAAACCGCAACCATATTTTTAAAATTATTTTACGACAGTGTTCTGGGAATCGAACCCAGAAGCCACACACGCGTTTTTATCATTGTCAACGAACACGTTTTGGTTTGGCCCCAGACATGGACACTGTTTTTTAAAGCCAAACGAAAAGGAGGGAAACCGGAGTGCCCGGAGAAAAACCCTCCAAAGGCAACCTGAATTTCAGGTTACCCGGCCGGCGGTCCGAATTTGGTATTTTCATTAGAAATCGTCCGCAATGACAGTTTTTATCTATAGTTCACCTTTTCAGTTCCGCTCATCCACATCGAGTCCCAGGAATCGCACTGAGCTTCGCCAAGTTTGATCCTGCTAGTGGTCTAACGTGCGCGCGCGCAAATCGTTCGTTGCAAAACGGCAGGCTGTTTAAAATTGTTATTAACCGCGCTTTGTCCGACAATGGCGCCAAAAATCATTTCAATTATTCAAATTGCTCATCACGCTTTTTTGTAAATTTGGCATTTTGGAACGGAATGCTTCGTATTCACGACTTGCATGCTTTTTATCTCAAACCGATGTAGACAACAACACTCTTCTGCGATCCCTTCTTAAGACATGCACCTCATGCACTGTTTATCTCTTTTTATACGTTTCTAGATTACGGTTTACCGAAAATGGAGGAAATAAACGTAATCGGGCTTAACATGCAACTTAATCAATATAGCTACTAATCAATAATGTCCCTTACCTTTTACACCGTACAATTACCTGTAAATTATTGGTACTGAAACAGTGTACCGAATTTTATTTCTTCATTTGCTTCATTTCTCCATTCCAAACAGTTCCATTCATCTTCTTCGTTACCATATCGACGGTGGGGCGTGCAAGAAATTAAACAACATAGTAAGTGTGTCAAAATGTAAAGGCTTCTTTAGAGGGGTTCACTTTTTAGGCAAGAGGGTACTATGCAATATTAATCTACAGTTAAACAATATACCCCCAGATATCCCCCATTATGCGAGTGTAGTTATTATGCAATGCAATAATTAACATATCATGTAATATAGGAGTTATATTCTCTTCTTATAGAAACTTCATCAAGTCAGTTAAAATTATTAGATTACGTTTATTTCCTTCATGCTTGAGATTAACCGGAAAATCGAAATCCGAAAAATGAGTACTAACAAGGGAAACAGAAGAATGCTAGTCTCGAAACAATAAATAGTAATTTTTTCTTCATTTCAAAGGTCAATGATTTAAATTTAAATATTCGGAAAGACTGAAGAATAATTTTTGATGCCATTGACGGACGGTCCTTCGAAACGGTCGCATTATATCACAGACTGAAAAGAGAACTTATATAATCATATAAGTATACTCTGGTTTACCTTCGTATTGATCTAAAATTAGACTAATACGAATTCGATATTTTCTCGTTGCGTGCGCGTCTGCCATGCTAATTACCCGTTTTCTTACTTTCATTTCAACGCTTTAAAGCCATCATGCATCTTCCGCAGCTGTTAAGTCGTTCACACGCAAGTGACAAAACTAGGAATGTTTCATTGAGAAACATCGAAAACGCCCTCAAAGGGCTGTGAGAAATTTTCTGTTATCATGCATTGTCGAAAAGGGTGAAATGTCACTTGATGTGTGAATATACTAGGTTAGACCACCAGCAGGAATCAATCCGAGAATAAACCATGCACTAACATTAATCATGCATTACTCTAATTAGTATACCTATAGTATGTACCTCAACCAGCTTCTGCTTGTACACCTGTCTCGTCGTCCATCATCCGTTCCTGCGACGATCTTTCAATATCTGATTCTGCGACAATCCTTCATCATCTGATCCTGCGACGATCCTTCATCATCTGATCCTGCGACGATCCTTCATAATCTGATCACTTAACGTAGATTCAAAAATATCTAATTAATTTTCAAGAGAGAAATATAATTTATGTAGAAAGCATTAAAGATAAGCACTCAAAACCCGAATATAGACCTCCAACATCTCCTACGCCACTCGTCCAAGGCCTTCGCATCGCGCACGCGAATACAAAATGTCATGCACGTTTTGTAGGAAATATCGAGTTTTTTTCATAGTCCTGAGAACACTAAAACACTCGACTATTATCTCCTTCTAGAAATTTCTCATGCATTTTTATGTTTTAGACGCTCTAAGAGCGATATTTTTTGTCCGGACTATTGTCGTTCAAGATGGAGAAACTACAAGTGATGGGGCCCCAGAATCACTTGTATTTACTCCACATGCACTTGACACGACCAGGTTAACCCATGCAAAAACCGCAAGTCGAAAAGTTGAAAATCAAGGAGGTAAACAGAAGAGTGTTCAGCATATCTCAGCCAAAAAAAGCCAAATCCCATGCATTTTTACTCATGCATATTTTCACCGAAATCAAATTGAGTTTTGTATTTGCGTGCATAAATGTCCCAAGGCAGCTCCGACATCTCTCAACTCCGATTCTTTCATTCTAAAAGAAGAAAACGTTGGTAAAACAGACTGAAAATAACTCAGCACATGTAACGTCTAGCGTAAAAGTGCATACGGATACCAATATATCGGTCTTTCCCAGTACAAAATTAACCTAAAGCGCTGACGGACGAGTATACACGATTCGGCAGCCGTGTCCGAAAAAAAGGACAGCCGGTAAAGTTTCGGTCATTTCTTGGGAAAAATGTTGGATAAAGTCCGAAAAGTTTGATTAAACTATGTTTTAGTTTCGCCAACTGTGTACAAACGTGTTATTTCAAGTCTCAAAGTCAAATGCAAAATACAAATACATATATTAATGGGAACAATACCTATTATTCGTTACGAGCAAAGTTTGTGTTTCACCTTCCCCATCTTTCGGCGCTGTAGTGTGTTCTGAAATGAAATAAGCAAAGAAAAACAGAATCAGGTTAACAGCTCACTTTTATGTCACATTTTCAATCGAAATATACAAGATATAGCAGTGAAAACGTGCAAGGATATGCCTGCATTTGCTAATGACTAATGCCTTCTGCGTATTCAAATCACAGGACGAGTGAATTAATTTGGAAAGCCAAAGATCAAGACAACAGATTTTTTTAACCAACCATCAGTAAGCATTACCATGACCATGTACCTGAGCAAAGATTCTTTCAACTTTTCCCTACACTTCTTCGATTGATCCTTCCTTTTTCGAGAAGACAACCAAGTCTGACTATTTTTTCGAGTTCAACCACCTTTTATTACCTGAGAAACATTCCAACAGACAATGCACTCTATGCATCGATGCCAAGTAAGAGTAAGGCCTGTTTCAAACGTCGTGATTTCCATGTGCTGAACGCATAAACAATAGATAATGAGGCATTCCCATTGATTAACTATTGTTAAAAATATGATTTTCGGCACGACGCTGGTTGAAACAGGCCTAGAAGACTCATGTAAATATTGTAATTATCCGTTTAGGGTCCACGATTTGCGAAAGGAATCCCAATATTAATGACTGAACGGCTTAGTTTGCTAAAATATTTTGTTAATTCCGTGGTTATGAACGCTCGATTCGCCGGGTACAATTCAGGCCTAAACCGCATGTATTTATTTCACATTCTTTATTGTTTTATCTTCGTTGATTATTTTCTATTTTCAGTGAATATTGAAGTCCGTAATCTCTTCTCTATTTCGAGATAAAAATCAATTTGCTGCGTTTAAAAATGGGGAAGAACACGTTGTTTGCCAAAACCATTAAGGCATTAACTCCTTGTTGGCAGCTCTTCCAAAGTTGCTTGCATTTATGTTCCGTTGTCACGTAAAACTCTCTAACGAGTTTAGTTTTCCTTTTCCGGCCGTCTTAGTTGGCTCAGTTTCTCCTTTGGAAGGACTAATGTCTTCCACTTCTTGCTCAAATTTCTTTGTATGATGATGGTTAGAAAAAAATTTTTGGAAAGAACGTAAGATACTGTTTACAACTACATATTCAAGTGCATTACTGTTCATAATATCCACCGTTTAAGCTAAACGGGCTTGATACAACCCCAGTGAGTAACCAAGTGGGTTTTGTGGCACAAACCTAGCGCGTGCATAGACGCATCGGCCACAGTGGCAAGCCTTGAGAGGCGAGAGCGAAGATAAATTTAACGTATTTAAGCTTTTCCTGGTCTCGGGAGGCGGTCTCTAACAAGTATATGCAGAGAAAAAGCCACGCTTTGAAGGTTTATTGTTGGGCTTACAGTAATTGAGTTAATTTTTTCATGCCTAAAGACAGGTGTGTGAGATCTCAGTCGCTTGTATTTGCGGTTGCCGGGAAAGCGCGCGCGTGTGGGTTGCAACTTGTTTGTAGTGCATTTTCGCGGCAATGTGATAAAATCGATAGCGTGTTTACAACTAGCCTAACGCCTAAACATTTTTTAGCGAGAAAATAGTATGAACAATGCGATAATTTAAAAATTATTGAAATCCCTCCTTTCCAGTTATCGTTCTAGTTGATATTACGTACTGTTCACTGACTTTTTTTCTCAGCTGATCTCTACATAATATCTGAATGATGCAATGTTATGTGTCAATGATACAGCACAAGATGAAGTATTGAACCAATGCAACAAAAGTGATTCAAATTAAAGACAAGAAAAGATGGCAGAGAACAAAAGCGAAACAGCCGAAGCTATAGACGAGAACTTGGTTGAAAGTGACCTAGACGGGAACAAATATACAGAAAGTACTGCTTCAACTGCTAACGAAGACCACTGGCAAGCATGCAGGGAAACAATTCGCGAAAGAAACAGATTTATGTTCAAAAATACACTAATGAGCGATGTACATTTTTCTGTCGGTATGAACGACGACACGGCGGAAACGCAAAAACATAATCTGCCTGCGCATAAATATGTTCTCGCTATTAGCAGTCCAGTCTTCTATGCTATGTTTTATGGCAGCTTAGCAGAGGTGAAGGACATTATTGAAATCCCTGATAGTAATTATGAAAGTTTTGTTGAATTTTTGAGGTTTCTATACTGCGACGAAGTGGAATTAACTATTGATATAGTATTGGGCGTGAGTTACTTGGCTAAAAAATACATAGTTCCGGCTTTGGAGAAGAAATGCAGCGAATTTATAGAAAAGTCTGTTGAAGCTGGCAATGTTTTTAAACTGCTTTCCTTCGCTAGAAGCTTCAAAGATGAGTTTGTAGAGAAGATTTGTTGGGAGTTTCTGGATAGTGAAACCGTAGAGGCGGTTAATTCGGAGTGTTTTTGCCAGATTGATAGGGAAGTTATCTGTGAGTTACTCAAAAGAGATACGCTGCATGCTAAAGAGATTGAATTATTCTTGGCTGTTCAAAAATGGGTGACACAGAATTCAACAGACACCAGTGAACCATGTGATGAGAGACTTTCTGAAGAGGGTATTAATGATGTCGTTAACCTGATTCGTTACCCATTAATGTCACAGCATGAGTTTGCTGAGCATGTGGCAAAATCAAGACTATTGCGTCACGAGGATGTCATTAACATGTTCTTAAAGTTTAATGATACACTTGAGGATGAAACAGTGTTACCATTTTCTCAAGTACCCAGACGTGGGTACTACCGATGTTCTCTGTGGGAACATGTTTACGATTCACTTGACATTGAGACAAGCAGAATGCCAAACATTTTGACATTTTCATCCAATTCTAATATTTTGTTGTGTGGTGTTGGTTTATATGGTAGTGACAATAATGATGATTCATATACCTTTCAAGTTTATGTCTCAGATGAGGATGATACAATGTTACTGCAAAGTGAAGGTTCCTTTAGTTGTTCCAGTCAGTGTTTCGCTTATGATGTGATTTTTAATAAACCAGTTAAAGTTCACAAGAATATTTGGTATACTATAAATGCAACAGTTGATGGCCCTAGAGGAGTCTATGGTGGCCAGTCTCTTGCAAGGTCAACAGATCTGGAGTTAGGCACTGATGAAATAAATTGTGGACCAGTCAGATTCCTGTTCAAAGATTTAAAGGGGGCTGTCGGGTGCAACATTTACAACCATTTCTCAGGATTGTTATATTTTGTGAGATAATTAAATTATCTATGAACATTAATTATCATAAGAAAATATTGAACAGATTTGACAATAATGAATAAATAATTCAATAGCAATTATTTTTTGTACAAATAGAATATCATCTATTAATTTTTATGGTGTATATTTATAGAATCCTTACTACAAGGTGTGTATACAATAAATGATTTTTTGAAATCAGAACTTCAACTTTTCAGAAGCATTTTAAAATTGGATATGGACAGCCTAGGATATGCCCATAAAAAACAGGGTTATCTAACTCCATATTTTAACTTCAAAGCCTGCAATTCATTCTTCGTAAATGTTTTGTTATTTTCTGGTAATGTTTCCAGATGGACAAAAAGATCCTTCACCACTAATAAACAATAACAAAATTGAACTTTAGCTACGACAAAGTAAATTATAGATACAAAACTGGAAAAAAAATAAAGAATCATTATTACCAGATTTTTCTTTCACAGACAAGAACATCATTGTCATGGAAAATCGCTTCACTTGTGAAATGTAGTTTAGTACATCAAAGATAGGATGACAATCCCTGTAAATGACAGTTGTTAAATTGCTAGTCATGATACTTCTATACATAAATGTGCAAATTTGCACAAGACTTAAATCAGAATCAAACAAAACATTCATTGATTTGATATGTTAATGGCAAAAGTTGACAGTCAAGATTTGCTCATGTTTGTTCTTCATTGCTATAGTGACATACAAGACTCAGAGACCGTACCTTACATAATAATTGTGAAGTATCGTGAAGATATTTATCAAAAGTGATGACTCCACAGATTCACCCATAACCTTTGGAAGCTGATCTGGTGGTATTATCTGCAAAAAGGAATCAATCTAGTTACATTGTGGTGCACTTGAAGAAAAGAGATTTACACAACAGATGCATGATCGATATACCTTCATATAACTGTACAATAGATCTGGGTTCTTTTCCAACTGTTTCCATGTTGTTTGAAATTGTATTGATGAAATTGGAGGTGTCAGTTTACAATTTGTTATAGTGTGATCTGTATAGCAACTTGAAGGCAGACTTGTATTTGGGTTTGAGCAATCTTTTAAAACATCAGGTTTATGTTGTGAAGATGTATTACAGTTTTGAGGTATACTTGCAAACACTTCATCTGTTATGGCAGGTTTTGCCAAATGGTTATGATCTTCTATGGTCTTACTATTCTTCGTATTTTCACCTATTGTTTTGACTGGTACTGAAGCAGCATTGTTCACAAGAGGTGAGCCAAGATTACTCAGTTTTTCAATTAGATCAGATTTGCTCTCCATGGAAGTATTTTCTTCTTCATCACTACTAGCCACTCCAATTTCTTCAATAAGATAGCGTTTCATTGGTTTCTGTTTCTAGGAATAACAATAAGTTGGTATACATATTACATAAGTGTTGCTGGTGTAATTTTACAATTATCTATAAATTAGGAGATACATACTTTTTGTAGTTCAACCGTTGTTTGTTCATTTTTCTCTTTACTATCTTTCAGTTGTTTTGTTAGCATCTAATTAGAAAACATGTTAGAGAAATTAGTTTTAAAACAATTACAATTAAGAATAGCAATCATATGCAGCAGTGTTTAATATGTGTTGCATTTTTAATAAAAAAGGCATTATGTAATGCAATAAATATTTCCAAAATTTACCTATTGTCAGGTCTCATCAAACCTACAACAAGTGGAATTTTATATGGATGCTACCTTTTGAATTTCCTTGATACCATCTAACGCTTGTTTATTGCAAGGATGAAGTTTCAGCAACATTTCATAATCTTCCATGGCTTCCTTCAACCTTCCCAGTGAATATTTAGCTGTTGCTCTTCTTGCAAATGCCTTAACATATGTGTTATCTAATGCTAACGCTGTGTCACAATCTTGTATTGCTGCTCCATATCTGAAATTTGACATAAATTGTGAATTGGTGATACATTTTGGTTCTACATTGTGCTTGTGCATGTCATATAATAAGGTTTCAACCTTAGAACTAGCTCAAAGGTTGAAACTCCTCTCACGCGTGGCACCTAATGCAAATGAGCTCAAAGACTTGCATTAGGTTTGGTGCATGAAAAGAGTGACATTTGACCTAGGCCTTACTTACTAATTCCCAACTATATATTATGCTTTTTAAAAAGTGTTTAAAAACATTAGTTTACCAAGATACCTTTGAACTTTAATTAACGCCATAGCTCTGTTAGCAGGTAATATAGCATTATTTGGATCCAAGCCAATAGCTGTAGTGTAACGATTGATAGCTGCTTCATACTTTCCTTCTTTAAACAAATCATTACCCTATATTAGGGGATATGGGGTATATATATGTTATTTTGGAAATGATTTTTTAGATTATGCTCAAAAATATTGCAATAACTGATGTTAAACTCTGTCTATAATAGTTTAGTACTGAGAAGATTTACCTTCTCTTTTTCAAACAGTGCTTGTTGTAGTCTTCTATGTTCCATAACATCCTCATCTTCACTGTCTTCATCTGACGTTGACTGGGTTTCCAGATCTTCTTGGTCATCAATTTCTTTCAAAGCTTTTTCCTGCATGATCAATATGACATTGTTCTAACTACAGGTCATTTGCAGTTAAAACTGCGCAAAATATCCACCACAGAGTATCCACCTACCACATCATATTTATCCCATGCTTGAAAATTAGATCCTTTCAACCTTTCTTTAGTTGAGGCAGGCGTTTGTTTCAAAATTGACTTGGGTTTCTTCTTTCGCGTTTTATTCCTGACTGGATGTGACTATGGGAAACAAAATTTGGGTACTTTAGTATTATCTACTCCGTGAAAATATGCAAGTACAAATTATTGTGATTGTACAATTTTGCAAATAATTTGAAATAAACACCATTTACACGCATGACATCGAGCTTACCGAGGCTAATGGAGTTTTAGAATTAGCTAACAACTTATCTTGCGCTTGAACTTCGTCTTCCCACTTGTAAAGATCTTTTAAATAGTCCTGTAACTCTTCGTTATTTTGTCGAACTTGATATTGCAAGTTCACCGCGTCCGCCATCTTGCCAACACTGACTGTTGAAGATCTGGACCGTGTGCAGAATTAAATGTGCAGCAAAAGCGGGCAAGATGCTTTTCTGGGAGGCAAGATGACTTGTAATCAACCATTCAATTGTTTAACGTAATACTCGGGAAAAATTTTATTATCGTCGGGACTCTGGAGCCTTGTTCACATATGACGGCGGTGAGCCGAATTAAAGCGCAGGCATGCCTCAGTCAAATGCGAATCATGCCTTACAATATGCGCCATCAGGTGAGGGATATTTTACCAAGCTTCCATAGTTTTGCAGTAAATAGTGGTTTAAGCAATTGCCAATTCTGTCAGTTATTTTCCTGAAGAGCATGGGGCAGTTAGAATACACTCATGCTGGGCAGTGGGCATATCAGGCTGCATTAGGATAAAGGCTGGGGATACGGGCTATTGAATAAGATTAGGATAAAGACTAGGGATCCAGGCTACACTGAAGGTTTTAATACATGCTGAAGATACTTAAATACAGGCTACGCGTCAACTGCGATACCCTCAATATACTCCATGGCAGAGGTTTGATTCCTGCCGGAAGACCGATGGCTGATGATTTTTTTCAAGTGTTCCTGCATGGCTTGAATTCTCAACGTGCATGAATTTTACATTAAACTATTTGCAGCTTGGCTACACGACTACATCTACAGCTGGACAATTGTCAACTGGCAGTCAAACTCGGCTGAACAATCATCGTAATTGCTCAGATGAAATTCACTAATAAATAAGAGCTTTTGCGATTCCACAAATTCTCTTTGTTCCATAAATCGGCTTATTTGTTCATAGTATACACAGTTTACCTGTGATATCGAGACTGACTAACTAGTTTCTAACTCCATGTCAAAACAAATATGTACAGCTAAAATATAGCTTAGAAATTTAATTTAATTTAATTTACAATACTACCGGCAATGGTTTAACTATTAAGATATCTCATTAGTCATTCCCCCAACAAAATACTCTCAGAACACGCCCATTCATGTAAAGCTGTAACTGAATTTTTCCATGACTTTAAAAAAGTGGATTAAAATTTGTTATCTTATATATATAACTACTATTCCATGCAGCTGTTGACTAAATTTTGGTCTATGGAAGAAATAAAAACCACCTCCACAACTAAAAAAAGCGCGTGTTAAAATTAGTAAAACTTGCGAAATTTGCAATTTTTTTATAAATCGGTATTACGCACGGGGAACTCTCGGCTACGCAACCAACCCTCAGTCTCTTTTGCAAACATTTTGGTGTTTGAATATCCTGATAAAATACGCTTTCTTAGTTTCTGTGTGCACGATAGTCAGCTGTTCAGCTGCTTACACACAAGCTAACACAATGTTAACATTCGTTAGCACAATGAATTAGAGATTGATTGTGCTAACCACATAAAAGGAGTGGCCACGCTTGTTCGGATACAGTCTTGTTTCTTGTTGTCAAAGACTTGGTTATTCAGTCATGATTGTCTGTCTAATTCTTGCCCTACTGGGGCCATCTCTTATAGAAGGTAACTGATGCAAATACCGTATACTCCATGAGCGGTATGCATGCATGGTTGTGTCGGAGGGCAACTGCAGAAAAACTTTTTTATCATGAGGTGATCATGGTTTTGCAACTTGCATTTAATTGCTACAAACTAAAAATTGCTCCATTTATCTTTGTAGCGTGTGGAAACAAACCATACGGGGAAACTAGAGTGGTAAACGGCGAAAATGCTTCACCACATTCCTGGCCTTGGCAGATCTCGCTTCGTGTGAATGGCCGCCATATTTGCGGTGGATCATTGATCAAATCTGACTGGGTTGTCACCGCTGCTCACTGCGTGGAAAGAAATCCCCGACCAAGTGGATACACCGTTGTTGTCGGTGAGTTGGTCTCTGTCAGGGGCAGGTGAAAGTGCACGCCGGGACATGGTCCTCCAAAATTCATTTTGGAACCCACCCCAAGAAATTCGACTTTCGAGAAACCTAGCGAAAAATTCAGGCTGACATATAGTTGCCACGACAAAACTGATTCAGTTAAATGGCGCTTATCTCTTTCGCCAAATATTCACTTGGTTGGAAGATCCCCTGGTCTCGCTTATAAGAGTAAATATAGGCTAGTTAATTCTAGGGAGAAAAGTAGTCCCAAAAATAGTTCATAAATGTATTCAGCACTTTTGAAAAAGGCAATTTTGCGGAGGCGTTTTGACTTCAGTTCAAAGTCATGAACTAGATTTCGAAATATCATGGCAAATTTTTGCCAACATTTAAAAGCTCGAATCTTGAGTAGGAAGAAAATGCTTTCTGGAGTAGTATTTTCTTTTCTTGAAGAAGCTCAACTCTAGTGGTAAATTTTTGGTACACACAAAGTTGCTTCACTTTACGCAGCAGCTTTTATATCTGTTAAATATCTGTTTCCCTTTCAAGCCTGGTTTAATTTCTCCCTGTAGGTGCCCACAGCAGAACAGGATCGACCGCAGTACAACAGACGTTCCGCCTTCGACAGCTTTTCAAACACGAATCTTTCAACATGCGAAGCTTGCGAAACGACATCGCGTTGCTTCAGCTCGACAGGTCTGTTCAAACCAGCCAAAAAGTAAACACGGTCTGCTTGCCAAGCGCTGGGGCTCAAGCAAGCCCAGGTTCGCGTTGCTACATCACAGGTACGGTTCGAGATAACCTGTGACAGGAAATGTTAAACTATTATAAGCATAGCTAATTTTAAGAATTTTTTATCACTGCACATATCATCACAATAGTATAGTAGAGATGGGGATGATAAATATGGTCCTAACTGGAAATTGGTGATTTAAAGATGGGGGAATCGTAAGGTGTCTGCAAGACCTCTTGCAGAAAATGTTCTGTATTTTTGAGTTCCTATGACTTAGTTTCCAACATTTGGGGGAACAACTACTTATGAAACCACCTCGGCAGAGTGAGGTCTGTTAAGAAAATACCATTTATCCTAAACTGCCGAAGGTGAAAAGAGTTGACATGAAGACATTCGTTTTTCACAACAGGCTTTCTCTTCCAACTTGAAATTGAAATCATATATTTTAATTTTTCATTTTCTCAAGGTTGGGGAAGAACTGTTGGTGGTGGTAGCGCTGCTAATCTTCTTCAACAAGCTATGTTGCCAGTTGCTTCACACAGCCAGTGTAGTCGTGTCAATGGCCGACTTGTTCCTGTCGATGAGCGCTCCATGATCTGCGCAGGTGGTCAAGGAAGGGGTGGCTGCCAAGGGGACAGCGGTGGACCGTTCGTGTGCAATGAGGGTGGTCGATGGGTACTCAGGGGTGCCGTAAGCTGGGGTCATCAACATTGCCGTACAGATCACTATACTGTGTTTGCTCGTGTCAGCAACTTCATCAGCTGGATGAACCGGAAGATGTCAGGTACACGCGCAGAAACACAAAAACATTGTTCCCTTATTCCAACGAAAGGTTTTTTAGGGTTGGGGTTAATGCTAAGCATTTGCATAAACTGTGCTTATATCTTGTTTATTTTACAAGCGGAAAGGCGATGCGTTCACTCCAATGAGGAATAAAATCATGCAGTGGCGAGCCAATAGAAGAGAGCCAATAGAGTTTTCGAAATTACACATATGCCATCCATCCCTTCACTTTCTGATCCAACAACAATTTTTCTTTAATTGCAGGTGGAAGCGGCGGAGGCGGAGGTGGAGGAAGCTCCTGTGAGTAACTTGATCAAAGTATTAGAATGTACATGCATCATGCATGGTTTGGAGACGAGACGCATGGATTGAGCACGTGTCTTTGGACTCAGTTCCCTCGAGCGTGACTTGAACAACATGTTAATTCAAACATTACTATTACTATTGGTTCATTCATTCAAAAATCAAAATACAACAGATTTGTATAGGGATACCCCAATATTGATCTATAAAGTGCTGCTTAATTTCGCCATTCGAAGTTAGCAAGTTTCCTATGAATTAGCATTGCGCACAGGAAAGGCTTACAATCTTTTGAAATCTAATAAGGCTTTTCCGCGGGTACTACTAAATTATAGCAAATGGCCTTTTTTGTACAATTTTCAACATTTTCAAACCAAACTTTTACTATAAATCAAGTAGTGCTCTTTCCAGTGTTAATGAATTTTCTAAAAATTCTTCATGCAGCCAAACCAGCTCAGCGGTAGTTTAATTAATAAACTCTAAGGTGCGAATTACATGTACGACTTTTTTGTTTATTGCAGGTGTAGACAGGGACTACCGTTGCAGGGGTTGGAGGTTTTACTGCCGAACCAACAATTACGTAAAACAAAATTGTAGGAAGACATGTGGAATGTGCTTTGGTTAGAAGTTCCTTGTTCCAGCACAAGTGAACTCTCATACCGATATGCCGGAGAAAATTGTTTAAAAGTAAAGAAATAAAACTATAATTAAAAGTTTAAAGCAATTTGTTTGGGTTATTGCATTGTCGAATTCTAAAGTTTGAAGCATTGGCGTACCACCCGATATTGACGAATACATGGCGAATAAATTTTTGAGGAAGACACTGAAATGGTGAACTGCAATTTCCATAACGCCATTTCTTAATTGCGGTCTCAAGCCAAGGTTGCTTTCAAGATGTCGCTGTATGCACATACGACATGCTCACATTCCTTCAAACAAAGTTTCAAACGTTTATAACTTCGTACCTTTTAAGGCATGGGGGAAAATTATCTTGGTTAGCGAAGAAACGGTTCGCTTTCAAGTTGTCAACCTGCACAAACAAGTTCTTGTGCTACAGTTACAGAATTTGTTCAACTCGTGTTTCGTACTTGCGCGGTATTGAAAACATTTCGGCCAAACCTTCGAGTAATTTTTCATTCGGCTGTTCAACTTTTAAGAAAAATTTCTTTTCAAAGCCAATGGACGGAATATAAATTTCGAGATAAAATGCATGTTATTGTCATTATTGTCATTTTCTTCTTTTTCTTATGAAAAACATAAGTAAAAAATATTGCCATGTGATTTGGGAGCATGTTCACGTTTCCGGGCCAGGAAACTTGAAGCAATATCAACTCACCGCATAGTTCAATTCCAGTGTGGCTTCGCTATAAATAACAAATTTAGACCTCGATTACACTGGAGCAAAAGTTTCCAGATTCACAGCGAATCCCGGATGGATACTGGATCCTTTATCGGATTTGTTTTGCCGTTTAATCTACCGAGGATTAATCCAATACAAAATCATCACGCATAGAGTGCGAATCCAAAAACTTTGAATGCGGAAAAGCGGGTTTGTGGGAATATATCGGAAACATATGAATCGTAAAAATTTCGCGTGGACAGCTTTCTGACGAGGCTTTGACCCTTTTAGGAATAGAGGCTGGTGATAAATTAACAAATATGGCAGACAAAATCATTGTATTTGCTCTTTAACCTTGGTGAAGCAACGGGCAGCCCAAATTTATTTGAAACCCAAATTCCTTCAAAATAATCGTGCATTGTAAACGGCCGCAAGTCTAAATAGTTGAATCGAAAAACAAAGTCAATAAACCCGGAATGTTTAATTTCCATCGCAGGCAGAGTGTTGGTTAACCGTGGTTGGTTGCTACATTGCAAACTGACTGGTTGGCTGAACAATCAGAGCTCTGATAAAAAAGATGGCCGACATGTCAATTGTTAAAAACTTTTTTACGAATGCAAGACGGATTCGAAAAGAATTGAACACTTTCGCCATGGCGAATCCTTTCACTGAGTTTTGTCCATTGTCTTGAAATTATTCATGCAAATGGCTGGATTCCACTCAAGACTATTCCACTCAAGAAAATTATACCACGATCCGGTATACTCCACCATAGTCTAATTTTCCGGTATACTCGACTATGGTCGAATATACCATTTTCTCGAATGTACCCGATTTTCCGGTAGACTCAACCATGGTCGAATATACCATTTTCGGTATGGTCGAATATACCATATTCCATATTTGAAAAGTTAGAATGAGAACCTATTGAAAACGTGTATAAAAAACGTATAAAACGTACAACCATTGCCACATCATCTTAGTAAACTTTAAAAAGTTATTGAATAATAATTTAACCTTTTTGAGATGAAGTTCTGGATTTGTTAGAGGTCCTACACATATATAACTTGTGTTTTGGGAATTGGTAGTGGGGCATTTTAGTGCCAAAAAGTTTTTGCATGCACGTACGCCACACATTGAATAATTGGAAGCAAATTACTTTCAATTGACTTTATTTATGCAGAATTATTCCTTAATGACAACATGAGAATTCACTCGCATTTCAACGACGGACATCCAGCACTAACAATATCGACATGTCCTTCGACAATTTTGTTTCACGTAGTTGTTGCTTCGGCAAAGGTTACCCCATCCGACGCAACGGCGGTCGCGATCTTGACCTGAAATAAGCAGAACATTAGATTTATAAGCAGAACAATGGATTCGACAATTCCGTTCTCTGTCAGTGAAAACTACTCAAATAAGAACAGGTTACATTGTCTGCCTCGCTCTCACGCTATTATTTTGAGTGCGCTTTAAGCAAATTCGTGAAGTGTTTACTTTAAATCTACTGAATTGGCGCGTTTCACGAGTCGCAACAAATAGGCGCGAGTCTCGACAAGTAGGCGCGAGTCTCGACCAAAAAGGAGCGACCCCAGAAGAAGACGTTAACAAAAACACAAACATAACACATAATTTTTACGAATATTTATAGTGCACCTTTTACTTTGAAGTTTTCTAAAGCCTAGGTACATGCAATCATCTATATAACGCGTTAATCGCAGATAATGTAGATTAAGCTACTCACAGAAGCCACCTCCGCCGCCATTTCCACCTGTTATTAAAAAAGAAGAATTATTCTTTGGTAATGTAGCGAGGAAAACATGATCTTGAAATGACTATTCATTCACACTTTATTGAGCTATCGACTCGCTACGGCACGACATCGATATTTATCTCTTACTTTATCATATGGCAAAAAGCTTTTGGTTCGAATTTTAACTGAGAGCAGGGTTTTGCATTGCTGTACTTATACCTTGCATCTTTTGATTGATCCAGTTAACGAAGCTACTGACACGTGCAAACACAGTATAGTGATCTGTACGGCAATCCTTATGACCCCAGCTTACGGCACCCCTGAGTACCCATCGGCCACCCTCATTGCACACGAACGGTCCACCGCTGTCCCCTTGGCAACCACCCTTGCCTTGACCACCTGCGCAGATCATAGAGAGCTCAACGACGCGACCAATTCGGCTATTCACGCGATTACACTGGTAGTGTGAAACAACTGGCAAAATGGCTTGTTGAAGCGTGTCTGCTGCATATCCACCGCCAACCGTGCGCCCCCATCCTAAAACGGTAAAGCGAGATTGCAGGAAAGGGAAAAATACTTCGTGTAAAATGAACGCCGGAGATGGGAAAGAACATGCTTTTGTCTTGAAAACTCAAAAACTAGATTCTATATTCCGCTTTTAACAATCAGAAGTTAAACGAAGCACTTTGTAAAGTTTTTAGAGGTTGGAAAATGTTTTAATCGACCGTTCTTCAGCAATTTAGGATTTTGTTCTCTGTACCAACATTGTTGTTATAACTGATTTTATTATATACACAAGCGCCAGATATGAGGTATATATGCTGCAATTTGATTGGTTGGCTACTAGACAGATATTAGCTCATATCTGTCTAGTAGAGAAAGTAAACAAAATGGCTGAAAGATTTGGGAAGTTGAGTGCAATAGAAATCCGAGCTTTAGCTGATAATAGCAATTAGCAAACCAAAATGCACCGAAAGGGCGACAAAGTTTGTGTATATAATAAAACAGTCGTATATGGCCGATAGCCAACGTTCGTCGTATATGGCCGATAGCCAACTCGGCGCTACGCGCCCGCTCGTCGGCTATCAGCTCATATACGACTCGAGTTCGCAGCCATTTGGTAAAAATTTAACTTTCATTACCCTCTTTAAATAAAGTTTGAAAGTTCTTAGTTAGCAAAATAATTATTTCTAACTGCCAGAGAATTGAAGGTGTGGCTGCTTTCGCAGGACAACTGCCAGATTATCGCAGAGTTTCGTGCCGTGAGAATTATAATTCACTTGAACTATAGTGGATCTTACACATTGTACACATTTCAAATATAAACCTCCAATTTTTCCTGAATTTTTTCACGTTTCATCAGGATTTGATTGACTTTAATGCACCACTGTGTCGCGTACCTGTGATATAGCATCGCGAGCCTGCGCGGACTCGACTACCAGCTGATGGCAAGCAGACTGTGTTCACTTTGGAACTAGTTTGAACGGGTCTGTCGAGCTGAAGTAGAGCGATGTCATTCGTCAATTGGCTGTAATACTCGTGCATGAAGAGTTGTCGAAGTCTATAAGTTTGTTGCACGAATGTGGTTCCTGTTCTTCTGTGGGCACCTGAAGAGAACGAGAGTTTGAAATGGTTTGAAAACTTGGAATAGTAAGCCATCCTAAATGTAGAAGCCAGAGGTTTAGTTGTCTCCCTATGCTTCAAAAGCAAACTAAACATGCAGCAAATCTACGAGGCACACGTAACAGCTGCTAGTGGAAAGAGCAGCTAATATTCAGATACGTCTGACTTTGTTTTATAAACTAGCTTGAGTAATTATTATCACTTGTAGTGAAACTGTGCGTGAAGATAGCGACTGACTGAGGAAAGCGACTGTCCAGTTTTTCATCACACCCAGGTCTTAGATAAGCCTTAGATTTGTGCATCTTCAATTCACTAATAGTCTGAAAAATACTATTGGACAATTTCAACCTATCATTTTTGACATTGCTCCGATGGCATCACTTGCAACGGGAAACACGACTCACCAACAACAACGGTGTACCCGCTTGCTCGTGGATTATTCTGAACGCAGTGAGCAGCGGTGACAACCCAGTCAGGTTTGATCAACGATCCACCGCAAATATGGCGGCCATTCACACGAAGCGAGATCTGCCAAGGCCAGGCATGTGGTGCAGCATTATCACCGTTTACGACTCGAGCACCGTAAGACTTCTGACCACAAGCTGCAACAAATAAAACACGAATTACACAGTAATTCGCGAAATTATAACTACCTACAAACAGATATAATAAAAATAATGCAAGTATATGATTATGCAGTCATTATATAATTACAAAGATGAAGGGGTATATATGTCATAGTTACCCACCTTCAATAAACGATGGCCCAAGCAGGGCTAAAACAAGACAGAAAATCATGATTCGACAAGCAAGTCTTCAAATCAAATGTTCTTTGAGCGATGCACTGGTCTCCTCACGCATTTTATGTGCTTTGCATTTGACACAGTTTGTCCACCTGAGCAGCTGAGTGGCCACAAGGAAATTGTGTTTCCTCAAGACACATTCAGGATAATCAAACACAAAAATATTTACTGAAAACCCTTGAAAACCCAGACAAAGGCAATATTTTTGAAGCTGAATAGTAAACGCTATACATTTTATATCATCCTCCAGACCGTTACTACTTCAGTTGAAAAAGGGAAATATTGTTGTAGATGTTTGTTATATAATTAAATGTACATGCAGTCAACTCTAAAATGAATTAAAATGACTCTCGCTATCACAGATCTAGATCAGTATAATTATATTGAAGCTTGCTACTACCACCATCACTATAATTTGCATAACCTGCGCGTGTGCTTAGTTTAAAATAAACTTGTGTGAAAATAAACATTAATTTAAAATAAATTTAGAATAATTAATTTTGTACACGTGATTTAACATGAATTTACAAGCTGTAAGATATGACTTATGAGGGGGAACAGTTTCAAACTTTTCAAAATTTTGAAAAATCCTGTCTCTACAATTAAATGAAGACTATAACGCTGAACGAAGCCGTGAAAGTTTCAGAAGAGAATTACTTAAAACTCATACTTGAGTTTAGAAGATGCTTATTTTCAGAGTATGCATGTTTAGTGATTACAGACATGCACGATTTGTTCTATAACCATGCGCATGCCTTATTTGCTTCAGCACTGAGCAAGTGGAAATTTCGTTGTCCCCCCATCAGCACCTTGTTGATCAGTGCATGGTTGGAGCCAATCACCTGACTTATCTAGGCATAATCATAAGAAATTTCTAGCTATCGGAAGGGCCACTTGAAAATCTCCCTGGAAGTGAATTTTTCACTTTATTACACCATTATTACACCTGATCCAGTGGGGGAGTGGACACGGCACTTGCGTTAGGCAAGAGTTATAGAATCTGAACTGATTTTAGTGTTAGCTTTGCCAGAGATCACCAAAGTGTTTATTATTGCCTGAGGTTTCTGCTAATAAAGCGTGTATCATATCACAGTTTTTGACAACTATTTCAAAGAGTATATATTTTTTGAGATACCCTGTTGAAAACCAGACACCCAGTTTTGACGCCAAGCGGGCTAGCGCATTTTTAAAGAAATTTAAAAGGCAATAATGATAATAAAAGTCCAATTCCAATACAGCTTTGTCAGATGAACAAACTAAATTGCTAACAAGGGATGTTTTTTAAAATCCCTCGACGGCGCAACGACCAGACCACTTTATTGATTCCACAAAGATTGCTGGTAGCGGCTCGTAAAAGGCTGCGGCTGAACAATCATGCAGCACGCTGACGGCTGATCGTATTGTCGCATACGTCAATCACAAAAGAAATCTTCGCGAATAATCATAGATTTTCCTAAACAATTCTGATGTTGATTCTAAAATGAACAATATTATTGTTAGCGGGCCAACAGAAAGATTAATCATGGATGAAAATCATGAAATCATTTAATTGTTCGTGAAAAGATATATGCAAAATACATTTTGAATTTTTGCCTGGCAAACTTATGTATAATTGTTCCTCGAATCTTCTGAAATGTTGACAGTTTGTACATGCTCAAAAATTCTATCTTTTTAATTAAAATAAAATAAATAAATTTAGATATTGAACATCTAACTGCTCTCTCGCGCTTTGAAGTAAAATTTTTGATTGTTTTTTATTAACGTTAGATTGACGTTGTCTGATAGAAGATGTTATAATAAATAGCTGTGTATATATACGAACATACACTCTTAATGAATTTCAATGTCGTTTTTGTGACATTTCAAAATTGTCTATGACTTTTCAATTTGTGATAAAGCATTTCTGTACTTGTTTTGACATATAAACAGTAGCAGATTCAGGATAAAAATCAAAATAAATTATTAAATAACATGTATAAAACGTATGCAATATGTCTCAGTCATAGATTAGGGTGAAGGTTATTCCGAGTACTGAGTCCATTGTGTATAGATCAATAGATTTTAATTTTGAGAAATACATAATAAAAATTTTACAAGATTGTAAAAATCTTGTAAAATTTCCGTCTCTTGTCTTGTGTATATAATCTATTCCGAATAAATTTTATTTTATATCTGCTGAAATTGTCAGCTGGAAACGTTTACAGTTTAGGCAGAGTTTCCATATGATAAGAAATTAAACGTTGAAATTTGAGATTAAACATGTATTTCTTTTAATTGATGTGTCAAATAATATTCGTAGAATCCTTATAAACATGATTTTGTTTTTTAGCTTATTTTGCATCCAAGCAATAAAGGCTAACACTTATATTGCTACAATTTTGATCCTTTCGATTGTAACTGTATATTGTAACTGTATTGTAACTGTATTGTAACTGTATTGTAACTGTATTGTAACTGTATATTGTAACTGTATTGTAACTGTATATTGTAACTGTATTGTAACTGTATTGTAATTGTATATTGTAACTGTATTGTAACTGTAAGTTGTCAAACATTCGTTTGCGTTTTGAGAAAGATTTTCTCAAAAATGAGAAACCTTACCTTTGTCTGGGTTTTTCAGGAAAAATTATTTCTGTGTTTAAATAGTCACTTATAGTCAGCTGTTCAGGTGAACAAACTGTTTCAACTATAAACCACAATAAAGTGTGGAAATCCCGGGACCATAGCGCAAAGTATATTGGATTTGATAACTTGCAAGTCTAATGATGATTTTCTTCCTTGTTCTAGCCCTACTGGGGCCATCGTTTATTGAAGGTGAATATAACAAAAATTTCTTTACCACTGTCTAATTACAAACTTGCATTTATTACAGTAGCTATATCTGTTTGTATTTATTTTCCCAAATTACTGACACTGTAATTCGTGATTCATTTGTTGCAAGCTTCATGTGGTCAGAAGTCTTTCGGTGCTCGAATCGTTAATGGTGAAAATGCTGCTCCCCATGCCTGGCCTTGGCAGATCTCGCTACGAGTTTATGGCAAACATATTTGCGGTGGATCATTGATCAAACCTGACTGGGTTGTCACCGCCGCTCACTGCGTGGTGAAAAACCCGCAACGTAGCAGATACACCGTTGTTGTTGGTGAGTTGTGTTTCCCGGTGCGAGCATAGTGCAGAGCGAAAAACACCCCACAAGTACAGGGCGATGCCCCGTGGCAACGTAACCCTCGTAGATGTTGTAGTAAAATGTTCTCGGGGCAAAAAAAGAGTAAATATTTAGCGTTCGACTCAAGGAAGATAGATTGCATTTTTTATACAATCTGCCAACTGGGATATTCTTATCGCGTTTAAAACATGTATTGCTGAACAAGACTATTTCTGTTACCACTCCGGATTCTTTAGCGGATTTATAGCCGGACTATTTACTGAATTTTAAAATTTTGTCCTCAAAAACTACCACGATAACAAAAATGAAAAATATCAAGTTTACTTTTAAAAAAATGCATGAACTATATACAATTAGAAAGATTGCAAAATGTATATATAGGACATTTAAGCGAGCAGTTTGATTTTCGTGGACGTTTTTGAGTTTTTATCTCTCATAGAAAGTTTACTATTATAAGCGATGATTTTGTGGTAATAATGGCAAACTACAGTAGGATTGTAATTAGAGAATTGTTTTCCTAACGAAAATGTTTCTGGATTTTTGAGCAACATTTTTGCTATCGATTCAGGAATCACACTTTTTCTTCCGCAATCATTTTGCTTGTTTGCTGCAGCTTTGGGTGGGTGAATATTGAGCTCCGGCATTCACTGTTCCGCCCATTCCCTTCATGCAGGCGCTCACAAAACAACAGGAACTACCGCAGTTGAAGAGACGCGCCGAGTTCGACAACTCCTCATACACGAAAATTACGTGGAATCATCGAACCACGACATCGCCCTAATTCAGCTCGACAAGCCCGTGAAAATCAGTTCCAAGGTGAACACAGTCTGTTTGCCACAACCTGGTAGTCGAGCAAGTGTTGGTGCACGCTGCTATATCACAGGTATGAAGCAGGGGTGGATCCAGCACTAGTGCACTAATTTGCATTACAAAACAAAATGGCTATTTTGAGCAGTTTTCTTGTGTCATGCAAATTAGTGCACTAGTGCTGGATCCACCCCTGGGTATGAAGTGACAGCGCTGTATGCATGCTGTGAAAATTGAGTTAAACCTCACTTTCAGGACGACAAACTTAACGACGACCGCTCAAACATATTCCCAAACTTCGAAAATGTTCAGGGGAAATTAAAAGTTCAACTCCTCCTGTTATATGATTGGCCTGAAAGAATACAATTCCTTTTTACAAACTCTTTTCGACTTCGTGCACTCGGATAAATCCACCATTTTTTTCGATTCACCGGTAGATCAAAAGTTTGGCAGGAAAAAATGAAATTGAGTTCTTAAGATAGACAAATGCTCTTGTATGGCGTTCGTTTCTAAACTAAATTAAATTTTATATCCTTAAAATTACATTTCTGTGCTTAACCTTTTCAGGATGGGGGCGCACCGTAGGAGGTGGACAAGCAGCAGACACTCTTCAACAAGCAATTCTCCCAGTCGTGTCCCACTACTCGTGTTCAAAAATCAATGGCTATCTTCGTCCGGTCATTCAAAACACTATGATCTGCGCAGGTGGTGAAGGCAAGGGTGGTTGCCAAGGGGACAGCGGTGGACCGTTCGTGTGTAATGAGGGTGGTCAATGGGTACTCAGGGGTGCTGTAAACTGGGGTCATAAGATGTGTCACACTACTTATTACAGCGTATTTGCTCGCATCAGCAACTATGTTAACTGGATCAACCAGAAGATATCAGGTATTGTTCATGTACGCATGCGCACAGCCTCAATTCCGCAAATACGAGGGAACTTTGACATTTATCTGAATATAAAATTTTGTTGTTCTCGTATTATGCTTCAAACTAATTGTTCTTTTCTAACGACAGATAGCAGCAGTGTTAGTGGCAGTGTCCATTGTAAGTATCGTGCTTTAATGAAGAACACTTTCATCCAGTTATCTAAACCCCATCACTCAGAAAGCTACGGCATGCCTTTAGTATAAGACGAATATATGAATATGCACCCCCCTCCAATTAAGCCTATAGCGACGGCCTATAAGTACTGGAACTTTCAAGGACTAAAAAATTCGCAGAGCACTCGATGTTTTCTAGAATGAACATTCCACCATTTTCTAATAACTTGCAGGGGATATTCTAAGACTAAGGTGCTGTAATACTAATTCGTGCAGTGATAAACGAAATATACGCAGTTATGAATGAAATTACGTGCAATGATTTGAAGTAATGTATAAGAGTATACAAAACAGCATCAACCCCTTTTAAAGTGTCTTACCATTCTTTGGTTAAATGTGGCAAACCTAGAATATTTGCAGGAGCAGCCACCCCCCGGGTGCCTTGATTAGCTTTGTTACTTGCGGCAAGTGAGAATACTTCTGTACTAGAAATATTATGTAACATTTTCCAAAACGTCGCCAAATTTATATATATCAACTTTATCACTTGGCGCGATTTTGTGAAGTGATAAAATTTCCTGAAATTAATCCCTGATAAATTGCTTGCACGTTCAGCTCTACTGCACGAATTTGATACGAATGTTTTTCTTGTTATTTCAGGCCAAGACCGCGACAGCCGTTGCGGACTCTGGTATGACTACTGTAACGACAGTTTCGTGTCAGTAAGATGTAAATGGTCATGTCTACTGTGTGATTAGGAATATTTGAACACAAGCGCATGATATTAAGATGTATTCTGGTAAAAGTGCATAAATAAAGCTCAATTGAAATCTATTTGAGTTTTTCATTGTCAAATCATCAAATTCATGCATGAAAAGAATCCGAGGGGCGCGTGGCGCGGAACAGGGGGAAGGGGGGGACCAGGGCACGGTGACTCCTCCCCATGTCTTGAAAGGACGCTTCAGCCAAGATGCCTTCTTTGAAGTCTTTGAGTAACTAATTAATGTGCGTGCTAACTGAAAAATACGAGACAAAATCGAGAGCACTAAATAAATTCACACGTGATGTGCATGGTTGTATTGGTAAGTTCTGGTAAATGCGATTATTATATGATAAATCGCCTATTTTTATTACCTTCTCCTCCCACTTTCCCAATAATTCTGCAGACGTCGAAAGAAACGCGCTACCATTCGGTACGAGACGGGGTGAGAGATAAAAACATCTCTAAATCCCGTAGCAAACAATCTTCCAATTTACGTTTAAAACCGCAGGTGGTTGGGAAAATGTTGCCAACCCTTTGCATGAGTAACGAATTGCTTGATGCACAATTTTCTTTGAGATCAAGAGAATTTAGAGCATTGACAATGTACTATTTGTAAAAGGGCTTGGCAGTTGGCCCACAAGACAAAAATTAACAACAAGATACATATTTTTGTTATCAATGTAAAAGGTGGCAAAGAGTTACGGTGCTTAAAATGATAAGAATCCAGGTGGTCTTCCTGAACAATTAAGAGATTTGACACACGTGACACGTAAGGGAAATGTTAAAGTTTGGTCTATTATGAGGGTGTACAGAAAACATATTGACCAAAGAGGGTACAAGGGGCATCTAGTAAACTAACCACAAAATATACAAAGTTTCCTGAATAAGTTTTATACCTGCTCGAGTTGCGGATTTGCCTTCTTTTAGTGATTGAATAACAGCGTCACGAACAATAAACACTTCAGCCAAAAATAAAAACTTTGCATCAGCGATTCAGATTTGCAAACTGAAAGTTATGAATATAGCTTTGAGCCTTTAAAAATTATTAACATATTAAACTGTTAAATATATGCGCAGTGTGTATTATACTCTTAGAAAGCCTCGTTTCCATTCAGCAACTGGTGTAATGAAATATTTATATTGTTGTTGTGAATGTGGGCGTTTCATACATATCATATTGATCACAACACCAACATGGTACATCAAAAAACACCGTAGTGCCCAGTTATGACCTCAAGAATAAATGCACTTCAGTCCTCTTCACTAAAATCCGAGTCATCGTCACTATCACTGTGTCCCTGAATATCATTAGATAGCACTATAGATCCCTCGCCACTCTCTAGCGTCTCTTCCACCTGCAATCGACTGTAAACGCGTTTATAATTGGAACTGTGTAGAACACGTGATGATTTCAGGCCGTACACCGCAAAGTCCTCTGGGAACGACTATTATAAAAACAACATAATCAGTTCTGTTGCTAAAACATATCCTTCATTTCTCATCTATTTTTTTCGTGTGATAGAAACAAGCCAGCTCTAGCAAAGCTAATAATTTCTTGTAGGATATTTCTTCTTACCTTTACTAAAGGAAAAAGTGTTTGTAGTTGATATGGATGAAGTTTCAGCGAGATTCTGTCGGTTAACCATGTTACCAACAATCTCATCAAGTGACCATACCAATTCTAGAAAATAACATGAGATAACATGAGTTCAGATCTAAAACACAGCCACGCACATTCGTTGAAATTCATGGCTTGGCAAAAGCTGAATTGCTCTTACTCTCAAAAGCTTTTTCCGCGATCTATCGTCATGAATAGAGTTTTGAATTTGTCCAAGATTTACTTGACAAAACTGAATATACTTGATCCTAGCTTCGTCTGTTTGAGACTAAACAAAAGAAGAAATGAAATATTAGCTACGAGTAAGATGAGTTTACGAAATCAACCTCAAAATTACAATACCAAACAACTTTTTATTTACTATAAAAGATCAACAATGCCAGACCTACACGACGCGAAGTACTATTAACTTACCGAAAGAGAAAAAATATGAGATTTAATCGTTCCTTGATCGTATCTTGATAACTTTTTTAGAAGCCCCTCTAATACAGTGTCAATCTGAATAAAAAACATTTCAATGAAATTCTCCTGGCGTCAGTGAAGAATAAATATTAGCTAATTTACATTACTTACTTTGGCCACGATTTCTGTGATTAAAAAGCTTTCAGTTTCCATCAAAAATTCACGAACATCGGGATGATAAGAATGCTTGAATGAAATAATTTCACCTGTTAATTGACCATGCGCAGCGCTTTTATTTTAATACACATGGATTAACGAAATGCGTGTTCACAACAAGAAAACGTTTTTTACCTCCGCAGGATTTCCTCTATCTCTCTGCATTCTCATTTCTGCGGTTGAATGACAGATATCCTTTGCCTAGATACAGTAACAATAAAATAAGAAAAAAAATTAAACTGGTTTCATAGAAATAGAATTAAAGCTCGAACTGTAGGTTACAACATGATACAAGGGATAACGAAATCCTACTTGTTTACTGGTTTTACTGGTTAACTACTTGTTTACTGGTTTTACTGGTTAACTACTTGTTTACTGGTTTTACTGGTTAACTACTTGTTTACTGGTTTTACTGGTTAACTACTTGTTTACTGGTTTTACTGGTTACTTACTTGTTTACTGGCCTGTGCAATCACATTAAACATGACACAAATCTGTTGGGGTATGACGTAATCCATTGCGTATCTTCCTCGTTTAATCCAACTGGAGTACGACTCACGGACTCTGGACAAAAATTGAAACAAAAATCATAAATGAATGTTTTACAGGAAGACTGCTTAGAACTGACAAAGTCATAAGGAATAAGGTTTAATTTTACAAACTAAAGTTTCGGGAAGATGGTTATTACCTCATAACACAAGCCTCAATCATATCAGATGACATCAATTCAATTCTTTGACGTAAATGGGAAGCAAGTTCCTTCTCTGGCCAATGAAGATCATCAATAAATCCTTTCAAAGCACTCAACTTGTAAAACATATCTTCCGAGGACGTGCATCCTTCTCTGAGGGAAAAATTATATACAAAATATGAGTTTCAGTATTCAGTATTCACTAACCACATTCGTGTACAATATCAGTAAAAATAGAAAAATCATTCGCTTGATTTTAATATGTGATTCGCAAATATAGATTGAAGATTTACTTCATTTGCTTGCATTTAATTTAGCCAGCCACCATCTACTGACGACTTCCGAAAATCACCTCAAAATAGATATATAATTCATGCATTAACACAACCGTACCCCACTGGAACCCAGGACTCCCTCTCAAAACCATTATTGACGGACTGGGCAATGGATGATTCCATAAGATCGACGTAACGGATAACAAGCGGTGCGAATTTATTTTGTAGATGAATATGACATGGACCATTACGTAGAGATACTAGAAGAGAAAATTCTGTTCTACAAAACGTTGTACTGAAACGTTTCATGGATTAAAACGCTTTTTCTACAACTGCTTTTTCCACACCCGACTAATATGCAATACATGAAATCACTTGCATGTTAAATTCAATGGAAAATAGTGTACAAATACTTGTAGTAATGATTACTTACGTTCTTTATTGAAGTAATCATTAAGTAACTGAAACAATGAGAAACTATCCCAAGTATCAGGATGCTGCACATCCAATGCTGCATCTAAATCAACTGTGAATAAAGACCAGAACAGTTCTGTGTGCTCCACCATTAATGTTGAGAACCATTCCAATGCCTGGCAGAAAAAATTACAAAACAAAGGAGCTTAGAAATCCTAATGGTCTTGTATTTAGAGAGAAGTTAGTCTAAAATTTAGGGGGCATGCATTTGTTATTAATAACAGGAGGCAATCTTTGACTTAAAACCTTTTAATTTTCACCTTAACACTTCAGGAATGAATATACAGATTTAAATATTGACGAGTTATTATTAACTAAATGATGTACAACATAATTTGAAAACTAGAAATAAATTATTTCCACAAAGAATGAACTCACCTCGCCATGATGTTCCTCATTTTGCTGCAGAAGGTCAATACAATGATCCGCCAGTTGGTACATGGCATCAAGGCGATCAACGGGATTTGTGTCGGGTGAACTAAAATCTTTATCAGGATATCAGGAAAACAAACATTAAAAGTCTCACAGTATAAGCAAACCTAGTTCCTGTGGGAAAATTCCTAACAGAAGACTTTCATGATCCAAGAGAACGCTCTTGCTTACAACGTACGTCAATATCTTAGTTAAGAAATATTCAAATTTTCCCCACCTTCAATCTTTAAAAATTTTGACACTTTCGTATAGTTTACAAGTGCAGCTTTTTTTAAACATTTTCGCATTTCGGCCTGAAATTCATCCGGGGGAACTGGTGTCGAAATATCCTTCATCATGACCTGCAAGAAACATTGGAACATTCTTGTGAATGAGATGTATGTTTATTCATCACAGGTCAGACAAAACACGCAAAACACGACAGCTTATCATAGAATATCACCTACGATGGAGCACCAAATCTGAACAAACCAGATCTGTTTCAAAGTACAATTCAACTCAAACGAGACCTCTCCCCCACACAGTTGAAACAATTTTTAGGTGGATCAAGCACATAATCCGATACCTTAAACAGACATTTGTATTTACAGTACCTACCCTTTCAAACAAAGACAAGGTTGCCTTAAGTGCCCCTTCAGGTCGTCCAAATGGAAAAGAATATCTGTGAACCACAAAATATAAAGATATGACATTTAGAAAATTAGAAGCATGTTTTCTGAATCAGGGAAAGCACGCTCAGGATATGATTTCATACCTAAAATTTATGATCTGATTTGTGAGTAGACTCCAAAGTCTTTCTTTCACGTCTTCAAATGCTTCTTTCTCGTATGTCGTAACTGTCACAATACCATCCGGGCTGGGGAGGAAAATACGTGTTTTTCACATTTTAACCACAAGATGACCGGGTTACCTGCACGCGGGCTGCACTGGGTGATCATGATCAGAAAGCTTACCGATTGCCGTGCACGTGAGAAGCACAGAATGCGTAGCTGTAATGTAGTAATGTTGAATCAATCATGATACCAGATTCAGCTTTGTCGAGTAAGTTGAGAAGATAATATAAATGACGATAACATCCACGAACACCATATCGAGAACAATACTCATCCAAAACAAACAACTGTCCTGGTGAGAACCAACCCTAAAAATTACAGTTTGGGATACTACATAAGAGTAATTTATGTTAGACAGAATCCGGGCCTCGCGGCAACAACCACAATAATCTTACGAATCCTTGTCTGTTTAGGCATCACTCACCAGTGTAATAAAGGGGGGGAGGGAGGTGGGGGAATACTTAAGGGGGGGAGGTGGGGAAATACTTAAGGGGGGAGGTGGGGGAATACTTAAGGGGGGAGGTCGGGACATACTTAAGGGGGGGAGGTGATGGAATACTTAAGGGGGGGAGGTGGGGGAATGCTTACCAAGCACGAGTACGTGTCATTCAGACGATGTTCCAAGGTGAGAAATTGCAACAATTTAAACAATGTGTGATGATCTACTTTGCATGGATCAGCTTGGATTGCTTCGTCCAGACCAAACTTCCTGGCGCGATCTGTGTCTGGTAAAAGATAGGTTTCTAATCTTAGTGACAAGTTTAATTTTTAGCAAGAGTCAAGTTTATTAACATATCTTCGTTTGTCCTCATTATACCATTATACTCCATTGTTCTAAACATTCACCAGGCGATTGTTGGGACAATCACTCAGACCTTCATTCATTACTTTATACGAAGATCACTCAGTTCCTCACCTCCCATCAGTTTTGTCAAGGAGTTTGTTTTTGCTGTTCCGATTTCCAAGGTTTTTGGCGCCACAGGTCTGTGTGACTGTCCAGTGGCTTGTGAGATCTTATGCACCCACATTTGTCTTTCCATTTCATCATCCGTCGAAAGTGTCACGCTGTTGCCTTCTTTAATGCAACAGAAGAAATATTTCCCACCCTCATATTCGTCACCTAAAATAAACAAAGATGAAACAAATTAAGTTCTCAAATATACCCAATGGACTGGGCACCGAGGAAGCTGTGCACCTCGATAGAGATTCTGTATCAAATTTTTTTTTTGAACCTACTGTTTTATGGGCAGTAGGCAAAGATATATAAATATTCTAGGACTATCCTGTGAGCAGGAAGACTGAGGTGGTTTATTTTTACCAGAAGAATATTCCAGAATGATAGGACATGTTTTTACATATTTAGTTTCCTGCAGTAACATACTTCATTCTTCAACCTTCAAAGACTGCGTCACACTAAAACCCCGCGAGAACAGACTTGAGACGTAACTACAAAACAACGATTAGTAATTTGCTTTACCTGCTGGGCGTTCAGCATAATCCACAGTGTATCCATCCAGTTGAATCATCTCATGAGGCTCACCTTTCTTCTCATGATAACTGCACAATGCGAACTTATATTGGCTTACCTATAACGAAATGTTGTCAATTATTACACTGTTGAAATGGTTTTGTCTTTTGTATAGCATACCACAGTATGTATAACATGAAATTATATAGTATAGTTTACAATACTGCAGATCCTGTAGAGTACTGTGGTATGATATGGTATGGAATATGGTATGGTATGGAATATAGTATGGTATGGTGTATAAAGATTGTAAAGCGTGGTATTGTATAGTGTGATACTCAAGGACTGATCAAGGACTGATCAAGGACTGATCAAGGACTGATCAGGACTGATTAAGGACTGATTAAGGAATGATCAAGGACTGATCAAGGACTGATCAAGGACTGATCAAGGACTGATCAAGGACTGATTAAGGACTGATTAAGGACTGATCAAGGACTGATCAAGGACTGATCAAGGACTGATCAAGGACTGATGAAGGACTGATCAAGGACTGATTAAGGACTGATAAGGATTAGAGCATAATTTTCGACAGTCCTCGTATGAAAATGACGTCGTACCTGAAGAAGAATAAAATATCTTTTTTTCCATCTCTTCCAGACATTCAAACCTTGCGAATACATGTATCTGGAAAGAAATAATTTTCAACCGGATCATAATTCTTAATTTTTCTCATTTTGTATAGTCTATTTATTCTTCACTATCCCATCTCACCCGCTATAATTTCAAAACCCAACTCTATTCCGTTGCACTCCTATCTACCCATTTCTACCCCCAATCCATTCCCATGTTCCTAACTTACCCGCATTTTTTTAGGTTGAGAGGTTTATCCATTTTAATTCTCATTTTTATTTGAATCTTATCCGTGAGTGGTCCAGCCTTGACTGGAACAGCCTCGTACCATCGCGAGTCCTCTGTAAACCCTGGATAGGGATTACATGTCAACTAATACAAAATTAAAAGAAAATACTTCCTTCAAACTTAAACAAAATACTTTGCTTCGCTTTTCGTTAAAGATGCATCCTAAACGAAAATATTTTAGTTTTCAAGTACAGTAGTGTTCGTCTTTTTGTTATATTTATTAAATATTACGTTAATAGTGACGAGACCTTGGCAATTTCCTTATCATCAAAAGCCAACACTCCTTTATTCTCTAGCAGCAACTTGACTTTCACTTCAGGCAATGGATGCGTTGTTGTGAAGTCACCTTGGGTATCCCATCTATCAAAAGTCAAAAAACGCAAATATTTTAATAATTTGATAAAAAAAAAATGGAAAACGGTTGAGAGATTGAATAAAAGAGAGCTATTGAATATAAGCATAGATTTCTTTTAGTATAGTCAGAAACATTTAAATCAATTACTTTGGTCTTGATGCTTCTGCTTGATCAGTTTGAAATTTTTCTCCACCCTCAACCTGAAAGATAGTTTCATCATTGTTTACACACGTTAATTACTTAGAAACTTGTACTGTGACCAGTGTTAAAGAAGAACGACATTTTACTAGCTGGTGCGAACCTCCATGGTACAATACACAATCTTTTGAGCAGGAAGTTTGAGCCCCCTGGCTTCCATTATTAACACTTCAATTGTAAATGACAAAACAACATCAGATGGAGACAAACTTCTCTCACAGTCTGACAAGTCAGATACCATCACAGCTGTGCTTCTATAGAAGAAAAACACTTGATAATATATTACATTACAATGAACATGTTTGTTTCTATAGTTTATAAAACATACTTAAAGCTATAGTCTCAATATTAACATTATGGGTCAAAGATATATAAAATATATCAGTACATGTAAAATTAATATTATAAATCTGTAAAGCAATATTTATGGTTATGGTGAAATGTATGAACATGGATTGCAGCCACCTAATCAAGGTGGGTGGTTCACACTTATTGCGTCTACTTAAAGTGTCTGGTGGGAACAACCAATAATATGGCCACCAATTAAGGTGGCAGACAGGTATATCAAACTTATGGCCATCCAATCACCATATCTACACAGGAGGTGTGGTGTTCATCTAACATATTTAACAATTAGTCGCCGAAGGCGAGGTGATTACAAGCCTATAAGTTTTAGCATAAATTTTAAGGTGTTTACAAATTATAATCAGCATAATTTCATAAAAATTTATAATGACTTCAAATTTCTTAGTTGAAATACAACAAAAAGCTATAGTCACCAGCCAGTGACTATCACTTCAGAGAAAGTGAATCTTGATCAGTCAGAATGCAGGAAAATCAATAGTCACCTCAAAATTTATACTTAATTGTGTTAGTGATGAAGGTAAGAAGGTTGCTGGTATGTAGTAAAGTTAGCCAATTGTCATAGTCTATGTGTGTTATTAAACTACTATATGGCTGCACTTACAAAAAAAGAAAATCAGTTGCTTTGCTGCTTACTTGAGTGGTTTTGTTTTGACATTAGAAACAGGCAAACTGTCAAGATTTGTCTTGAGTTGATTAATTTGGTTCCTTTGTTCATCAACATAAATAGCTTTCATATTCTTGTGTACAAATGAAGGTAAGTCCTACAGAACCAAATAAATTGACAGTGTTTCTTAAAATATGCTCAGATGTTTTTGCAGGTACAGTAGTGTGAAAAAACCAGGAAGAGACTACCTTACTTCCACTTGCAAGAACATCCATTCTTCCTTGTAATTCTCGTCTAATACATGCTGCTTGTTCATCAGCATTATCCAGCTAAATTGGACATAACAGAGCTAGTTGTTTAGAAATCAAATATACATATTCAAAGAGTGGTCTCAATAAGCTGCAGAATGGTGGACAAATTTGAAATTCTGACACATTTGTCAGTCTGGGTGTGTCAACAGTCTGTCACCAGTGTTAATAATCAAAATTGCACTCTTCAATAATTCAGAAAAGTTGTGGGGGAATGCTAAGATTTTCCAGACGGTTATGAGGCCTTACACTTACTCAATACCTAGCAAATATATAGTCATAGGTACTCTATTTGCAGAACATATGTGTGCTCGAGGAATAAAGAATTATAAATATTTATCGAAGTTATATAAATTAATTATATGATGCATTTCTGCATAATATATCAGTTTGTTTACTTTGTTAGTACACTTGTGATCAGTAAATACCTGACAAGCATTATATAAGATCGCATGTTCATATTTCTTGACACCTAATATCGTCTGGAACATTTCATAAAGTTGATCTTTGGAGAGAATCATTTCACTAGTTGAAGTAGTACCCGTCATTCGCGCAGGAGATCGCATGGTCGAGCGCTCGTCGCCTCTGTAAATAGTGTCAAATTTTGCCATCCAAGAATTCAGAATCGTTTCTATAGTTAAACCACTAGGCACATTACGTACTCGTTTCTCAATACTGCTTTTAAAAACCTCCCGAAAATCACTAGCGGTACAGCTACCACAGCCAAGCATTTTTATTACGCGGTCCGAACTCAAAAAAATCTCATAATAACTCTTCACTGCCAGATAAAACGCTTTATCGCTTTCAATTGACGTTTGCCCACTCAAAAATTGTTCAAAGCGTATCTTAATAATTGCTAGCTCTTGCTTGGATATTTTACACTGTCTTCTCGTCATGTCTGTTTGTTGTTTTGCATTGAAAGGGTAAGCAATACAACGTAACACAAAGACGTAAAGCATCAACTTTTCTTTGCGTTCTTGTTCGTCTGGATGCTCTTCCACTTCGCTGTTCAAGGAAGGAGTCGGACTATCAACAAATCTTGCAGGAACAGGCAAGTTTTCTGTAATGAGCGTTGTTTTTTCACCCGGTACTTCATCATTGTCGCTGTCCTCTTCATCGGATGAATTTGAGATCATGATCAATATTTCTCTTGCAAAAACAGCAAAATGCAGTTCCTGTTGAGTTAAAACCCTCCTGAGGTGTTGTTTTGATTTGCATTGGAAGCAGGTCACCCATCAGCGGTCATCGAGAATTACTGTCGTTTAATGCTGAATATTTTAATATTAATCAGACTAAATTGCATAATGATTTTGTAATCAAGGCTTTGTGATCACGTTTGTAACCTTCGCTCGATGAGACGTAAATAAATGATTTTGCGTTTCATGTTTGCATGTTTGCACGCAAAAGTTGTTACAGTAAAACAAAAGTTGTTACAGTAAAACAGGAGCGAACAACGTCAGGACCCTGTTGAACAATGATTGTTTTAAACCAGTTGCTGTCTTGCTGATTGTAAAGTGATTGTTGAATGTACTAAAGTTGAACAACAATCGACAATATTGTAAACAATATCATTCACAGGGGATGCAATCTTATTGGTTTGTTTTGGACAACTTGTGACAACCTGGTCATTTCGTGTATTTTATTTTCCAGTAAAGGCCGGCGCACACTAGAGCTATGTGCTTAGCAAAAAATCATTCGTAGCCATTGGCGTAAGCCAGTTGCTCTCGTGTGCGGGCGACTTTTCCGGCGACTTTGGTCATTCGTGCCACTTACGGCAAATATCTAGCATGTTTGATAATTTCTGCCTCGCGTGCCAAAATCTTTCCGTGTGCGGCAAAATGAAAGCTATCTGCTTATATATGGATTGTGAAAAGCGCATGCGTAATATACGAAAGTAAACATCCAAGGTGGCAAAAAGATTGCAAAAACAAAATTATGGATGAATGTGAAGACGAAGAGTTGTTCTTATTTTTGTTGCTGTTGCGTCGGACTAGACTAGACTTCCGCTTAAAACACCGTTATCCAAGTGGTATTATAAATAATATTACCTGTTTGAGAAAGCTTACTAGCTCTGCAATAGCGCATTCCGTTTCTCTCTGTTTCTAAAATCTGTAGAATTCACATCGTATAAACACCTGTATTCTGGCCAAAGATCAACCAGTCTTCCAATATGGTCTCAGCCGCCACAAATTCATTTTGCTTTGCTTGCACCGCCATCTTGGATGTTTACTTTCTTATATTACGCATGCGCTGTAAAGACAATCCATAAGCAGATAGCTTTCATTTTGCCGCACACGGAAAGATTTCCTTTTTTTTTTTTTTTAATTATTCCCCTATGTAAAGTTTTATAATTAAATATTACATATGATTTTTATAATAATGTAAGGCTAGAAACCTACTAGAAACCTAGTTAGGCTTTTGAGGCTAGGCCCCTAGTGATGATATGTCCACTGTAAAATCAATATAATCACAAAGATGATTACTTACACTAAATACTATTTACAAATAAGGAAGCAGGGAAAGAAAAAATAATTACAGTGCAGACTGCAGATATAGCTCAAGAAGTCATAAATTATTGTTGTTTGATATAATTTTTTTATTATTATATATTATAATTTTGGCACCCGAGGCAGAAATTATCAAACATGCAAGATATTTGCCGACTTGCCGTAGGTGGCACGAATGACCAAAGTCGCCGGAAAGGTCGCCCGCACACGAGAGCAACTGGCTTACGCCAATGGCCACGAATGACTTTTTGCTAAGCACATAGCTCTAGGTATTCTGTGGCTCTAGTGTGCGCCGGCCTTTACCTGTGGAACATGCCTGGTTACATTCACTTTCCGAGGCGAAGTTATTCCTGTTTCCTAGGCAACCGGAGAACAACCGGAGAACATGAATTGATCACATGTTCGAGTCTGCGCATTAAACCTAAAGCGTTTAGTGTCCGTCTGACATTTCGGTGGATTCCAAACTCTGGAACAGACTGTGTTTGCAATCGGATCTATAGCCCCGTTTACACTACACTCAATTTATTGGCACGGCACGGCTAAAATGGTGTGCCCGTACCCATTTCATCTGTACTCGGCCTTTGTTTTGGTACCCTGAACACTGATAAAATTGGGTGCGGGTGCACATTTTAGCCGTGCCGTGCTGATAAATTCAGTGTAGTGTAAACGGGGCTTATAATGGCATAAAAAATCATGTTAGATGAATTCTATGAGCGCATGCCAGACAATAACCCTGTTCGTGCAGTTCTCGTGATTACCACGTATCAAAGTCCCGCACCACTAACGCAGGGCACACGAAACTGTCTTAATTACAAGAGGCAATGGTAGTTAGTAGGTTCTAGTTGTTCAGGGGTTAATCGTGCGCCTTTGAATGGGCATTGTAATTGAGGTCGATGAGGATAGGCTGGGTCACCGTAGATACAAACAGGATTTCCATTTGGTAAAAGATCTAGCTGTTGAAGCTTGTTGTATAAATCAGACTGGGCAAGCATGGCGCTATCATGGCGTTTTTCCTCAACTGGGCCAAAAAGGTTAGCTACAAGACCATTAGGGACAGCCAATGATTGGAACTTTATTGCACGTACTCTCTTATGCCCATTATAAAGAACCCTTTGATTTTTGCCAGGTTTGCAAACAGGACGAACCGTCCCATCAACAAAAGCAAAACAATTTTCCAAGGCACCACTTTTCTGAAACTACACGACAATTCTTCTATATTGTCTGAAGTTAACCAAGGTTGGTCAAATGTTGAAAGCAAATGATTCCATTGAGTGTACAAAAGCTCATGCAGTTACTGATACTGATCATGCAAAGTTGAGGAACTGGTCTGCCAATCTTGGCATCTATCTAGGTATCGACAAGGATAAGCAAAGCGTTTCAAAAATATGCACAAAGCCTCCACTCGGTCTACCAAAAGGCCGTTGTAGCATTTGATAACTTCTGGTAGCTTCATAGCATCTACTATAATGTAAATGTGCTCTTTCAAAAAACGAAATTCTGTTAAACATTCGTCGTCACTTAATTTGTCCAAGTCAAAATCATTGTATTTCCAGTAAGGCAAATCTGGACTTTTGGCGGTATATAGGTCAAAAAGCAAAATAAACTCTTCATCGTCAATTAAACTTTCGGAATGCGCGTATAAAATGAATATAACATGAACCTGGCAATCATGAATCTACCCGACGATAGCATGTGCTTGCTTGGTGTGAAACAGTCAAAGTGATCTCACACTAGAATATCAGCTCTGCAGCTTAAAGTTGCTTTCCTGAGGCTGAGACGAAATTTATCAAGTGTTTATATAGGAAGGTCTTTGGATGAGATGGATCGCAAGACAAAGCATAAATAGTAGTAGGAGGTATCTGTTAAAGTTTATTTTAATAAATCACATGCAATACACAACTGTCCAGTCACTCCAGTGTCCTGCGAGTTAATTTAAAGAAATCTACGTTACAGATTATTTAAACTACAAAATACTTATGCGAAAGCACATACAATCAGAAATAGTATTTACAAAACAATAAAAACTTAGTCAGACACCACAAATATTTTAAACAATGCAAACTGATTTATTAATTGTTTGGTAAAAAATTCCATCAGAAATTTCTCATAAACGTCTCATCAACATACGCAAAATATATTCCACAAAAAACATTTCAAAGAACATTTGCTCGTATAAAGGAATAAAAAAACTACGAGAGTAAAATACCGAATGTGTCATGAAAAAAAAAATTAATATGATTTACCTGCATATACAGCTTCACAAACATTTCACAATTCACAACGTTTGACGCGTTTTACATGATTGCAGTTATTAGGACTTTACATTTAGTAAATCAGTTTGCAGTTGCCACTCTTAGCATCCCTTAAATATTTAACATCTTCAGTTTTTAAATCATTGTGACTTACATTTAGTTTAGTAAGTTTACAGTTGTCATTCTTCAAAGCATCACTTAAATATTTAGCAGTTTCAGTTTTTAAATCATTGTGACTTACATTTAGTTCAGTAAGTTTACATTTGTCACTCTTCAAAGCATCAAATAAATATTTAGCAGCTTCAGTTTTTAAATCATTGTCACTTACATTTAGTTTAGTAAGTTTACAGTTGTCACTCTTCAAAGCATCACTTAAATATTTAGCGCCTTCAGTTTTAAAATCATTGACTCTTACATTCAGTTTAGTAAGTTTACATTTGTCACTCTTCAAAGCATCACTTAAATATTTAGCACCTTCAGTTTTTAAATCATTGTGACTTACATCTAGTTCAGTAAGTTTACAGTTGTGACTCTTTAAAGCATCACTTAAATATTTAGCACCTTCAGTTTTTAAATTATTGCTTCTTACATTTAGTTTAGTAAGTTTACAGTTGTCACTCTTCAAAGCATCACTTAAATATTTAATACCTTCAGTTTTTAAATCATTGACTCCTATATTTAGTTCAGTAAGTTTACAGTTGTCACTCTTCAAAGCATCACTTAAATATTTAGCACCTTCAGTTTTTAAATTACTGGTACTTACATTTAGTTTAGTAAGTTTACAGTTGTCATTCTTCAAAGCATCACTTAAATATTTAGCACCTTCAGTTTCTAAATGATTGTGACTTACATTTAGTTCAGTAAGTTTACAGTTGTCACTCTTCAAAGCATCACTTAAATATTTAGCACCTTCAGTTTTTAAATGATTGCGACTTACATTTAGTTCAGTAAGTTTACAGTTGTCACTCTTCAAAGCGTTACTTAAATATTTAACACCTTCAGTTTTTAAATCATTGACACTTACATTTAGTTTAGTAAGTTTACAGTTGTCACTCTTCAAAGCATCACTTAAATATTTAACACCTTCAGTTTTTAAAACATTGCTTCTTACATTTAGTTCAGTAAGTTTACAGTTGTCACTCTTCAAAAACTCAGCCAATTCACGGATAGTAATGTTCGTCACAATACAATGATGGATGCGAAGCTGTTTTAAGTTCTTGATGTGGCTTAAAAATTTGAACAAAGCCGTAGATTCTGCTGGTGAGATATTTAATCTTTCCAAAATAAATGTTTCATCATCATCCTCAGATGCAAACGACGAAATCATTTTCATGACGCGATCTTCTTGCATTTCCCAAACACTTTTTATCACAAGTAAACCTTTGTCATTACTCTCGTCAACACGTCGTTTCTTTGGCATCCAGTCTTGAAATCTAGATTAAAATATTTTGAGACAAAAGTTTAGAAGTTTAGGATTATATTTAGAGAAAACGTCGTACTAATGGCCATTTTATCAAAAATTAATTCACGGTGTAAAGACGACAAGACAGACTTACTCCGTTACTGATTTTGTTTTCTGTAGAAACACAACTGCAAAAGTAAGAATTTCTCAAAAGAAAATATAAATTCTGTGGCAGATTTTTTTTCTTTAAAATGGTGTTAAAATGATTTTTCCGTTTCGTCTGCAAAAATTGGAAGGTTCTCTTCACACGTATGAAACAACCTCAACTGACATGTGCTTGTCCTATAATCAGTATAATGAATATTTTATTGTACTATTTTGTACAGCATGCAAAACTATTGACTAGGAAATTGCTCTGGAATCAATCAAAGTCATCAGTCACAATTTCATTAAATCATCTGCTAACAGTTATAATTATGTTAATAATTGTGTGAATAAAAAATTAAGTACAGCAACCTTTCACAGAATTGGCTAATCAGAGTCATTCATATACAACAGGCAGAGCCTGGTGTTATCAACCTTGGAAAATCCTCAATGTTGCAAATGCTAGGTAAGGAAGCTGTTGCAGAATTTTGTTAAGGGTTTTAAATTGATGCCTTTTAAATCTTTACCTTTTGCATATACAATTGATTACTTTGGTGTCTTTATGCTCTGCTGACCTGATAAATAATTAAATATGAATGAATACAAGATTATATGTACACTAAATGATACAACAATGAATAAATAATTTAAGAAGATTCCCCTACATGTATATGGCTATGAAATTGAGTTGTGACTATACAATATATATAACTGGCTATACTGGCTTTATCTAATTTGAAGAAGAATTAGGCATACCTTAACTCCCTCATCCTATCTCCAAGTAACCCAGCTACAAATTGGATCACCAAATGCCACCTTGGTTTATCAATGTGCTCTTCTAAAAATCTTTCAACATTTTTGATATTATCAACCACATCTAGTGCAGCCAGAAACTCTTGAATTGTAAGATGAAGAAAAGAGAAGATATTTCGTCTTTTGTCTTTCAACTGATTGAACACACCAGAATCAGATAAGCCAGCCACAGTGTTATCACTGCTCTCAAATTCAAAAACTAACTGGTTTGTTTCCATTCCATTCCTTGCAATTTTCTTTAATTTGTTCAGATCCTCTTGCAACTGCTCTGGAAGTTCCACAGTCAAGTAATCCTTTTTTACTGGTTTATTCTTGTATTTTGAATTGTGTTTGAACAGCAAAATCTTCATAGCTCTATTGTACAGTTCAGTTATTGTTTTGGGAATATTACTATAGTTTCCATCCTCCACTTCTTCACCAAAATCAATGCTCTCATATAATGTCAAACACACTATATAGGAGTTAACTGGTATGTAGCAGAAGCTTAATAGTTCTGGGGAACTCTTAATTACCTGCCATATCTCTAAACTTTTCATGTCATCATCACAAAACTTTTCAACATACTTTTCTATTTGTTCCTCATTAAAACCTAATATCTCCACTTCCTGATCAAACTTTAGATGTCTATAAATATATTCTGCTGTAGGTCGAGATGTGATTAACACAGTGGCTCCAGGCAATAGTTTGCCTTCCACCAGCTGTTTAAGGATAAGCAACATATGACACTCTTTGTCAGGGCTGTTTATAATCATTTCATCAGTTAAACACTCTTCATCAACTTTAAGTTCATCCAAGCCATCAAAAACAAGAATGACATTTTTTGGGTGTTTGCAAACAAATTCAAAGACAGTCATGCCACAATGAGCTAATGACATATCAAGACGGTAAGCTTTGGTTAATATTTCTCGAAGGCTTGTTTCTCCTTTGTTAAAATCACGAAATTTAATTAATAGTACATATTTTTCATGCCAGAATCCAAATCTTTCTTCATTTTGTACACACTCATTAAATATTTTTCTTGTCAGTAGAGTTTTCCCAATTCCAGGTCTGCCTACTACAAGACCAGTTCTAGGTTGATGGTTACCAGATTCTGCTGGTTGAAATAATTCTGCTGGACTCTTGAGGATTCTTGAATTAGTAGGTTTTTCCAATTGAACATCATAAATCTGATGTCTACTTTCAAATTCTCTTCTGGGTTTGTGGGCACGTTCCCTTCCATCTTGAATTATAACATTGATATAGATTTCCTCCAGTTTTCGACGTGACCAATCTTCTCTTCCAAAGTCGTCATGTACGTCAAATAAATCTTTGGATTGACTTTCTCGAATCATTTCCATTAACTCTCGGTTTATCTCTAGAGTTATTTTTAAACGCTTTTGTAAAAGGTACACGCTAATAAACTCCTGATCAGTATGGAAAGTGGGTCTCTTCCATGCTGACCACAACAGATAAACAATCTCAACGAGTGTCAATGCATCGACAAGGAAATTAATCGTGATGAAGCCGACAACAACTTGTTGTTTCTTTCCACCCATTGAATAAGTGCAGTCCACAAATGAAGAATTCGTAGTTGACCTTGTGACGTTCTCATGGAAAGTACTAGTTGTTGTTTTCATATTGGCCAAAGAACATTCAAAATGGGTTGGAAAATTGGACGAGGTTAAGAGAAATGCTGAGAATATTGTAAGTGGTATAATACGACAAACGATCAAATGGATTATGTAAGCCATGAAAACAAAATAACGATTACTACCTTGATACGCCATTGATAGTTCAGACAGTGGCTGGCTTTCTTCTTCGCCCTCGTTCGTCGTTGTGTTTGGGTTATTTCCGAAGATGTCCACTCTATGTTTCACCAGGTAACCGTACACGACACTACATATAACCACAAGTCCAAAACTTATCACAATCTGGACATTGAGAGATAACGAAGGTAGGAATTCTTGGGCATAATGAAGATGACACTGTGTTTCAATGTACTTCCCCTTGAATAAAGTGTTTGTGAGGTCACATTCTACACTTGATTTCGCCTCGAAAACACTCGCGATTCCAACCAGAACCACGCCACTTGCTACAAACAAAGCAAGAACTACTGAACTGTACGTATTGTAACACTTACGAGGTACCAGTTTTAAGCAATTATCCATGTCTGTAAAGGAGTGCTTGTCTTTATTCTTTGCCAGAAGATTAGATTTGGTCACTTTATCACCAACCTGCTGTTATTCTGCACCAACACCCTCCAGGACTCATGCTTGGTTAATATAATTAGGTTCGCTAATTGTCATCGTGTCGTGAAGTGACGTCTCTGTCCCTTGTCCTCTCATGTACCGCTTGTTCTTGCGTTGTCCTTGTTATCACCTTTTGTAAATTGATACCTTGTAAATATATTACTAGTCTACATATTCAAATTATCATGTAAGTTTTCATTTAGTCTGAAGATGTCTTAAGTTAAGACGAAACGTTACTACCAAATATATTCTTATTATTCCCAAATGGTTTGATTGTCTCTTATGGCTTTACTGAAAGCACTATGTTGGGCTTTAATATATGCATCTGTGCATCTCGCCGACTCGCCCGCTGCGAAAACCGTTAGGGCACAGATTAGCTATATAAATATATAGGTAATCTGTGGTTAGGGTGACACGAGCTCATCTCCGGTCGTCTCGTCTCCTGCTGCTGGTTAATAATATCTCTTTTTTAATTATGTCAGTTGTATCACGGGTTGTATGGAGTTTATTATTGCATATTTGCCATTCTCTCAATTTTTGCATAAATTTACAAAGACAATGAACACAGCTAAGTAATACTAATGAACCCAAGTCCAGATCCTGGCAAACCAGGAAGTGTTGGCTGAAAAATACTGCAATGTTGGAGCTTCACTAAACAACACTTTTAAAAGTTTTATATACAAATATTTGCGGTCAAATATATCAGGTAGATATACCAATCTGTACTACCTCATACAAAATCATCTAAATATTTTACAACTTCATTAAATAAATCTAATAAATAAAATAAATTTTCCTAAAATTTCATAATAGTTTTCCGGACTCACAGTTAAAACGGCCTCCTCAGAAAATGCTCCAAAAAGCCTGGCGTTCTTTGTCGTTTGCGTCTTCGTAGGCCTGTATAAAAAATCAAGAGGTTGATCACTGAGTATTGTTGACTGAGAGTCAATCAATCACTCCCAGATCCTACCTGTGGAACATGCCTGGTTACATGCGCTTTCCGAGGCGAAGTTGTTCCTGTTTCCTAGGCAACCGAAGAACACGAATTGATCACATGTTCGAGTCTGCGCATTAAATCTAAAGCGTTTAGTGTCCGTCTGACATTTTGGTGGATTTCAAACTCTGGAACAGACTGTGTTTGCAGTCGGATCTATAATGCCATAAAAAATCATGTTAGATGAATTATATGAGCGGATGCCAGACAATAACCCTCTCTAATAAGTCTCGTGATTATCACGTGTCAAAGTCCCGCACCACTAACGCAGGGCACACGAAACTGTCTAAATTACAAGAGGCAATAGTATGTTGTAAAATACCTCATCAAAATCACAAGTTTGCAGGATTTATTACCTGCCACAGGCAAAAATATGTTTTGCTTCAAAGCCCTGGGTCTCTTTATCATTTGAGGTATTTCAAACAATTGATGGTCAAACAGTTCAGTATATTGTCGACAATTGAGAAAAGCGACATACTGGTAGCCTGTTGAGGTAAATTTCCCCTTGCACCAATGACAATGTCCTCGCTCAGGGGTTGGTTTGTATGAAGATGCTCCAGCCCTGGTACCCAAGCTAGCACTTTGATAAGATCACTGAACGAGATGGATGATCATGGTCGCTAAGACAAAGCATATAAAGTAGCATATAAAGCACAGAGTGGTGCTTTTTATACATGAGGATTGTGCATTATATACATGAGGAATTCTAAATGTTGCTGTACAGGATAACGTCTCCTTGCAGTTGCAGGCAGGATGTTGCTAGTGGTTGCTACGCATAGCCTTACCTCCTGCTCTATTTATCTCTATTCCATCCCACAGACTTCCTTACCAACTCTATTCCAATTCTCTATTCCAATCCCCGTCTTCACTCAATTTCACCTGAACTACCCCCATTTCGGCGAAGGCCATCAAATCAAATTGTTTTCGGTGTAGGGAACTGAGGAGCGCGTCATTCCCATGCGGCCCACGGGGCCGGAATGTGACAAGAAATTCAGAAAACGGAAAAATATAGCGTGTGTTTTTGTGCTTTCCAACAGTCCAGCGACAAGCCTATTCCTAGGGAGGTTTATCCAACTTTTAATTCTTATACAACCTAAATCAGGGTTCACCGTAAAAAATTCAAATGACACTTTCTTTAAATCAGTAATACAATCTTTTTCAGCAGTATTATTTACAATTATCCAAATAAATATAATATATCGCACGAATTTAAATAACAATTCTACATTTCTATAAATTTTCTCTGCAAATAACTATACGATCTCTCGATCCGTTCACGATGGATGCGACAGAGATCCTGGACGTTTTTGCAGGATGTCAACAACAAGTGTTTAGTTAAAATGTGGTGGAACAGTAACTAAAGCATCTTCGGGTTTTCTTCCCACTTGAACATTCTGTTGGTGAGAATCAAATTACTCATATATCAATAAATATAATAGTTCTATAGTTCAATAGTATAATGGTTTAACAAATGCCTTAAACACACAAAAACCTCTCGATGTTTAGACCTAAGGCTGAAGCAATTATAGTTACTCTTACTAGCTCTCCTAGATCAAAACGTTGTGAGGTATATTTGTATATTTAGGCCGCTGTTGATGCAAGTTATTAGAAGACGCTTTTGCCTCTTTGCCGGTGTATATTGAGACGAACTAAGATGAATCTAGAGCATATAATCGAAACATAGAGCAAAAATTACCTTTGGCCGTTCTCGCTGTGTGTTGACAGCCTCGACTCCAAGAGGAAACGTCTCAACCTTGCAACCTTAAAAAATATGGGTTTTAAGTAGAAAGACAAAGTATTTTTAAATACCTTTATCTTAAAAGACGAACACCGCTAATGGATTTATACCGTAGGCAATTGGCGTCAATTTGAAGACCGTGTGTAATGGCACTGGTAGATAAGGTAACTCAGCTTTGTTTTTTTCAAGAAAATACCCAAGTAAACATCTCATTATGGCCTAGAGAAGAAACACAGAACGCGAGTTACATGCAGTTGGTACGATTGTGATTTAAATTTTTAACCATGCAAGCACTCACCTGATGACATATCACTAGAACATTTTGTTGTCTTTCAAGTTCCTAGAACGCAAAAAAATGTGGATAAGTCTTCTCAACCTGCATCGAGGAACACGAACACACTTGACGAAGGTTTCATCACAAATACGTTTTTATCCAGGAAGTCCTGCTCGTTCTCAACAATGAAGACACAAGGCGATTGGCTCCTGAACACGTTAGACGTAATTATTGAAAAGGCTAAAGTATTTTGCTTACCAATATGACAGGCTCCAAGCGAATAACAATATCCTCATAAGACTGAAAAAAAAATCATCGAGCATGCAGTTAATTGGCACGACTACAAGGAAACCTAGCAGCCTCGAGGACTAAAATATTGCATGGAAGAAACGTATCTAGGAGCTAAAACACGATTTTTTGACTGTGAAAATGCAAAAGATACTGGCTTATTACTGGATTTACCTCTCCTCTTTTGTAACGGTAGTGAAACTTGTCCTGATCTCGTCTGGCGAAATCTTCTGGATATTTTTCTTGAATTTCTTCATATGTCATGCCATCACAAACACCCTGAAATATTTTCAAATAAATCGTAACTACTCCAATTTTATGGAGTTGAGCAGTAATCGTTGGGACTTACAGCATCAAGTTCGTTCAAAGCTTTCCATTGTTCAACTGGAGCTTTGATGTGTTGGGCAGACTGAGATGTTCTTTTTAATTGACTTGTCCAAACCTGAGCAATGAAGTTTATGAATGTCAGTTATCATCTAAACATTGCTGTTTGTGATTGAGATTTACGAGAAACACGTGGGAAATTGTGAACAATATGACTATAAAGAATGATGGTTACCTTTAGGTTTTCGAGAGATTGTTCATTAACAAACTCACCAAGGACCTCTGCAAACTATAAATTCAAGAAATGTTCATGAACAAAAAATACAATATTTCATTTTTCGTCGAACAAAAATACCTTTTGTCCATGTGGCGAAAGCTCGGAGTCGCCACCAATCCGACCCTTTAAATTAAATCCACTCTCTCCATGCTAAAGAAAATAAAATATATGCATGGATACTCCAATATATGGCATATTACTGCTGTTTAAGACGGAAAATTCAACCTACCCTAGTCAAGTAAATCGATCTGGGTGTAACGTGAATGTTCATCGTATAGTATACAACTTTACTCTCAACATAACCTATAAGATGTGAACAGATGATAATCGTAACAGAGGTAAGACTCTTGCTCTAGCGGACCCCTTTCACATATTGCGTGCTCTTCAGTAATGTAATAGGTTCCAGGAGTGCTGAAGAGCAGGTATAGTTAGGATTAACAAGTCTGTGAGAGATTAACAGAACTATACACTTTTGTAAATAAGCTTTCTACATCGCCATAGATACATACGAAATTAGCACTTAATTATACCTTCAGCTCTGTTGACCACAAATCGCTTTCCAGTATTGACAACTTTAAGAAATCGTACTTGATTGTCCATTTCTGAACACAAAGGTTCGTACTGTGTTTCATAAAGTTTGATTCTTGCTTTAAAATCTTCACATGCTTGCTCAGGTGATACATTCTTATAATCTGGACTTGTTACTTTTACTTCCTGTGTTAAATAAAAATATACCCAGTCAGGCCATTCCGTATGCACCACTTTTATTATATGTAGTAGTTCTAGGAGTTGAGATTTAATAATAAATTTTGTTTTCTGCTTGGTCAATGCAGTCTTGCTGGGCTTTTTAGACTTGCAAAGATTGGTTATTGAGCTGCCGGTATTCATATTAGGTTGAATGATTATAGAACACAACATGTTATCTTTTTTGGGACCCATTGTACCACACATTGCATGATGTAACCTTGCAGGTGAAAACCAACATGCCTGTACCATCTACCATTGCTGGTGTACCTCACAATGCAGGCATGACTCTCAAAAGCAGGTGCAACATACAATGTTGGTATTAGCTACAGTGAAGAAGGTGTAACTTGCCACATATATGTATCACTTAATATGCAGGCACAACTTGTCTCTAGGTACCACTCACCATGGAGTTATCAATAACCATGCTGGTACCATTTACCACACTGGTACCACTTACCTACCATGTAGGTACCACTTACCATGCTGGTACCACTTACCATGCTGGTACCACTTACCATGCTGGTACCACTTACCATGCAGGTACCAATTACCATGTTGGTACCACTACCATGCAGAAATCACTCACCATGTAATTACAATCACCATGCAATTACAATCACCGTGCAGCGATCAATTACCAAGCAGTTATCAATCACTGTGCAGGTACAAATCACATGCGAAAAAAACCTACCATTATATTAGAATGAACAATACTTGAATCATCACAATAAGACTCAATAAATAACAACTAAAATGTAAAAGGGAAAAAAGATCAAAATTATAACTCTCTTCACTTCAACCTAGCTAGTTCATCGTTACCTTAAAGTTATTCTGCTTGCAGAAATTGATCACTTTTTCACGTCGTTTTCTGGTGCCATTTGTTGAATCAAAAATCTGAAAAAATACATAATAACTGAATGCATTTTTTAATTTTAGAAACAGGTAGGCTGATAATGAGGACAACAAGATAAACAGCAGGACTATATAAATAGCAAATATGGAACAAAACACCAGGGGCCGGTTGTTCGAAAGGCGTTTAGCTTAAACGGTGGATAAGTTAAAAATGGAAAACCAAATTATCTATTTATTGAACAACTGAGCTGAAATATCTCGATGTAAATAGTTTAATTGTCAATGGAAGCACATATTAAATGCATAAGATACAGGTTCAGTCATTCACAAGATGTACGAGAGTATTTTTAAACTTTGGCTTATCCACCGTTTAAGCTAAACGCCTTTCGAACAACCGACCCCAGGGATATTGCTAGAAGTTTAATTAAAGGATGTATATTCAAATATTCCTCTTAGGTTTGCTTTTACACTCATTTAAACATAAATATATGAATATCCAATCCCCAATTAAACTTCTAGTGATGACCCTGCATATCACATACAGCAACTTGGCCTTGGCCATTCAACCAGATTGCAATGTCGTTCATGGCCAGTTCTGCACAGCGTCTTAATGAAGACATAACAATTATTATCAAATGTAATTTGATAGCTTATTATGTAATAAAAGTTAAAAAAATGCATATTAATTATTCTGTTAAAATCATCAAAAAATATGTAAAAATGATTGTATATACTTGAATATTTCACTTGAAAAACTGCAATCTACTAGGAATTATCATAAAATTACTTGAAGATACGTTAATATATTTGATTGTTTTCGCAAAAACATCAAAGCCTTCATGTACAGCAATGGAATTTAAACTTACTCCCTAATTGCAATTCCCTTTGGATTATTTGGGTCAAAGAACTCATGGGTACATTGAGACTTGAGAAGATCCCGACGGTAGTTTCCTGAACTGAACACTGCAATGTAAATTGTTTCACAATGTTCATAAGTGTCAAGCTAGAATATCTTATGACCTTGTCAGTAAAACAACAATGACAAACATTTTGCAAAATATATTATGGGCATCTCTGAAATAGACAAGTGGAAAAATGTCAAGACAGTCAAGACATGTACCACACTTTTGACACAAAGAAAATACAACCTATTATGTGTGTCTTACAAGGGACTATTTCTAAATAAAATGCACTGTAGCTGATTTTAAGTGCAATGGTATCTTCGATCTTTTTTTGTAGTTACGGATCATAGGCAAATCATTTGCTTTGGTAACACCCTGAAATCGTGTAACACTTGCAATATAATGGCCACTTGAAACAGATTATTATAAAGCGTGGGTATATTATATACATCCTGCAGGGTTATTGTGTTAAAATATTTCACATTCTTTGTAACAATTATAATTACTTTCGCCATTGAAAAATATCTCAATTTTCTTTCAAAGCAAATTACAATCATATTCCCAATTTCAAATTTTTCGTATTTAGTATTTTATAAGTTGCATTAATCCCCACGGGCTAAATAAAATTCGTGAACACGGAATTCAAATTTTAACAATGGTGTTTTGAGACTCCCCGTATTTTATCAAATTATCAAATTCTAACAAACTCCTAATATCTGTACATCATTGTTTTTCAACCTGCCAGTGGAACGGTTTTTACTTAAACTTGTTCTCTTATTTATGGCGTCTGTTTCCAAATTTAGAACGAACTTTTACAGTGAAAATTATAATCACAAAGCGCAGTTTTATCATGTGGATTATCTGATTATAATATCCTCAGCTATCCGACATTTAAAATAATATTTTATATCAACTAACCTTGTGTCTCAATGCTAATCCAGTTTAAATATCTTGCCAGCTTTCTAGCAATAAAAGTCTTTCCTCGGGCTGGAAGACCCACCATGGCCAGGCAAACTGGCTTGTTGACTAAACTTCTCGAAGGACATGAGGCTGGATAACGCAAACGATCAACCATAATAAAGATTAAACAAAAATAACACGAACCAAGTTCAACGTATTGAACGATTGGACCTTCTTGTCCATTTATCGGCCGTGACTAACACGTGATATTATAACACTCACACTAACTACACACGTGCTCAAAAAACTTTCCCTAAAAATCTCATTTTAAATTTGTGCTTTTAGGGACAAAAAAAGCAATACTATACTAATATTAAGCCTTATATTCTTGTAATTATAACAAAACCACAAATAATTTTAATGAAGGATGCCCTTTTTTACTTGCCGGTGTACTGCAGAGCCGGAGATTTCATATCCTCCATATTGCCATTATCACGTGATCAAATATTAATCAAGCGTTATTTTCGGAAATGCAAAAACAGAGACGAGCTTGCAAATAGGGCAGAAAAAATATTGAGCAAGACTCTGTTGTACATACATATATAGTGCCATAAAAGTCATACAAAACACTGTTACTCTCTGTCATCACAACCACTGTACAATGAAAACTTAATAAATACATGAACATACTCCTCGCTACATTGAGAATTCTAAAACACTAACAATAAAACATCAAATGCGTGATTGAAGTTCTCTTGTTAAAACTACAGTTATGACATCAAACTAGGGTAAATCAGGAGCTCTTATGTGAAAACTTGGCCAATTTCAAAGCATCATTCAACATATGCTCTCTGAGAGCCCACAATGCATCAACGGTGGATGGATGAGGGTTATAGGCGGAGCCCAACCATTGTACTGGCAGTTGTGATTGTTGCTGCGGGGTAAGTTTGGTTACATCGGGTTTATTTGGGTTCCAGTTGCTTAGATGCGGCGTACCATCGCGCAAACCTTCGATATATCTAAAAATAACAAAATATGATTATTGCTACAGTTCATGAATTATCATAATGTGCGACAAGGTGGATTCATGCGCATTGCGCAGAAATTAGCATATCTTGTGAGGTACCTGAGGTAGGCGTCGGAATGAAGAAGCTTTTGTTGACGAGGTGGAGGAGAATGAAATAAAGGAGTCATCTAAATTGAAATAAATAAGGTTTACATGTTGCGCTGTAGTCGGAACTGTCATTTTCACCCATGTGAAATATAAACCAGAGGAAAAACTTCAATACATCAGTACATCTTGAAACGTTTTGGACAATTACGAGTGAATGAAAACCAGCTTTTACTATACAAAATCGAAGCTCGTCAAACGAAGCCATAACGGTTGCATGCAGGTCAACAGACCTACCTGAACTTCAGTGGTTTGTGTATCCATGGCTTGGGGTCTTTGTATTGGAAACATTGTTGGTTGGCTCATTGGTGGAGCTTGCGGTCTAGACTGGGTGATCTGTGTTGGTTGTGGAGGAATAGCTGGGGGCATATTAGGTGTAAAAGGTGGTGGTAATTGATCTGGTTGTTGTTGTAGTTGTGGCAGTTGTTGTGATTGTTGTTGCTGTTGTTGTTGGTACACTGATGAGAATTGTTGTAAGGTGTTGGCAAACTGCTGCTGGGCGATATTGGTTCCTAAGTGAAATAATGAAGAATATTATACACAATTCGTTCTTAACTACATGTAAATATAATCATGCAACATGCTAGAAATATACGTTACCCATGTTTGGCATCTGTGTAAACTGATTGACGGCTGTCGGGGGTATCGGTGAGCCAGTCATTACAGAAGGCGATCTTTGAAGATTTGCTGTACTCTGCGCTGATAATGGTGACATGCCTTGATTGCCGAAACTATTCGTTAGGCTCATCATATCTGAATTATAGAAGCAATTATACTCGGTGAATCTCGACCTATATTTCTAACTGAAACATATCTTTCATCTGTACTAATAGTCTGTCTCAGGACGCTTATGTTCAGCTTGTTACACTTACTTTGAGCGAGGCCTGGCGTTGGCATTCTCATAACATTAGAGAACTGTTGATCGAGTAGACCGGGGTTGATATTGACCGTTGCAAGACCACCTCCTAATACTTGACTTGGTGTGGGCGAGGGAACGACACCAACAAAGGCTTGGTTGTTGCCTGGTCCTTGATTTTGATTGGTGGATACAGGACTGGGGGAGGGACGTTCAAGTTGCACAGGGGCTTGGTTCTTAGGGAAAAAATTCCTAGAAATCATACTGACATCAATAATAGTGCGTGATTTCTTTCCAGTGTGGATTTATAAAGATTTCGTTGTGATAAATTAAAAAGCTGATTCAGCTTAGCTGATCGATGTCTCCCCGACACAAGATACACAGACTACTTACTTGCTTCGTTCATGAATTTCCACACGTCTCGGCGGGCCTTTCAAATGAACTTCACGGCAATGTCTGATGAGTTTTGTCAATGAATTAAAAGGCCTGATGAAGGTTAAAAGACGTTATTAAATGTTGTAAAGTTGTCTTACTAAATGTATATTACTAATATAAAACGTTAATATGAAGATTGTTTCCTCGTTCTAGCGCATGTTTTGAAAATCTTACCTCATTCCTCTCTTGAGTCTTTCGCAATTCCTCCAAACACAAGGACATATGCCATTGTCTGTTCAACCAAAAATAAAAATTTATATACGTGGTATACGTGAAGTGACGCTAAAGTATTTTAGATTTAAATCTCTTACCCATTTTGATGAGATGTCCTCCGCTTTCTAAGACATGAATGATCAATTCACTAAGATTTTCATATTGATAATCACATCCTTGCCAGAGACAGTCGTATACGAGACCAGGAGCGGAGAAATATGCTGAAGGTGAAGTTATTGGAGCTTTGCTTGTTGCTTGTGAGTTACCACGTGATTCCCATTCTTCGCGCTTCATCGGACTCAAGTTCTTCCACTTAAAGGAAAATAAGATTGAACAGAATGCCTCATGAACGATGATGTCCTGAAGATACTAACTACATCCTACCTCTGTCCCCACAAGTCTACTAATATCCCCAAAGCCGTAGTCTGGATACTGTTTACGTAAAACACCACGTCTTTCGGTAGAGAAGAGCAAAAATCCAGACTGCGCTCGGGAACGTTTCTTCGTACCCTAAAACAAGAGTACCAAAACATCAGTTAAATCTACACGTTCTCCCAAGAGGGTCAAAACGTGTTGTCGTTTATGACCTTGGTTCCTTACTTCAAACAACAAACCTTGTTTGATTCACCATCTCCTGCAGAAGACGAGGGTGAAACAATCCTGTCATCTCGACGAAGTTCACTAAGATCTTTTACCAACAATGGTGAAGGTTTCTACAACGAAATACAACATTGGAATAAGTATTCGATGATCTAAAAATCAGTGAAATTATTGCCCGGGAATTATTCTTCTCTTACTTTAACAAGATTCAGGTTTTCTTCAAAGAAATGGAATTCCTCTTCATAAACACTGGTTGATAATGTTGGTCTCTGGCAAAAGGCAAACCAGAATTACAATGTTTTCTTTCTTGCCAAAAATGTGATATATTTTAAACACGAGATACAATATATTGTACCTTCAGACCCTTAAGTTTCCTATAATGTCCACCATCATCCTCGTCATATCTTGATTCACAAAGGAAAACATCTTCCTCAGGCACGTCAGTTGGACGACCTTGAAATGCATCATGAAACATGTTGAATGTGTTTGCAGAAACCTCTGAAGAAATATAACAATTTTATCATTCTTACATCTCATGTACTCTCTGATTGGCAAGACAAAGCATTTTCTTTCAATATCGCACATGCGATGGACATCGTCGACTGGAACATGGAAAACTTCTTTGTCATAAAACATATGCGTTGGCAGATGTTGGGTGTCGTCTGGCTTGATGAATGTCGTACCACAGAAATAAGTCATACCACTGCATGTTGAAACAAATAATATTTAGTATTTTAGTTGTATCGAAGATTATTTCAATGAAGATCTAACATTCGTTGTCTTAGCTAAAACTTACGATCGATCTGTCCATATTTTATCAATCCTAGCGATCGAGGAATAACCTTCGTCTGTTTGACAGAACACAGTGTCGCCTGCAAAGCAAGAAATATTTACATTTCGGGCAATAGAAAATCAATAATCAAAATTATCTGAATATCCCTACCAAGTTTATAGCAGCCAGAATCTGTCCAGAACTGTTCGTAGTTGATGTAGCCTTCTGAATTTGGAACTTCAATTTGTAAACTCTTGAGATCAAGAATAATATGTTAATAATATTCTGCTCATATATTTTTAGGTCTGATGATAAAAATAAGACAGACATAGACAATACCTTTCTCTCTTCCGTGGCTTGAAATAATGACGTAATCAAATCTTCATCATTACTCTCCCCCCAGTCCAGTCTTGCTTGGGTCGAGAGGAGAACGTTTAAGGGGCAGTGGTTGTTCACGTGGTACATATCGCATTGTATGCCCATGTCCCCCTGGCCAAGACTTGATTTTCTTGAACGACTTTCGACCAACATTGTACGAACATTCACACACGTATATATCATCGTCTTCGAAATCCTGTGAAAGAGTGAAAAATGAAATAATCTTATTATAAACTGGGTAATTCCAATTTGTTCTCCCTCGAGTTGCATAAGAAGTCAAGTATTTTACGATTAATATCCTGGGAAAGAGGCAGAACATCAATATTCTTCTCTAAAAAATCATTACTTCTGGAGATCTTTACTTCTCCAAAGGGAACAACGCCATTGCCACATTGAACTATGTTCACTAATCATTTTGCCTTCTAAACCACCACGCTGAAAAAATAATTTTCCTTCTGAGAGTAAAAAAGCTTGACTTACATGTGGTTTACTTCTTATGTAATTCTTGATGTGCATGACATAACAACGTCCTTTTATTTGATTCACTTTTATCGCTGATTTTCTATCACTGCGGACTACTTCCTACAAAAGATGAAAAATACCACCATCAATTCATGGGCCGTTCAAATACAAAGTGTGGCGTTCCAACAAAAGATCCTATCTAGTCAACAATAGTCCCTTTTAGTTCATAATAGTCCCACATTACGCTCCGATTTTCAATAGTTCCTGTTTTCATGCAATACCTTTTCAATAAATTTGCGACTTCCATCACAAAGAGTCTGTTCTGGGCGATAAAACCAAGTACCACGTATCCACTGTAAAAAGATTAAATAAATCAGCATGCACAGTTTCTAATTAACTACATCAGCAACCCAGAAAATATTACACAAATCTACTAAGTGTACCTTCATCTCTGCCTTGTCAGTCCACATTTTTTCTATACCAATAATAAAACGATCTCTACAAGAAAATGAAACAAGAGGATTTAGGTCGTAAAACATTCACAAATATCTATTATTTAAGTAACCCAAAGCGTAATTGATCAAAGATATTTCGTATGTCCTGGATAATAACCCATTATCCTCCACATGAACAAAATCACCAACTGCAATTTCTAGATCACCAAGTTTGATTTCAGGAAGCTCAGTGAGCCCAATCTAAAGGAGAAGAAGTTGATAAGAAAGTCAAATTAACCGAGGATTAAGTGACAAGAGACCATAGCCACAATAAACTGATGTTAAATGAAGGTCATCCACTTTGCTTCACACCTCATCATTTGCAACATCGACCGTATCCGAGGCTTCTTCCCTCGTTTTTCGTTTTCGTTCCTCGTCCAGTTCGTGCTGCAAATGTCGTTTCGTTTGCGAGATTGCAGGCGACACGAAACGTTCTCCATCTTTGCAAACACGATCACGTTGCTGCACGTAAAACTGTTGCAGTTCTACGGCGTCGTCGTAGACCTACAAACACCGTGCGTGTAATCAAAATACATGTCTCGAGGATGATGATTTCATGCTTGCAGAATTATGCAACTTGCATGTTTGTTTAAAATCGTGCCTCTAGCGGCCCCATACAGTCAGACAACATGCCAAAGGTGCCCAAAATTTTAATAGGCTGACACGATAGAAAAACCCTGACCGGACAAAAGCAAACATATTTATATTTCTTAAGAATTGTAAATTTTAAGAAACCCACCTCGGTATCAGAACGATGTGTTCGAGCATTTTCAAAGAAAGCATACAGATCTTCTTGCAGTTTGTCTAATCTCTTGTAATAACGCTGAAAAACAAAAAAACTCTTAAAATATTTGAAAAAAAGACTTTCTTCGTTACACTCGACATTAATTTTTTTACCTTCTGAATGAGTTTTCCAATGGTAGACAAGGTCAAAATATTACTACAACAACAAAATGTTTCAGAATTATCACCAGTCGGTTTTCGAGGACATCGTTTGCTAAAAGGCTTCAATTCAATGTAAAACTAAATTGATGATGTAATGGTGTGAATATCCCACCGTTTTTCCCCAGCTTCATTCACTTCTTCAACACTCGCTAACTTCAATAATGAATCACTGTAACAACGACCTTCATCATCCTAATTGAAAAACTTAACATTAAAATACAAACAACGAAATAAGGATGAGAGCTGCACCAAAATAGCTAGATAACTGGCTTTTTCACGAAAGAATTATCCACAATACAACCATGTCCCTCAAAGACAGCTAGAGTCATCAGATCTTAACCTTGAACTGATCCAAATCAGTCGACGAGATCTGGATGTGAGTTGATGTATAGTAATAATCAAATAAACCCTCATCCTAGCTCGTGCATCTCATCCTAGCTCATGCATCTCATGGTCTCTTTTGACCTGGTCATCGTCGATTATTTGATGATGCCATACCTGATGATGTATTATAGAGTTATAAAGATCTTCCAACATTTTCTGGACAAGATCAGGAACATCCGGAACTCGAAGCTCACAGTCACCTTGCAAGAAACAAGAACAACTAAATCAACAAAAACGTTTCACATTTTCATGGTCATCATGGAGTAGCTATATGAAATGATATCCGTCTAATTAGAAAGCCAATCAGATTGAACATTAGCTCATATTCACCGGTTGTGTAGCTGTATATAATAAAAAATGATATTCGTACCTAAAAGTTCAAGTTTCGTTGCCAAAAGCTCTCTTAATAAAACCAACGAGTCCTATGACAACAGGAAAAATTCATGAAGAGGGACAAATAATAATAAACAAAATTATGAAATACTGTACGCGGAGTTGATCTGATTTTTGTTTAGGATCGTTGGTGGAACTTGTTCGTGGGCGTGTTCATCACGGTGGACCACAAAAGATACTACAATATGTAACTTGGGAAAACGAAAGAAAATTACCTTGTACACTTGTGAGTCTGGATCGTTATATTTGCAGGCATTATCAAACATAAGAACAAAATCTTGAAAACATTCCTCCAGGGTACTGTATTGATCAGCATGAAATTTACCAGAGATCTTTGTCATATCAATGGGTCTCTTGATCAGGGCATAGTAATCAGGATAATCCTGCAAGTAATCAGATCTTGATCAGGGCATATAGTAATCAGGATAATCCTGGAAGTAATCAGATCTTGATCAGGGCATAGTAATTAAGATAATCCTGGAAATATTCAGATCTTGATCAGGGCATAGTAATCAGGATAATCCTGGAAATAGTCAGATCACTTCTGTTTGAACAAATACGAAAATGAACAAAATTTCACGTAAAGCAATTCCCTCGTGTAGCAATTAAAAACCTCGTCTCACAAGCATTACCCAGGCGGTATATTAAAGACAGTGAACGTACTGCTTTTGAAGGAAGCTTTTGAAAAATCCCACAAAGGTAACGACCAGTATTGTCCTGAAACGAAAGTTTGAAGCATTTTACATATTTTCATCATTTCCTTTACTATCACTTCTAGACTACTGAGAACTGAATGAACCATTACAGTTTAAAGTTGATTTAGGCAAACAATTTACCGTGTAATCTTTAACAGAATTATACAGTTCTTTACAAAGCTCCTTGACATCTGTTGAAGAACCTGCTTGATACGTTCTGCCTGAACTAGAGCGAGATTTAGTTGGTGTTGTTTGTTTGTTGCTTGCAGGAAGTTGTTTAGTAGTGATGCTTGGTGAGGTACCACTCTCAACTTGAGCTGAAACATTGAATACCAGCAAAACTTTAACCCTAAATATGCTCTGGTATGTATGAGTATGTTTTGCAAACTTTGAAAACACACCTAATAATGGCCGTCCGAGAGATTTTCGTTTCTTTTTGAGGACTTTATCCAATGTCAGGGCATCCTAAAAAAAGAATCGTAAATTAAATCACTCTATTGTATCGTTTTTCATTCAATTGAAAAAGACTAGCACAAGCAAGTCTTTACAACATCAGATAGATGAACTTAAAACTTTCTTAACAATGGACTCACCTGGTGCACTTGAGAACCAACTTCATTGTAATGCTTTGCGTTCTCAAACATAATTTCAAAATCCAAAAGAAACTGCTGTTCCGTTTGGTACTAAAAATATACAAAATCCAATCTTATACAATCCACAGTTATCCACCGTATCAACTTCAGCAATCCTAATGTTAACACATGAAAAATAAAAATTATTATGTAACAACATGTAACTAGATCAGACCAACTGACCTTGCCTTCTCGTATGTTCTTTTCAATCATGTGTAAACACGTTGGTTCCGTGATGATCTCGTAATAATCTGGATAAAGCTAAAAGACAAATATCGTATTAGACTTAGACCCCCAGGAAAAATTAGGCGAAGCAAACTTCTTATCAGAATTATCAAGACTCGAGAGATGCAGGCACGACTGTGTGTGTGACGATAGGATTATAATTGTTATACTCACTGAGGCTGAAGGTAACTCCAAAAAGAGTTCCGACAAAAGCCTCCCATTTTCGTCCTAAAGTAAAATTTCAAACATTTTTAAGTATTAAAGCAGCTGGCATATTATTCTAAAGTAGAAATGTTCAGGATAATTTCAGACTATGCGAGTGGATAGAAGATTGACAGGACACTAATCTAAAATAATTTCTTTCTAATGAAACTAATCTAAAATAGATTTCTTTGCCATTATTTGCTCCAAGTTTCATTGAATGAAATATACAGACACAGGTCTTACCTGGTATTTTTCAACAGCATTATATAATTCTTTCATACGTTTTTTAAACGCTTCATTTTCACTCTGTTTCTTGCCAGGTTTCTTACTCAAAGCTTTGCCTCCCGAAACAGGAGTTTCTTTTGTTTCCACATCTCCCTCTTCACTCGGGGTTTGCTCACTAGTTTTTGGTATTTTCTAGTTTGGAATACGAAGCTGAGTTATCGATATTTGCAACACACTGCTTAGATGACAGTGTTTCTTTAGCTTTTGCTTATAAGCTACAGTCTAAAACTGAAAATCACTTCTGCAACAACACTAGACGGCTTCCATCACAGCTTCCACTAAACGTGGATGTCTAGAGGGAATAGCTCACAACTGCATGACCCTCATGTTAATCCTCATTACCCTCGTTGACTCTCATTATCCTTGTTGATCCTATTAACCTCGTCAACCCCCAGTTCCCTTGTCGACCCTCATTAACCCTCATTAACCCTCATCAACCCCCTATTACCCTTGTCGACACTCATTACTCTTGTTGACCCTTATTAACCTCGTTAACCCCCATTACCCTTGTCAACCCTCCTTAACCTCGTTGACCTTCATCACCCTCATTAACCCTCATTACCTTGCTGACCGCTCTTGTAAGCGGAATTCCTTTACTCTGACACATCTTCTCAACTTCAGATTTCTTCGTCTTCAAAATGTCCTGCAACGTCACAGCGTCCTGCGATGATAATAAAAAGGAAAGACAAGGGTTAATCGCATCTAATTTGAGGCCGGGAATATATGTTTTCCAAATCACCACGATAAACGTGAGATGCTAGCCAGTTGCCACGTTACCTGATATAACATAGATTCAGTTTCATTGAAAATTTTTGCGTTCTCAAAACACTGATTTATCTCAGCAACAAGCACATCCAGGCTTTCGTAGTAATTGTTCTGAAAATTTGAATAAGGATATCAACTAAAGAGCTGGTAAATGTGCCAACTTTACAAAGAAATATGCAGCCTGGGGATTTAGCTGTGCAATTCTGAAAACCAAATTATGATGTGAAATGACCTTTATATTGGAACCAATTCTCAACAATCCAATGGGATTTTTTATGATTTCATAATAATCAGGATATGCTCTAAAATGAACGTTTTTAATTACTTTAGTTGATTAACGACAACGATGGCTGTGAACTAGGTATAAACTCACGTTTTCGTAAATATTCTCACCTTTTAGACGGCAATCTCATAAAAGCCTCGCTCAATATTCGTCCACTGTAGTCAGAGTATATTCGAACAGAGTTATACAGCGTTAGAAATGGATCCTCGCTGTCGCCATCTGGAAAACAATTGTTCACTGTAAAGCGCCAAGACTTTGATAATCATCTAGGGTGGCGTAGCTAGGAGAGGGAGGGGATACGAGGGGGGGGGATACGAGGGAGAGAGGGAAGCAAGGGTAAAAGGAACGAAATTTTATTACCAGGTTTTTTGTTTCCTTCGTCTTCTTCCAAGAGTTGTGTCGCATCATTCAAAAGATCCTCCTCCTCGTCATCTGATTCAGAGAGAAGGGCATTGATTGCAAAACTCATCTTGGATGTTGAACGCTTTGACCTATCAAGAAGTGCATGATATTAACACATCATCTGGATGCATTGGAAAAGCACGGATACTTCAAGTCTGGAGAAAAAAACCTCGTCTTCCCTGCTCGGCCCACTTACCGTAATCTTTTGCTGGATTTAGCGCCAGATAAAGTATGTTCAATTTCTAGTCGTTTGGTGACAACAGTCTTTTTTATGGCTGTAGCATCCTAAGAAGTACAGTAATATATAGTTCTTACTCATGAAGACAACTAACATAAAACATTGTGTTTTGACTTCTTATCTAAGCTAGAAGATTAAAACCTAACAGCGCTGCTAGAAATAGTAAAACTACGACGTTTGGTTGTAAAATGTTGAAAATACAGCTTGCAAAGTTCGTACTTTCTTTATTAGTTGTATTACGTGCGATAATATTAACCATTTTCGAGGCGAAAGTAGTGTTTTTTCCGCGCGTAAAATAAATATTATATAAACAGCCGAATTTACAGGGCTGACTGTATTTCTCACATTTTAAAGCACTTTACAACCAAACTTTGCAGCTCTTTCCATTCCAAGATGCTGTTTCTAGTTGTGGTATTGACGTTCGTTCTTCCTGTTTCGTCTGTAGCGCCTTGTCAAACCAGCTTTGATTTATATTATACTTTAAAATTATAGGAATACAATAGTGACAACACCACTGCTAGAATCAATTCCATTGAATAGATTTTCCTTTTCATCTCATGAAACAGTTTGTTGTAGCCTTCTTTTAAAAATTTACTTCATATTACATTACTAAGTTACAATGTGTCATCTGGTTCAGTCAGAAATTCAAACCTTGTACACTTGTGAACCAGGCTCATTGAAAGCGTGGGCATTTTTCACCAGAAGGTTGAGGTCTCTTTCAATTTCATCCATTGAAGCATAGCCATTGTTCTGAAATAAGGAATTTGGTCAAAATAAAAAACAAAAAATTATAAAAGCAATTCCTTGGACACAATAAAGAATTAATTAACTGGAGGAATTACTTCCTGGCACTTATTTTGATATAAATTTATGTAATTATATACAATTGTATAATTCATTCCTACATCTTTCAAGAAATGGTCTCAGTAAATTCTATCTAGGCCCTTTAAGTATAGGTACAGAGCATTGCCATAGTTGAAGCCAAAGAAAGTGGGCTCATGGAATATCACAAATCACAATAAACATACCTTGACTTGAGAGTAAATCATTTTAAGATCAATAGGTTCTTTGATCACTCTGTAATACTCTGGGTACTGCTGTTGGAATTATACAAAAAAAACTGATCAGCCGGCATTCAAATGTTCAACACATTAGATATCAAAAGTGTCCATAAACCGATTAGTATTCTACTCTTTTTAATGCCACAGCATTTGACTTGTTTGGAAGTTTTTTTGTCAGGTAAATATGTGTAGTGGTATTGTACTTACTTGTCTTGGAGGCAGTTTTAGAAACAGCTCGCAAATCATTCTGCCATTGTTATCTTTCATTTTAAGCACTGCATCAAGCAAGTCTTGGTATAAATGACTGTTAGTTTCTTCCATTACTGATCCCATATCACTGGCACTGTCATCTCCATCCAAAGATTTCTGAGATATTAATTCAGGTCTTTCTTCCAAGTCAGACAGACTTTCACTCTTCTTTGACTGTCCTCTCTGTGGCCGCAACTCTTCAAAACCATCTGGACTGCCAGTTACGAAGCTTTCATCTGCATTCTATATTAATTTTGATACAATCATTCAATAGTTTGGTACAATACTCATTATCTGCACACAGACACTATACCTGGTAGCTATAGAGAGAGAGGGAAATGTTTGAAGAGAATAACCCACAAAACTATTCAGTAGGTTAGTGTAAATTAAAACTACAAAACTGTCAATTATTAATTGATGTTTACTACCTTTTCTGACTGTGACATTTTTAAAATCAAGGGTGCACAATTTCCACTATCTAGGCTGGTGCCTGACGTCGAGGGCATGAAATGCATACTATAAAACATGCATATCTGAGAATTTGAATAAACCAACCTCTTATTCTCCCAACAAATCCATGCATTTTTATTAAAAATCTTTAAGGTTAAGAGCAAGGCTCTATATTAAAAAAGGTCTCAATAAAACATGCATTTCCATATTGTATTAGTCATTTCTAATAATGTTATAGTTGTCAACAAGCTCATGTTGGGTAGTTTTCAATTTACTCCAAAATTGTATTCCTACCTTTACTTCATCGTCATCAAAAACTTTTGCACGTTTTTCTTCCACACTGTCTGAACTTGTGGGGTTCACTTTGCTAGACTTTTCATTTGCTTCTGCTTCGCGTCTGCGTTTAGACATGACACTTACTTATAAAAAATATCAGCACAATTGTACTAAACCTCAATTTTAATAGAAAAGCACGAATTAAACGAGCAAAAACAGAAATATATTTTGAAACTTTTTTAAAAGTACAACTTATGTTTCTAGCTTCATCAATAGACTGCGCCCGCTCACACGTGAACAGCGGCACAAACAAAAAAAAAACGTGTGTGAAAATTGAAAAATATAAAATAATTATTTTTATCAAAGTGTACTTTAACTTCCTTTGCTGGTGTAACCAGGAAAGAAGGAAGGAAAGTCCCTCTAATATCAGATACGACAGGGGCAATATCCAACATAAAGAAGAGCAATTTTTATTTTTTAATACACGAACAATTCAACAATACACCTTCACGAAGCATCATCTTTTATACAACATAAACTCCATGTAAGCAAAACCAAGGGAAAATAGAAAGAACATAGATCACTGACATAGATAAACCAAAAACGGGGAGGCCATCAAATTAATCATACGAGATTGCCAGATGCTTGACCAGGAAGAAAGCAATTCTTTTTACTTCGGGATAAAATTTTCAGTATAACCATTTATATCACATTTTTATATATTCATTTATTTATAGTTTGATTGAGACATTTTGAGTCATAGTTATTTCAAAATACACCATTTGATATGCCTCCTGTAACTGACTATAATTAAAAGTAAACCCTTTTATACAACTGGCCCCAGTGTTAAAATCTAATTTGTTACATTCCTATTCGTTTGTTGGTCCTAAAATAATGTCTGGTGACCCGGGTGTTAATTACGGAGAGGCGCAGGAGGCAGTTTAGGTCAGCGGGGGCAGAGTTTTAGAAGTAGAGAAGGGTACATATCCGTCATATCGTGATTATAGCAGAGCCTGAGAATGACGTTTAAGATCAGATGGTGAATGTATGGTACTATTATATGGTAGTAAAGGCATATGGCTGCCCCCTGCTGCCCAAGTGGTACCTGCGCCCTGGGTAATTTATTAATTATGATACATTGTTATTACATCCACTGTTTCTTTTTGTTTTTATATATATCACATCAAGCTAACTACGTCGGATAAACAGTAAGTCGTTAGCATTTAACCTGGACGTTTAAAACTTCCAGTTATTAGTAAAGTTTATTTGTTTTTATGGACAAATTCAGTCCATTTTTGAAAATATGAATTTTAATATAAGCATATTTCACCTCACAACGCGAGTGGTCTTCTAGTACGGCATGGAAGGCAAGGAAAAACTTTCTTCACTTTCGTTAATCAACTTGAAATCAGCAACTGTTGAGAAAAGAAGATATTTAATCTTATAAGTAATTAGGAAAGCTCAGACTATTGTATATTCATCCAATACTAATGATGGTGAGGCGAGCGTCTTCCACTGCAGTCATCGCGAAACCCCTTCGCAAGACCACCACGGGTACGACACCAAAATACCAAAATCAAAACAGAAGTATTCCAATTAGATGAAGACATTCGCAGCGAGTTTGCGAAGTGATCGTTACCGACTTTTGAGAAGAATAAACCTTCATTAGTTTATATCAGTTCTCTAGGTGACTGCGGGAAAATGAGCCGGATTAGAGTTCCCTACATTCTGATCTGAATTATAATCATGGTTGAATAATTCACTTACATGCTTGTTTCAATGTCTTGTACGATGTTCCGCCCAATTCACTCTGCAGTATAGTTATATCTTCTTGCAAACCTAGCAACTTCTCGTTCACTTTCTTCAAATTTTTCACGCTTGCTTCCAGTTCTTCACTCATTACTTTAATCTTGGCACTTTGCTTCTTTGCTTCGCTTTCCACGCGACGTTTCAAAAAGTCATGTAACTTCTCTTTCTTCTTCTTAATCTGAAATGCAAACAGACTATTTGAGGAAACATGAACTCAATGTGAAAAAATTCATGTGATTCACATGCATGTAAAGAGACCATCATTGAACTCAGAATTGACAGCAACAATTCATTTACGGAGCTGTTCTGAGGTCCTACCCTGAACAAGCAAAGTTTGTTTTTGTTCTATTTAGAGTGAATATGTTTCCTCCCAGGGGCTCTGCAGAATCTCAAATTCTTGATTTAATAAATTTTAGTCCTGTTGATATCGTAGTGATATTTTTATAGTCGTATTGACCAACCTTATCCTTCAACAAATCAATCGTGCCGCTTTCTCTCTCCTGGATATTGAGATAGTTCACGCCTTGAGCAAGTAAAGCATTGTATCTGTTTCTCTTGACGAGAAGCAAAACATTTTGCAAATCATGGTTTTGTAGCCTTTTGCTTTCCACTGCTTTGTCGAAGAGAATATTGCACACATCTTCAAATAAATAACAAAAATTCTTAGGATCTAACAGAAAAAAGAACAACCTATGCTATGCATGAGGATATGACACAGCATCAGCGACTGCTTGGAAAATTGAAAATCTGTTCCTCATACTGTGTATCATGAAGAAAAAGAACGCTTTTCACGTTTCAAAACATTTGGCTATTCCGAGGTTTACAAATACAATTGCTGTAAAAATTAAGAGTTTATTAATTATCGAGTCATTATTAATACCTTTTGTCTGTTTAAGTACAACATTTGCTGTGTTTACTTTGACCAAAAGATCGTTTAAGTTGGCCTGCAGTTGTCGTAACTCATCCTCGGCTTGTTTGTGCACCTTTAATTTGGAAATGTCTCGTTACAATTGCCCGTTGGTAACAAAACGATAATACGTGATTGATAATAAGTGCTTTTTTCTGACAGTATCTTACCACATTAGCTTTATCCTGCATTGCTCCCCTCAGCTCTCTTTCTTCTTCCAAAGCTCTACGTTCTTCTTGAACTTTTTCCAGTTGTTTTCTTAATTCTTCTTCTTTCTCTAATTGAACTTCAATCTGGCCTTCCAGTTCCCTGTCTTTGGCTTCAAACTTTGCAAATGCGTGTTCTTTGCTTTGGATTTCAATATCCAGAGCTTGTTCTAAACATCAAACACAATTCGATAACACTTTAGGTATTTTTTACATTTTCCTCTTTATGCCTGCTTTGTCTTAGCAGACATTTAATGACTTATCTTCACATTAATTTTCAGGGTTACTCACAGTTAACACATAAGATTTCACTGACTGACTTCAGATCCCCTGGAAATTGTCATTAAGTGTACATGGAGGTGATTGAGTCCATTAGTCTGTTTTTAAACAGAATAAATGCTTACCAGTTAACTGAATATCATCAGCGCAGTTGTTTTTCATCTGTACAAAATCATCTGTAAGAAAATCCATTCTTTCATTTGTTTCTTTTTTTGTGTTTTCAAAATAGATCAGTATTCCAGCTTCATCTTCTTCTTTAATCCTTTTTTCAATCTTTTCAACATCCAGAATGCTGTGTCTGACAGCCTCCTCTAAATATTCGAGCAGTGCTAGCGATTAATTAACTTTACCACCTGTTTTAGCATATACAAAACTACTAGTACTTATAAGAAGTTAATAAACTATTTCTTTACTATAGTACTGGTAGTAGTAGTATTGGTAACTTATGAATAGTCAATTATTTCAATGCAAAAAGGCATTTCGTCATTCATAGTTAGAGTATATGTCATATATGCATATGCCTTAATTACCACTAAAGGAAGCAAAAAGTTCTGAATTGTTTTAACAGATCGGTAAAAATCTTAATTGTTTTCATACATGTCTTCTGCATGTAAACCTACCTGCAGCATGCTGATTACCCAATTACATAAAAAGTATTATCATAATTAAGGACGTAGCACCATATAACTCCACACTAACACCTGTATTCAAAAAGCTCACTCACACTCACACTCATTGAGTGTGACATATAAATTTTGTTAATGCTGATCAATGAGAAAGTTTTTTCTGAATAGATGGAAAGATATAAGGTAAATTACTGAAAATCAAGCCCCTGTTCGGCTGGAAATACCGCCATTGAAGCGTTATGAGAAGATTAAGATCTTCCACTCAATGAGTTTGAGTGTGAGTGAGCTTTTAGAATACAGGCGTAAGTGTTACATGTACATCTTACCAAGCAACTTTTCTCCTTTCTTTTCTAACTTCTTTGCTTTCTCAACATCCCCACAGTCAGTTTTCTCACATTGCTTGATGTCCAGCCGAATTTTTTCAAGCTCATTCAGGGTCTTATTAACTTCCGGTGATGCCTGAATCTTCTCTATGTGACTTGCACATGCCTTTCGAAACACTGGTAAGACTTCATTCAGAATCTCAATTGGTCGACTTAGTGAAGTCTTGCCAGTCTGGGCTTTTTCCTGGGCATCAGCTAGCTGTCCTGTGCAATAGAAATGTTCATTAATCAATCAGGTTCCATATGTACTCTACAGGTATTTTAATTCTGAGTAAAAATACCATGTTCGATAACTGATTACATACTAAGCACTTCCTCAACAACTTCATGGAAATCAGCAAAATTTTCAGTGGCTTTGATCTTCTGAAGCTCTGCAATCTTGTCTTGGAATTCAGCATCTATATTAAACAAGGGATTTGATATAATTATATATAAAACACTGAAAGTCAGAAATATAAATAGATTGAAAGCTTTCAGACAAACAAATTGCATAAATAACTGTTTATGATACGCCATTTTGTACTAGCTAATAGAATAGTTACCAATATTTGGTCGTTCTTTAATTTTTTCAAGGGCCTCCTGTAATGATTCATCATCCTGGTACTGAATTGCTTTCTTCACTCTTTTCACCGCTTCAATTGACTAGGATATTTTATGTTTGTCAAAAGTGGATTCAAAGGTAGATATATTATATTTTACTCTTATTGTTGAGTTAACAAATAAACATTTACACACAGATTTGCACAATTTTTTAATTACAGATTAATACATGCTCCTTTTTTAGAAGTTTACTATGTTTAAAGCTAAATGATTTCATTTTATCCATGCACATACTGCATGGGTTCTTTTAAAGTACAAAAAATAAATGCAGTTTGGCAACTCAAGGGTGAAATGTTTTCAACTGTACAATGAAGCTCCTGTAATATCTTAATAATTCACCATTCGCTTGTCAATCTATATTGGGTTATGGTGCATACCTCCACAATATCTTCCCGTTCACCCCTCATATTCACACTGTCACACTGAAGTACTTCCACACTTGGTTCCCTCTCATCATTCACATCATCCGCACATTCAACAAACACTGTATCTTCACAATCTGACATATTTCCGCAACAAATTCTAAAATATTGAAGATATTACATCAGGTGCCCATTCAACGTCAAAAAGGGGCCCACAACTAGTCGAACATTATTTTTACCTTGATATAAAACTATATAAAAATATTAAATATAAAATCGAAATATTTAGGTCACGTGACACAGCTGTAAAGTGAAACTGCACATTATATAACAAACTAAACATAGCAACTTGCCCGAAAAAATAATTTTGATTTCTTATAGCCCAGACATCTTCAGTCTATTTATTTGACGATTTAGTGATGCGTGTATGCTATGTCGACACGTTTAATAGTGAAATTATGTTTTATGTTTTTTTGCTGCTGCGTCATCGTTGTCGTCGACTCATCGAAGCAAACAAGAACCCAAACATCAAACTGACCAAACGCGTAAACAGTATCGAATGTATTAATTTTCTTTTCTAAACAGTTCCAGCAATTATTTTCATAACATTTCATTCTCAGGACATCTTTGCTGTAATGAAGGCAGTCAGTTTTGAGGTAAAAATGTGACTACATCATCGCACTAAAACTCGATCTAGAAGCGCGCAAACGACCCTTGGCACTCTTGGTGACTTCGCTATAAAATGAAATGCTCCGACACGACCAGTACCTGGTTCTTTGCAAATGCCAAAATTGATCAAACTTTCCAGCAGATCAGCTGCGATAATTTATTTCTGCAAGTTTTGAGAACCACTTTCGCTTTGCAATTTTCAATCAAAGACAAAGGCGACTTCTGCCTGTTGCAGGTCGACTTTATAACACACGAATTTGCGGGAATTCCCAGGCCAAGGCTTTATTTTTAGCGCAATGACGTAATATGAGTAATAAGGTTAAAATTGGGGATTGTAAAAAAACCGGTCAGACTGGAATCTCTGCCTCGTAACCCTCTGTGGAGGGGAGTGGTTTCATATGGTCTGGTTATGAATGCCTGCACCGCAAATAGAATGCACTAGAATATGACTTGTGAGTGCCATTTGTTCTTAGATATTATTCGCCACAAATAACACTCCACATGATACATTTTCATACAAAAATCTTAGGCTGCGTTCAGCCTGAGTGCTCGTCTGCCCGGCGCTGTTTTGGTGGTACTCTACAAGGACTAATTTTCCAATGGCGGGTACAATGCCAAGCGATGACGGCCGCAAACAAATCACTGCACCCAGGCCCAGTGGCGACGACCCTGGAAACGAGGTTGGTTAACATGATTCTGACACCCCGAGATTAAGGAACCAAACAAGCACATATTACTATCAGGACGACTGTACCACTGACAGGATATTATTATTTACTTATTTCAATATCTCACTTTCAATATCACAGGCATAATTACATTGATAATATCATTGTTCAAAATTAATTACAATTCAAAATCACAAAATGGTGACAAGGCGCGTTATAGTTGTTATAGTAGAACATTATTTTTTTTTGGTTGAGAACATTATTTTTTTTGGTTGAGACAGTTCCAGTGGCGAAATGTATACGATGGCTTGGCCATTTGTTTCTCTGGTGGTAACCACTAAGTTTTTGGCTAAAATTATACTAATTAATTTAAAAAACTGATCTCAAAATGGACAACGTGAGAATGAAGCGGGAAAAGAGTAAAATAATCTCACGCGCGCACTGACGTCAAAATAATTATGCCAGCAAAGAAAGACTGGGTAATGTCGAGACTGAAGCAACAAAACTGGTAACAAAACGTTTCTTTGATACTTCGCGTACCTATAAAAATGAGCTCAATTTTGACTGATTGTTCCTGAATACGTATCAATTTGAGATCAGTGTATATTTGTGATCGTGACTGTTTCTACAAAGCCTCGTCCCAGGTTTCTGGTGTCTACATTATGATTTTAGGCTCAGGACACGAGTCGCCGATTGATTTATGAGGTAGAATACGTCCACCGTTGATATAGACTTCATCCTTTACGATGACATCTTCACCTAAGACTGAAACACCCTCCATTCGGACCTAAAAATAGCCGTTTGAAAATATGTAGTTGGAACAATTACATAGCTGCAGTAATTCATTTTATCCATACTGGATAACTCTAAAAAAATTAAATTGTTCTCCTCTATTATCACGGCGCGCCGGTCACACACACAATTAGCCTTTCTCACGATCACGAATGTGGCGCCAGTTTTAGGGTACTTTTTTTAAATTTTGAGCGCAAGACCTTTTCAGGGCGGCTGTCTATAATTTTAGGCTTAATTTATTGTTCAAATGGTCTATGGACTCTTAAAGAAAATTGTAAGTACCCCAAAAATAGCGGATATTCGTCATGGTGAGAAAGGCTAATTGATCTGCACGTTCTGAACAATCACAGTTATCATCAGTAACCTAATGAACACGCTAGACTAACTTGTTTAAATTGGGGAGAAACTTCGCAAAACAAGGGTGTGTGTCGCAAAGTGGTCTTCGAGTTCATCTACGATACGAAATGTTAATGAAGCTTTGAAAATTTGCAATTTCAAACTTTCGTTTTGTATTAAATGAAATATTGAATTGCATTGCATTGCTATTCCAACTTGGTTTCTTTCAAATTTTCTTCAGAGTCGTGGTTTTTGAAACCAACGGTGTTTTAACCGGACAGATTGAGATCGTTCTTACATTCCTGGGAACGAGTAAGGTTATGAATGAACCAAAAATACGATAATGGATTATCTTGCTATTCAGAATTATTCAGAACTATTCAGTAAATCACTGCGTTGTCACTAAATGGCACTGAAAATAGCATGTAAGCTGACACCGTCAAATCCGACGACACAATATTTACACCTAAACAACGTAGTTTCATATTTCACAAAAACAAAGTAAGGTCGAATCAGAACTTGTTGGTTCACACCTAATTCAGCAGGATCACGTTTGAAAGACGAAAAATGAAAAGTGTTGTAGCACAGAGTCCGCGTTTAGACGCTGGGAAAAGAATCTCGAACCCCGAGTTGAAAAAACGACCAAGTATCTCGCTTTTTGACTCCAAAACTATGATGGAGTTGAAACAACAACAACGCAATCGATCCACCTCAGTGTGCCTGTCGTACTGCGATGAACCAGCGTTTAGTTTGGACCTCTCCATATCCTCGGGTCGCAATGCATTGCAGCAACTAGCAAAACCAAGACGAATCTACCAAAATACTTATAAGACAGAACCTGACCAACGCTTCGAGGTTGCCACAGTTGCTCCGATAATTCAGCAAACCTTATCGACGTTGGGAGATGTAAAGTACGATTCCAGTCGGTGTCGAGAGCATTGCAAGAGGTTGTCGAATCTGATCGAGAAGCGGGTGAAAGAGCTCAACTACAAGCGATATAAAATCGTATGCTTTGTTACTATTGGTGAACAGCGTGGGCAGGGATTACACGTTGCGAGTCGTTGTGTGTGGGACAGTGAAAAAGATAACTACGCCACAGCGACATACGAGAATTCTACTCTACTTGCAGTGGGAACTGTGTATGGTGTATATATGGACTGATTTAACAACTGTGGACAATCTTTATATCTTTTACACGTCATTACTCATTAGCGTAAGAGGTTTCACTGCCTGGGAGAAACAGAGCCTTCCCACGGTCAAGTCCGTAACCACATCAATCTAGCGCCTTGGTCACCATTCATTACGCTTACAGATCCTTTCCTTCAACAGGCGTGTACAAATCATGCATAAACTGAAAATTCTTATATTTAACCGACGTTTTAAGCTCAGTGAGGTGAACTCTGTTTCAAGCTGTTAGAAACATGAATCGCCTTATCTTTTTACTATAGGAAACATAGTAAGTAATACAAGGAAATTGTGCTTTTACTAATGTGCGTAACGATGGGTGGTGGGAAGGTGTGTACATATTATAAATAGTTTGCCTTCGAAATTAACAATGTGTAAATATATATTTCAAGTTGAACCTCGTTTTTTTTCCAGTACTAGTTTTTTTTGAGTGATGATATCCATATGAATGAACTATGTCAGTTGAATATGAACTATGTCGTGCATCAGTTGAAATGATTTGCCATGAGTCCCATGACTCATCACTGATAAACAACAAGACGATTGGTGGATGAGATTTAATCCGTTTCAATTATCTACGGATTAGCAATGTTTTATTATTGCATCAGCTTTTAGGTTTAAGACGGAAACGAGTTAGTCTGTGCTACACATTTTTCATAAAAAATGTACACAAAAAAATATTTTTGTACACGGGAAATAATCTCATTTCAGGTTGTACGTTAATCCTGTTAAACTGAATTAATCCGTTTAAACTGCTTATTACGTGGGCTCGATCCAAATTAGATATTCAATTATCCAAATTAGATATTAGAGATAAAATATTATTCTACCAGAAAGCAGAAAGCAGGCGCGCGGCAAACGAGGCGGTAAGGGATAAAATATACTCTACTTATCCTTGCCAAACCCTATTTATCCATCCTTAGCGTACTCACATCAGGCCTGCGACGTGATTTGTCAGTTCGTACTTCGCAGGGTCTTACATGATCAGTTTCAGTTGAAACCCGTGGTTGAAATTAATCCAGTCAACTTACCCAATGACCAACGACAGACTTCCATCCAATAATAGAAGAGCTGATCCAGGAATGTGACTTGACCGTGGAATTTTTTAACAGAACACACCGTGTTAGACACACACCTAAAACAAATTGAAATAAATCAGAACTGGTTGCAGATAGAAAATGTATTATATTAGAAATAATTTATGATGGTTCTACCGTTTTCAATATGAACACCAGGACCAATGACTACATTCGGACCAATACGACAATTTTCACCAATTTTAGCTGATGGGTCCTGGTCAATGACAGAAGTAGAATAAATGAGTATTTCAAATGAGTATTACAATTTTAATTAATAAAACTAAAAACTCTGGAAACTGGAAAAAAAGTTAAGTTATGACTTAACTTAAACTGAGGTTTAAGCTTTAAGGGTTTCAGGACTGCTAATCTCAGAAGTTCAATAAATATTTCTAATCTTGTGATATTCATGAAAGCTTGAGCCCAGCTACAAGTATCTTTCACCCACCACTAAAACGTTTCCTAAAACACCAGATCCTTGGTAAAGTTTTTCTGGAGATTTTTCTTTCAGATGTTGTAAGTACATACACATTCCTGTTAAAAAATCTTTTGGTTGACCCACATCCATCCAAAATCCTAAAATACAACCACAGGAATATCATTTAATTACAAAATAGAACTTGAGATTAAGAGTTATTACAAAAAGATTTGTTGGAATACTAAATCTTCAAACCTTCTAAATCCATTGCATATAGACAACTTTCTGATGCCATAACTGGGAATATTTCTTTTTCTATGGATGTTGGTCGAAGCTAAATTAAATTAGAGCCATATTTACATTTTTTGTGCAGCTGAAAATGAATGGCTTATCAAAAGATGAAGGCTAAAATGAGCAGGTGCTCTTAGTGTGATATGAAAAAGTGCAAGTTGTCTCTACAATAATTGAAGAAGTGAAGGGGAATGAGGGGAAAGCCGGCCAGGAGGCACTCGGAGCTATAACCTGACCCAAATTCTCAAAGACATTAAGAATACACGCAAAAGGCTCATCCTCCAGAATTTAACCTGGTTTCTTTCCCTCTGTTACTAAAACAAAACAGTCGGGCATAATGAAACAACTGTACCTCAATCCTATCTAATATACTAGGATTAAACATGTAGAGTCCAGCATTGATTCGATTTCCAACAAATACTTGAGGTTTTTCAACAAATCTTGAGATCTTTCCAGAATTCTGATCATAAACAACGACACCATATTTTGATGGTTCTTCCACTCTTGTCACCTACAACACATGAATGGTAATAAACAAAGGTGCTTGTATGTTATTTTATTTATATGTGAAACACCTGGAAGATATTTCTATGAAAAGAACAGATAGGATTTCCAGTAATACCATTATTGTCCCTTCCTTCTTATGGGCCTTGTGAAATTTCTCCATTTCAGCAAAAGGAAATGAACACATAACATCACTATTCAACACAAAAAATGGTTCGTTGTCTTCTTTTAGATGTTTTCTTGCTAATGCCAGTGGTCCCGCTGTAAAGATATAAATGATAAAATTTATATTAATTTAAAGAAAAGAAGCAAGAGATAAAATGGAAAGAATATCAAAGAATAAGTTATTTTGGGTTAATTATTTCAGGTTTCAATACCTGTTCCAAGGGGTTCTTTCTCAAGAGACAAAGTAATTCTTATTCCAAGCTAAAAGTGAAATTTAATAATAATTTAAATGTTGAGAAATGTTGTTTTCTAGCATATTTTTTAAAGTGATTCACTTACTCTTTCTCCATGAGCAGTCATTTCCTTTTCTAACATTTCAGCTCTGTAACTAACTGCTAGGATAATGTGGGTAACACCAGCCTGATAATAATCACAAAAAGCAAACATTGTAACCTAGACCTAATTCCTAAGATGAGAAATGAAATGGCCAGTTATTCCATAATTGCTCCAATGTTTGGACTTTTGATATATATCAAGCATGGTTAAACAATGTTTTGCTCAAGACAATGACAACTGCTAACAGGGAGGGGCAAGATGTTTCTGTAATGGTGTTAAGTCAAGCTATCCTGGTTGTAGTATAAAGTCCAAGTAATGTAATAGCCAAACATTGATGGATCCATATGAACCTGTTCACTCACTCAGAAAAGTATCAACGAGTTTTTTAATACTTGTATTCTATGTACATGTGGCAAATTGATTTGTATAATTGTATGATTGTATTAATTGCACTGAAAATCATATATTTACACGATTGCCAAGTGGAATTTATCATCCTTTGTTTTTAAAGCAATTTAAATTGTGTGTATATTTTTTCGTTTATTTATAGCATATTCGTTTATATATTCAAAACAATTCGTTTATATATAAAAAAACGTCCCATACTATCGCTTTGTTAAAATAAGTTTATTTTAGAAACGCAACTTATCTGAAAACGACAAATACAATTTCATACAAATGCTCGATAAAACAAAAGCTACAAAATAGATATCATACTCATTTAGGTAAAAATGACAGTCGTACCTGTACTAAAGCTTCAACTTGGTGTAACATCATAGGTTTATTACAAAACTCTACAAGTGGTTTTGGCTGTGAAAGTGTCAATGGCCGTAATCTTGTCCCATAACCGCCGACTAAAATTAAAGCTTTCATATCTGTGGCAAGCCCCGAGACGTTCTCTTTACGCGACGCTTTCCTGATATGACTACGTGACAAAAAAATTGTTTGCAAGATCACTTTCAAATATGGAAATATTTTGCAACGTGTCGAGAATATTTACCTTGACAGTATCTCAGAATTTGGAAGCGTAGCAACCCTTATCCCCCCCCCCGGTATAATAACCCGCACAATATTTTAGCAGGGGGGAGTTACGTTCGAAATCTACTCCCGTTCAAAGGCAATATAAATGCTACAAAAACTTTTGAGAATATATTTTACAATTTTTTCAGCTGTTTCATGAGTTTTTAAACTGTACTATCGAGTAGTTACAGATATTAAACCATACCAAATCTTCAATATAACAAAAATATCAAGTGTTTATTTATGTAATGTGATAAATCTTCAACACTATCAGTTTTTCGGTGGCAGCCACGCTTCAATCTTTGGTCTTGTTGTACTGTATGGTACGTAACGTTTGTCAGTTCCAGAATAGTTGATTTCATGGTCAGCCATCCATTTTCTCTGCTCTGGAATAACTTTATTTGGTGGATCATCCGTCATATAATGCATCCATCTATGCCATTCTGCTGGGATTTCACTTGCATCAAATGATAATCGATGATCTTTGTATGGATACTTCACAAAACGATTTCTGCCCATGAAATAATAGTTATTCTCGTAGTACTCGTTGCCATATTTATCCGTTCCTACCAAGCTACCAACTCGAACATTTCCTTCACGTAGAAGTCTTCGGAAAATCTCCATACGGCCCAGAGTATTATAAACATTCTTCTGGTAGTTCACCCAATCTTTAAACACTTTCAAATAGCTAGCCATTGCCTAATTTCTTCTGCAAATTGATATATATTTTTTGATAAAATTTTACAAAATTGCCGACATTTTGAAATTTAAGAGCGATGATTTGGGGTCTGAGAACTAAAAATGCCCGCAGTATCATTTGACAAAAACACAAAGGCAGTGCTTCATTTAATATTCTTGAAAAAGGTCACAATTTAGGGCACATTACTGCTGATAGTTTACAGCTATTCCTACTAATAAATATCTCTGAAGTTTAATAGAAGTATCTCAATCACGAATTGTTGTCTTTTGCTTTCTCCTGCAGGCTACCATCTTCAAACGTTTCCACAGTTTCTTTGCAGAAGAAGCAAATTTTACTGTTCATAAGATGACGTGAGATGCAAGCCCTGAAAATAGAGAAAAAATATCCCCAGTGATTGCAGAAACGTTTTAGTGTGAACTTCTTTACAAGGCTTAGAAGGCCTTTGATATATTATCCTGTTTTGAAAGCAGTCGGGTTAATGAGATACTACTACGCTGTCAACGCATTACGGCCCCACTCATGGATTGAAAATACTCATTTTCTAGCTAAAAACAAACACCGTCATGGCAACAAGCGGGACACTCGAGTCCCTTGACAGATTACCTGCATGACTTATGACCACATGGGACAAAGACAGCAGATTGTGGCATGGCGTAGCAAATTGTACATAACTCTCCAGAGTCGATTGATGACTAAAATAATAAAACAAATAAAAGGGTTTTACAATCAACGCTCACCGAAATTTTCAAAGCAATGAAAAAAATGAAAGAAGTAAATGAGTGCAAACACACTTGTCGTTTTAAATTCACTTTTTCTTTATAAGTTGATAAAATGCTGCTCAATTCCTCCAATTCTTGCAATTCCTCCTCACTTACAACTTTATCTATGGAAGACAGGTGCGCTTTATCAAGGACGCTTAATGGTGATTTTAATGTGAAAGAAGTTAAATTTAAATTTTCACCGCTGTTTGAAAATCTGTCAAAAGTTGGCATGCTTTCGAACTGTGCCCGATATTCTGTTCAGAGACCCTAATGCCAAACTCAGACAGCGTTTATTTCACTCATATTTTTATCTTGCCTCCTTTTCCAATGATCAATAATTGTGAACTAAATGGTACAATAAGATCCCAGTTCACATCACCCAGGCTGTAGTTTGAACCATACTTACAGTGACTGAAAGAAAAACCAGAAACTGGTTTGCCTCCATTACTCTTTCTGTCAAACAAAAATCTGAACGAGTCAAACTGGAAGCCTGGTTCAGCAAATAGTATGGAGCATGCGCAATCAATGCTGGAAAAAGAAAAAAGGTTTATGTAATTGAATAAACTATGGCATTGCTACCACTACCAATAAAGAACCTATCAAAACCAAAACACAGTCACAGTCTTTCTATCACGCCGTTACCTGGCTTGTTTTGAGCGCTTGAGAAGAGCAAGCATAATACCAGCGAGAGCGCTGAGCAATGGAAATCGATCAACACAATCAAACCCTAAAATATAAATTAAAGACAGTGTTACAAAATTATTATACAGCCTAAGAACCGGCCAAAACAAAATCTCAAAAATTAAACTTTAGTCCCGCATTAATTGCCACAGAAACCCTGTTGGGATTACACAACAGATGACGTCTGTTCTTACCTGGAAGATGAAGACGCGAAACATTTTCAAATATATTCGCACTCGCTGTTAGACGATTAAATGCCTGGGTGACCAACTACAGAAGATAAATTAATGGCAAGCATCAACATACGTTTTATTTGAATCTAACCTATTCTTCAATCAATAAGGTTATACCAATTTAATACCTGAAAAAGTCGAGAAATATTAAGTTCCGCAGAAGGAAAGTTTTCCCAATCGGTAAACAGCTGAGGTGCCACAGTGCAAACCATTTCAAGTACCTAAAATGAAAAACCTTTATCTAAATTTGTCCATACAATATTGATAACAAATGATTACGTTTTATTACACGTGTCATGTCATATCTCAAGAACAAGTGTTCAAATTCCATTTACTCTGCAATATATAAACCTTATTTGTTTGTTTTTACCCTGAGTAAACCAACAGTCAGCTCAAAACAAACAATACAAGTTTTCAACTGACGATTTTCCACAGCAATGTTGGGTAATGACTGGATCTGAAAGAACAGAATCTTTTCAGTAGAAAGCAATCAGTGCAATCCTACTACCATAATGCTAATAGCAATCACTTATGAAAGAGGGAAAATGGTATTGTTTTGAAAAAAAATGTAGTCTGGTATTATGAAAATTTGAGTAGCGAAATTGAATAGTATTTGTACGTTTAGAAACAACTATACCTGTTGCAACATTCCAATAAATTCTGAAAATGCCCAGTTTAATTGATTTAACACTCCATTTAAGAAGCCTTTAGATAGAGCTTTGTCTTCAGTGCATAACTTAGCTAGAACATGCTGGTACACAGGGGATGGACATGGTGGTTGTAGGTTCACACGCTGTAGGCCATGATCTGATATTCCACTCATATGACCCCATGGTTGGAGCGAGTAATTAAACGCGAAACCACAGCCCTAGGAGAGTGAAAGCAAAGTTAAAGGGGTGACATGAGAGGAGAGGGAGGAAAACGAGGGATGATAAGAAGTGGGACAAGGGAGAGAAAAGACGAAAAATTATAGGAACAAGAAAAGACAGGGGGAAAGACGTGGGACGATAGGAAAGGGTATAAGAGAGGTCAGAGAGAAGACGAAAGATGATAGGAAGAGGAACGAGGAAAGACCGGGGAAAAGACGAGGGATCTTGTCTTTCCTTTGGTTACAAAAAACTACTGTTGGTGAGAGCAGCTAAGAGATGATGGAGGTACAGCCAGTATAAATAAAATAACCTTCGTTACCTTCCAAAATCGTATCAAAATCCATGTAGTTTGAACCCAAGTTCTTTTCTCGTAAGCTCCCATCAAGGTTCTCACCACACGTTCTTGACTGGAAGAAAATATTATAATGATACAGAATAGTTCTGTCAACTTCTAAATATATCGCGCGTTAAAAACGAAAAGGAAAAATTTGTCTACATTTTAGCAACCCAATCAGAATGCATAAATTTTGAAAACGTCCAGTGTAAAGGTACGTTACCATTTAACAAGAAGTAATAAAAACTAGCATGAAAAATGTAAAGTAAATTTGACGATTAGTTCAAAATGAAATTCCTCCTTGCTCGCGATCAAATATAAAAACCTTATCGAAGGCAGTTCTTCAAGTGCTTTCAGACAGTCAGGATAACAAGAAAATGTCACCAGGCCTTGGATGAGTGTATCACGAAGATCTGAAAATGATAAAAAAGATTAATTTAATGATTTCATTTCATTTTCACTCCTCTGTTTTCACTCCATGTTTTATATGAAGGCCATTAGGCCAATGATCTTTATACACACCTGGATTAACAATACTTGATTCACACACGTTTTCTGCAAAGAAAGACGCCATTTTCTTCAACAGTTCTTCGCAATCTGAAGGGTTAAAAGTAGAACAGCAAAATCTAAATTTAGTGACATTATACTATTGTTAATGTTCATGCAGGAAACTAAATATTTGTATTAATGAAACAGTTCAGTTCTTCAAAGGTCATACCTGGAAGATCGTTGAATACCACGGTTGGGGAGAACAGATTCCTTAACGCTGAATAACCACTGCATATTGCTTCAATATAAAACTCTGGTACAAAATCAAACATGGTTGCGTCCTTTTTAGCATTTTCTATCGTCTTCAGAGCAATATTCAGCATCCAATAAACATCCGCCTGTTTTTCAGGTGTGAAGATCAGAGATCGAACCCACGCCATCTGACGTGTGCAGTTCGTCGTTTCCTTAGCGAACACTTTACGAGAACGTTCGAGCTCTGCCCGAACATCCAATTTCTACAAATGGAATCGTAAGATGTCAAATCGGAAGATCATTCATGGGAGGTCAATCAATTGGTACGCCAGTTAAAAACTTACATCTTTAGGGCACTTATTGATTTTTTTGTCCGTCTCTTCAAGTGCTCTAATATTCTGGTGCAGGTTGTCACGAACACTTCGTACCTTGAAAAAATGCAAGAACACAGATGACCATTGGTTGATCTTTCGACAACACTTTAGAACTGTCATATACATCGAGTATAATACTTTAGTTAGGCTGCGTTCAGACGCCCATGCAGTTCTGGCGCCTAAATTGAACATGACCCTTCCAAATTAAATTAGGAACACTGCGCAAGAAAGGCCACTACCTCCAGAGGTAGTACTCAGCAAGATCACTGTGCTCAGCATGTTTTATGAACCAAATTAGACTTTGGGCACTGTTGTGAGTGGTGCCGGAAACTCAGCATGCAGTCTTGCCTTACCTTGCTAAACTGTCGATGAACACCAAAGAAATACAACATAATCAAAGTATCAACGGCTTCCATTAATGATATATCAATCCCAGAACTGGATCCTAATGACGTTGTTGCTCCCCTACTGCCGCTGGCTTTCATGTCATCTTTCGTCTCAGTTGGACAAGAATTTTTTAGTTTGTCTGTGGAAAAAAATGGCAAAACTGGTAGGCACATATGGACAGTCTTTTCAATTAAGTTTCAAACAATGCTCGATTAATATAAATTTACTGCAGTGACGAGCATCGATTGTGTATTTTTAAACTGTTCTACCTGAATGCGATTTCCTTAAGTGCGAAGTAATTCCACCAATCCTGCAGTTAAATAAAAAGAGACCAAAATGTTTTAAAAAGATGAGAAAAAAGTGAGAAAATACAACATCAGACACAAGAGTATAGTACCACGAAGTAAATTATTGGATGAAATGCAATATTCACAATTATAGTGCAAAAACATGTTAAACTTCAATTTCACCTTGACAATTCAAAGTAATTGATGCTTTTATCCACGAAAGCAGACACTGGAACAAACAAACCTAAAAACATTTTATGTAAGACACAGAGCATTGGAAAAGAATCGAAAACACTATAACTAATGGACTTAAAACGCTGAACAACCGATCTTAAGTTTACTAGAAAATCGTAGTGAAATTAGTCCGTCCTTACTCTGTGATGTGAGTTCGTTTCCATTCTCCTTAGCCCACTTATCCCAATGGCATCTCAAAGCCTCCATATAACGATGGAAAAAACATGTTAAAACTGGCCCGGAACAGGAACTTGGCGGATGAGACTTGAAAAAAAATGAAAAGAACTTTTCAGCAAATTCAAAGTAGAACATATACAGAAACGAATTGGTTTTGCTGTATCTTCAGGTTCCTAATGTCATTCCTACTCAAGGTTGCAACTGAATCTTACGCAATCCTACACCATCGAAATGAAATACGCCTGCAAACACCCGCCTTTCTCCCTCCCAATGAGACAAAAAGCGAAGAAACGACTGGATACGAGTCACGGGTTGCAAAGCTCAAATGTACAAATAGCACACTCAGTCTGGTTCAATTGAACAAACTTACACTAAGAGCAATGAACATATTTTCCTGTAAATATTTTCTAAATTTCTCCAGGAAAGCAGATCTGGTTGAGGGACAACCCTGTTTAATAAAGACAATGATTTAGTCAATTATTTCGCTTCAGAATTTCATAGGCAAATCACAATGACTTGCAGAGAAATCGTACTTCTTCCCGCTCGTCTTCCAACAGAATTTTGCACATTTCAACATGGATATTCTCCAAAACTGAACAACATAAAAGAAATAATATTCATTTTATATTAAAATTTTTGATCTATTAGATTTGAATCTCGATTCTGTTAAAACCACCTGCATTTACAAACCAGAAGATGAAAAATATTTGGAAACTCCGTGTAAACACACATACCCTTTATCTTTGTACGAAGTTTTTCACAATGCTTCTTATGATTCTCTCTTTCTTCATCACTGTTCACTGTTGATGTCTGAAGAGATCAAGTCTGATATAAACACCTCGTGACGATACATTACAAAACAAACAAACAAAATCAATTCATTATAAGCTATGAATTTATATGAAGGCAGAAGGTTGCCATACGTCTTTTTCCTCGTACAAAACAACAGGAAATAATTCGACCAACACAGCATCATCAGGAGGTCGGATATGCATGAAGTAACCGAATTTCTGCGGAAATTTGTGAATAGTTAAGGAACATAGCGAAACTTTACAACACACATAAGTATAGAACGTAATTAGAACAAATATAGAATGTATATGGAACACATACTTAACCTAATTAGAATTTATAAGAACCTAGTAATTAGAACACATACTGAATATAAAGGTAATTAGAGAACATAATTTACAGAAGGCATGTGAGAAAAAATATAGAACACTACCCAATTTCAAACGCGATTTTTTCAGAATGATTAGATTAAAGGATATGATTTCATGTTGAGCCATAACTTTCTGGTTTGTTCGTGATGAAGGGTGGAAAGCATCAACGACAACGAGGCAGTCTAAAATAAGAATTTAGATCTAGTAAATATTACATCTGCAACTACACCGTTTGCTCGCGTCAAACAAAAACACTCTACCTGTGTTTTAAAATCTGCGAGGACAGGACGATGCCAGTATGCTTTTAGAAGACCATAAAACAAATGTTTCAAACATGGCTGAATTTCAAAGTCTTCCATGCAAGCACACATTAAGTCTAGCATTTTCTTCACACCAGGATGAATCTCAGTGGGGTGAACGGTTTTTGAACACGAGTTTAACAAGAAGGGAATAAGAGCCGCCTCCACCACGTATGACCTCGTCTGATAAAAGAAAATATGTATTTATATCTTTTACAAAAGGATATGATGTACGTGCACATGCAGGTAACTAAATAGAAACTTACCAACAGTGGGGCAAGTTTCTCGAAGACATGTGAACTAGTCAATAATGCCAGTGTTGCTGCTCTGCCACTTAAACTGGATGGCATTCGAGGGATGCGCTCAGGCTGTGGTGAAAAAATATATACCAATTATATCCCATATTGCAATTCATTAGCTTGCAGTGTTTTACTACCAGGTATTGAGTACATACTCCAGGTAACAGACGCTCCAGAAATTCCAGCAACTCTTTAGCTTGTGCTAATTCCACACTGGGTGGGTCTTGCAATGGTTTGAAACCTTCAATAGGGAATCTTAATTTCATAAAGGTAAGATCAAAACAAAAGATTGAATCTTAAATTGATCTTACTTCTCCAAAAGTAGATGCACTCAAGTTCCAATTTTAAACTCATTTTTCAACTGATTCATACATGCTACTTTCATATTACTCCAGGTTGATTATAAAAACTAGAAACCATACAATACAGTAAGCATTCCAGTTTGTATCAAATGTGGTATTATGTGAATAGCAAAATGTGTTTAAATTATAATCTGTTTCAAACACTAGGTCTAGTAATTATAATCTCAAAGGATACATAAATGGTGTAGCACCAAAATTCAGTTGACATGATTCACAATAAGACAAGCTAGCAGCTGGGAAATACGCTATCCCAGCACCACGAGGTACATCTGTGTACGCTACACCCATATTGACACCATTCCTAGAAAGAAAACAATGCATTACATCTCTGACAAAATTTTATAGCTTTCCTTTCCACATGGTCAATGGTCTAGTGATAATCATACACAACATAATTATGATACAGATGTAGTGAACTTAAACATATATCCACACACAAAGGACATGATCTGTCATAAGATATCTCTACCTATAATATGAAATCTCCCCATTATCCAGGTCAAACGTACATCCAATCACATCCCCTGCCATCCACTCCTGAAATAGAATCAATAGTGTGGTAATTATATATGCCAAGCACAATAATACAGTATACGTACAGTCACATACTAAATTACTACCAATTACTTAAGTCTTTCAAGTTTTTTATTAAGAACAGCAGCAAGATGGTTTCTTAGAGCAAAGTTACACAGAAGAATAAGACTGTTTCTCTTACTTCTCCATAAGCAGATGCACTCAAGTTCCATTTCCTCACACGGTGACCATCATAAGCGTATGAATCAGCAGTGTCACCAACACCCTCCTGAAAACAATTATCATGACAATATGTTCAAATTTAATTAAGATAAAACCCTGTTCACAGAGACGATATTTCACTCTTATGTTACACAATCATAAGCACTTGAAGCTGGGATTGTAGATAGACCCCCAAAAAACTAACCTCATTAGTAAACTGACAATTGACTGTTGCCCAACCAAGCTGCATTATACCTCGTGTTCCAAGTAGAACTTCAAACATCCATTTTCCTACAATTTAGGATCAACAACAGTTGTATCATCTTCACCTGACAGTGATTCAATAGCTTGATTATATTGCTAGTGTTCAACGGTTGTTTGTTTAAAACATGTTCATTCATTTCCTGATTAGCGGTTTTGTCCTTCCAGATAATAGGATATATTAAATATTATAAGCTCAGAATACTTGATATTGTATACCTCGACAAATACATATATTGGCTCTCAAACTGCTGAAATTGCTCTGACTGTCAAGCTAAAAAATATGAAGGAATAAGAGGGAGTAGGTAGTGTGCTTTAGTTATAAAGACTTTAGGAAGAGCGCAACACAAGAGGGTAGTGAGAGAAAGGGGAAGTGGTAAGGGAGGTGCGTAGGGGGATATCATATGGAGTGAGTAATGCAAATTGCAATCACCTCTAAATTTTCTGATATATCCATATTTCCACAGCGACCACTTGTGTCAATTTTGACAATCTCTGGACCAATCCTACCATCTGATAAAGCTCGTTCTTGCTCGGTATATTCTAAAAATGGATTTTTATGTAACTTTATGTTCCCTTGTAAGCAAAACCTCCAACTGACCATAAAAAATTTAAAAACTACAATTTAAAGTATTTGATTGGCTTCTTATTAAAGTATTTGATTGGCTTAACATTATAAACTTCTTAAATGTATTTTAAATATAGTTTTTGATATGCTTTAGCAATACCTTCAAATGGTAATCTTAATAAAGTTATTACTATCACAGATTGTTTAATAATGAGAAGATCGAACCTGGTTTACTTTCATTGTTGTGTTCAGCAAGAATTTTCTCCAAATGTTCTTGCAGGTTGCCAAATTCCAGAAAATTTCTACAAAAAATATTTATAACAATTGTAAAAAAGATTCTTTACCAAGCAGATACATCAAATTATCATTTGCTGACCACCAGAATCCATCTGAATCATTTATATAAATATGTTTTTATAATATCAAATCATAACATTATCAACAAAATAGATTTTAAATTTTTCTATGCTTCGAATTTCGACTATGCATACCTTGGAGTTGCCGTGGATTCACAGCCTTTAGAACAGAAAACAGATGCCAAAAAATTGTTAACTTCCATGGAATAAGAGGGAAAATAAAATCACAATAATTTTCTTCGTGTTTTTTTAAAAAATATGTAAACATCGGGCATTGGCCGCGCGTGTTTAACTCGTTTGGAGAGCTGGGTCTAGTAGGGGGAAAACGAAGGCCCTGGGTGTGTCAGTTGGGTGTGTCAGTTGGTTGTGCCCGTGGCGTGTGGCTGTAGGGTGTGCCCAGTGTGCTCTGGATTAATCCAAACATTAGACTGATACTAACTGCGCATGTGGTGTAAACATTTGATGCTTTTCAAAACAAATTCGCATACATAGGTCCATAGTTGATGAAAGATCGAGCAGAGTTTATAGTGACCTGATTTGCAATCTAAGTTGCTCAAGCTTTAAATCAGCCTCTTCCAAAACATTATAGACTGGCTCCAAACTTTTCATATGTTGAGACACGCTACCAGTGTACAGCTCTGAGCTCTAGCCACTAAACTGCCGAGATTTTTGTATATAAATAGTTTGCGAAGTACCGTACTTATTACAATAAACGAGTGCGGCATTGAGGGAGACGTTTGTTTGAAAATTAACACGGTATGGATAAGTTTAGTTTTTGCGTCAGACAAATCCGGCGCAAAGAAGAATCCAGAGGTGATCAGAGATGGCCGGATATACACAGCTGCCCAAGAACACAACATTGATGAAATATTTGACGCAAATTGTGAACCACACGCATCGGACTGCGTGATACAGCGACCTGACGATAATTTTCAGTTTCCAGAAGCAGGTAAATTAAATTCTGAGCGTAAATTTTGGACGCTATAAACGCTGTACTCTTCGATAATATTTCTACAGGAATAAACTTATTTGCTCATGAAAGCTGAAAACCCAAAAGGCTGTTGGACCTTGCTATCATATCGGTTTTTATAAGTTAATAAATTATACCGTTTTATATTTTCGTCGAAGTGTGGACTGTAGGAATTTCATTCTGGTTACGCAAGTGATGCAATATTTCGGCTCCAACGCGATGCTGGCAAAATCGAAAAAATAAAAAATTTGCATAAGGAAAAGTAAGCGCATCCGGTATAGTGTAAACAGGGCCTATAACTTTCACTTTTAGTTTTTTAGTCTGGATTTCAGTTTCACAATTAACATGCCTGTTTAATAAGCAATAGTGAAGACGAAATATTTTGGTGAAAATAAAAGTCAGACATGAATACGAACTCTTACTAACTCTCCTGACGAAGGCCCTCTGGTCGAAACGTCGAGAAGTGTTTGTCTATTTTAGGCAGTTGTTATACCACATAAATCCACATTTGATGCTAAGTTGTTTGAGGATGCTGGTCATATTGGAACTTGTCAGAGATGAATAATTAAAATAACTTAATGTCATAATTATAATAATTTGCATAGCGTGAGTGCGTGAGTGCGGGAGTAAATCACCAGACTAGCTGCTGACTTGACTGCTCTTAACTATAAACAATGGTCTGAGTCTGGTGATTAAGCGCACTAAAAACTCGTGAATTATAAATTTACATACGCATAAAAACTCTACATAATTGACATTCAGAATCATGCGAATTATAATTCTTATTTGTGAGTCAGATAATAGTTTGAGACATACCAACAGTAGGGTGCCTTGCCAACGTAAATGGTGATCATATTTCAATTATCAACCACAAGTACATAAATATATCGGATCCTAGGTCGGGCGCATCACTTTGACTTTTGATTGAATGATTAGTTAGTTATGCGGCTGGTGATGTTTCCAGACACTAGTGAACAAAATTAAATGCCTCACTCAAAAAAGCCGTACGATTTTAATTTTAAAGTAGCCTTTGCTGGTAATGCCGGTGTTGGCAAGACGGCATTGATGATACGTTTCACTAAAGGAACTTTTACCGAGAGGCTATGTACTGTTGGAATCAGTCACGACACAAAATTATTATCCATCGACGATAATTCCTGTGTACAGGTATGTAAATGAATGGTCAATACTTTCGTCTCGTGATGTTGCAATACAAGATTTCAATGTCACAAGCAAGGTTCCGCTTTACAAGTTTTGGCTTTAAAACAAAATTACGACAGTGTGAGGTTGACTCTCCAACGATATATTATTGAACATTGGATTGGGATCTGGGTTATATATTTGCGTGTCATATGAAACTCAGATTAAACGCAGGCACTGCTCTAGATTGATCTTGAACTTATTATTATTATTATTAATAAGAGTTTCTTTGTCTTCCGAACCAACAAATTTGTTTTAAAAATTGCTTTGAATAGCGGCCGGCAATTTATTTTTTCACGTTGGTTCTAAATTATTGTCGATAAATTCTTCATATTCATTTGATATTCAAATTGTGGTTTTTTATTCAAAACAAACTGAAGGTCAAAACAACGTAGTTTCGACAGATGTACACAAGAATATGTTTAGAAACACTATATGTCTACGTAAAAACATTCTTCTCTGAATTTCCTCAGAAAGTTCATCTGCATGGGAGAAAAATTACGTAGACAGGGACAAACCGACAAAGGTCATTTAACTAGAAAAAAGTGTATAGGACTATACGTGGAATGTTTTGTCCTGGTAAATTTCTTCCTTGTGATAGCACAAACTAGAAAGTAGTCAGAAATACCTTTCTGAGAAAAACTAGCTTCTGAGAAAAAAAGGTGTAGATTCGTCACCGGTCACTGACAATATATCGCAAATAACGAGGTTTATAATCCGGATAGAAATTAATGAATACGAGGCCATAACCTGAGGTTGGTTTAAGCCTGATTCTTGGGCCTAAGAAATTAAAAACAAAGTATTGGCAAATTGTTCTAATCTTTCTATCAATCCCGGGTTAATAGACCGAACGTTTTGCAATAAAGGAGGTGTACTTTAATTTAAACAAATAATCATCAAATTTTGCATGGTAGATTAAAATTTCATGATTCTCAAGTGAAATAAGAAGTTCATCTGTTGGCAACTTGCCTATCATTTTTTCTGGACCGTATACCAAAAATTGTGCGTAGTGTGAGTGGAGCTTTAAATCATCAATTTGTAGAATTACCACGTACGAGTATTTTTTTGTTTTATACAGAACTTTACAAGAATATTATGTGACTTGCAACCTTCTCTTATTCAATCTTTCAGCTGGAGATCTGGGACACTGCAGGACAGGAACGCTTCAGAACAATTACTCAAAGTTATTACAGAAATGCAAACGGTTTAATTTTACTGTACGATATCACAAAATACGAATCACTGACAGGACTAAGAGAATGGATAGATGACGTCAAACGATATGCTTCGCCAAATATACTCATGATTTTAGTTGGGGCAAAACAGGATTTAGCAAAGGATAAACGCGAGGTAACGGAGGAACAAGCCAAGAATTTTGCTTTTAGTTATCCTGAGATTGTTGATGTAGTCGAGACGTCTGCTAAGGTACGTATCTTCAACTCAATGTAACTAAATATGTATAATGACTTAATGTGCTGATATCATATTCAGTCCCGTGCTCCCGTTCACACCAGTACGCATAATTTTTGTTACGGTACCGAAAAAATAATACGGATGAAATTTAAAATTGCCAAATTTCACTCTGTACCAATTTTATCCGACCGAAATTTGTCCTCCACCTGTTTTGTCCCAGATCGCTCGGACAAAGCGAACGTGATGGTTAACAGCCTAAATCAACAAGCCTTAAACCAACTTTTCTTTTTTTTAGAATTCAGTGAATATCGAAACTGTGTTCATAAGATTAGCACAAGCGATGAAAGAACAACATGAAACGCGACACCTAGCTGACCAACCCCAAACAAGATCGTTTAGTGACTACACTATAAATAATCGTCATAAACCTTCACTGTTTTCTAATTTATGTCGTGTTAATGGCTGCTGTACATGATTGCATGGTGTAGTGAAATTCAAAGTGAAATGAAACTCGTCTAATACAACAGTATTTAATACGTAACCCCATTAAATAAATCAGTCTAATGACCACTTTCGATTCTTTCGAGAATTATCTGGGAGAGGGTTGTTTAATCCTTGGTGAAGTGACGTCACTGTTACTAAATGTAAGCGAAGTGCTGAAAGGTTTTTGTCAACATTGCCATACCTTTTTTTTGCAAAGCTGGTCAGAAATATTTGTGATCAATAAATGAAAATCATGGGAACTAAAACACCAAGTAAATGTACCTTGTAAAAACTAAAAGTTACAGTATATTGAAATGATAAATAAATTTTAGCTGAACTGTTTGTCGTTTATGCATACAGCTGTTATATATCAATCATCGTGTTCAGGGTAAAACGCAAACTACTCAACTCACGTCACGTCGCCGTATAAGATTACTCACGGTCTGGAAAACCTCGCCGAGGATTTACAATACAAAAATTCATGGATTCCTCTCCGATACAAGTTGTCATATTTTGTGGCCATTCAATAACACAGAACAAAGAAACCATACGAAATAATCATAAGAGTGAAGTTTAGCAAGTTGCATCTCAATTTATTGATATTCTAACCATGCATTGGGTTTCTTCTACAAAAATATAATCAACTCAAACATTTTCATGCGAAAATTTTGTGTATTTCATAATAAATTTGGTTTGCCTGTCATAAACTCGGTACCAAGTATTAGTCCACGAAATAGGTAACTCGGCCAAATACGCAGTGACGTCATCAGGCGTGGCGCCATAAAACATTGTTTCTCCGAGATTTTCACTACCATTGGTTGCGATGGCAGTAAAGTCTGTACTTGTTTCGTTTGAATCAAACCTGTATTCGTCCGCTACTATATGCTCACGAGCGATGGCATTCTTTGTCTCCGATGATCTTACATCATCCTGTGCAATCTCACTTCGCGAATGCGGTATCTCATTTGCATTTATTGCGCTACTCGACGTACAAAATGTGTTATCAACACTTGTTTCTGCAGTCAAACTTGTTTTCAATGATTGATCTAAAGTTTCAGGTTCATTCTTAAAACTAGTTTTACTGTTCTTGGAACGGGACCCACCACCGCGAGCCTTGAGATAGGAATCGAAAACATTGTCAAAATCTTTACACGAGAGTGGCACGTGGGAATCAGATGAATTCTCACTCGATCCATTCTCTTCAGAGCTTTCATACTCGGACCCACTTTCATCGCTGACAAAACAATCTCCGTTGAAATGCTTTATTGGAGACATATCTGCATCACGATTTCTGAAGATTATCTGACTTCTTCCACTTTCATTAACATTTTCTTCATTTTTATTTTCTGTGATATTATTCTTCAAAAAATCACTTTGAATACTTTCAATTTCAAGCGCACCACATAAATCATTCACCACCTCGTTATGCCCGTTCAATTTGGGATTTAATACGACTTCTTTATATTCTATGCTGCATTTAGTGTTTTCAACATGAACCTGTTCAGTTCTCGTGTCTTCATTCATTTCCATTTTATCATGTATTTTCTGCACCAGTTCAACCTCAGTGTGGTTTGTTACATTGATACTTTTATTCTCCTCAACATCGTCGTCAAGATCTTGTTTCTTATCATTTGCACTTTCTGAAAACTTTATTTCATTCTGTTTCTCCAGTCGCTCATTATCTGTCGTGTTTTTACTTTCATTCCCCTCACTATCGTCATCATGATCTTGTTTCTTATCATTTGCACTTTCTGAAAACTTTATTTCATTCTGTTTCTCCAGTCGCTCATTATCTGTCGTGTTTTTACTTTCATTCCCCTCACTATCGTCATCATGATCTTGTTTCTTATCATTTGCACTTTCTAAAAACTTTATTTCATTCTCTTTCTCCAGTCGCTCATCCTCTGTCGTGTTTTTACTTTCATTCCCCTCAACATCATAATTTTCTTCAGTCTTTTTTGTTCTTCTATCTTCGACAGTTCTGTTCTCAGTCTTCTGATGATTATCGTTCGTTTCTTCACCGTGCGCTATCTTCCCCACGGGAAGCTGGTTATTGTCAAGTGTTTGTTTAATCGTGTTGCAATTTGTTTCTGATATTTCTTGCGAATGATCCAACATCTCTTCTGACAAAATCTTCGAGATATCATCTAAGACAAAATAATAAAAAAGAGAGTTGGAAAAAGATCCTAACTCTTCCTTGAAGAAAAATTCACTATAAACTGATCGATCTCCTTTAACCAATCTGAAACGATCCAAACATTGCCATACTGAGAAAAATATAACCAAGAAACCTTTACCAGCATTCGAGACAATTTGATACAATGTAAGAAAAAATATACACCGAAAGTCAACATCTTTTAAACTCAAAATACGAGTCGTAAAAAGTAGACAACAATTTTGCAGTGATATTTCGACTTGAGAATGATTTTGAAAGACAAAGGAAATATCACCAAAATTTTGTTGTCTTGTTTTATATACTGTAATTCATATGTTGATGCTGTTTTTCTTAGATATAAAGAAGAAGAGAAAAAAGAATATTTATTTTTTTACAAATCAGCAGCTGGCGCTATCCTAGCCTTTCCTGATTTTCCGTTTTCCCCGATGCTATCCGACACATCCTTTTTGCTATTTTAGTTTTTGTTATCATTCATTGTCAGAGCATGTATATAATCATTACCTGGTAGAGGTGCGATCGTAACTCCACAATCACCTTCTATTTCGTTTAAACTCGCGACCTCTTTTCCTTCAGCTACAAAGTTTACTGTAACACCATAGGAACCTAAATTCAGGCATATATTTATCGAAATGGAATTTCAAAGTGCCATTTCTTTGAAATAATCATCAGAAGATTGAGAACAGAACTGTCGAAGACAGAAGAACAAAAAAGACTGAAGAAAATTATGATGTTGAGGGGAATGAAAGTAAAAACACGACAGAGGATGAGCGACTGGAGAAAGAGAATGAAATAAAGTTTTTAGAAAGTGCAAATGATAAGAAACAAGATGATGAAATGGAATTTCGAAGTGCTATTTCTTTTTAAACCTTTTTTGATTATATTAAAGAAAAAACAACTTGAAAATCAAATGAAATTTTGAGTCGTCTTACCAAACCGCCCAGCTCTACCAACTCTGTGTAAATACGTCTCACTATCATGCGGCAGATCCATGTTGATCACGAGGTTAACACGTTCAGCGTCTATACCACGTGATGTCTTAAAAAAGCAATATTATCACGTTGTTTTTGTATCGATTTAGTCTAACAACAACAACAGCAACAACAATTTTAAAGCTGAAAGTATCTGTATATAGACACACTTACTAAATCGGTGGAAATCATGATACGACATTTGAACTCCTTTAACTTTGCCATGGCAATGAGACGTTCATTTTGTCCTTGACTTCCTGTCAGAATAGAGAAATACAAATGTTTGACGGCAAATGAATGCTCGAAAACACGTTTAAAGTTTCAAAACAGTCTGATCCATCAACAGAATGACTGATGTAACAACTACAGTAAGTGATTGACTGAAGTATCATGCAACCAACTGATAACATACGAACTTTTCCCTTCGATCTATTAATTAACCGAACATGAAATGTTACCTGAAATATACGTCGACGGCCATCCATTCTTTGCTAACGTTTCGCTTAAATTCTTCGCTCTAAAAACATCAAAGACATCAACTTTTTAAAATATGATCAGATAATAAAATCCTAATACCTCAAGGTACTTCATAATATTTGAATAGTGACAATGATTTCTCAAAAAAAATGCAAAAGTTTCGGAAGGAAAGGCTAAAAACCTATGAAAAGGCTAAAAACCTATGAAAAGGCTAAAAACAAAGGTCCGATAACATTCAGGTTAAGAAAATGGACCATTCTCCTTATTAAACTAAATGCTATAGTTTGGGATGCGCTTTCCAGATGTACTGATAAATATTCCAAGTTTTAAATTTAGTTTAATCGGCGTCCATTAAATTTAGTTTAATCGGCATCCAAGTTTTGTTTTCATCTCCACTGACCTGATTTGATAGTTTGAAAAAATCAAACATTGATGAAATGACAGCTTTGAGAACAAATGTAGAAGACTTTCAACCTGAATATAAATATATTTGAAAGTTTCATCCCCACAAAACGTACACAACGTTGTTTTGATCTCAAATAAGACAAAATTACGAACCTTCTCCTGAAATACTTTATGTGGAAGAGAATGGAAAGAGACAATGCAACGATAGTGACGAATTCCTAAAAAATGAGACGAGTTGGACAATTGGGGTTATAACACAAAACCATAGACGAACGAGACGAAGGCGTATGGGGCTGCACCCTTGATAAGGCAAGCAATTTGTACTCAAGAGTCAGTTTCGCACCTGAAAATTTTTACGTCTGTAAGCCTACACACAAAACGTTCTTTATAAATGGGACGTCGAGAAAAGATTCGAGATCTATTGAAAACTTTATATTCGATCCTAAAATATATCTTAGAACTAACATAGAAACACCAGAAGCACCTTCTAAAGCAGGATCAGCAGAATTTAAGCGAACAAATGTTGGATCTTTCATATAATTTTTCAACCGCTCAGCAAGATGATCTGGGTACGTCGCTGATAGCGCCAATATCTGTTTACTGCTGGGAAGTGTGGAGTAGATCCAACTATGTGATAAAGAATATATGACAAGTTACTGACTAACACTCTGAGTGATCCACAGGAAGACGTGATCCACAGGAAGACGTGATAGTGAAGAAGTAACTAACTGGCTGATCTAACAACTGAATGACAGATCTAACAGCTACAGTAAGTGATTAACTGAACTATCATGTAACCAACTGATCTATGAACTGTACTGACCTACCAACAATGGTGGGACCAACTAGTTGACTGTTGCACAAACCATCCGACTGTGTGACTATTATTTATTATTTACTGGTTATAAATTATTAAACAGATCAACTTATCAAACAGTTTGCAATAAATTACTTGATTTGTTTCTGAAAGCTCTCATCCAACAACTTGTCTGCTTCGTCCAAAATAAAAAGGCGGATACAAGTTGTCTGCAGCAGTTTGCTTTCTATGAGATGTTTAATGCGACCTGAATAGTAACAATACCATTAGAATGTCTGTAGATGCAGTGTTTGTAGTAGTTATGTAGTACTTTGAGTATCTTTCTTTATGGCGCTTGGAGAACCAATAAATTGCAACTGATACAAAATGCATGTTTAGCAGGAGCAACAATGTTAACTGTTCGATATTGCCATTTTCAAGTACTAAATAAAATAAGTTTAAATACAATGATGTTGATTTTATTCATTTTATTTAAATATTTACCTGGAGTGCCAATAGCAATATGACATTGTCTCAAACTAATTTTATCATCTTCAAGAGGCATTCCTCCAATAAAGACATGAGTTTTTAAGCCATTTAAATGTTGACCAATTGAGCACATGACATCCTTGATCTGAACAGCAATTTCACGAGTTGGGGCGAGAACTAGTACCTGAAAGAGTTGAAAGGTTGGAGGAAGCAAATGTTGTAAGCATATTTAAGAATTGAGATAAATAAGGGGCTGCATGTTGACAAATAGATTTTGTCCCGCATTGTGGCCTTTGGCCTTGATAGGTGGGAGGGAGGGGGGGGAGGTGATTGGGAGGGAGGGAGGTGATTGGGGGGGGGGGTGATTGGGAGGGAGGGAGGTGATTGGGAGGGGGGGAGGTGATAGACTAGAATCTGAGATTACAAAATATTTGGGATGAAAACTGACTTTAGAAATATGAAGTTCAGAAGAAAACATTGTATGTAAAAAATATTAAATACTCACAAAATTTAAAGGTTCATAGGCACATAATGGACACAGGTAAAAAAAGTATTTTGCCTGATGTTTCCACTATCTCAATGCATATTTTAAATGTAGTATTCTTGTTCTTTTAATATATTACCATAGATATTATTAATAGACCACTTGCAGTCATATTTTTGAAGGTATTTTGGATCATATTATTTCGATTCTCGTTGGTTTTTTGCTGGTCCATGATGGGGTTGGGGGTTTTGCTTCAAACAATCGCGGCCAAAGTCCACGATGTGCGACAAAATCTATTTGTTGACGGCCTCTAAGTAGTAACACTTGTACCTGAACCGACACCACAGCCAAATTGATATTTTCAAGCGCAATGACACTGAAAACGCACGTTTTACCAGTTCCTGATTTTGCCTGTGCTATTAAATCTAGTAAAAGGAAATCTAGTTTCACATGCAACTCAAATAATATGCAATGCGATACTTTAATCATTTATAATAAAATCATGCATACAATTTATAAAAAAGGTTTATTTGCGCATAAATATTTTAACACGTACACACACGTTAACATCACTCAATTACCTAGGCCGCATCTACCAAGAGGGATTGCTTTTAGTTGTATTGGAGATGGTCTTTCAAACCCGGCACTTTTTAATCCTTCTAGTACGTTGCTGGACAACATGAGACCAGAGAAATCGACTTTTTCATTTATCAAAACGTCAGTTGTACGACGTTTATCGCCAAACCGATGTGCTGTTCGTCTCCTTCGCATGTTTGCTTCTATCCAATAAGTATACAAAAATGTAGCTTTTTAACTACTTCATTACGTGCAAACATGAAGTGAAACCCCGGCTATATCATTACAAGAATAAACCAGATTTTTGGGACTGTTCATATTTGATGGAAATAATCCAAGTTGGCAGCCATATTAAATGTGACCGCGCAGTGACCTGGACTTTCCTGGGAGGGGAGGGGAGGGGAGGGGAGGGGAGCCAGGCCAGGAAGAGATCCATCCAACCACAACCAAAACCAACACCGTCATATCATGGATAGTTAATAAAAGAAAAAAAGAAGAAAGATCGAACTTTAATATTCCCCGAAAATACAACAGAATCAACGAAGATAAAAAATAAAAACTTGTGAAATAAATACATACACTTTAGGCCCAAATTGTACCGGGGAATCAGCGGCTATACTAATTACTAAACACAAAATTAACAAAACATTTTAGCAAACTAAGCCGTTCAGTCATTTATATTGAGTTTCCTTTTCAGAATGACGATTATTTTAACGTTAAAAACCAACAAGGATTGTTTCAAAACACTAAAAGAATATAAAAACACTAAAATTTCTCGCTAAAAACACTTAAAAAACGTTTAGGCGTTTAAATCTTAACATTTCCATGCGTGTGCCTTATTAGTCGTTTTCTGTGTATATACTTGTTAGGGACCGCCCCCCGAGACCAGGAAAAGCTTAAATACGTTAAATTTATCTTCGCTCTCAGGGCTAGCCACTGTAGCTGATTCGTCTATGACGCGCTAGGCTTGTGGCGATGCATACTCTGTTTCTCACTGAGACGTAACGGTTAGGTGCACATACATCATGGTCTGGGGGCGCCTTAGACGGCCGTTAAGATGTGAGTTATGGGGGGGAGTTCTTCCTATAGCAACTGTCCTTGCACCTTTCGTAGTTGTAACTATGCTGTATGTCGCAGCCGGTTGTATAACCAGGTTAGATTGTGGCATAGGCTGGATGATCTCTTTTGGGTGTTTTTACATTCTTTCCCAAATTTTTTTTTTTTTGGCATGCTTTCCAAATTTTTCTTTTACATACAAAAAACACTGTTATTAAACATATATGGAACGGATATAAAAAATCATATCGACTGAAAACCACTTTAATTTACCCCTGAGTACTCTCCCCAGTCTCTGCATGGCTGAGTCTCTGAGTTAAACAATAGTACAATACCAGAAATCATTCATAAACATCAAACATCTTCATCAACCTTACAGCAGTAAAACAGCGACAAAGACATTCAGACAGTCAACTCTGTGTTCTCGTTAGTGCCTTCAGCCCGAGAACTGTCAATCAAAAGTCTGGATAAATCTCCTGGCTTTCCCTGCGAGTTTTCAAATTCATATTTCAAAATATCTGACATTGAAAACAACTCAAGATTTTCTACTAATTGTGGACTTAGTTTATTCATTAATACTGATCCATGAGATAGTTTGAACTAAGACACCACCATTGTTGGGTACACCAGTGCAGTATGGTAATCCAGGTTATATCCCAATGGTTGACCATAATCTCGATGAATCACCCTGAATTCTTCTGTAGCTAAATTTTCATTCCACAACAAGAAACACGGCATGTTTATGGCCATTTTAAGAGCACATGCATTCAATTGTTATTCCCAATTGATTGCATATAAAATCCAACTTTGATTTAATTTCAAATGCATAACATCGGGGTTTCTATCTTGCAACACAGGCTGCTGAAGAATACGAATCCCCAGCTTCTAGAATGATAAATCCACTTCAACAACACAAGCGGACATCTTACATATAATTCGACCGCACACTGACGTGTCCCAACGACCGTACTGGAGCCGCTCGTCTAACTCAATTACGCGGTTCTAATTGATCAATTCTGTCACTAAGTATAGTTGAGAGATAACTACCTTTTTACACAACCGGCTCCCAAAAACATTGGAATTTGTGCTCGGATGTGGTGAAGCCAACTAGCTAGCCTGCGTCGCAGGATTTTTGACTGCAGGAAACCATCAAGGTGTAGTATGATACTAACTCTCCTGACAAAGGCCCTCTGGTCGAAACGTCGAGAAGCCGTCCCAAACTCTGATAGAAGCAAAACATCCTCAAATGTTTATGTTTCCACGCTTATACTGTGCAGGAGTGACAAATAGGTACAATAACAAGATACGGTGAAAAAATTATATCTTTACAGGGTTGGGTAAATAAATTTTTTGGATTGTCATTAAGAGGGTAAAATATTTTTTGTTGTCAAAATTGGGTCCCAACCCCGGCTATAAATAATGGCCAGTCCCTTATTGGTCTGAGTAACAGCACGCAACAAGCGTATTAGCAACTGCTCTGGGGACCAAACCACGCCATGACTTGAGCTGTCTTGTTAAGATCCACGTCAGCGGCAAAAATTAGTGTTTTACTTTATATTATTTTATTGTACTGACTTGTGGTCAACTAATATGATAATAGCGACAGGTGGTTAACTAATCATATTTAAGGTTTAACTACTGTGTTTAACGTTGGCAATAAACTTTTTAACGTTTCTCTACAACTGGCTCTGGGATAATATTTCATTGTCTTACCAAAGAAGACGTACTGTTTGACTTACCAAACGTACTGTTTGACATATAGTTGATTCATTTATTTTCCCAGCACCTACCTATGTTTCCCACCTACCTGTGGCTGTGTTAAATATTTGGGCGCTTTGTCTCCAAGTCAGTCGATCTCATCATCAGTGACCTGGCTGACCCAACGGCGTCGTGACAAGTATAAACCTCTCGTGATTGATACCGTCATTTCAATTTTGGTGTTGAAGTGATAACGTACTCGTAAAAATATCATTTTGAGAGCGTCGATACTTGAAGCTTTTATATTATCCAGTTTTGTCCAGAAGACCAAAGAAGAGAATAGAAAAACAGCGGACTTCATTCTCACATGACGTTCATTTTAACTTGGTGGCAAAGAAATTATCCAAATGAAGGTAATTAGCTTGCCCAATGGCAATGTTTACAAGACCTAGCTTATATTAGCTTTCATTTACGTGTAGATTAAATTAGCTCAAATTTGGAGACATAATATATCTCGCGCGTCCAAATACATAAACCAAAAAGGTTTGTTTGTTAATTAATGTAAAATGCGTCAAGCAATCTTAACGTAGATTGTTCGACGCATTTCATGCTCATTATTTCGCACAAAATGTACATTTTGCCGACTGTGTGTGTCTAATTAGATTTTTAACAGCTGGCTCAGCCTGGCTGTGCCTGGTTTATATATAGACTTGTACTCAGCTCGTTAATTTTGCTTTTGGCATATTCCTTTCAGCCCAAGGTCGGGTCTAATAGTCAATTCCTAGCTGACCACAGTGTTTCTTTACATGAATTATTGCAGAAACCTGAGATAAACATATTCTGTGTTGTTTGTAAATTATTTGAGGCTAGGACACGAAAACACGAGGCGATGGCATGTTGAAGTCTGTGGCCCTGTTTGTTCGAATGCTTGAGAAGTCACGATATTGCTCTGCTTTTTTTTCGCGAAGTTTAAGGTTTGTTTATAAAGCGCTATTTGATGAGCATTCTATGCGCAAATAATATTCCTGTAGCGTTGGAGAAGCAGAGCTGTATTGCGTACCCGCGTGTTATGAAAATAATTTTGAAAGTAGTGTGCTGAGGATACCATTGGGGGTCATTTGCGTGGAGTGTTGTCGGTAATATTAAATACTGAATTCAAGTTGTTTACTAAAGATTGTACATATCTTTGTATTGGCAAAACAGCGAGTGATGACTGAATGCAAAACAGCGGTATTTTTAAAACAAAGAGAAGTCAATGAAAAGACGCGCAAATTATGGAGATGATGGAAATAGATACGCTTGCTGAGTTGTTGTGGTACATTGAATTATAATAATAAATTGCTCAAGTAGATCCCAACCCAGATATTATGTCCCTGTTATTGAAATAGTATTGAATCAGTTAATGGTTAATTTCATCCAGTCTGTGTTTGGATAATTTTTTAATTGGACCAACACGATGGTTTTTAATAGGGCGAAAATGAAACCATCTGTCAACGAAGTTGTTGAACTTTCTCTGATGAGAACAAGAAACAAATGCTCTCTTGATATCGTCATGTAATCGCTTTAAACTGCACGCGTCCAGTCTTTCGCGTTGTTGAATTTAAATACAACCACAACTGGGGCCAGTTGTATGAAAGCTGGATAGCGCTGTCCACCGGATAGTGGGTTTTCAATTGCTCTAAAATCAGTTAATCATCTCTTGTTCTGTGTAGCTTAGTTTAAACCTTTTTTTAAATTGGAAGTTCTCTTTGAATAAGTAATTTCATTCCTTTTTAGGCATGTTTACAACAGCAAAAATCACTATCCTGTGGGTTGCGCTATTCAGCCCCTGCAATATAACTTGAATTCGCAATGCGTTTCATTGAAATCGGATGCAACTTTTCGTTCCCATGTCATAGGTTTTTAAATTCGCCGTTGTCGACTACATGAAGTTCTTATTTCTTAATGAATCAACTATTAAATCATAGGAACTTAGATATTTCGTGCAGTGACTGCAGTCTATTCGATGCAGTATTCAATCCGTATCATCTTATCTTGACTACATATTATAATAACATTTCTGCACCAATCACAGTGCGTCCTAAAATGGTTTAAAATTATATAATCTTTAAAATTATGTCTAGTCAACTGACCGGAAATATTCTCCCAAAAAAGATATCTCTTTCAGGATAAAGCTACGTAAATCCGGGGAAATCAGCCAAAATGGGAAGATGCCATACAATATTATATTGCGTGCAAAATAGTTCAAGGTCGAAAGTTAACAGTTACATGAAAGTTTGTTTTAATATCTGTCTGGCATTTGAAGCATTTCAATACCTCTTAAGGCTGATATGATAAAAAAATATATATTTGTAAGGCTGTGACTATGAGATAGCGGCAACCCTATATCGCTGTGATAAAAACATATTGAACTTATCACATATCAACTATAGCGATAAGACTATATTAAGGTCTTCAGCTGCAAATTCTGCTGTGCATGACGGTTTTGCAAAGATTGGATCAGAATCTTAAAGTCAAGACCAGATATTTCATCACGGATTTTAATTACCCTGTTTGTTTCTAATTGAAGTGGCCTTACTCGAAATTTCGAGAACTGTTCCAATCTTTGCCCTTTGAGGAGAACTTTATAATACATGCGTGACTTTTTTTACCAACTTTAAATATCTCAAGTAAGCACTTAACCCCATGTGGCATTCGCAATCGAAGCTGTGTTTTATATGAAGCTTTTGGTTTTGCTAATTTCATGGTTTATATGGGAAGAAGGGTAAAATTATTTTAATGTGATTCATTTCAGATATATTTGAGGATGGTTATTATCAATATTGAATTTACTCATGATGTAAATCTTTATGTAGGCTCTCAGAACACATGTCATCGTCATCGCAGCTCTGATCTCAATCATCAAAGGAACGATCTATGGTTAGTTTCTGGATAATATTGATAATATTCGGGAGAAGATAGATCGCGTTTTACCAAACATAAAATGAACGTTGCCAGTGGCGTAGCCAGTATGATAATTGTGGAGGGGGCATATTCATATATTCCATATTCGTGATACGCAGGATTAATTTCTTTTTAAATCAATTTTCTTTACAGTCTGTTAGCATGAATATCTGGGCTTCCCAATTATCGATGCTGGCCACGCCACTGAACGTTGCGACGTAACAGAATTTGACCATTCTACCTCTGCCATTCTACCAGAGCACGATCGAGTTTGCGTGACTTATTTTCTCTTTTATTGATCGGAAGTGTTAATTATAATAGTCTTTTGTTTACCATGACTTGGAGCGAGTCGTCTATAAACTTGATCTTGACCTCAGGGCCAGTTGTTCAAAGCTGGGTTAGCGCCAACCCTGATTTAAATCTTACTCCGCTGTTTTGGTTTACATGCTTCTGCACCGCTGTTTGTTTCAAGACTTTACAAAATAAGACTTCTGTTGATCCACAAAATATTTATGAAAAAACATGTTCAACTTCATAAACAAGCGATGTGAAAATTTGAGTTAAGCCTGGGTTAAGCTAACCGGCTTTTGAGCAACCGGCCCGTAGCAGCCGTGATGGCTAGCCCCCAGCTGCTTTACTCTGGTTTTACTAACTAACTGATCAATTCCACCACCTTTTCACCCTAGATGAACACAAACTTCACTTATTCGACGTACCCACAACGTCAACATTGACGACGTCATCTGACGTGTACAAACATGGCGACCGTGCTCTTAAATGGTCCTGGAAACCAGGGGACAGTTTAACGTTGGATCTGTCGCAAGAACCTGTAGAGGGTGATCGATTACGTAGGGGTGGCATAAAGATATGGTTATTCCTGCGTAAAAGTATACCAGATAAAATAACATTAGCATTCTATATTCTGGGTGCTATATCAAGAATCGCTCGGCCTGAATGCGATTTCGGTATCTCCCTTCAGTTCACAGGCTGGCGGGCGGTGTGGGTTAGCTTTAGAGAATGTAAACTTAGACGCCCGTGGTTGCCGTTATATCTTATGCGGATTCAGGCTCCTGTTCGGCAAACGGGCATCATTTACTTCGATCTTCTGTCAATTGTTAACAATTTACATTCACAATCACGCGATAATATTGTTCCTCCATTTAGAGGATGGATACGGACTTCCCGAAATTTCTGGCAACAAACGTATCATTGGAGTTTGGTAAAACCAAGAAATGAAATATTTAATGGACTCGAACTTACCGACCAACAATTACGTCATTTGAAGGAAATACGATTGATCAGAACGCGATTAAGAGATTGGTACCGAGTGAAGGGGAAATCAACATACGAACTTACAGGCTACCATGAAAAGCGTTGGACGAGGCTTAAAAAACAAATGAAACGTGCGCGTAAATATTTAAAGAAAATGAATATCACAAAGACAAAAGATGGTTTTATAAAGGGTCCGCCACTTTTTTGCCGCAATTCTGAGTACGGAAAACAATCGATATATGCTCCCGATATTAAGTTTGGTTTCTTGTTTCGAAAAGTTTTATTGCCTCTAGCGTTTGAGTATTATTTTTCCACAAGGAAAGAGGAAATTCGTAAGATTATTGAAGTCGAATTGCCCAAGTTAAACGACCCAGCCAAGCAAGTTGTTACATTACAAAAACTTGTCGGTTTTGAGAAGGAATATATGAATATATTTTATTTTAAGTATAAGTTAGGAGTACGACCCTTAACCGAACATAAAATGAAAATGGCAATGAAGGAAATCAACCGTAAAAGATATTTAAGGATATTGGGGATATTTGAATACATCATTGATCAAGGATGGGCAGTCGGGAGTGGCCTGGGATCGCTGGACCACGAAATGAACCGAAGTAGCAAAGGATTTGTGACGTCAATTTTTTTACTTCGTGAGCCGCTGCACCACTCTGGTTTGTTACCACGGCTCATCGAAATAATGAAATGGTATTTAGAGTTCGGAGAGATATACCAGAATCCGTTTGAATTTCTAGGGACGACTGCTGACCGATTAAGAACGCTGTTTTTGTACCGTTTGATGTGTGTACTTGTCATGCCCGAGGCCACACTTCAACAAGCTTTGGACAAACTGCGCGATATGAAAGCTTTGAGAGCCTGGTACGAAAATGCACTAAGCATCAATCCCGGTTTAGGAGGCACCATAAAACCGGATTATACCGGATATCATCATAGGTCATTCTATCCAAACGATTACGTGTTACCAGGTCTTCTGACCGCGTCACAAGTAGTATATCTCCTCAGAGGGACTAACTATGAATTGTCTCAAAGAAGTCGGAATGATTTAAGAAAAGCAATTCATTTCATGCGACTATTGTCGGAACAGTACGCCATCCCTAACAGTATAACAAACAATCCTACGTTGGCAAAGCCTGAGCTTATTTGTCTTATACCAGCTTTCGCTTATGCCGTATTATGGGATGAAAACTCGCGAGATTTTCTGCCACCAAGGACTTCAACATGGCTTCAATATGCTGGCTCACCTCCAAGCAGTAGGCCCACAAGAGACGAACACGCGAGCCCACTACATATAGAAAGTCTTCGTCTGTTCATGCGCATGTTCAATGAGTCCAACAGGGACGTACAATCGTATTTAAAGAGCGGGAAAGGATGCTCATGGAAGACCTCATATATGTTTACATTAGGGTCTCTGTCGCTTCTGTATGAGCTGAAAAAACGCGCAAAGGTGCTTGGAATTAGTGCAGAGCCAGCCCCACAAGGCAATTGGGCAAAAAACTTTGCAGCACTCTCAATACACCGACGTCAAAATTGGGTGGTTACTGTCAAGGGGTTTAATAATTTCGTTTGGGGCCATGAATCCTCTACACGAGGTAACCAGTATGGCAGGTATCAGAGCTATGGACAGTTATTGATTGCAAACACGGATTATGGTTTAAAAGCGTACGATATTGACCGAGGTTGGGACTGGACCCGACTACCAGGCACTACTTCCTTACGTGTGCCTGCAGAACAACTCATGGGGCAAGATCAGTTGTATAATCCCAAGAGTCTTTGTGGAGCGATGAATTTTCAAGGAACCAGCAAATTTCGTAACGGTGTTTTCACCATGGATTTTGAAAGACCAAAGTATGGTGACAATATCCGTTCGGAGTTATGGTTTAAAAAATCCGTTTTCTTTTTCAACGAATTACTAGTGTGTGTAGGCAGCGATGTGAGAGCAAAACGGTTTAGTTTCAGAACGGCTAAAGCTGAAACAACGCTATTTCAGAATATAGGACATTTTGCAGACCGTAGGCGGTCTATACGGTTAAATGGTTATGAGATATCTTTGGGGACACCAAAATATGGCAGGAGATTTATGTGGGCAGAAAATTCACCAGCCATGCTAATCGATGTTAATCAAAACGCCTACTACGTCCCGCGTGCAGGCAAGCAAAATCTAAATGTCTGGCTTGTCAATCAAACGCAAACATCTGACAGCCCGAAAATAACAGACGGGTATTACGCAACAGCTGTGTTACGTCACGGAGGTAATCCAGATGGAATAAATTACGAGTATGCAGTGTTAGTGAATTCTTCTTATGAAAAACTATATAAAATGGTGTGCAGGCAGGAAAGACTATACGGGCTGCCGAAATATGAATTGCTTCAGCAAGATACAAATGCACATGTTGTAAAATTTAATAATTCCCCCCGGATTGGTTTAACAACATACGGGTATTCTATTTTCACTCCGCGAACTAATTTACCCGGACCACTTTGGATGGTAGGGGATCCTTGTGTACTTATGGTAGAAGATGGGGGTAAGAAGAGCACAAGATTGGTAATAGGTGTGAGTTATCCACAGATGAATTTCAATTCGACAAAGAAAATGAAAACATCCCAAGATGCGAGAGAAAACGAGTTATTCTACATGCGTAGTCAAGAAAAAAGGATTTGGGTTTTATTAAGAAGTAAAGTTTATCGTGATGGCTTTCGTGTTTACGTTGATGGGAAAGCAGTGGATAAACAAGACGTTGATGCATATATTGGAATATTTCCACTCTACGATGAACCAAGTACAGGATCTCTTGTTCACTTCAAAAACCTGTATAACGGTTTTACAACGGAGGTTCATTTACGACGGCTTGTGAGCCCCAGTATTAAGGCGCATCGTTGATAAAATATGTAGAAACATAATCAAATTTACACATATACTGTACATAGAGGAAAAATCTTATTTAAAGCTATTTAATGAACACATTAGTAAACTCCATCAAACCTATTTTTAGATGTTTTCGTTCCCAGTTTCCTTGTTTGCACCTCTGTTGATTTATTAATGGTGCCCAGTCTTTCAGCTTTCAACTGCAAGCTTTTTCATTTAAGTGTAGCATCTGTTCGTTTATAAAAGCAAGTTTCTCATTGGCCAGATCATAGTCAATTGCAAAGTCAGATATTCACAAGGAATAAATACAAAATATACTTTTTAACTGACACGATGACCGTTATCTTCTTTAACGTTTTTGTGATATCTCGGGGCCGCTGTGGCACAGGCTTCGTTGTTGGGATAAATAATGAAACGTTATTAATAGAAAGACTGATTATTAAAAATATAGATGAATTAGTAGATAACCTGACGGACTGACTGACTGACTGACATGTTAATGTTTTCATGCATACAGTTAACTGGCCGTTGCCATTGTGCATGGGATTATATTCGTTTTACCCGCTCTCGCGCCGGTGGCAATCCCACACTGCCTAGCTGCAAGAATATAGCGAACGTGACTGTCATCCTGACAATTTCAGGTATATTCATTCTATTACAAAACGTTTTTTTGAAGACACTTCAGGTTATATGACTATACACAGCAACCCATCTGGCCCATCCAGATAATACTAAACATATATAAACGACTGAACAACGTTAATAATAAACAACTGTCATATTGTTCATAAGATGCATGCATTATAATATTTATGGCAGTTGGGCGACGTGAATATATATTAATAAATAACATGAATATATAATGTTGATGGGCAAAGACAATATATATTGAGAATATATATATAAGAATATATATTGTTAATTTTCTCCTCTTTAGGAGTTGTTTTGTTGAAAAATCAAAATGATACGTTTTCGAACTTTATTATTCTGTCAAACGTAACACGAGAAAATAAAATTTCGCTCGAAAGTATTGGCTTAATTCATACAATATACAATACATGCTGTAAAGTCCATTAAAACGCCGGATGGTCACCACAATATACAACAAAGATTAACGATAAGCACTTAAGGAGAAGTGATAAACGTTGTCTATGAATATTATAATAATAGATGTTATATCTGTTAAATGAACAACTCAGTTGAATAGTTTACAAAAATAATTACTGCATGAACCATGGCGTCGATTGTTACGTTTGCACATTTTATTCGACACGGCAAATGTTTGTTTTGCTGAAATGTATGATGATAAATACTATGAAATATTCGTTTCTAAACGTAGAGGTAAGGCATGCAGTTTATGATATATATCTATGTTCTCATGTGATTTCACGCTGTATTATTAATAATGAGTTGCAAATACTGTCGGTCCATACTGATAAAACTAAAGTAACGACTCATCATGAGTCATGATATCATGATTCTAATGTAGCAGTCTACACATGCACACATCCACTCTGCGACGCCTTTAGAGAAGAATTGCAATGTTAACCTGCCATTAGCCAGTAAGATTTTAAATTATATGGTAAGTTAGGGGAAAATTTGACTGATGAAAACAAAGTAAAAAACTCCATATGTCCGGCACTGCTGTTCGCAGTCTGGTTGTGAGCTACGTGTAAACAGAGTAGTATATTGCATGCCTTCGTGTCATATAAATTACTTTAAATAAAATTAGTTTCTCAATAACGTTGACATGCAGGATAATAACTAATGTTTTACATAATATAAATCAGCATAAACTTTAACGAAACTATATATGGCGAAGTTTGCCCCGTTGAGTTTTCCTTCATTTTTGTGTATTTGGCTGCTAAGTTTTCACGCACTCAAGTCTTGAATATATAATAGGGTAGCTATACTTTAAACACACAAATTAAAATTTTTTATCATACGCGGTATAATAAAGATGAGTTTCCTGAATTTCGAGGACAATGAAATATCGATTAAAGTCAATTTTCAAAGCGCAAAAAGCAAAAAAATTTGTCTCAGTGATATTAAGATAGACTACATCGGTCTTAACTTTTGCTTTTGCATGCATGCCCTTTGATTGGCGATCTTGGAATACCTAAAGGAAGAAATCAAGAAAAGTACAATTAGCTTGTGTTTACGTGGTCTGAAGTCAATCCGTCACAACGATGATTGGTTTCGGCTGTGGTTTCGGCTATGGCTTTAAGGAGTTAACGCTTCAACAGTCACCGTTCTGCTTATTATAAATTATAGGAAGCTACTGACCAGACATTATCCCACTCAGAATCACTCACAATATTTATACCTCGTAGCTGAAAATCCGTCACTTACCGCCACCTGCAACGCCAGCGGTTTAAAATTGGAAATTAGGCCGATGTTGTTGATGATTTGTCATCCTCTTAGTCACCTGCTGGGGGTTATAGTAGTCAGGATGATTGTCTATATATGGTTATTCTCTGGCAGCCTCAGCCGTCATGATCTCTTATATCTTGAGAAATATTACTGAGATCATATACAGAACTTTTCAAGAAGTTGAAATAATGCCAACTCAAGAGATTGAAACTTATAATGAAAAATCGAGGTACTATCGTATAGCATGCACGTACGTTATGTGTTTGAATAAACATTCCTCTTTTAGAATTCATGAAAAAAACTACTTGATTATTTAAGATGTGGATAATCCGTAGTTATAACGCCAGCATATTCAGGCGCCTTGCGTTAGATAAAGTGGACGTGTTAACAAGACAGTTCTTTATCTGTGGCAGAAGATCGAAAGTGATATATTTTTATCATAACTGAAGCATACTGCATCTTAAAAAAAAGAGCATGAGTAAGTTTAATCTATAGGCAAGCGTTATTCACTCAGGTTAGACAATAATTCGTTCAATTATTGAGCATCAAGCTTGTCATGGTTATTCATTCTGATATTGCATGATAGATCCGTTTTCACTTCAACCGTATTGTACAACAAAATCTAAAGGGAATCTTTGTCCATAATCACTCGTTCTCTTGATTTTGTTTGGGAATTGTTTAAGAATCTCCCCGGTTTTCAGACATTTTCGAAAATTTAAACAAAAATCAATTATCGACGATAATTAATCCCAATTTACATTTCAATAATGAATGTATCTGCAATTGTAATGAATATTTAAAATTAATCTTTGGATGTTTAAGGTCATTGCTAATGCCAATATAGAAGCTTTCAATTATCGCATGCAAGCCAAAAGGCAAAAATATTAGAAAAATATATTTTTCACTATAAGACAGTTAGTTTAGATATTTGGATAGCTACTTTCTGTAAAGTTTTGATGTCAGTCAATTCTCTGTTTTTAGCAGTAGCAACCAGGTGAAAGATGGAAAGTAGTAAACGAGAGAAAGTCATAATTAATGTGAGTGGACAGAGATTTCGAACATGGCGTAGTACTTTACGAAAGCATCCTGACACGTTGCTTGGCAACGACAACATGCTGACGTGTTTTTACGATGACAAAAGACAGGAGTATTTCTTGGACCGAGACCCAGAAGTGTTTCGTCATATTCTGAGATATTATCAAGTAGGTAAACTGCATATTTCACACGAAGACTGCCTGGAGCTTTTTTATGATGAGCTAAAGTTTTATGGAATACCAACTGATACCGTTCACGAGTGCTGTTGGGGTGATTGTTATGAAATGTCGCTAAAAATACTCAAATATGGGAAGAAAACTGGCAGAAAACAAGGTTCGACCTGGGGAAAAGTACGAGGAAATCAGTTTCGTAGAATTCGCAAAACAATACATAATTTCTTGGAACAACGCCAGGATTCATTCTGGGAAAGGTTATTCCAGTACGTGGTTGGCGTTTTTATTTTTCTTAGTATCGTCTGCGCTACTGTTGCCACGATACGCTGCGAGGAAGATACGAAAACCTGGGAACAATGTCATCACAGATTTTTTGAGATTTCAGACATCATATTTATGTGCGTCTTTTCATTCGAGTACGCATTACGTCTTTTCTCGACTCCGTGTCTCAGATTATTTTTTAAAAATAAATTTAACCTTTTTGATTTGGCTGCGATATCTCCATTTTACATTGATCTCGCGAGAAGGTGGTTTACTAACGATAACGTGATTATAGAAACAGACATCTGGGACGTGTTTCGTGTGCTGCGTGGCATACGTATTCTAAAACTCGCGAGACATTCCTTATTCATGCAAAAATTTGGACGACGTTTAAAGAAAGCGTTCACTGATTTGGGCTTCCTCTATTTTGCCTTCGTTTTGGCCAATATTTTCTTCGCAAGCTGTCTGTATACAGTTGAAGTCCTTCAAGGAAAGAATACATACCAGAGCATACCGGACACAATGTGGTTTACAGTGGTAACAATGATGACGTTAGGGTAAGTGGGGATAAAAGTGCGTGACGTTTTCATCACGACACCGGGATCACGGGTGTTGTTTTTGGCCATTTTTGGCCATCAAAGCATGCGTTTTAGACGCAAGATCCCGGATGAATATTGAAATCGTTTATTTGATTGGTTTAGTTTAGTTATCACAAAGTGTAGAAAGAAATTCTTTATCTAAATGAGAACTTTGGTTGCCGAATTGCGTGCTTAACGATTATTATTCAAAACAAAATACATCAGAGAATCACGTGCGTTAAACCTCATGAATTGCAGTGTCTTTCATTAAATGAAGCGTAGACTCATATTCTTCCATTCTTCTCAGAGATGCCATAATAAGCCTCCTTCTTTGGAATTTTTTCTTTTATACTTTTTGCTCAATTTTAAACATCTACACAACTTTACAGGAATGGAAGCCAAACTCTATATATTGCATAGTTTATTCATACTTTTCCACCTTATTTTACCATGCAGGTATGGCGATTCACTTCCAAAAACAATCATGGGAAGGATCATGGCAGCTTTTTACTGTTTATTTGGAATAATTATTCTTGCTTTGCCTGTTCCAATATTACAAGACGTTGGATCTTGATCAACATTTCGTAAAAGACGGTAATATTTAATTAGAGCGCCCTAATTCAACGGCTTTATTATTTCAGTTAAAGCTTTGATATTTCGTAAGCACAAAAATACAAAATAAAAACAAAAAGTTATTGACAACACGACATACTCGTTTTGACAACCAGAATTGAGTGGAATAAATAAAAATACTCCAAAAGTCGAAACGTTAAAATATATCATAGATGTTGACATTAATTTTTGCGGTCACTCCGTTGTTAACACAATTAATTAACATGGCGCCTTGTCGTATTTGTGTTTAAAATTATGAATGCCAAATTATATCGATTGAATTATAAAATGTTGTTCAGGCATAGATTTCGAGTCTAACGCCTGTATTCAAAAAGCTCACTCACACTCATACTCATCGAGTGTGACATATAAATTTCGTTAATGCTGATCAATGAGAAAGTTTTTTCTGAATAGATGGTAAGATATAGCGTAAATCACTGAAAATCAAGCCCCTATTCGGCTGGAAATACCGCTATTGAAACGTTATGAGAAGATTAAGATCTCCCACTCAATGAGTTTGAGTGTGAGTGAGCTTTTAGAATACAGGCGTAAAAGTCTAACGCCTGTATTCTAAAAGCTCACTCAAACTCAAACTCATTGAGTGGGAGATCTTAATCTTCTCATAACGTTTCAATGGCGGTATTTCGAGCCGAATAGGGGCTTGATTTTCAGTGATTTACCTTAAATCTTTCCATCTATTCAGAAAAAACTTTCTCATTGATCAGCATTAACAAAATTTATATGTCACTCTCGATGAGTGTGAGTGAGCTTTTTGAATACAGGCGTAAGAGACGAGGCATTTTGTGTCTGAGAGCACTCAATATAAGATGCGATCGAACAGGACACAGGTTGAGACTGTAAATTTTCAACATTATTTGATAAAATTTCATAAATTTTCGACTTTAATTTAAGTCATCTTCAGACAGAATGAATTTACAGTCCCAAATTGCGTCTTGTTTGAATCACTGTATAGAAGGCATTAGCTATACCGGCAATAATTGTTGACGAACTTAATTATAATACAAAGCGAAAAGATGCCACCGCTCTCCACATAACGAAAAGCCGAATATACCAGAGCCCTTTGTATTTAAATTATAAACTGAACTTCTTTAACTTGGCCGCACACTTTTCCGGAGGACGGTTGTATAAAACTTTTTAACGACATTCTGCATAGTTAAATCCTAGTTAACTCTGAAATACACAACTCTGATTGGCCAATTCTGTCCTTAACTACAGTTAAAAGTTAACTAGAATGATTATAGCCCAGTGCCAGTGGCAGTGTTAACCTATATACGTCGCCTTATAATAGGCACAAATTAAACTTTAAACTGAATTCACAGTTCTCATAACTTTTGAACAAAAAAGAATATGTGTAAATCTGAATAGAAACTTCTATTTAATTGTTTTGTCTTAAAATGCAAACAGGCTGGTTGTTTTAGATTAGAAAGAACTGAATTAGTTCTAAACTTGTATACAAACACTCTTAGAAGAAGAACAGGCAGTACAGCAACTGAAAATTTTCGCAATGAGACTAGAAAAGAAAGTGTCACGTTAGAAAATTGTGAAAAATGAAAGCACGCGTTCTTACACGATAGTAAAGTAGTAATTCAAGACGCTTGCTAGAACGACGAACGACGGTAGATATATGCGGTAACTTAATTATTCATACTAAAGCAGCGCTTGCTTGCTTCTAATTAAAAATTAACGTAGTTAACCAGTATACTTGCTTATACACGCAATTTAATAACTACTTCGATTCTTCGAGATAATTGTTGGATGAATAGACATTATTAATGCCTTGGAGTACACCTGGCTATGATATTTTGGAATGTAACGTGTATTTGAGTCTACCAACATGGATATCACACGCTATTTCAATCAGATTTGGATAGAAATGAAACTCTGAGTTTTGTATACAACGTCGTCTCAACACCTGTTTGAGTGCTGTATAATAATAAATATATTGGAGTATACAAAAGCTTTTAGAAAATTTTTGTCGGATTTCATCTCGTGTAATGGTTCATTATCCTTATGCCTACAAGCCCACGTTTGACAGAAAACGATACGGGCAATAGACGCGTTCGTATCACGTTCAACGTAAGCGGAAGGCGCTTCCAGACATGGCGTAGTACACTAGAACGGTACCCGGACACGCTGCTAGGAGGCGAGATGATGCAGCGATTTCATAATTCTGAAACAGGAGAATATATTTTGAACCGTGATCCGCTGATATTTAAATATGTTCTGAACTTCTATCGAACTGGCAAGCTGCATTGTTTCTGGGGCTATTGCCATCATGAATTTTTGGAAGAACTGAATTTTTATGGCATCCCAATCGAGCTTGTTAATAGTTGTTGTGAAGATTTTCTAAAACGAGAGAAAACAGCACCTCAGCTTAAAAGTTCTTCGGAAATAGCTCAATCTGCTGAGCTGTACTTGGAGGGCTCTAGCGGAACTTTACGCGAAAAACTCTGGTATTTATTTGAGTATCCCCAGCACAGTATACTAGGAAGAATTATTTTATACGTTGTCGGACTTTTTATATTGGCCAGTGTTGTTGGGACAGTCACAGAAACGGTGCCATGTCCCGACATTGCGTGTGGTTTGAAATACAAATGGGAATTTTTTACGCTGGAAGGAGTTTGTGTCGGAGCATTCACACTTGAGTTTGTAGCGAGATTGTGGTCTGCGCCATCGCGAAGCATTTTCATGAAGGAACTTCTTAATATTATTGATTTGGTAGCAATAATTCCTTTCTATGTAACAGTGACGTTTCTACTTGCACTAGACGGAGGAGGAGGTGGGAGTTTGAAGTTGCTTGCAGCTTTAAAGGTTTTGAGAGTCGTGAGAGTTTTTAAACTTGCTAGACATTCAGCAAAGTTAAGAGAGTTAGGAATGACTATAAAGAACGCTGCGCCAGATTTAGCCTTTCTATCGTTCGCTCTATTCATGGCGGTCCTACTCTTTGCAAGCGTTATTTACTTTGCTGAAAATGGAAATGATTCTCCCACGTTCAGTAGTATAGTGGACGCAATGTGGTATACTGGAGTGACAATCATAACGCTCGGGTAAGTCTTTTAGTTTTTTTATTGAATTTTCAAACTCTCCTGAGAAAGATGAAACTATGCAGGAAATATTGTTGTGTATTGATATAAGTTATATATGTATAAACTGCGGAAACGTATCTTTATATTATATACAATTTAGCTATAGCTCTATGTTCAACGTAATTTTGTTATTGTTTCAGATACGGAGATGTAGTTCCGGTGACAGTATTTGGCAAGATATTGGGTAGTATGTGCTGTGTGTTTGGACTGTTTGTCGTGTCTTTGGTTGTCCCAGTTATCCAGGAGAAAGAGAAGACGTGAAAAAACAGTATTTCTAGCAGAGAAATGGTTTTAAAAACAGTCAGATCACAAGGTACAGTGTCGTGGTAGATGGTAATACACTGGTTGAACCCAACAAGTTTGTGGTGTATTTTTGAAGACAAGTTTTGTTGGAAATACTTTAATGCTCTTGTGCTCCTGGCTTGGACTTTCGGGAGATGGTTTCTAGTACAGGAACTACATATTATTTCTGGATGGACCGGACAGGCAGATAATAGAAATAGCAAAGTTCGCAGCTTAAATCTCAGCCTCGTGCTGGGAATGACCGCAGGCCAAATTTAGAGGATATTTGTCATGGATCGCATTAAAGAAAGGTGACCATAATTCATATTGGTTCTCGTTATTTTAAATGAGCCAATGGATAATTAAACATTAAATATGACAGAAATGTACATATATGCTTATATTTTTCATATGATTTTCTCAAAATATGAAAATATACAGTTTCATCGATATACGATATTTTGTATTTGTTATTTAGTTCCCGTTTTTTTGAAACATATCCAATTTTGTAGTATTGGTAGAATGGTTAGAGGTAGGGATGTGACGCCGGCAAGGGGGGGAAGAGAGAGACAGAAAGGTGAGATGTAATCCCCCCCGTAATTTCCTGGATTCGTTTTCGGATTTGTCCAAATTAAGTAACCTGGGGGAGGCTAACAATTTACAAAAGTAGTAAGGGTACTAAAGTTAGAGAGTAAAAATTCTAACCAGACTTATTCCAGACTTTCCGAGAAATTTCGGCCTTAAAAGAAAGATTTTCCTGAGGTTATGGTGAAGATTATAAGACGGAAGTTATTAGTTGTTGATAATGATGAAGCTGGTTGTTAAACGACGTTGAATTTCAATGTTATTCGAATACTTCTAGACAACAAAGTCTGTAAACGATAATGAAATCTACGATTCCTCTAAACGACTTTCGACACATGATGATCGCACGGGGCCGTCCGCTGTTTTCGTTCTTGCTCGTAGAGTAGCGACTAACACAGGATTCCGGCGACAACAAAACGATGGACAGGAATCTGTAGTTGTTCTGAATACTGCGTATCGCAATGTATCGTCTGTTATATTAGCTGCAGCAATATCACTTGAGCCGATTTTAGTTTGTTCCTCTTTTGAAGCTGTCTTTACAGAAAGAGATTCCATATTATCGACGGCGGCAGAGTCTGAGGTATCTCCATGTTTTTCAGCCAACTTTACCAAAGCATTTGATGAAAAATAAACCTGATTTGGCCGCTTACCATCTGAATGCTCGAGCGAACAAACCGTAGACCATTGTTCATTAAAATTTTGCCAGCGGTTTGGATTATTTTGTTCTGTTTTGTTATCGCGATGTTCTTTATTTTCATGATCTAGATCTCTTGGTTCACCTTCTGCCAACGTGAATACAGATTTTATGCGAAATGGAAGTTCTTCGGACATGACGATAGTTCGTCAAATAAATCTTGAATTCTCAACACAGTTTTAACAATAAAGACGAATAATATATACGCAATTCTGTCATTTGATGCACAAATAAACTCAAATGAATGTATCATATTACATCAACTAATATATGCATCATTTTTCGTTTGAAATTCAAAACGCTATTTCACATCAAGTAAAAAAAATTGTATACAAAATATCGTTAGAACGAGGTTAAACGGCTGGATGAGCTTCTTTAAAAGAGAAAATCACAGTATTTTAAAATCAGGAAAACGCAGATTATATTTCTTCACCGCCTTTGAACCAGAATTGCTCAGGTGAAGCAGTATAATGACCTTTGGTGTCATGTTTCTCGATAATTCTCCTTCTCCTATGGCTGAGGCTTCTCCACACTCATTGAGCGCAGAGATTATGATTAAAACGACAGAGATATACTGTCAAAACTATTAGTCGAAAATAGCACGCACTAAATGGTGGGAAAAATGAAGTGAAATATAATTGAGTTTTATTTGAAACATCGAGATTCTTGTTTAGATAAGTAAAAGACAAAACTCGTTTAGTCGTTTTAAAACGTTTTAAAAAGTTTGTTTAATATTGATGCCAACTAGAAACATCGCGAACTTTTGCAGCTTTGGGGATAAGGTAAATTTGTGGGGAAACGTCCCAAATTTACCTGAATTTTTGCGGCTTCATTAGACTGGATTCGCGTGAGATTAAAGTTCCAATCTGTTTGATATTGACAAGTTTTACTGAAGATTGAATTTCGCATTTGACGCAATCAGATGACCTCATGATTGACCTCTACGATCAGTCTAACTTATAATCGAACTGTTTGGAGGAAAGCGAACAAACGTTTTAAAGTGAATTCTTCTCATAACAGGGCCATCTTAAAAGTTTAAATGACAATTTTTATCAGGCATGGAGACTCGAAAACCGAATTAAAACAAAATGCGACACGGGGTACATGCAACAATATGGTCTACGATGAAAACCAGCAAAAAGAACAAATTTGGACTTTGGAGTGTCAACATGGCGCCAGTTTAGTTTTTCAGCTAGAATCTATTTAAAATGTAATCCACACCTTTTCTTAGTGTCTGGTACTACCGATTATCAGATATTCCTTTCCCATTTAATAATTTTTTCACTTCACATTATTACTGCTCGATCTGTTAGGCAAGATTTTAATCCATTTCGATAATACGATGGCATTTTTTTGTCATACCAATGCTATTTTTAAGATTATTTCCGTTGAAAGGTTTTTTAAATCTTAAGAAGAGACAGGCCATCGGGCAAGTATCCAGTTTGATATTATCCACACAGCTTTCGCAAGGGCAATTTGATTAGGAAATACCAGGGGCAAATAGGATGTAGTATATATATTTGCTGGAAAAAAACAACACAAAAAATCAGCGAAACATTCAACTAGGTTCAACTATTTTCGCGTCTTGTTCATTGCCAATGTGAATACAATATATTGAATACAATGAAACTGTAATTTGCACGTAACTCTATATAATGACGAAGGATCCCTTTAGCAGGGCCATACTTGGAACGAGTATGCGTGCATGCTGTCCCAGAGTCTACATTTTCTCGCCATAAGATCGTGGAATCTGGGCACGAGATTGCAACAGTTAATTCGTTGTCCTCTAAAAACTGATGGAAATTTGAGCAGTTTTTGATAATCATACGAGGAGACCTGGTGAATTCAAACATAACTGCATGCTAAGGCATATGTGGAACGGGTTTTTCCAAATAATCATGAGTTGTTAGGATCTAGAATTCAAACGGTTTTTAAATTAATGGAAAGTGGTAATTGAATAAATTACTTGGAACTTTCTGTAGTCCGGGCACAGAATACCTAACAGAAGTGGAACTCTATACTATTTTTTCGTAAGTGTGATTCGTCATGATTCGTCACTTAGCAAGTGCATTTTTTTGAGACTGTCACCCCCCTGCCAGCGTCTAAAATCAGGCCATTTTTAGTACTGGCAGGGGGGTGACTACCTCAAAAAAATGCACTTGCTAAGTGACGAATCATGACGAATCACACTTACGAAAAAAGTACAGGAGTTCCACTTCTGTTAGGTATTCTGTGGTCCGGGTGACTGTTTAATAATGAATAATTCTTAATTACCTAATTAGAAGTGGTTTCGACAGTTAAAATCTTTAAAGCATATCTCTCATACAGTGGAAGATTATTTACCGCTTATACAAAAAAAAAACATCCAGACAAGGCATAAAATATATAGTAAAAATATATTAACTTTCTTTATAAATAACAAAACCAAATCTTTAACATATCAGAAAATATAATGAATATAACTATGTATTTGTAATAGATACTCTATATCTAAATTATAAAGATACGATGACAAATGACTAAATCTTTGAAACTTTTACCTCATTCGAAACAAGGTGATCAACAAGGAAATGTTAACAACAATATCATTTCACTTGAAATGATGGACAATTACCAATGAAATGACCTGTTCACAACATCTGATCTGCTGGATTTGCAGTATCGTGCAAAATATCATAGAAGTACAAAAAGATAAGAAAAACGCGATGGTGGAGAAGTTAACGAGAGAAGAAATCTCCACACACAACATCCTTCGAGAAACGATGAAAAGGTTTTAATGATTCTCTCGTAGTTTCTTTAGCATAGCTTCCTGTTCTTCTAAACGTTGTTTTAACTGTATAACCTTTGCGTCACGTGCTGTTAAATACTCGCCTTTACCAGTTTCACCAGACACATTACTAGAAACTGGGATATAGATCGTTGTACTACCACGAGAATCATTAGAATATATAGTTTGATTCTCAGATTTTGTTGTGGAATTCGCCAGAAAATTCCCAGAAACATTTAGATCATACATTTTCGTATTGGTTGCAGGAACATCTTGCAGAATTCTGTTTCTTCCAAATCCGTCTAAAATGGCAGAACAACCCGTCTCTGTTCTGTATTTCTTACCAGAAGTACAATCATTATTGTTTGAAAATGATTTCAATCTATTCTGAATGTAAACGGTGGATGTTGTATCAAAATGCACGCCTGCCGTTCCGGTCGTTTGGTTTTGAGTTGTTTCTTGCATTTTGTCTGGGATGATTGGTGTTTCTAAGATCAATGGCGAAACATTATTAGCGTGATAAGACGCTTTGTTGCCCTCAGCAGTCAGCGGCTTCAGTTTAAATCGTGTGTAAATTCCATTACTCTCCGACACAGTGTTTCCTTTGCCAACCGAGTAAGTCTCGTTCAGTTGTGGCGCTGGTTCGCTATTGTTTACATAATTTTGATATCTTTGATTTGGAAATTGAGTGTTTGTTGGAGCTTGTACGTCATAAAGGCTTTGATTTGATGTTTGTTTTTCTAGCGGCAAAACTCCATTAGCAATCTGTGTCGAATTATGCGGGACATGATTATAGACGTAATTTTGCCGATTAACATTTGAGACTGGATTTGACCAGTATTCGTAAGGAGGATTACCTTGTTGAGCGTAATAATTAGAATATCCTTGTAAATTAACCGGTTGAACTTGTTTAGGGAAATACTCTTGAGGAGTATAAACCTGTTGCACTGGATTATTCATGTACACTTGGGAGTTGACCGACTGTACTGTTTTTGGTACTGTTTTGTAAACCTGCTGAATATGAACTGGTGATGAATAACCTTGTTGGACTGGTTTTGACTGATGGTATTCTTGTGAAGTATAATAAACCTGTTTTACAGGTTTATCAAAGAATTCCTGTGAGGAAACTTGTTGAACTGGTTTAGAAAAGTTCTCCTGGTAATTATAATAAACTTGTTGTACTGGTTTATTTGACTGTCCTTGGAAATTTTGAAAGTTGTGTTGTACTTGTTTATAACGGTTATCTCGCCATGGCTGTTGAAAAGCAGCTTGATTGAGAAAATCATTACGAAACCGAGGATTCTGACTTGGAACTGAACGAGCATTGAATGCTTCAAGTTGGGCCAAGGGTGGGGAACACGGCGGTGTACAGAGAACGCTGTTTATTTGTTTTGTGTTTGCAATAAACTGTTGAGTAGGATTCTTTGATAACGAGAATACATTAAGAATCACAGGCATGTTATCATTTTGAACTTCATTTCCGAATTTAGAAACGTTTCTTTCTCGTAAATTAGTGTTCAAGGACATTTCCAAGGCAGGTGACTGAAGCTTTACACAACTTGACGGTTCTTTTAGGCTTTCAACAGGCACTTCATTTTGATTCCTTGAAATATGAGGTGGGTTCCTCAACAGAGGTTCCTTCAAATATTCTCCATCTTTTGCAGGAACATTTTTGGTTTCTTCAGTTGAGGTCACGGATATTTTACTACCATTCATGCGCTCGTTTGAACTCCCTAAATTTTCATCATATTCTTCTCTTGAACTGTTCGATGACCCATTTTTAGAATGAATCGAAGGTTGTTCTAATTGATTCGAAGGTTCTTTAGAGTCGCTTATTTGTTCTTTCTTAACACTTACTTCTTCTTTTAAATTTTCAGAATGTTCTTTACGAAAATCAGCGATATTCCATTTCCATTCAGAGACATCACTTGCATCACCGCAGCTTGGTTCTTTCTCGGGATCTGATTTATTGCGTTTTGCTGGAGGTTCGTCGCTGGCGTCAGGGAATGCTGTTGCTGCCTCCTCCGCTGGTCGTATTCGCCTAAAATTTTGGACGATTAGCATTATTTACAAGTCGCATGCAATGGCGTAGTCAGACAAACGATTTGGTGCTGTTTATGCAAATTACTAGTTATTATAATTGCTCTTCACTGGACACACTATGAACACAAACTTATTGTCATAGCGAGGCCGGTTTTACTATGGTGGTATGCATATGAAATGAACAAAAGCTAATGTTCTTCTTAGCACATTACACGCCATTAAAGGACTCAAAGCGAAGACAAAAATCTTCATCATTGACGTCAAGCGTTCATCTTATCATAGTTCATCTTGCTCTCAACCACTTTGACAGATAGGCAAGAAGATTACTATTTCATTTTTGTTTGGCTAGAGTTTAAAAAAAGGCTAAAACCGATTTTTCATTTCTGAATTTATTTGCGCAAACTGATAAAATTAAGTAGGAAGCGATTTAACTTTTTCGCAGCGAATTTTTTTCTCATACCAATCTTATCGCTGGATTTTAGCTTTTGCTTCGCTCCGTGTGAATAAATTCGCTTTTTTAACTTGTGGCATCCAATTAATGTTATGCATTTAACAATAACAACAGAGATAAACGCAAAATCACATATGAAAAGTCGCATCATATATATACACAACATCACCATTTCTTGTTAAAACCTGGGGGCTGCTGTACGAAAGCCGGATTCTCTTTAATAATTGTTGGTTCCAAAGCTGCTTTTCAAGCATTTTAGAACGGTTGAAAAAATCACAATCTGGTGAATAGCGTTATCCGGCATTCATACAACCGGCCCCTGACCCTTGAGACACAATAGTCAATGTATCAATCAACCAATGAAACTTTAATAAACCAATCAAGCATTTCATTTCATAAAAAATACATTATTTTAACCCGGTAACCATTCAGAGCAGTGCTCTCAAATCGAGTCATGTTAGAAGTTTACGATATGAAATAAACTAGTCAGAAAGGAAGCCCTGGTCCAAGCCGGTCACTTGATGAAAAGGTTTTTTAGGGTAATATTGCTAGGGGCAGGTGTTGAATTATGGGTTCTTTAATTAAGAGAGCATTTAACAGAAACAATGATTCCACATGTGATCGATTATGCATGGGGTATAGGATTTAAATAACGTAGCGAAACTAATCACACATCAGCAACGATTATCCAACCATCGTTCAACTGTTCAACCAAGGGACCGGCTTAGACTAGGGACACTTAGGCCAGGGACAATTAGACCAGGGACAATTAGACCAGGGACAGTTAGACCAGGGACAATTAGACCAGGTCCAATTAGACCAGGGACAATTAGACCAGGGACAGTGAGACCAGGGACAATTAGACCAGGGCTTCATATCTTCATAAAAATGCTATGGAAGGGAGGTCGATAAACCTTAATATTAAATTTGAAAATAAACTACCAAATGTTTAAAAGACTGTTGGGGGTTTGAAATTTTGCATGCAGTGATGAAAATACACCCACGAACCTAGGATACTTGCCCTGGGGCTCTGGGAAGTATGGACATACATACATACATATTTCCCAACAGGTGCCAAACCTCGGTGTTGTTAAATCATAAATCAATTCATTGTACAAAGAATAAGCAGTGAATACAGAGTCAAAGATTTGTTTGGGCACTTCAAAATGATAGCGGTGGTAGATAATAATGTTATACCGTTGTAGCGACGATTATCGTAGTTTCTTAAGGCATAAATTGAGTACAGGTTTTCAAGCGATTATTTATATCAATATAATAATCTGTCCCGGTGAGTTTCCTGGCAAGCTGATGTGATGACAGGCATTCTTTCTCACCAGGACGGAGTCATATAACCGTGCTATAAATCATGAAAATATTTGCGTAGGTGGATGAAGTGTGGAAACGGTCGAAGAAGGCCGAAATATATTTATTATTTATTATATATTATTTTATATTATTTTGTATAATAATTTTATTTATATCTCTTCATATATCCTAGCTGTAGCGGCAGTTTAGAAACCCGAAATGCAACTCTTCAAGTTAGAATATTGCTCTCAGTGATATAGTCCTACAATTTATAATTTTAAAAGTATTTTTAAGCATTACAAGCTCTTCTTGACCTGCGCAATATGCGCCTTCACGCCGTCACGCCCGAACGAGCACTTTTTTAAAAGCTACTTCACCTGCGCAGGCGAAGTGCCAGCGAAGTGCACACGACTAATGAAATTACGGCTGTGATAAAAGCTTCAAAACATAATCTCCGCTGGGCAGAATTTTCCGCGCATAACGGAATTTTAGTTCCTGTGAGCTCTCAAGAAAAACAAACAGGAAAATACAAAGAAAAATTACGGCTGAAACGTATGTAAAGGTTGAAACATGACTTTTTCTCTTGCGCTATCAAAGGAATTTTTTGGGGGGAGGGCTCTCTGATGAATGAAATCATCTGGAATAAAATGGTCAAACAAAAAGAATGGTTGGCCTCAGGCATGCATCGCTGGTGTGAGACAGACCTGACCTGAGGCATGACGATACACAGGGTGCGATTCGACAATCAAATTAATCTTTACAGAGATTTTTAGGATTTTTAGTTCATTTACGATAAGTCGGGCAATTTACGGTTTTAATTTATATCCACATTACCGATTTAGTAGATATACGCTTTTTCTACTGGATAAAAACACAAAAACACTATTTTGGAGTATACCATGCATCAAGCAAGCATCAAATGGAAATCTATCGCAAAGACAGTTACTTATGCAGAATACACACAGATAATACACAGATAAGACATAGATAATACATAGGATAATACACAGTCAATATGGACAATATTGTTTAACTTTGTTACAACATTCTAAGATATCGAATTTTACGTAGTTCGTGCATTCAAATTTTACCGCCACATTGCGTATGCGAGGTCCCGGTGGTGGACGAGAAAGTGGCAACCTACCTGGGTATATTTTGCTTGCGTTTCATGATTTACGAGTCGACCATATTTGGCGGGACAGACAACAACGTCCGATTATTTCAACCTTCCGAATGGGTTCCGATTTCTTTTACAATCACTCGCGCAAGAGTTTAAATATTTGTTGTTACTAAATAACGAAAAATACATTCAGTAATTACCGTTGTTTACATCGACAGAACAGTACCATGCGACAAGAGTTTACTGGTAAACAGATTGCACTTTCTCGAACGGTTGAATTCGGCCGAGGTAATATCTTTCACAGCGTGAAATCCAAACCTTTACAATTCAATTTAATTAATATCAACCCTTTTGACCGTCTATTGTTACACTCCACTTTAGCTAGGGACTAAACACGCTGATTTATAAACAAATCAATGTATGTGTCCTTACATTCCTTTCCGTCCGTACTCATCGTTTCTCGCTGGTTTAGAGAAGCGAAACTACAATTTGTGTAAACGGTCGAGATACAAAAACCGCGCCATATCTTCTTTAATCTAAACACCTCTGTGCTTATCAATCAATGCATATTTGCATAACTTTGATAAGGAACTCCATTTATGGGCAAAGAATGAAGGCATACTCTGTCGTTGATTGAATATGTCACAATGGGGTTATAATTACATTAAATGTGTCAAAGTGCGATTGGTTGAATGCGAAACGCATTTTTTTTATGCGACCGCCTTTGTTATTTATTAAACAGCGGTTTTCATTATGACTATTCAATTGAAAAGTGTCTTACACACTAACACACATTATTTATTGTACTATTGTTAGTTTTTTTTCAGCGATGTTCTTGGATAGCTGGTATTCCCTGGTAATTATGTATCGTCCCCTGATATAGCTACAGAATACACTATTAGATAGCAAAGATTCAGAGAAATATTTTACCGGAAATCTTTCAGACATATTCTCCTCCACTCACAGTATGCGGTCGAAGTTATGAAAGAACTAAATGAAAAACATATGACCGACACGAACATCGTGGTTCCCCGACCTCAGCACAGCTGCGTACTAACCGGGGAGGAAAATTGTTGGTGTATAAATTTGAGCGGTTGATTGTTTTTTTAACAAAAGTAGTTGGTGATTTTAAAATTTATTTTAACCAGTGGAGCATATGCAATAAAGTGATAAATTTACATATCAGAGAGCAGTTCAGGGACGTGGCCAGGGGGGGAGTCGTGGGAGCTGCGGTTCTTCCCCCCCCCCCCTTTGAAGAATTTATTATTGCTAATATATACCTACTTCGAGAATGAATTAATTTAATTAAGAAGAATCTACTCAGTCTTTCAAGTTTGCTTGTTTTATTCAGTCCGGGCTGAAACTCAGTGTTGTTGCCATGTAATCGTAAAACAATTCGACCCGGCCAGTAAAAATCGCCTTGACAAAGCTTTTGTATTTTTAAAGCGCTTGAAGAATCGAAATAGGTCTACTACCAGCCTTTACAAACTCAGACAGAGCTGAAATTTCAACCTGGTTGAAACTGGCTGAAATTTCAACCTGGTTCATGCACGGGTTCATAGAAAGATGTTTTGCATCTTTGCACATTGCTTGTGAAATTAAAACTTGAAATCCGTCTCATTTAAGGTGGTTCTAAATTTAAAACGATAATGTTGTGACGTAATTACCGAAAAGGTCTATTGCGTTGAATGGGGCGTGCGCTTCTGAAAAATTCCGGACACGAAAACATTAGCAAAATGCAATGAGTGAGTCAGTTCTGGTATAATGTCTATTCTACGACGTAGGCAAGTCTATTCTGTGCTAACACTGCCACAAGGGCTTCAATCCATACTATATGGATACGAATCAGGTATTCGTCAACCAACCATAGCACCAACTCCAAAATCTGGGGGTCGCAGCTCTCGGAAGCTTTCGTCCAATTGGATAATGCTTTTATTCTATGCTTTCTAAAGAACCAAGCTATGCTATTGGTTGAAACAGAAATGTATTGTAAAGTTCAGCCAATGGAAATCATTCTTGCGAGGAGCTGCGACACTACCCAAATCTGGGATAGTTGTGCCCCCCCCAGTCATCTTCAGGATTGACGCTCTTGCGTTTATTTATAGAACAATTATTAGAATATACATGGTTTAGAGACTACAATACAACTCATTAACTATGTTGAGGTAGATTTATGCAAAAAATTGTTCCTTATTCGTCACGTGTCTATTGTATTTTGAACAAATAAACTAAATAGTAAGGTCTGAATTAACATGTTGTTCAAGTCACGGTTGAGGAGCAAAGCCAAGCCATTGCTATTGGTTAGTTGGGCAAAAATACAATAGACATGTGACGAGAAAGGGACCATTTTTTTGCATAAACCTGGACAATAACATAGATAATGAGTTGTATTGTACTTCCATCTAGTCTCCAAACCATGTATATCCTAATAACTGTGTTTATAGTTATAGCAAAAATGGGAAAGACGACTTGAAATCTTAAAAAGATCCGTTGTAAGGCTCAAATGCAATTCAGTTTGCAGTGCACGGAAGTAAGTGTTTCCTTGAGAGATATTCACCTTGTGTCTGCGAAAACTTTTCGCTCTCATGAAAACTGTGACTGTGGTAAAACATATCATTATTTTCTATTACAGATCACATTAAAATACTCACGAATAAAAATAATAACTATTCACGACAAGTGACAGGAAACGAAATATAATATAAAACTGTTTAAAACTGTCCTTGAACCTTTTGTAAATATTTACTAACCTTTCAAAATCAGAGAAAGTAATTATAATTCATTGAAGACACTTGAGATCATTTGAGATTTGAGGTTTTAACACAACAGAAGAGGAAAATCATTAAAAATACTGAAAAAACTTTTTCAAAAAATTTAAATATCAGATCTTTTAGAAAAATTTTTGCTAAAGGACTGGGCACTATAATTAAATCCACTGAGCTCTATTTTAAAATTAAGTCGTAGTTGATGAAGAAAAATAATGAAAAAAAGCGAACATTATCAGCGGCATCATTTCTAAACACGTCATTTAAAATTTAATTATATATGATGATTAAACGGAGTAGAAAATGAAAATTTAAACAATTTGAAGCCTTTTGAAAACATAATAAATGACAAATTTCCCATGTATATTTAATTCATTCACAAGATTTATTAAATGTTGACATATCAATGTTTGGTCTAACATCCAAAATTGCTTATAATTATGACTGTTTTGACAAGACTGTTTTGGTTGTTTTGCTCTTCTACAAGGTTTGGTTGTTTTGCTCTTCTTTGGCAAGGAAAAGTAGGAAGTATCGCCGTAAAAGTTGTGGGGAAAACTAAAAATCTTTGTAAAATATAAATCTAAAATAGCCCCCACTTAGTATTGCTTCTTCTCTCTGTCTCGGCAATTATTTCCGACTTCGTATATCATGTCTTCAGATCATGTCAATATCGGCTTGAGTGCACGGCGGAAAATGTCTAAATCTCTCATCTCTGAGACGATTTTAGACTCTAATGTCGTAATGAAAATCTGATAAAATTCAAAAAGAGCATTATAGTCGCAAATGTGCATTCCCCCCACCCAATCAGGTAGAATTGTCGTCCCCATCTTCCCACTTGTCAGTTGTAAATATGTCAATGGAAAGCTCGCTCAGCCTTCAGACTGACACCTTCCTAAAAGCACGAATGCGGGTAAATCAAAAAAGCGCTGCAATCATTATCAATGCTGATGAATAGTAATCCGTCCTGAGACTAGCGATATCTATGTTTTCGGAACACATGCTTGTAATACACACATTACGTAATACGCTGCGTGTAAGTCTAAAAATACGTCACCCACAAGATTAAGGAAAATTATAGTGATAAGGCGGCCAAGTGTTTCATTTCCCTTGAACTTTACTATCCGCTGAATTTCAAAGTTTGCTTTCCAGTCAATTCATAAATTTAGTTTTGATTAGTATTCATTAAAAAGTGTGGGAAATTTGCTGACGCGTTGTATGTTCATTAGTAAGTTTAATAAATTTCTTCTTCTGTTGCTGCAGGTCTAGTTTGTTAATACCTTCATATAAGATCTAACCGAAACTCTTCTACCACATTTTTACGCTTCAAGCTTAGATTACCTGAGTAAGAACAATTCAAATCTGTCTCATTCAGGTCATTAACACAAACCCCCTAAATCCGATAGAGTCACTGAAATTTGCATTTGTCTGTTTAGCTGTCAACAGCTATAATATTAAACGTAACGTTTATCATCTTAGACCAATGAAGCTGCGATTGAACAGCTGTGTTTTCTTCATTTCGTCATTACAGTGAGGGAGCGTTCATTTCATTCTGAGACCTCTTACAAAGACACCATCCATTCTTGGCAGAGCAGAATTCGAAGTTCAGTGGGAAATGCACGAAAATTTGACGTTATTTGATTAAAGATGGAAGCTTTTAGTCCAAATAGGACTTTGAATATAAAGAGTGATGAAGAATACAGTCACCCAACGATTTATAAAATCGTTTTTATCATTTTATCTGTCTTAATTGCGCTCAGCAATAGCACTGTACTACTTTTATATCATATCAATCCACATATACGTTCGACAAAGAATCTTCTTTTGGCTAGCTTGGCGCTATCTGACCTCGCAGCAGGAACAATAGTCATTCCTATCACACTGAGGTGTTTTGGAAATTCAGAATGGAGTATTTGTGTTGCTTCTTCAACGCTGTTTAGATTTCTAGCATTTTCAACCATACTTCACATTCTGGCGACTATTTTTGAGAAGTATATCAGCATTCTACAACCGTTTTGGGTCGTTGAAAAGAAACATATTCGTGTAACAAGCGGATGTATTTGGGCTATTTCGTCGTTCGTTGCTATTATCCCTTTGGTCTGGCTGCGGGAAGGCCATTCAAAAGATGCTGAGGTTGTTCGAAAGGAACTAGTCTATTTTCTTGTGACCTTCATTGGTTTCTTTTTTATACCTTTTATCCTGATTGTTTTCGCCCAAGTGCGGATGTTTAGTGCAATTCACCGCTCCTTCACAATGCTCGAAACCTCTCCTGTTGAGAGCTACAATCTGACATTTCAAGGAAGTCCATTGAGACATGATAATAACTTCAACGTGGAGCAAAGTTCTTATAGAACATCCTCCACACAACAGAATCGGAAGGTTTTGACTGCGTTTGCATTGATGCTAGGAACATTTACAGTGTGCTGGTTGACCTGGTATGTTGGAGTGTTTCTCTCATATGTTGACAAAGAGAAATTTCGTAAATTCTCAGCCAATTTAAAAGAAATGTTACAGATTATAGTATTTTTACCATCTCTCGTAAATCCGTTGTTGTATACGTATTACAAAAAAGATTTCCGTCAAGCTCTGCAAGCTCTTCTCAAGAGTGTATTAAAAGCACTGTGTCATTAAAGTATTTACAATTATCGTTAGATTTAAAAACTGCGATGAGAACAATTTTCATATAATTTATCGCTTAATTCTGTCGTGTGTGGCCTATTTTATAATACGGACTGGAAAATGACAACAACACACAGTGCATCTGTGCTTGCATATTGAAATAATTTGAGAGAGGTTATAAAGTTCACGTCATATCTTGCATTGCTCTTTTAGTAAAGTGCGACCTTTGAACAAACGATCAGAAAGCGAGGAATTGTATAGATAATGAGATTGCATGAGAAAAGCTGAATAAATAAAGATGCTCAGTATTGTATTGATAAATTAAATGTCTGTGGAATATATAGCTATATATACTGATATACAATAAAATAATTCGGTAGAAATAATATGAACACTTCTTCTGGGGATCTGATACAAACTACATATACGTAAACTCTCAGTGTTTAACTCTCATAATTTCAATACGACCCTTCAAACCTTTCTTGTATTCATGAAACAACATAAGCACGCAATTAACTGAACCTTGAGTGTTTTCATTTATATTACGTGAACGCGGAGATCTAGGAGATATCAGAATCAGTTAAATCACCTTGTTTTCTCCTCGTTTCTACATACAAAGATTATCAGTACTGCTAGAACTGCTGTACAGAAGACGGACATAGCGCTATCCACCGGGTAGTGACTTTTTCAACCGTTAAAGTTTTAAAAGCGGTATAAACATGGATCCAACAATTTAAAAGAGGAATTTTTCATTCAGGAATGCTAAGATTTAATCATGTTAATACCATCCGGTTAGTACGACCAATTTTAGAGCGACTTATGACTTATAGTTATCCTAGCTCCTATCAGTATATCCCACATGGGGCCGGTTGTTCAAAAGCCGGTTAGCTTAATCCTAGGTTAACTCAAATTTTTACATCAGTTTTTTTAATTGCTCGGTTATGCTGTTGAACATGTTTTCCCATAAATATTTTGTGTATAAATATAAAACTTATTTTGCAAAGCCTTGAAACGAACAGCAGTGCAGAACTATATAAACCAAAACAACTGAGTAAAATTTAACCGAGGGTCAGACGTAGCGCTAACCTATAGGCAGCTTTGCCTTTGAACAACCGGCCCATGCAAGATGTAATACTATTTGGCCTACAAGCTTGCGACAACTGCCCCATGCATGCATGCATGCATGCATGTAGTGTTTTTCCTAAAACCGTAACATGATTTGGTATTGAGGACTAAGGCCGTCGAATTACGGTCACCTGAGACCGCTTTCCCCGCTCTAGTCGTATTTTACCACTTGCCATGATATTGCGGTGTCAACATTATCAAGTTTCATTAGCCTATATTGCAAATTGCGATCTATAGACTATAGGATTTATAAAATACGAGGTCCATGATTTGTTAATGATACGAAGGATATTGAAGAAAAATATAAAATAAATTAATCTTAGCATTTATTTTATAAACCTTCTTGTTTTTCCTCCATTTCTGAAAAAACAATTGTCGGTGCAATTACCGTATTATAATTACCATAATATCGCAATTAAAATGTCACTGTGGTCTACCAAGCTTACTCTAAATCATGAATAATAAAACAGTACATTAAAAATTTGAGCGAACTGTATCAAGGATAGCGCTAACGATAAACTGATTTATCGAAAACCTACCATTGGCATTGAGGCATTTGAGTGACGGATTAAGTAGATATATTTACAATATTATCAAGACCAACAGGTTGCCTATATTTCAACAGCTGATATAAAAAAATAGGATTTAAAATGGGAAGTAAACTAACGTTTTTGGAAATTCTCTTTATTGCGAATACAATGATGATACTGGCTTTCTACTCAAATGCAGCAAATAATAAACGGTGAGAATATGTCAGTTAAAATGTTTTTATGATGATATATTGAAAAAATGCACGCTTGGATTTGGAAGAAAAAAATCAATAAGATTTTATAATACAATTTCTATGGAATTTACAATTTCTAGGGACTATCAGGTGGCCAATTTTTAGTATATTGTATAGCATAGAATGTAGTGCCTGAACTGGTTAAGAAGTTAAAGCATTGGTTAAATACTTGATTTACAGCACTTATACTGGATTTAAAGGTCAGACAAAAACAGAAAACGTTCAAAATTCAGCTGCACAACTAAATTATATACTGTTTATGTTTTGACAAAAAATCGTATATGAACCACACACATGAACGCTGTCCGTTCACATTATATTTTCTAAATATAACATACTAACAATACAGCAAATTTCCGATAATAAGCCATTTTCTTCAAATATTTTAATTACAATCATTTTGTATCAATAAAACCAACAAGGGGTAAGATTAATTCATTATCAGCCGCAATGCCTCATGCAATGCCGCTGGACCCCATGCAACATCGGCTCTTTTGTTATCAACAAAGCATATAGTCTTTATAGATTGTTGTCGTTGAGAATACATTAGTGTGAGATAGACAGATCGTGTCTATTATAAAACATCGCAGCCAGTGACTGATATATAAGCACAAACTATGTAGGAGGACAAGACTCACAAATAACTACCATGCAGTCAACCGGTTAACTATATAAAAACGTCGACACTATACTTCGGAGTATCGTTTACGCAACAAGCCTTGTGTTTAGCAATTAGCCTCCATCAACCCCCAATAGCCAGGCATCAACGTCCTAGTCACTATAGTAGTGACTACCAGTGTTACAACAATGTCTGCATGTTTGTTAATATAATAACTGACTGCAGCGTAACATGCATGCAGTCGAACGCCCAGGATCGCACGGTATCCCGATTTTAAGTCTCTCAAGGCTAATTTCCACTCCGGAAAACGAGCAGCGGATCGGATCGGATCGGTGCGCCGTCTGTTGAAATTTTTGGCTTATATTGATCCGAAAGCGTCCGAGACCGGATAAAAAAAAGTTCAAATAGTTTTAACTTTTTTTGAACCGATCCGAAATCACTTCATGGATCGGACCAGCTCGGAAAAAAATCCGATCCGCTGCTCGTTTTCCGGAGTGGAAATTAGCCTTCACGCATGTATTTCTTCTCTGGCAGGTTGTTCGAAATTAAACAGCGGTAAGTTCAAAATGGAAATTAATGCAGAACCGGCCCCGGATGTCATCCCGCGTGTACAATTTTTTTTCCAAGAACTGGGATCTTTTCTACGGCTTTGCATTTTAATTCCATTACATTGTTAGTGCATGGAAAACCAGCCTCGGCCTCGATCGTTTCCAGGCGCTTTTTCGTCACGAAAACCAACACAACGAAGAAAAAGCAAAACTGAAGCGCCTGCATGGGTTTGAGGTAGATCAGAACACATATATGCCTTCGTGCAAATTGATTTAGGCGTATTGAATCTTTTTCCTCTTTGAGACATGAGAATCTTTTTCCACCATGAGTACATCCATCTTTGAAAAGCCGTTGATTTTGACAGCAGATATCCCTCATGCATATATCACAAGGTCACATGGGCTATGGCCATTATACTCGATCAAGATATAGTCTTATAGAAAGTTATAGTCATTCATTTCGCTTGTGATTTGACAGAGCGCTGCCCAAGGAGGAGTCATGGAGGAAATGTCGAACCAAAGATTTGCTTGCATTTTTGCGAAAAGACTACGACAACCATGTTGCACCAGGTATTAAAAGGATAACTATACTGAACTACAGCTTTTGTCTGATTATATTCCAAAGAATCCAGAAATAAGAGCTCTTATATATCAGGGCTTGCGTTACTATTCGCTAGCTCTTTCACATCAATCAAAAGAAAATCGCAACGAAAAACGTAGCATAAAAGTTGGAAGTTTAAACTATAATACGCTCATGCAATATCGCGTTGTTGTACAGGGCGGCACATTTCACACCATACAGGATCCTATCATCTATACATATGGGTGCCCTTATTGAGCGTCCATAACATATCCACTAGTTCAAATCTCGTAAATGTAGAAAATTGCATGCAAACGGACCTTTAGCCGTACTTTAGGTCCTATATAGTTTTCGTGCTGATGTAAGAATATAAAGTGGAACAGTTTCAGTATATTTCGCGCGTGGACTGGGAGAAGCGATCAGGTTCAGGAAAATAGCTTTCGGTTTCGGTTTTCTGCTGTAGTGAAATCGAAGCAAATTGTGAATGTCCGCTAACTGAACCTCTATGAATGAAGTTTGGAAATGACAGCTAACTGAACCTCTATGAATGAAGTTTTTATGATTAGTGAAAATGCACGCTTGGAAGAAGTTTTTTGGCAATAAAATTATTTAATACAATTTCTGTAGATTTTTGTTTGGAAATGACAGCTAACTGAACCTTTATGAAGTAAAAAACTTAGAACTATTTAGAATTTTAAACTATTTCATGTAAATAAAGTAACATTCTACTAAGGACATTCAAGTGGAACAGATTAGAACTGATAGATAATATTTTCGATCTCATGCAGGACAGCCTCTTGAACTCAATGTAGAATTGGTGATTGAATCTTTTGACGACATTAAAGAATCATCCATGGTAATTTGAATTAATCTTGAACTCCGGCCACAATCGAAAAAACACTAAAATATTTTTTTCTCGTTTTATTTGATTTTCTAGGAATTTTCACTCTATGTGTATTTGGTTCAGAGGTGGACAGATTCCCGGCTGAAGAATGTAGTTAAAACACCAACAGTTGTAACTGGGAAAGATATTAACTTATTTTGGATACCAGATACCTACTGTGTTAACGCGCGACAGAGTGATTTGATGATGACAGACGAACACACACATAGCATGATTAAATTAGACGAGCTTGGTAGATTGACCTACAGTAGAGGGTGCGTTTAATCGGAGAAAGAATCGCACATAATCGCTAACTTCATCATAATCATGCACTATTACAATCATTACATCAATATTATCATCATTAACTCTAGTTACTCCACCGTCTTCACTAACACGATTATTATCCAATCATAATCACATTCACAAATATATAAAGATCCAATTTGACTCGAACAAGACTCGGAGGAAGTGAACAATGAACTAAAATATCGATTTATATTCACCGCTATCTTCTACCTTATCACCGTTATGTAACCGTCTCAAACGAGAATCTATGTTAGAGGATTTTTTGTTTCTCTACAGAGCCTATTTGAAAACATCGTGTTTAATGGATTTGCGAGATTTTCCAATGGATCATCAAAAGTGTTCAGTTCACTTCTCTTCATGTAAGTTATGTAATATTGATAACCCCCTAGTACGCTAGTAATGTCGAAAGTCGTTTTAAGAATTAATGTGATATTTTTTGTCCCTTTTTGTCAACCGTGTCAGTAATCTTTATATTAGTGAATTACTACAGTAAAACTGATCACATCCACAATGCAAAGCACTAAAAAATTTAATAAGCTATATAAGTGTAACACTTCCATCCTCTACAAAAGCGAGTTATTTTTACAATTTTTACAAAATCGTCTTCTAAATTTCTATAAGATTATAAAAAGCGAACAGACTATAATAATCGAGCATAAAATCCGAGCGTAGATTATTATTATTATTCTATTCCCCCCCCCTTCTTTTTACGGCACTAGTTTACCTTGCAAAGACCCTACATCTTTTACATCTTTATATTTCTCCCGTTACAATTTACAATAACAAGTTATTTTACAAGTTAAATTCTGTGAACAAAAACTATATCGTTCTAGATAACAAAGGTGTATTTTCATCAACATCACCATTGCTTTGCACGTTTTCATCTTCCACAGTAACATTCCTTTGCACGTTCTCATCTTCCACAGTAACATTCCTTTGCACGTTCTCATCTTCCACAGTAACATTTCTTTGCACGTTCTCATCTTCCGCAATAACATTCCTTTGCACGTTTTCATCATCCACAATAACCTCTCGTTTCTCAAAAAGACGGCAAACCAGTAGCAAGAAATGTAACGCCAGATGCAAAGTGGCAGCAAGATGAAATAGTGGCCCAATTACAAACAAATCTTGAAGAGCTCGAAGCTTCTTTGTTTCGAGGTGTTTGTGTGCTATTTTATGCATTATACCACCAAACTCATCAAGGATACTACCAATAAACCGTGCAAATAGCCCGCAACAAAGGGCAGAGACAAAAAGAAAGTTTTTTGTTTTTAAATTTTGCATAAAATCCATGGTATGAACAGTAACACCAGTATATACAAGTAGAAAAATTAACATGCTTGATCCTCGAAAAATAAACACCCATCCCGACCATTGTACATATGAGATAGGTTTATCATGCTTGAATGATGAAAATGAAAGTAAACCAAAACAAAAAAAGTAAATAATGCTAACAACACCCATTGATAGCACCATAAGGAAAACAAAACTGATTTTCTTGCCATGCAAAACAGACGTGTGGACATTTCTTAATAACATGACTCCCAAGAGCACCAAAATGAGATCAGACATAATAGGGAAGAGATTGACAACAAGAGGAAACCCTTCATTCCAAAATTGAGCTGCATTTAAAGATTCGAATGCGAGAAGAACTAGCCCAATACCTACACCAAAAACAGTATAACAATAATGCTTTCTTTCAATTTGAAATGCCCGATAGTGGTATTGATCATCTTGTTGATCTTCTTCATCATCAATTGCCAATGAATGCTCCAAAAAGAGCAAAGCACACAAAAGTCTGTAATCAATAACTAATGCCTTGAATGTCTCATCAACATACTTTAGAATGTCACCATGTGAAACTTTATCATATATTTGTATATCTGTAAATGGTATGCTGTTTAACCATAAAGTAAAGTTTAAATAGGATAAAAAATTCAAGTAAAACACAGCTCCTTTTTGTAATTTTTCATCCTGAGAAAAGGGCTTGCATCTGCGAATGCGAATGTAGACTACAACTTGAATAATCTTTTGCAATGCAAAAACCAACAAGTATAAAGCAAACGCAGTGCTGAGATTCTCACGTCTGAAAACCATAACTATGAGCACAACTTCCAAACCAACTAGAAATAATGAAATGATAGCAACAACCAGTCCCATACCTCTGTCATGTGACCCAATGTTATCTGTTTCTGATTTCTCAAATAAAAATTGGAATCCAAATATCAAAAAAAATATTGAAACACCACCAAGACATATATTATACCATACTGTAATATTTTGATTGTTCTCTTGCAAGTATGGCATTGTGCAAAATTGAGTAACAATACTGCTAGCTATACCCATCAAAAACACCAGCTTTCCAAACACACTGTTCATGAAGGAGTGCCCAAATCTAAGAATTGAAAGTGAGGGTGTGATTAAGGAAATCAAGGAGAAGTATACAAGTAGTATTTTGGTGGTTTGCCACATGAAGGTATGCATGGGACTGTAATAGAAAACAAATTTTTGGGTAGTTCTTAATTTCACAAAATGCCCAAATTGGCAAATATTTTCTCAGATAAATGTCAAGCGTAAATTATGCCACTTTCAAAACCAAAACCAAAAGGACTTTCCAGATGCCCTTCCTCTCAGAAGTGCTGTTCTAGGTAAATCTCATCTGCTATAGGCACGAAGGTTCTTAAATTCACGTTACTGCAGAGATCATTGCTTTATATGCGAGATATGCTTAATTTCAGAAATTATATCAATAATGTATACATACCGAATAAGAATTAATTCAGAAACGAATAGGAGCAAAATGAACGCAGAAATTGACCAAAGCACAGTAGGAATAGCCTGATCTGATATTACATGATCATGGCAGGTTGTATAATTTACAATTTGTGCTGCACACGTACAATTATAATCCACGATAAAGTTTTGACAGTCTTGAGGGATACAGCTGGAACTGGTTGCGCTCTTGCCATTTGATTTAATAACTTCATTTCCATACTGACCCAGAATAACTCGTGTTTGAGCAAACTCCATTGTAGACTCTTGAGGGAATGCTTGTTAAAGAAATAGTGAAGTACACTATATGTATTAGAACCGCATTTATGAATCAGCACACAGCGACAAGCTACTGAAGCTAGCTGATGTCAACACCGGACACGCACGCACTATACTAATCACGAGTTTCAACACGAGTACTCGTGTTACAAAGGAATTCGGGGATTGTCAATCAGATCAACTTGTCAGTTGTCAAAACCAGGGCGTAGCGTTGGGAAGGGGAGGGAGTGTAGGGGCGCTAGTGGTGCTGCTGCATCCCTAGTTTTAGCAACGTGGTCGGTTCATTAAACGCTAAATTATTTTGTAATACCAGACGAACGTTGGGAGTAAATGCCATGTAGACTTCCAAAACTGACCATAGGAGAACTTGCCACTTGGTTGTTCGGACGTGTTCCACTACGTAGAGTACGTACGCCCCTAGTCACAACATCATGTCGTATATTTTCTTTTTTTTAGAAGAATCTATTCATATCGTATGATATTTTGATTATTTGCTTTAGATGGTTATTCGGTGAAGTCTGTTTTATATACATGGAACGATGAAGGAAAGGTCTCCACCTCGAGCACATTGATCAGAGAGTTGGCACAATTTGTGTTATCAACATCTTCATCTTCCACTCGCAATGTTATTTATTACTCCGGTAAGCTCAATGCAAATTCTGGTTGTCAGTATCAATAGCGGCCTACTTGAAGCCCTATATTTTTTAATCAAGTGATTAAAAATGGAAATAGTAGCATCAGGTACACGATGTTCGAAAAGAGACGGATGATCCGTCTGGACAAATGATCCGTCTGGCAGATAATTCGTCTGAGTATAACCGCACGACATGATCTAGACTGAACTACGTAGACGAATATGTCAAACGAAACAGAATCGCGCATGCACTGGACTTGGGAAATTATTTCTTGTATTCTGCCCCCCCCCCGTATTTATACGACGCGTGATGCATCAGGACGAACTGCCATTCAAATTCCGTCTGTTTTCCCGCGTTGATATGATACGCTCTTCCTTTAAATTTTAGGTAATTTTACTGTTTTAACCGCGACATTTGAATTCAAGCGTCGTGTTGGCTACTACTTACTCCAGGTATATTTGCCTTGTGCTATTCTCGTGATGTTAAGTTGGATCGCGTTCTGGATGGACAAATGTGACACTGGGAACCGTCTTACAGTTGGTGTGACCACGATCTTAACCATTATGTTTCTGCTAAGTTATGGAAATTCGTCGGTGCCGAAAATGAGTTATGTTAAAGCAATGGATATTTATCTGTTATCGTCATTTGCGTTCATTTTCTTCAGCCTTATTGAATCCGTGCTTTGTTGGAGGTTTGAAAGTCTTGTTTCAAGACAGAAAGAAAGTCATAATGTAGGCATACTTCTGTTTATGTTTTATAGCATGGCCAGAAAATTCGGACATATTTAACATTCTACTTCCGCCTAAATTTGCATATGGTGTCAAAATAAAGCTTCGTGAGTTTATAGTAAACTGTAATGTGCACAGTACTAAACGCTAAAAATACACCTTTAGGTAGGTCAATTATAATTTGCCTTAATTGCTCGTTGCAGAGCAAGTTAATCTTAATATTTTTATACAGTATTTCAAAATGTTTTATCAGTATTCGTCCTGCATTTTCAAAACAAAGTTTTGGTCATTTATAACGTTGAATACCATATAAAACGAAAACCGTAATAGCGTAGAAATAAAATAAAAATGCAGAGCCGACATAAACCTTTGCCAGCAAAATATTACCTCAGGATCTTCAATATGACACGAGTTACAAGAAACAACCAGGGCAAATAGCAAAGATGCAATGATTTTCTTAAATTTTGCAAAATCTAAGAATGCGCAATATAATTTATAGTTCTGCAAACGAATAATATTTGAACAGATATGCAAATTTGCTACGGCAATCTGCATATTCCATGTCCGCAATTTCTGGCCATGGAACAGCCGGGTATATCAGTTGTTTTATAGGAACAACCGAGTATATCAGTTGTTTTATGGGAACATCCATGTTTATTATTATCTGTCCATATACACACCATTTGTGATTTCAGTTTGAAACATGATTGTGTGATTCAGTTCAAGCAAAATTTATGATGCAAAACATCCGTTCACAATTGCATACTTTTTTTACGTTATCAGGCAACGCCCAAACATATGTCGGCAAACGACGTTCCTCCTGCCCTGAATGAAAACAGTCATTGGCGAGGTCTCAATAAGAGGATAAACAGTGTATCGAAACCGACACCAGGGGATAACAGTGAGAACAGTGCCCCCAATCCTCCTAATCAAGAAAAGGATGACCTTATCTTTCAGAAGATCTCCAAATGCCTGGACCTGATGCAAGCAACAAGCAACCGGCATGAAATAAAAGGAAAGAAAAAGCCTCGTTATGAGTTGGATACATTTGCTCGCGTCATTTTCCCCGTTGCCTTCGTTGTGTTTAACATAATCTATTGGTCAGTCTGGCCGATAGAAGCATGATGTCTTTATTATGGATTTCACAAGTCGCTGAGCCGAAACACTTATATTAGTTACATATAGACTCAGTGTAGTTTAAACCCATTTTAGGCTTTCAATCTCGAGAAAGCATAAAAAAATACATCGTTAAACTTTGATCCTCTATAACCGTTATCGGTGTAATTTCAAGAAACGTTTTAGGTCTGTCATTTGGAAAAACGTTTACTATGTGATTGCATGCATTTAAATGTTTGCATGTTCAGCCATAAACAAGACAAGTTCCTAAAGTGTTCTTTACAGTTTTATTTTATCCTTTATTTACATTGTTGCTGAATATATTGAGATGGATCATGAACATCGTGTCATTGCCCTGGCTAAAGATAAGCGAAATCTACAGGCATTTGAACTCAGCTAAAATTCTTCAAAGACCCGCAAGACGCCTGTTTTTTACAACGTGTGTGAATATGCAAAAACATGCAAAAAACTTAGGTAGTTTTTGGTAGTTGTGCGGTCCAGTTATATTAATTTCTATCGTTTATATTATCAGCTTATATAACTACCTAATGTAGGCAAATGTATTAATGTGTAAATTATTATAATCCGTTAACAGTTGACATCTCCACTTTAGACTTTATTGTGTACTCAGCCAGCATTATATGCTTTACTCCCTGATTCAGCTAAATATAATATGTTTCCGTAAATGATCACATTTGTTCTTTGAACATCCCCCAAGGTCCCTGATGTATAGCCACAGTTTCACAAGTGTGGACCTCAACTTCAGAGAATGTATCACGTGTACAAGTGAGCCCGCGTGCACATGGACATATCATATCTCCAGGCTGGAAATTAAAATATTATCTAATTATCCAAGGGGGGGCAATCAATTATATCCCTGAGTCAAAATACGAGACAAGAATCAACATTCAACCAAATTTGAATCGTTTTGATGTTGCAATATAACCAAAGAGCACGTCACGCAGAGTTAATATACGATACGTTGAAAAGTGTTAATAAAGTTCAGTGTTAAGAATCAACTAATTTCCTATCTATATTTTCTTGGAAAAACTAGTCTAACATTAGAACTTACATATATTTTATCAACACATTGTTCTCCAATAGCTTTATATTTTCTGCAAACGCCCAAATCTTCATCTTCTGACACCATGATAAGACCAGTACAACAATAACCTGATGGGCATTGTTGCTTTGACGAACAGTTGTAAACCATTTCCTTAAGAAAAATAACCAATTTTCACTGATTCCACTGACAATCCCACTCGTTTATTTTTTTACTATCGAATTATTACTTCCCCTTTCTATGTAACTATATCGCCTCTCGCTTGATCCAGACTGTTATACATCAATTTGAGTTGAAATGAGTCGAGATACAATGCTTAATCTCCTCTCCTTACCTCAGTCCCTCCAGACCATTCAAATTCCCAACGAGCTCCAAGAAATCTTGCATCCATATGGGGTGTTGCATAGATGAAGTAAAGAACAATAATCAAGTTTACCGCAGACTTCATTGAAATATATTATAGTAAAACACAATGAAATGATACTCAAGTTAATGTCTGTCTTTGCGAGGTGAGGCGGGTAATGTTATGCTTCTGATTTGGCACATTTATATAATGCAGTCAGTTTGGATATTTTTCGCATGTTATTGTAACCTGTGGGTAACCTTGCGCCAATTATTTTTTTTAAGACGAATTACCGGTTGCACAAATGAGCCTTCTTGCGTCAAAGTTGCAGGCTTTGCTTTTCTTTTGACTACGGAGTTTTTTTATAAGATGGTTGATTAATAAGCTTTGCCTTGGCGTTATTATTGCACGGATATGAGAGCATAAACAATGTGTGATCAATGGTTTATACCTAAGGCAACTTTTTGGAATACGGGAGCATTAAGAGGCAGCAAAAATTGAATTTCTTAGAAAAGTCGGATGCGTTAATAAATCTAAATGAAATGTTCAGTGGCGTAGCCAGCATTGATAATTGTTGGAGGGCATATTCATATATTCATGTTAACAGACTTTAAAGACAATTGATTTGAAAAGAAATAATAATCCTGCGTATCATGAGTGTATGAATATCCCCCCCCCTAATTATCGTGCTGACTACGCTGGCACTGTCCCGATATGTTACTCTCCTATCTACAAGCTGCGACGCTATCGGTCCTTAAACGGTTTTGTTTTTAACTTTGCATGTTTTTATATGATTTGATCCAAAAGATCAAATATCGCGCTGAGAATATGAAATTCTGAAGTGACTATATAGTAACTCATTTTTAGACTAAAGTATTATACACAGTACTGTCCAGAAATAACCAAACACTGCGGTCGCGGTTCGGTTGCGGTTCGGTCGCGGTTCGGTCGCGGTTCGGTTGCGGTTCGGTCGCGGTCGACTGATAGAAACCGCAGACGACCACAAGGGAAAAATACGATCGCGGTCGCCGTTCGCTTTCGAACGGAATGTTATGAACAGCTGAGAACGACAACACAATAATCGTATCGAAAACATCTTAAGAAATGTCTGTCAGACCGAGGTTAAACCTCCGTCTCACAGCGGTTGGATCGAGGTTTGTCCTCGGTTAACCGCGGTTTAATCTTTGTGATCCGGACCATCATGCACCTCTTTCTCTTTCATGAAGTTGTAATTGCATATCATGCACAACAGAAGCTTGTTCCTTCAACATCCAGTATAATAAATATTAATATTTCATTGCCACGTGAAGTTTCTGTTATAAGACCGCAGGTGCTGATACAAAGCAAGCAGTGATTTTTAATACTCCTGAGCTTATAGCCTTAGACGAAACATTATGGAAATTAATATCTGATTTATCATGCAGTCCAGTGCAGTTGCTTACATGAATGATTGTATGTTTTTATATAATCTCCAGTCTGTTCAATTCACGATGAACGTAAAATCGTTTTGTTCAAAAGAGACTGCAGAGAATACTTTTGTATATAAATTTAAAAATATGCATATATAGTGCATAATTTACCCGGGCTATTTGAGTAATACTAATAGTTGTCAGCTTAGCTAACATGTCAGCTGCCGATATAAAATATATTTTATCCCGTGGTAATAATTTAAGCTCAATGCTGTTCTTGTTTCAATATAAACAACGTACATAAAAGTTTAAATCCAAATGAAAAAAGGCATATCTCCTATGGCTATGACGGAAAAGATGGCGAAGACTATACTGATTGACGACGTCATTCAAAAAGCAGAGTAGCAGACATAAAAACATCGTTTTTTCACCGTTATTTATGGTATTGCTTCGCAATCAAACTGAAGTCTATTGTTCATATTTTCGTTTGCTCATATATAATAAAACAGCTCTTCCTTTTTCAGTCATGTATTCAGGCAAAATGTTCACTCGCCATCTTTTCTGTAATCGCGACTGACAGATCTTTACTCACTGACCTGTGTATACTATATAAAGATCAGTATAATCGTAGGTCAGTACCTTTCACACTTCAAACCCGCGGTTTTTAAGTCGTTTAGATGAGTTCAGGAGCGATTTTAGAGGAAACCTTGCCGGTTTTCGCTTCTTTGCTAGACTAAATCGCCCCTGAACATTACGCCATCAAAGACAAAGAAAGTCTTCAGCTGTTGGCAGTGTTGCTTAGAAAAGCATTTTGCCGATTTTAATTGTTTTCCGATTCACTATAATTTCAAAAAGACAAATCTTCCTTTTCCAATTAATATATGACCTAAAATGGCGAAATCATCGTGTTTTTCCTGCGGGACTCATTTTTATCTCAGTAATTTTAGTGATTCGTCCAAAAAATGATGACTTTATTGACGTAATTACGTTTGTGGCGGTGTCTGTAAAATCTCGTCCGTCATGAATTATAAACAAAGAAGCCGAGTCAATGAATGGACAAAACAGGAAAAAAACCCCAGAACTAAAGCTGTAGATTTCCTGAAAGATAGTTTTCATATACCCCGACCAATACCTTCAGCTTTTGATTACTTGATCGCGTTTATTTTTACTGGGTTTTCCTTTGTCAATACAGTAATTAAGCCATCTTTCAAACGAGTATTCAGTCACTGAGTTTTGGATCACGGTGCATACAAGTGGCACCCGAACAACTCAAGTATTTCTAGAAAAGTAAACGGAGTGAAAAAAATACTGAAAATATTGTTGTTGCATCGTTTTAAATCTGTTCAAGTAGAAGTTCATGAACCATCAAATGAAACGAAATGGAATAAAATGCAAACAGCTCAGCTATGTAGTGGACTGACAAAAATGGCCATTAGGCGATTAGACTACAGATTCGTGAGTAAACAGACTAATTTTAAATTTAAATAATCTTTGCTTTTATACACAAATCTTTGCAGCACTTGAATTCATCACAGAAAAAAGTTCGAAATTAATTAAATGTTAACTTGTAGCGTGTAATCAACGTCATTAATCTAAAATGCATGTAACGAATGCATAATATACAAACTCAAATTAATGAGAATTTTACACTGTAGCTACTAATCTATGTTATTAAGATTTGGATCCTGCGTGTAATTTTCAAAATCTTTTCACAAACTGTCATACGTGGAAGCGTCGGCCGGTCGTATAAAGAATCCCTGGTGTTTAATTATACGAACAACGCCTAACTCAAGCTGTTCATAATTCAAATTTACAATTAATTTGCGTCTCTGCTCGTCATATAAAACACCCACTGTCCATGCTAGAACACTCATTTTAACGTTTGTTCGTTTCAGAGTTCAAAGAATTGCATTCAAGGAACAATTTATAGCGAATATAGGTAAGTAATAAATTTACACCAGAAAAATTTGATGAACAATCGGCTTTAATCAGTATATGATATGACCACAAATTTTCTGCAAAGCTTCAGCATCACTCCAAATATGTTTTAACCGGATGCACGACAGTGTAAAATTTCTTTTAAGAATTTGCGTAAATTAATATATAGTTTTTGTATGTATCGTTCTTAGCATCGTAAAGTAGTCACAAATAGTTATTTAGTTCGTGACATAATAAACTTTATGAACTTACTATTAAATAAGTATATAGCTAAGAATTTTAATTGATATCGCAGCAATATCATCGGAAACACTGATTTTGACATAGTACATTTGTCCTAAAGGAGTAGCCATAGCAATTTAACCTCACCGCACTACTTTCCTTCCTGTCCTGAGGCTCTTTTTGACGTAAATATAAATAATTGCGCTATGGAGTGTTATATCGAAGGAAATACGCCTGAACCGCTAAAAATGAACAAGAACAACAACATTTTACCACTAATCTCTAAGAAGTTACTAACGCACGTATTGTTGTGATATCCTTATTTTATTTACTTATTTTTTATTCCTCGTGCATCAACCTTGATCATCCACGCCTTAATATAGCTTAGCTATTGAAATGCTGCATGGCAGGTTATTTGTATGAATTTAATCATTAATACAATTGAATGCGTTTAACAAGGGCTACTTTTATCATCGATGATTTATTTTTTCTATGCCTTTACCCGCATGCCAATCATAGGCTCATAAGCTTCCTTCTTACCTAGCTTCTTTCACGAAAGTAGTTAAGCTTAAGCCAGATCTCTTGCATGTCCACTAGTTCGTTACTTGGTTATCATTACTTCTGATCATTCCCAGTCCTCACTTCATTTAGTACACGCAATAAATGAAAGTAAGGTGGACTGGAAAACACTGAACTTTGTTCAATTAACCAAATCACCCAACGTCATCATTCGCTATGAACCTGCCCGGTTTTGCGAAATTCTTTCTTTCATGAAATTGTTTTCTTTATATAATAAACTTTATATGCGAGATTTGAAAGCAACGTGTGCAACATGTCGACTATTTGCTATCAAATAACGCAGGTTTTCCTTAATATACCTTCTCGTATTGCCATATGACATCTATACCTTGATACAAAACACTTCAATAAATTAATTAAAAATAAAAACATGAAAGACGTGCACGTTTTCAATAAAGTCCGCATCATTAAGTACTGAAATAACTGGATGAATGCCATATCTTGATTCAACCCCACGCACTCTAAATATAGCTGCCGTTTGAAAGAAAACCACCTACGCAAATCTTTCACGACAGGGAGTGTTCCAAAATTAGTGAAATTTCTCTCCAGAAGAAAAGTTAAAAATTGCGACTGCAGCTGTTGTCTACGGCAGTAGGAGTCCAACCTATTGAAAGAGACAAAAGATGAAACAAAGAATTACATGCATTGAGCCGTACAATTTATGAAAGCATGTTTTCTAAAATTTGAGTTGAGAGCACAAGACATAAAGAATGAAGTGAATGCGTAAAACCTCTTTTTTGTGCTGTTTTTAGGGCAAAAAATGACAAAAGTGATTTGTGTTTTCCTTCTTGCTTTTCTAATAACTGTCATAAACGGATTATATTTATCCAAAGACACAAACGAAGGTACGAAATCATTATAATGGTCTATTCTTTATTACAGAGTAGGATTTGTGACCAATCTTGCTTCTGGGAACCGACTTTTAATAAGTTGTATATTCTAAGCGCTTGTTATATTAATCAAAGGCATGTCGATCGGTTTATAAAGTGTGATATGACTTCCAGACGTAGACTGACGGGGGGGGGGGGGCAGGGTGTATGTCAAATATCCATGTTAATATACAACTTGAATCAATCCAACATCCCTCAATCGTCACCTTTACATTGATACCTTGTACAAATATTTTAAATTTACTCTTTTTTCAGTAAACTATTCTTCAACTAGTTCCAAGTATCGTTAAAGATACAGCCATACAGGCTAGTACTCCTATGCTATTGATCTTAGTGTGACTGAATATTTCAATATAGGTGACGACAAACGTAGTCTTTTCTCAGGATATCGTTGTTTAAGAGATTCTGACTGTCGATCAGCTTTTGGAATGTTTGGTACTTGCTCGTTTAGTACGGCATCCTGGCATTATGGATTCTGCGTCTCTCATCATGCTCAATACGGTGGGTTCCGGAAGAATTATTGACGTATCTTACCTCTACTAACTTACAATATTAATTATATTAGTATTTTTTAGACTTACAATTATATCTTCCACTTTAGTTTCTCTGAATGGTGACTACGATGAAAATTAAAAATGCGACTTTAGAAGATGAAACATATAATATATATTTAATATACGAGAATTCTACAAAAATAATATCAACTGTAGTTCAGTAAAACAGTTATATGGCAAAGTTGTAAAAAATTATGCAATAAAATTAAAAAATCAGCAAAAACAACATTTGTTCGTGGCTCATCTGCCTCTGTTTTATTCACTCGCATACCGACCTCATTTTCTCTCCTGCGCATGCGTGCATCGTGCAGTTTGTATTTTGTCTTTTCTACAGAAATACGGCCAATAATAATGGACCAACTTTTGATTTAGGCAACAAAATGGAAATTTCCAAGAAGTACATACTAAGTTTGACGTTAAACGCTTCCGGCTTTTTTTAGTAAAAAAATATACAAAATCGCTTACTTTGCTTGGCTATATTTTCCGTAATACTTGACATTTTGCGGCCAAACTTGCCAATTATACTAATTTCGGTATGCTCTTTTTAGCTGTGATTTTTTCCCTTCTTGTTACCTAAATCGTAAGCTCGTTGGTCTATTATGCAAAAGGTCCATTTCTATCATCCAGTCTGGCGAATCTGGCCATCCCTTCCACCTTGCGGCAGGGGGGTTGCGCTCAAGCTGTTTCTGACGTAAACTGGGAAAAATGAAAAAAACCTTATTTTCCTAGCACCTCCCCCCACCAGTAGGCGAGTAGCTACAGTGGGCTACACGCGTAAAAATCATCATGTTGATGCAAGTTGTTAAAAACAGGAGTGAACAATGTTGTGCTGCACCCTCTGAACAGTATTGTTAACAATGTTGTTGAAGCTTGTTGAATTATCAATGTTGTTCCAACTTGTTACAACAACATTGCATCGTGATTGTATCGTGATTGCAACAACATTGATGATTCAACAAGGTTCAACAACATTGTTATTAACAATACTGTTCCCAGAGTGCAGCACAACATTGTTCACTCCTGCTCTCGCATTTTTGTTGAAATTTCCCGACATTTTTTTCACTGCCCAGAAAATATCGTTAGAAAGAAGAATACTTCATTTAATACAGTATATAGATAAAAGCTATATCCAAGATGTCACTTTATGATGATATAGATGGCGTCCCTCTTAAAGAAAATAATTCTTCGGAGACAGGTATGAATCATCTCCGATCTGTTCAATAATTTTATTTTTGGTCGACATTCTGAATACCAGGATATGTATTTCCTCTCGTTTTTGATGGCAAAATAATATTTTTGCGCTATGCACTTTCTTTTACATATGTAATAATGTGAATATAAAATGATAAGATTTTGCCATGTTTGGATTAAATTAAACAGGTTCTAACACAAAATGATTTCCCACAGTTGTTAACAGCAATTTTTTAATTTTTCAGCTGGCTGGTCGAGCGGTTTTAGTTTTATGCAACAACAATTAAAACGGCAAAAATTTGCTCAGCCAAAAACACCATCTCAGTTGGTATGGATCATTTGGTTTACTGTAACTGTTAAATAACACTGCCTTATACTAATATATTTTCTTCAAATAACTTAGAAATCGTCTCGCCCAACTGGACTTGCGAAACAACCAAATTCAAGCAAGGTAAAAGTGCTGATCAATGATTGAAACAATTAAATAAAATACAAATTGATGAAACATAAGATTCTAACTGCCTTTCATACTGCAAGAGATAATTAAGGTTAATGTGAATTAAATCAAATTCTCCAGTACCTTTTATACTTATCAAGTTTAGAGTTCATTTTTCTTAAAATCTTTCTAGTTCCAAAATATTCACTATTTAAACTAATCACTATTCAGTTTAAATGATTTTTTGTGCAACTTAGCTCCAGTCAAAGTAGTCATGCTGTACAGGGTGTTGGTTCTTAAACCTTCAATAATACACATGTTTGTTGCGTAATTGTATTGGTGTGGGCAGTCTTATAAGAATAACAATATCTTTTCAACATCTTTTATAGTGAATGCTTTATAATCTTGTATTTTTTAATAATCTTTATTGAAATTATCAAACAGGATATTTTGACTTCAAATGATGAAAATAAGGATCCTGATGTAAGTGCATTGCATAATAGGATTTCAATGCTATAAGTTGCAAAAACTTCATGTACACAAAAAATTTTGTGAATGAGGATTGGTTGGAATGTTTTGAACAATCTACATTGTGATATCTGTGTTAATGCATTTAGACATCAACAGAGCCTTTTGTTCAGACGGAGGCTTCTATAGCCGTTGTTGTTGATGAATATGATCCAATGAAACCAAATGATTATGAAGAATGTAAGCAAAAACAGCGAGAAAAAGAGCAACGTGAAAGGGAACTGGAGAGAAGTCAACGAGACAAAGATTATGATGACAGGTTCAATTTTTAAAATTATTAATGCCAGTTCTATAGTTGTATGAAGAGTAAATAATATTTATCCTGAATTTCTTTTCATTATTTGTTGTAGTGTAATATAAATTGAAAATGTATCTGTTAATAGCTATGTTTATAGCTATGATTCCCTCCCATACTTTTTACCTTGCAAGATGTGAAAACTGCTAAAATTGATTTTGTTTATTTTGTAACAACTAGATACAGAGAGAGGGGAAGAGATCGTGGTGATTACAGAAGTCGTGACAGAAGACGTCGTAGATATGGTGATGATGATGATGACGATGAACCAAGATCTCTTGCATCAAGAAAATCTGGGGCTGCTATTGCCCCCCCTGTATCTTTGACTGCTCCAAGCAATGCTGATGACGATAGTGAGTACTTCATGTTGTTGTTTGTTTACTGTCTTACCAGTTTCTCTTTGCTGAATAGTCAATAGTGTGTGATTGACATCAGTATGGGCAAATATGTGCAAACGTTTGGGTCCTGTAGCCATCAATTGATTCACTGATATGCATTTGTGAATATATCCTTTGAATGAAAAGCCCTAGAAATTCTGGTTTGAAGAGCAAATGGTATTGTGTACAAGGAATTAACCGATTTCCATCTGAAAGTTTAGAAAGTCCCCAAGGTAAATGTAAATAGTAAGCATCCCTGATACACATGTGTCTGAATCAATATTGGTTACTTCATGTAGGTAAACCATTTTCTGGAGTGCCCAGTTTGTTTAGCAAACCAGATGTTGGCTTTGACAGGTAATGTTTGTTCTTCACCTTTAAAGATGCAATGATGCAATCATTGCGATCAGATTTTATTGATCAGAATCTCTCTCTCTCTTGTGACTCTTGTAGTCCTGTTGCATCAAACATTATGGCAAAATATGGATGGAAGGATGGTCAAGGTTTGTGTGTGATGTCTTATAGTTTGATGTCTGTTAATTATCAAGGAATAAAATAATTTATATTGAAAAGATCCAGTATGGTTTTATAAGAGGGTGAAAGGGGTTGTTTTACAGTGAGTGCAGGCTAGCTGCCAACCATGGGGTTAGTACAAGCACCAGCAAACAAATTATAAAAATGAGATGATAATGTGCTATTTAGACTGTCAAAATTTTGACCTTTCTAGTGCGCCAAAATATTTAACATCTGGGGCCAGTTGTACGAAAGCTGGATAACGCTATCCACCGGATAGTGGTTTTTTCAATCCCCTCAAAATTTCCCGTTGTTTGGTATAACTTCGATTAAATCTTAGTATTCATAAATTGAGGATCCTCGTTAACGATTCTTGGTTCCAAAGCTGAAATTTTATTGCTTTTCAAGCACCTTTAGAACGGTTGAAAAAGTCACTATCCGGTGGATAGCGCTATCCAGCTTTCATACAAACGGCCCCAGGTGCATAATTCCCCTGAATGTATTGATACCCAAATTTGCATTTCCTCCTGCACTCTGGCCCAGGACTTCAAGTGAACACCACGACCCACCAAGGGAAGCTATCCCTCTCCCCCTGAATATACACAATATAACATGTAATTTTAGGACTGGGAAAACAAGAGCAAGGAATCAATCAGTGTCTTCAAGTGGAAAAGACGAGTAAAAGAGGCGGGAAAATTATCAATCAGGAGAAAGGTTTGACATTTATTTATTGCTTATTAATTTCTAAACAGATATTGTTGTTGGAAATGATGTTTTAACAGTTAAATCTTACAAATTTCAGACGTATCTGTTCCTCAGGAAAACGAATCTCTTGTTGGAAAAATGAAAAACCCAAGCAAAGTGATCTTATTACGCGTACGTTTATTTAAAATATTTTTAATTTCGCTGTCCAATTATCAATAAAAATGTGCTGTTTAAGTTTTGAAAAACAAAATAATTGGAATACTACTGGTTCGTTCAGAACATGGTTGGTCCAGGTGAAGTGGATGATGAATTAGAACCAGAGACAGCTGAAGAATGTAGCAAATATGGTGAAGTTCACAAAGTTGTTATTTATGAGGTACGAAGGACGTCATTTCATCTCTAAAATATTTACAAAACCACGTGAAGATTGAGGTTGCTGCTTACGATGATTAGCTCCCCAAGATGACTACGGGGAGCACACTCTCAGGAATACCTAAATATTTGCATGTATTCAAAGTGATTAATCTGAGACAAATGAAATTCAAACGTAGTCCTTCCATAACTTTCGTTTCATGTCGCATGTTCGACCCCCTAGATATCACGAACAGTCATTGGAACACCACACGCGTGATTTTTCCTCTTCTTTTAAAAGGGAGTGGACTGTTTGAAAATGTTTTAAAGAATGATTTTAGATAAACGAAGAACGTCACTGTTTATGGAAATTAACTCTATGTCAAAATCTTGGAATTTTCTCACGTCATAAATAGGAGCAAAGATTTTAGTCAGAAGTTTACTAACCGTTTCTCGTAATTTCTACAGGTTCGCGAGGGAGTGCCTGAGGATGAAGCTGTGCGTATTTTTGTAGAATTTAAGAAAATGGATTCGGCGATTAAAGGTGATTAATATTCTCATATTTATACATTTTGCAACGCTGGCATTTTGTTAGTTTTACACCACCACACTCAATTCTTTTGTCACATCACAGCTAAACTTGGCATTAATCCCAGTTTACACTTCGCAACGTTTCATCTTCATATTCATTTGAATATATTCATTTGAATTTTTGTCATTAGCTTTCATTAAATAAAGTAATAATCCGGAAATAATTCTTCTCATTGAAAATCTTCCAATTATCAAACTGTCTAGTACTGAAATTTCAGTTGAAAGTATCAACATTAATCCACTATTATTTCAACCATCTATATAAAGATAAACTTGGATCGTGCACGAATGAGGTTTCAGGTCTTTTCACACGCCACGGTCCAACTTTGTCGGAGCCAATTAACTTCTGACGTATGGAATGTAGTTTGTTATTGATATAGCAGTAATGCGTTGGATTTAGTGGATTTGTTGCCCATATAAATTGCACGTCAGCAGACTATAAAACATCCATCAGAAGGATTTAATTGGATCCGTCAAAATTGGATCGTGTGAACAGACCTTTTTGCATATCGTTAATTCCGAGCGAGTTGCGAAACTCTGCACTTCCCGTTCGTATTGAGCCTGGACTATTCAGGGACTTGCAGGAGGAGAAACATTGCGGGCAAATGTCACAAAAATGCATGGTCAGAACAACGTCATGCAGAACTATATATACAGTTAAACAGCAAGGGAATCAGTTAAGCTAGCCTTATATAGTCTTTTCTACGTTCACAAATAGAATAAATAACTTGCGTTTAAACTTCTCACCACCATAACTTCTCGTATACAGCAGATCCGAATGCTGCCTGAGTGTATATCAATTTTTAAATGTATAGAGAAAACGAGGAAACGTTTCGCCGTAAAGAAGAAAACCTTCCTTACAGCGAAGTCCTTTGTTCGAAGCGTCAAGACGTTTTTTGTCCGTTCAAGGCAGTTGCTTGAGAACGCAGATCTCAGCTTGGCAACCCTGTTCCGTGAGAAAAGACCGATATTGATTATTTATAATATAAATACTGATATTAAATAACTCTTTTTTCTAGCAATTATCGACCTGAATGGAAGATATTTCGGGGGTCGTACCGTGAAAGCAGGTTTTTACAACTTGGATAAATTTCGAAGATTTGACCTTTTGGATGATCTGGAGTTCCAATAATCGTATGTAAAAAAGTGTAACACACAGTGAAAGAGATACAATGTGATATTCGTTTTTAATGACCGAAGCTACATCCATGTATTAAATCGAAAAAGTCCTGATATCGGGCGAGATTGTTACTTCAGAAAGGTATTGAGGTTATAGTAACGTAAATATGGCGCCGAAGATGAGGCGACCTTTCAACTCAATTTGGTCGTAGATTGCTATGAACAACAAACACAACACACTAACTGGCCTGAGATGATGCAAATATTCTTAAATTTTTTAAAACAATGATTCTATATAATTCCTTCCTTTGGCTTTAGGTTTTTAGTTATAAACTTCCTGATATTTGAAATATTTCCTGATTGTAAAAAAATTTAATCTGCCCTGCAAGTTTTATACGTAATTATTATCGCTTGTCCATCAGCTTAAACGGATAACTTAAAATTAAGAATATTAAGAATAGTAAATGTCTGAAAACAATAGTTAGAAGTTGATCACATGAGGAACCGTCGTGCCTGAGTTAAGTTGACTTCTGCTCGATCTGTACAATTATAATTTGCGATATAAAACCAGGGAGCGGCGTATCAGCGTCTTCAAACAACTTCGCATCAAATGTTGTTTTACTGCCTAAAATAGACAAAAACTTCGCATTCAGGAGAGTTCGTTTAGTTCTCTCCTGCATGATCTCCGCTCGAAACGTCAAGAACTGTTTTGCCAGCGTGTACAAACTATATTAACTATTGCATGGTCAGTAATTTTGAGATTCTATACCACTGCATGTCACAATAAGAAGTAATATAAATTTACCAAACTTCATCTTACTCCCATAGTAAGAATTGCACCATCGTGGTAAATGTGTTTTTACTATATCCGCTCTGGGTATTTTTAGCCGATTAAACAAAGACACTTGAAGTGCCTTCGTAAGGAGATTAATAAAGAGAGTTATACCATGGATTAACTCTCCTGACGAAAGCCCTTATAAATGGGCACGTCAATGCTATTGTCTGCGTTCAGGCAGTTGTTTACCTTGGTTATTTTGCATACGCATAGGAAATAATAATACAGCAAGATATTTTATTTGGCTTGACTAAAATAACTTTTGCGGTTTATCTATATTAAGAAGGTTACTGTAAATGCGGTTAACAAACCATTAGTGGTAAATTAAAATATTCAGTGGGTTTTCCAAACATATGTGCATGTAGATATCTAATTAATTAATTAATTTCATTCAATGTTTTTGGTCGTGAAACGTGATATAAACGGTTTCATGATTTTTGTTTTTTACTGTTTCCTTGCCACAGTGGAAACAAACTTTAGGAGTTGGCGTCAAAAAAACATTAATTTCTTGGCAGCCTCGCGCCTGGTTTGACACTTCCGTTCAACACTTTCTAATCACATAAAAGTTTACCGCATCCAGCTCTTCACTGTGTCGGGTAAATAAATAATAATACCAACGGCAAAGAGACGAGTTTTTTAATATAGCATGCATGCAGTGTCAAAAACATCCTCATGCACGTCTTGTATGACCTTCATACCCATGTTGTTTTGTTCACTTATAATTGAAATCGCGTCATAAATTGGAAGTCTGTCTTCTTTGTTAAAAGGTCCTGAAGTTCTAGGCTAAGTCGTCATTCATCAATGACTCGACATATGAAGCACGATGCAGTGGTTCCGATTTTTCATTTCCTGAATTATGTTGGCTCCATATACGTTTAGGACCGAAAAATTCAAAAATGATTCGATTTATCGTTGCCCACGCAGCTTTGACGCAAAATACGCGGAAAGACCCGTCTACAAGGATGTCTTCTTCGATATCAGGTTAGACAATATTAAGATCCCATGCACCATTCACCATATGCATGCAATATAATAAACGACTGCTAAAACACTTCTCGACGTTTCGATCTAAGAGTTTTGCTATAGAATACACTCCCACGCTGCTGCCTTGGTCACACTGGAACACAGAAATGTAGCTATATATAGAACGTCTTTCTTGTAAAAAAATTAGATATTTTAGTCACGTTCAACTTAAGCGAAATCGATTAAAAGTAAAAGTAAATAAAGACATTACTGACAAGACAGACAAATGCACTTCTCGATGTTTCGACCTAAGAGCCTTGCATGCCGCAGCGTCGCTACTCTCCCGCGCTGCATGGCTATATTGAAACACACCTATATATAGTAAGCCTTTCTGCATGAGTAAAAGTATATCAATATCTGTGGTATAATCTTGTCAGAAAAACAAACTTAGCCTTAGGAAAAAACTTATTTTCACTTTTTGAAATCCCGTTTGGATTTGTTTAATCATGTAATTTGAGTGTTGAATGTAGTTACAAGCGAGTTTGACTACTATTATATTTGTTATAAGTTGCATCTCACTGATGAGTGATTATCATCAAATTCAAATATACAATTGCGGATGGATGGTTCAGTGAATTACAGTGAAGCAATTTGATCCAACTATTTTGTTTCCGACGTCGAACTTTGAACAGTTTTTAGAGAGATTCAGCGAGTACGACAGTCTGTAATGAAATACAAGTACAAGATTCGTCATTCTCGCGTGTTTGTGCCTTACAACGTTATGGTATTGCTTGAGATTTTCATTTATACGAGTTTGTTGATTTGGCAGTGACTACGAGTACGAAATTAATCATTTTTGCGTTGAGCTCGGTGCCGTTTGCTTACGCCATCTTACGAAACTGGTAGTTGTTAGGCTTTTGACTCCGAAATTCGTTAAAATCGACGAACTTATGCGCAAAGTCTACGAGTTCCGCCAGATGGGGTAAAGCATGCATACACAACATGCCCAGATCACGATTCGTACTCACGACTCCCATTAAGGCCCACACACACTGGACTTGCGAGCGCGACGCGTCCGGTGCATATGTGCATGGTTAATGGAGGGAGATGATGTGTGTCGGTATTGACGGTCACGAGTCTTCATCATCCGTCGTAGCGCTACAAGCACAGCACCCGTTGAACAAACAACTTACTTAGGTGTGTGCCCAGTGCCCACGAGCGTCGTTTTCGAGCGTTTTAAAATCGTTTTAGTTTATCCTTTTAACACCCTGTCCACATGATCCAAGGAAAAATATGCTTAATATTTTAAATTAGCTTTGACTTCTTTTGTAAATTAACGATGTTTGAAAACCCTCAAAAACGTTACCGTGTGCATGTGCACATAGTTATAGGGACCTTACAATGATTCATTTAAAAGAAATGAATAATTAAAGACCTTTGTCAGTTTTAGAAGTGATCTACGTTCTGTTTACAACGACAAAACGTCGTTTATTACGTCAGTGGCCTCACTGGACTGTGTAGAACGTCTGCATTTCAGGACCCAGCGAGGGTTACCTCGAATTAGGCTCTGCGTAAACGCAATGTTTTCAACGTCTTATATATCTCAGTAAATTGGTACAATTGATGATATACAACAACCGCTTTACCATGATATTTATTTAAAGGAGTATTCCAACCACGTCGTCGTCGTGCTGCCGTCCTACGTGCTTAAGGTCCCCAGTATATTAATGGCTATAATCCTCTCAATTGAGATTAAATATAATAGACTTACAGCCATTAAGTTGTTTTATCAAAGGCCAAAACGGACGTTGAATTCGCGCTGACGCGTGCCAGCCTGACAACTTTGGCATCCACTATAATAAATGCGTATTTATGCTATCAAATATTTCGCAAACATCTACTCTAACCATTTCATAAAATGCACATAACTAAAGACCGTTCTCTCAAAACGAGAGAATATGAGGTAATGAGGTACGATGTTTCCTCAAAACGCCGTAGTCAGATTGAGCGACGGTTACGAGCCTTTGGCGTCAACACGAAATACCGCGAATATCACGACAATATATGACGAATCTAGTAGCGGTAGCGGGAGCTGTAGTAAAATCTAAAGCTCTCCATAGGATATACCAGAAGTCTCACTTCTTCAAATTTGCGTCCGAAATTTTTCGAGTGTGACGCCATTTAATTAACGCAAGCCAAATACGCAAGTACACGTAACAATTTTGCTGTTTTGCATCTTGCTCTCGCTGGAGTGTCCGCATTCTGGAGTGTACACAGAAAGTTTTGATTGAATACTAAGTTTCGTGTGTTTCTTGCAAACACCAGAGAGAATGTCGTGAAGAATGCATGGCATGAAATGACGTACGTGCCTTTTCGGACACAAAAACATCAGGAAAATTCAAGAAGTGAGACTGCTACGTATATGATATTTCTTCTGTGTCGCAGTCACATCGGAAGATTCCTAGCGAATAGATTCTGGAGGAACCTAAAGAGCTGAAGGAAGGAACCTAATGTTAAAGAGCTGAAGGTAACAGAAGCTTTAGTTTAATTTACGTCAATTTGCAATCGATTCGGCACACGAAAAGTTCCACGTCTGAAACGGGCCTAATCCTATTTATGGACGATATATCACTTTATTAATTCGTTTATGAAGCTATAAGCATACTTTTCCTTTTTCGTGACTTTCCTAGTTTGGCGCTAATTATGTGTTTCTTTTATTCTGTACCTTCTTTCCATCATCAATTCCAAATTTAGTTGAACACCATGCAACATCACTGACTTTGCATGTGACTATTACATGCATAAATATTGAGGGGGCGGTGTCTTAATATGGTTTTTGTTCATCAACCGTCGTTCATTTTGTGATTTCAGATGATTAACCACTTGTTTATTTAGATCTAAAATATTAGAATCAATTCGCACCAGTAAAACCACGAGTTAAAAATGCGGTTTGTATAGCACCGGGTTTTGGGGACTATATACGTGATTGTTCAAATTCTATTAGGAATATTTCAAATTCTATTAGAAATTATAGAAAGTTTTAATATTTCTGTGTTTTTTTATGTTATGAAGCAATATTGTGAATATTATTACTAAATCTGGCCAGGGAACCGGATTAATACGCCGTTAGGCCTGTTTTTTGCCTGTGGCTGTTGTCTTAAATGTACATAAATCTATAAATTATGATATGATTCCACTCGAAATTAAGACCCTTTAATGAAAGAACCTTCATACATAAATCCACCTTTTGGTATGCGGTTGCAAAATTATTGTTAATTGTTTCCGAAATCAGGGTCCTACGTTTTCGCCTACGTTCATTGACATTGATTAAAGAAACATATGCTCTATTCTTCGCCAGCTGAGATTCGGACAAATGCATTGGTCGGTTCATGATTCTTACAACTATATCCAAATTTAGTGTTGCCTTGCAATTCTTTTATAAACAAACACCCGTTGCTGTTAGCGCTGTTTAGATTTTCTTTAAGGCTGGTTTCCGTGTGGTCGTAATATCACGATCACAAGGTGGTGATGTAATACAGTGAACATGCATGCATGACTTCAATTCACAAGATATTGCGCTTCGCCCTTGCAGGCGGGCGGTGAAGACGTATGGAAACTAAAATACTTTATAATTGTCGTTCCACCCTCGGCTTTTCTCGACGATTCACGATGATTCTCGAGATTCGCATGGGACGTCATATCCGCTTACACATACATACTTCAGACCTTATATATAAAATACTGGTGTTCTTGTGTTTCATTTTAGACTGAACTTCTGTAAAGACACTGCAAGCATTATGATAAAACTAACAGTTGTTGCAGTCTCTCTCATTCTTGTTCTTGCCAAAGTGAACTCAAAGGCAGTAACAACAAAATCAGTAAGTTTATTTTCCACCTATATTGTGCTTATGTTAATGTGCCTTTTTTGTTCTTGTTTAATTTTTCTATCGGCTCAGAATACCTGAGAAACTATTCACATTGGAGTTTATCCTATTTTATAAGAATAAAATCATATTATTAAATTAATATTAATCCAGTTAACAAACACCAAATAAAAATGAGTGCAGGTACCGCGCGATGCTTCGCGTGTCACGTCTAAAGAAAATCTTTGCCCAAACATAGACATAGTTTTGAGTTTCGTAATCACTACAAAGCACAGATCAGTAGTACAAAGACCAATTTACAATTATATATTAATATTTGTGTCTAAAGTCCTTTCATCGCGTTTTCTTGGCACAAATTATGGAATACATAAAAAGTCATAATTTTTCTCTCCCACTTCATCGTACAATGTAGCGATATTTTTAGTGTTGTTTTTTATTTTTAACTTTTTTATGGAATTTTGGTAATTAAAATGAAAAGGAACCTTTGTTTATCCAATACGAATATAAGTGCGTGCTAGATTATCGTAATATTACTAGCGGAAAATATGAGATTAATATTTATAATGGATTAATGCATGCTGGTATGTATAGTCGACATGATGTTTATAACTGTTTGTGTCATACGTCAGTTACGTCTCAAAATCTGTTTTTCCCTGTTTCTAAAATATTCCATTCATTTCTAAAATATTCCATTCATGCAATCTATTTAAGTGTATAATGATGTGCTGTTTGTTTTAACCCTATATTATTGCGTAATTGTGTTTTCATGAATACCTCACACTTAATACGATGATAGAGTTCAGTTCTTTGTTTTTGATCGTATGACGCTTGCTGTTGATGGCGAATTTGCGCAAATTTCTTGATGACAATGAGTTCCAGTTTGCCTGCGTGAGATGATATCTATAGCTGCAACATGGTGAGGCAACATACACAAGACTGTATTATAATCTGTGAGGAAATAAAGAGCGTGCAAATCCAAACCCGTTGCATTGACTTGTATGATACGACGAATATAAAAAGTTTGCTCGATATGTGTAGGTCTTGGTTCAATGAATATGCACACGAATCCTTAAAAGTCATGGAATTTCTTAAAAGTCGTGGTTTAATGTCGCGGTAGCGTTGGTGCCTCATTCATGTCATGGTCATTCATGTCATGGTGATTTTATTTGTGTGGTTATATAGTAAGCAAGTCCAGCATTTTCCGAAGCTTCGAATTTTTTACGATTTTCATGTCCTTGAAAGTACTTAAAATGTTGCTTGGAATTCCTCCTTTTCTAGACTTTTCCGCGTCACGTATTTATTTGAGTATCTTTTCCGGCATCAACAAGAATGAAGTGAACAATAATTATAATTTGTAGGCGACACGAGCCCTATTTCTCGACATGGTGTTGGTTTAAATGGTTTTAAATAACATTTAATTATGTTGGTTTTGAGCATACCAGAAAGATTATAAATTGCATTTGATCAAAAACAGCAACACATCTGCAAGTTGCATAATTACAACTGACGCTTATTGCTATTTTAATGAACCATATGCCTGCAAACAGCCACGTCATTGATTTTCATAAAGCTACGTACACGTCTACACGGCTCATATGTGAGTATATCAGTACAAGATTTGCATGCCTGCAAAGACAGCAAGCACGCCTTGTTGATACAATATTTGCCTTATTTTTTTAAATGGAAAATTATTGTTACGCAAATAATTGTTTAAATCGAAATTCAATGCCTTCAGTGACTTCCTGCACTGCCCACATTCCTCGCCGGTACGGCCATATAAGCAAAAATGGTAGGGAACTGATATTGGCCTTAGGCTTAATGTGATATGGAACAATCGATTGTTCTTAAACCTAAGTCATAAAGACAATGATAAAGATATAAAGAATCACCTTTGTAGCTGCAGATCACAAGTATACAAAGAATAAGCAGCTTCATGGTGGTGGGTTTTAATAAGGATTTAAGGAATTCTTTGTTCGACCAAAATGACGAGTGGAGCGTTGAGGTAGCAATCCATATTTTAGCTCAAAGACTGTCTTTACACTCGACTATAACTTTATTTGGTGGCTGAGTCATGGCATTGCAAAGAACCCACAAAATGCTTTGTCATAAAGTCACATGAATAGGACAGTAATTTATATTGTTTCGTAATTTAGTCACGTTCGATGCAATTCCATTGGAACTAAAAATATGAAACCCATGCAAACCAATGCATGGAAGAATCCAACCGGTTAAGCACTTATCTTTGATATGGATTCTAAAACAGAAGAAAAAATATGTATTAGGATAAGATAAAAGTAAAATAAATCTTACAATGCTTATGTTGGTCAATGCTCTACTACGAAACGAAACAAGTATAGGATGATATATTTTACATATAAAGAATCCTATATATTCACCACGCAAGTTTTGATATTTTGCAGCTATTTTTTAATAGGTACTGAACACCTACAAGGCGTAGTCATCATTTGTCATTGTGATATCTGTTTCCCAAGCCATCAGTCATTGGTTAATTGTTCTTCTTTAAATAATCTGATGACGCAATACCATTATTGCTGACACCTTTCTTCCCCTTTTAACTATAATATTTACCTTTTCGCAATTTTTGCTGTTTCAATTTGATTTTATGTTACTCTCCATAGTACGCTACTTAAGAAATGACTTGATCAGTTTTGTGACTATTTTCTCTACTTTTTCATAGATATTTAAAATGCAAGATCGTGCTCCTGTATCAAAAGACACGGCTGAAGAGATGTTAAACAGAATTCTTTCGAAATCCAGACAAAAAAAGCAAAATGTCACCAGAGTGAAACGTTCTAATGATTGGGCCCAATTTATATTAGTTCCACCATATTGCGTTCCAGCCAGCGTTGATTGTCCTTGTGTTGCGTGTGGTTACTGCTGTAAAGGCCAGTGCAACGCGAACAATCAAAAGTAGGTGTTATATACATGTCACAGAAAGTCAGAATATATTTTATTGATAAAATGTTTAGTGGGAAGCAAAAGAAAAACAACCCAGAATTTACCGCTGAGAAATTCCTGTGTTAGACAGGCATTATTAAACCCACGTAATTACTTCATCACATGTGCTATGACATGTCCTATGATAGTGTTTGATGGCATTGTTTTAAAACTGCATGTGTAAGCCTAATGTTTGGGAATTCCTAACTTCAGTTGAAAGCTCATTCTTCTCAAAGTCAATTGACTTTTGCGACTTGGTAAAATCTAAATATTTTCTTGGATTCCCGTCACTTCTATGATAGTAAAATGCAATGCGTATTAAGAAAGGCGTATCAAAGAAAGGCGTTTTGCCAAAAAAATGGTTAACGTCATTCCTGCAAACATGCATGCCTCTTCTAAGCCGGATAATAATAACTGATTATATATTGTTTCTAAGCGGCATATTGTAAATTAATCGGAAATTGTGGTATGATTTGCGGTCCACCTAATCATAACAAGCTTTCCGTAGAATATCACCTTTTCTTTTCTATGCAGCAGGGAGTATTGACCTATATCTAAATATGGAATAACTGCATGGGGTAAAATTCGTTAATATCCGGCTTTCAACAAGAAGAAAATCTCCGAAATTCTTCGATTTCCACGCATTTCATGAAACATGCATGATTTACAAAACAATGATCTACCAAATTTTCTTCACCGACTGTATAACCACAGATGTTCTAAAATTTTACTAATTTCTTCTTCTGAGATAAAAGAAGCACTATCGCTTTTTTGTCTCGTGAAAGCAGCCCAACATGTCAAATCTGAGAACCAAATTGTATTTACTAACTATATATATATAATTGTATTATTGTACCTCATAGACCGTAATACTCATCTGCGTGCGTGCACAGGTGCATGTCGCTAACCTAGGCTCATTAGTCTCAATTTGGCATGAATGATTTTAATAAATGTGTCCGGCTGTGCCATATTTTAAATCACCATAACGACATAAGCCAAAAGTGCATCTAAACCGCACCGTATTGGCAAACAGCCTAACACGTCTTATTTCTTCAACATTAACTCGTCTGTTTTTTCAATTTTAGAAGAAAATGCGCATGCTGAGTTGATCTGACGCATCACTGGAGTGTCCACCAACGGTTAGTTCCTAACCATTAAAATGATTATTACTGGAACGCTATCTCATATGATACAAAGCTATTTCCGATTCGAAATCGCTGAACAAAAATTGAATTGTAAAAACTGTATTAAAGCATCTGTCATCTGTGTGTCAATATACTATTGCACAACTGAATATTAAACTTGGTAATTCGATCACAACCACAGGAGTATTTTTTATCTAAACATTCTTGGAGCCTAACAAAATTGAAGCGACACAACTTTATTTGATCAGCAACTTCTTGTCATATCACCTTATTTGCTATCGCATTATAGAAATAATTCGGCCTCAGAATTTCAGCCGAAGCTAACGTTCCAGTTATATTCATTTTAATCATTTTACAATCGTCCCAGCAAGGATGTTGTAAAACAAGACCCAAGTTTGAATTGTAAAACGCAGGTTACACTGCACTAGTTGACTCGAAAATTTCGGACAATATTTTAGCTTTTTAAATGAAATGCATCAATGATTTTACTTCATTTCCCAATGCCAATGAGGATGCAATTTCCGAGAATGTTGCTTAATTCAAGAAAAAAAAACATGTTTTCATGCAATTCTGCGTTTTACAATTTAATGAGTTGGGTTTCGCAAGATGCAGAGATAGAATTTAGAGTGATAGAATACATAGAAAGACCGGACAACTACGCATTACGCATCAACTCATCGCTAAAGGAATCTGCTAGAAGTCTGACCTTTTACCAAGTCCAAAAGAAGCTGAATATATCTTATACACTGACACAGAGTTTTTATACAAGATATATCTTAGCAAAAGTATACTCATTCATTCGCAGAACCAACTCAAAGAGACAAAATATCGAGGGATGTAAATATATATATTATATTTAAAATCATATTCCACCATATAGTGTGTATTTAGCTAAGTTGAAAATTTTGTAGGTTTTTTATCATATTCGTCCTCATAATATATTTGTGATTAAATCATACGATTACTTTTATATCTTCATAAACTTGATCTGTCCTTCTTAACTCGTTGCCTCAGTCATAGATACTGAAGCAAATTCTTTTTCTAAAGCTAAACGGAAAATTATAAGATAATTATAAGTGTAAATACAAACCAGTAACTTCTGCAAACCTGTGTTGTTAGCCACATTGTGGCTATACCAAAAGGGTGAAGCATTAAAAGTTGGCAAACAGCTGCGGCTTTCTTTCAACTCATTGTGCTGTGAGTGAACTGGCTTGGAATTGGCAAACTTTCCACTGAGTTGTACACATATTAGCTTAAATATTTGATCCCTGCATGGATCTGCGATCCAAAGGCAAAGGTACCCAATCCAAAGTCAAACAGCGTGTTTGGGTAATATTGTAGAGTAAACTAATACTGACTAGTCAAAACTGATTATGACAACATCGCGGTGGTATCAAAGGCGATGTTATTGCACTTAACTAAATCTGCAAATGTTATTTGTTTTGGAAACAAACTTTGCAAATAAATTAGTGTTTCTGAGACGATTTGCATCGTGACCAAATTGTCGTAAAAATGTCCATATAGTATACATTGTCTCAAACCTAATGCAGTTCTGGTGAATTTGTTTCACTTCTCATACAGTAAACCTTAGACTCAGAAATGCACATGAGAAGTACAGAACCATGCAAATGCATAATAAAAATCAACATACTTAATCTCGTTAACTTTGCATTGAAATCTAGAGAGAGATCTATAGCTCTTTGGATCTTTGCAACAGTCTCTGCTTTTTTCACAATATTGTCCTTTTTTAACACAAAATGGATAACGTCTCAGAGCTAATTGCCTTTTACTCTTCATTTCAATCAACTAAAAATGCAACAGAAATAATTATTCGTAGCGATGCTAAGGCAAAGCAATATTCACAACCGAATCACAAAAATACCGCTTCTCAACTCAACTAGGCCCAACCTAACTATACTATCCAGTGGCCAGTTGTATAAAAGATTAGTTTACTTTTAATTGTAGTTAAAGGCAGAATTGGTGAATCAGAGTCGTGTATTTCAGAGTTAACTAGGATTTAACTATGCAAAATGTAGTTAAAGAGTTTTATACAAACGGCCCCAGCCTATTTTGTTGGTCAATTATATGAATAAAGAAAAGGGCATGCATTTTCACATTCAATTCATTACACATTAACCGCGTGGAAGCCTGGGCAGGTTTTCCCTTCACTTTTATGAAACACGAAGATCATGTCTGTTTTTACTTTAGAGTTTCAACATGCTTTTCTCTCTCTACGTTATTAAAGAATGTGTGGTATTAAGTATATCTGCGTAAAGTCGTGATAAGTATAAGTATGAAAATGAAGTACTCTCTTCCTCACTTAATGTGTGGGTGAGACGTGATTAAACTTTAAAAGTGCCAGTTTTTTCAGTGTTCCGCTATTTCGAAAAAAGTGTAGTTCCGCAGTCGTTGTTATAAGTGATTTAATATGATCAGTTTGTAGAAAAAAAAGTCTGATGAATGATTTCATACCGTTATCCGAGCATCTGTTTCTGGTGAGAAACCAAAGAACAACAGAATCATAACGAAGACAAATAAATTTTTCATCTTTTTATCAAATTGGTCACTTTAATGTAGTCAAACTAAAAAAAGTATACTTTTAGCGCAAGACATGCCTAAACTCATATTTATACATTTTCTTAAATTCCTTGACCTTGCATGTATCCAAATATTTTGAATTCTTGTCATTTAGCTGAGTTTTAAAACATCAACAAAGGTAAAAAACATGAACAAAAATTTGCTAAGATAGCTAAGTATGCATGTCGAAACAGATGTTAAATTTTGTAGATTAAATCCACCAAACGACATATGAGATGGCTACGTGCACAAAACCACGGTAACGGTTGATAATTAAGAAATAGAAAACATTTTCTGTGCTTCTATACAGTTGTAGAAACACGCGTGCAGGAGTTTGGGAGAACGAGAAATTATCAGGGAAAACGAGTGCGTATAGGCCCCGCAAGTTGCATTCCTTATTTATGGTATATTTGTTAAATTTAGATGCGTTACTGCAGGAACATGGACCTAATTTGATACTTATTATTTAAATATCAAAAAGTTTTTGCTTGGAGCATTAAAACAATCGCGAAAGACAAAAATGTTTTTTAAAAAGCCCTCGAAAATAAAATTTGTGTGCAAGCAAATAGATTTATGACTACGGGGTTTTTCTGCCCAATTCATTACTGTTCAAAGATGTTGGTATAATTAATACAAAAGAAAGAGTTGAGTTACAGGTAAATATACTGAGATATCTTTATTGTTTTCATCCATGCTGCGAGTTTCGCAAATGTTAAAATTTCCTGATAAAGCTCTGTTATGTCCAGTGGTTTGTCTTTTGACGTCATACGAGCCGAGATCCAATCACAACAATACAGTCATTGACATGGCTATTGCGGGTACGATCTGTAGCTACCTAATGGGCTTTAGCGTCTGCTCAATTGTGATTTGATCATTTCATTCCATCATTGTGTGATATATTAAATATAAAAACATATCGCATACACGCACCCACACAAACACATACACGCACGCACGCATGCACACACTAAAGTGATGGCTGGGTAACCAAAACAGCCTGAGAAGCCAATTACTGTGGGCGCAAAAGATTAAGATCAAAACGTCTAAAAACAACAGTTCACTAGTTCAGTTAACGTTCTCGCACTGTTGCATTTCGGGCGGTTAGTTCTAAATGTTCTTGGTCGGATAATCACATTCTCCAATGCGGTAAAGTAATATCATTTGCATTACTGGCTTAAAAGACCTCAGGTTTTCCGTGCTTAAGTCTAACGTGTCCGTTAAAGTGTTCCAAGTTCTTATTGTTCTAATCCAAACTGATCTTTTGGAAAGTCGTTGTTCTAAATTGTGGTACTTCGTATTTTACTGTATTGGTGTTGTTATAGATGCTCTTGTGTTTCTCGTTTTCTTGTTGTTTTGATGTTCAGACGGGAAATGTTACATCACGGTCTGCACGTTATTTTCTCTGCTTACACGCGAAGATATATGTATATACTTGCAATTCATTTTTTTCAACTTTCTCATCTTATTTTGGTCGCAAAATCGTAATTTCTAGTATATTTAGAGCATTATTCTTAAACTGTAGATTGGGCAGCATATGTACTATATAGGTTCTGCATGGTATATAAAAACATACTTTTTAAATTAGATTTGACTTGTTTTGACGGTTGCCCTGGCTGTATATAACGTTTCCGCATTGCATGCAGGTATGCTTGTCGATCATATCCTGAACATAAGAGTTTTAGATTGACGTTGCAAACCACAAAACCGCCGCTTCTTTTGCACGTTTTGCTATTTCAATGACGTTATGTGTTTCATTCTTTTAACGTCATTTCAGTTTTGCCTCATTTCACATATGACCTCTATCCTATAGTGTGCATATATTAAATATATAAACTTTGCCGTTTGTGCCAATTTTCAAGTTTGCCGGCAAGCTAAATTGGTCAAAAAAGGGACGAACACTTTTCACTGATGACACATCGAAGTTTGATACGACGGTTTTATTCCAATATATTTTTTATGGTTCGGAATTATTACTCTAGGCCTATTATTATTATTATCTACCATCTACCATTCCAGTCGTATTATTTTATACAGCATTATCCAGTGCATGTCTTATTAGATTATCATTCTCGACTAAATGTGGTACAGTAACTTTTAGTCTCTGGTCTTGAGCCATAGCTCTATCTACGGTCAATTTAGCATTGTCATTACCACTCCAACATCTTCTTGCGACCTGCAATGAAACACATTTGTGAACCTAACCGCACACTCTATGGAACCCTTGCATAGGTTGGTGACGATTTATCAGTAAACCATTATCGCTATTTTATAAGCTATGCCAATGAGATTTGCTTTTTTACGGACCCTGCATGTAAACGCCTGTTGGAATCACGATCTTTTTTAAGGTATTAGGAAGGAAATATGAGATGAAATAGTTCAAGATTCTAGCATGAAGGAAAACTCTGTCATTAATCGTTGTTCGTTGCAAGGTGAAGCTTAGTTTCAACTATTATTGATGGACATGGCAAGAAAACTTAAGTCAGGAATTTCAAGCGCGCGAACTCACTCCATTTTATCCCGATAACATATATTCTTGGCACGTATTCCTGCATCCTAAAAAAAACAACTTAATCAATAACTGACGAAGGCCCTCAGGTCGAAACGTCGAGAAGTGTTTTGTCTATTTAGGCAGTTGTTATACCACATTTGATGCTAAATAATTAACAAATTTTAATAGTTGTTTTCAAGATATTTACCTCAGAGCCATCCAGAACCAGCCCGAATCCGCCATTCGTCACTTCGCCCCTTGAAAAAATGAACTTAACACAGTTAAACTTCCAGATATTTCTCAACTTATCAAATCTGAAATCAAATTAAAATAAGAAAAATTGTTTTTATGATTTCACATACCATCCAACCCCTCCACCGTTGTGCAAGCTAACCCACGTGGCACCACGAAATGAATCTCCAATGACATTTTGAACGGCCATATCTAAAATATTAGAAAAAACCTGCGGTAAAAAGTGTGTTTTCTCTATCTTGTTCACTATAATGAGGACATTGTTTACCTGCGCAAAGATTAGATCCGTCAAAAATATTCGATGTTTCTCGGTAGGGACTGAAACACAAATCCAATGAATAATTTAGGGTATCTTGATTGGAATTGAAGAATTGTCCCAATCTGATTTTAAAATTGATTTTACAGTGTTTCTACAATTATGGCAGCTCAACACAGATCTGTTTGACAATCACGTTTTGACAACCGTGTATACTACATCATCTTTTTACTCTTTTTTATTATAACCACGGGGGAAATTTGTGTGTTTTCACTTGCGTGCAGCTGAAACACGTTTACTGTTGTACGCATGCGTTACCTATCTGTTCCGCTGACATCGTGATGGTCCCGACTTACAACAATAGGACCCTGGAAAGAAAGTCAAAAAACATAAATAATCTAAATAAGAATCATCATATTTGAATTTATTTTTCCCAGACCGTACCTTAATTCTCTTGCTTGCAATAGCTTCATTAAACGCCATGGCGATAGACACTCTTCCATTTTGGTCCGAATACAAAATACGAGCTTGTGAGCCAACAACCTGCATGGTGTTGAAAACATTAACCGATTAGCTCGTCGTGCTCGTGCTGGCGTGCACCATGTTGCTTTCTGCCGCATTGCCTCTTACCAGTTTATTCTCTTGCGCTTTTTTAATCCACTTTATATTGTCTTCATACTGAGGTTTTACTTCTTTTGGAACTAGATATTGAATAGATATTAGGCAGCTTAGACCGTTTTGTTTATTATTCATCTCTGAAGAACGTCTAGTAGGTTTGCTTCAAACTCACCATCTTGTTTTATGATCTTCTCCAAAACATCTGTCGCAATCTTGTCTGACTCCTCCAAGTCCTCAGGATATCCTGATGTACAAACCCACCTAAAATTTTTAAACACTTCATAATATGATATTATGAAATATGTGTATCCCCCGAAAGCATCAAAGTAAAAAATATTGAAGCTTGCTTACCGGAACGGGCCAAACCCAAGTGAGAATATATTGCTTAAATAAATGAAAAAAGTTATTTCATTTGGATACGACAGGATTTAAACTTGGATTGTACACTTGATATATGAAAGGATGTTTTGTGATTCTGGTGCAGTCAATGCATGGGATTGGGTGATATATAAACAAAATAATAAATGTAATAAAATAATTCATATTGAGTTCATGACCTATTTTACAACTGACCCCATAATATCCTGGACATAGGAAGGATAACGGAAAGTTCCATCTTCTTTCAAACCAACGTCAGCACCTGAACATTGGAAATACCCTACTTGTCAAGCCTAGTTATAACCATTTAAAATTCACTATCTTTTAATATATTTGCTCACCAGCTCTGCTTGCTTCGAGTAGAAATGCATTTCCATAATCAAAAAAATACATCCCTTTTTCGGATAACTTATTAATTGCAGACACTTGTCGTTTTAGACTAAAGTTTTACAAACGAAAACATATAAGTTTTTGAGTGAGTATACAACAAACAAAGGAATGAACTTTCTAGAGCTAGCCATCATCCGTGTAATACTCGAAGAGTGAAGATGGTACGCGTGAAGAGGATACCAATAGATTTACCTTGCTTGCACGGCATCCTTGAATTTCAGTGGATCATCAATCATTAACTGATTGGCCTCTTCAAAACTTAGCCCGACAGGATAGTACCCGCCATTATAAGGATTATGGAGTGAGGTTTGATCTGAACCCATATCTACCAACATCACATCCTCTTCTGCAAGTCTTTCCCTAAATTACATTTTTTTTAGACGGTAAAAGCTATCATGCAATTGTGTCTGAAATCTGAACTAACTGCATGCTTCGTAAATATGAACTATGCCCTATCTTACCAAAGATCTACAATATTTCCATGAAAACCGAGGCTTAATGGTTTCTTTTCTTCTCTTGCGTTCCTGGAGAACAGTTTTGCAAGTTACAAAAACAAAAAAGACTAAAAAGCGAATGTTGAGATGTTGTAATTACTTTATTCTTTGAATGCATTGATCCAGGTTTTCTGAAACTTCCATAAGCCAGCTGGAAAAAAAGACGGGACATTATTTCATAGAAGTTGGTTATGACATTGATGTGATTCGTTTTGTGGTTAGTCGGATGCTTTCGTTTGTAAATCTAGTTTTTAATTTATTTTTTTATTACGAACCCTAGAACTAACTTCGTAATATTTTGAGAAATGTTTTGTGAAGTCTTGTAAAACCTAAATTTTTCGAAAATAAACAATGTTTACCCCTGTTTATGACGTTTCATTAGTGCTGCTCCATTGACCTAAATCAAACAAGAAATTTCATTCTAGCTGGCGCAAAATTAAATAGTGTTTCAAGAAGCTCACGAAATATCGACTGTCGCTCACCTCAGCGATCACCCCGACACAGCCACAGATGGTCGCAGCCTTGGCCTGGGCACCACTCATACCTCCAAGACCGGAAGTGACGAAAACACGACCAGCAAGCTCTGACGTGTTGAGATGACGTCGTGCGGCATTGAGTACAGTAAGTGTTGTACCGTGTACTATACCCTGGGGACCAATGTAACAATAACTACCAGCTGTCATCTGACCAAACATTGTGACACCGAGAGCAAACAGTTTGTCATAGTTCTCTTTGCTTGAATAGTTTGGTATCATCTGTGAGGGAGGGAGGGGGAGGAAGGGAGAATTTAAAACCTTTTTGTGCAGAACTGCAGCATTGTAATGAATGGGAAGACGTGTGGATTTAGTAGAGACATGTAATGCACTATATGTATCAATCTAAGCTTCTTCTTTTATTGGATAGAAATATTAGAATCATTTTACTATCAAACAGTAAAGGCCCTGTTACACGGTGCGATTATTCCTGCAACTTGCAATGCAATTCTTCTTTTGAGAGATGTAAATTTGGCAACTACCAAACTTTCGTCTTTATTACGCTCCATGACCATGGCGTTTCTTACACTTACATTTTGAAGGCTCTCCACTAATTTACATCTCTTAAAATTAGTATTGCGTTGCAAGTTGCAAGAAAAATTGCCCGTTAACATGGCCTTTAAGAATGCCTGGTTTCCGTGTCGTGAACACGTCAAGGTGGTTGATGTGACAGAATATCGTAGCCTCTGATATACGACATGTTTCGTGAAGTTTGTTCTGTGCAAATTTCTTTTATCAGGAGGAATTTACGCATTGATATTAAAGAAAATAGATGAGAACCCTAAACAACAATTACTGTTGTTTTCTGATGTGCCAAATCAATAGTTCTGAAATAAAATTGAAATACTGTGTGTCCTCTGAGACTGAGACTACGACAATGCAATCACCAACCATCAGAGGTAAGCGCATAGTCACACTCAACAAAAATCCTGCTCAGTATCTTTCAGTTCTGACCGACCAGTCCTTGGTATGATTTCAAAAGAGATTGATAATGGTCTAACATGTTTTCCATCCATACTATTTCAATATCATGGCAAGAGTGACTGATATGAGATACCATTACTTTATGCCAATTAAATTATCACAAATTGAACAATGAACACCTACCATTCCATTTGTAACAACAGCCCGAGGACTTGATGGAGAACTGGGAAACAGTCCTAATGGATGTCCAGAGTACATCACCAATGTTTGTTCTTCTGTCATGATGGAGAGGTAATGCATTACCAGACGAAACTAGAATTGAGGGTAAATTAATATAAACATATTTATGTGAATATTAATTTATCAGTATATGTTAACAGACATGATGAAACACCACAGTCTCCATTTCCTTTACATAGTCATATTAGATATGATGGTACATGAAGTAATTGTTAAGCAAATAATGATTATTATAAAAAAATACAAAGCTTGAATTAGGATTCATTGAGATTCTTAAGCTCTTGCTGGTATAAGTTACGTTGCTAGGCTTTTTTATACCACTCTTGATTTCCTAATTTGAATTACATACCTGTGCCCAATTAGAAAAAACCTGACCATTTCCCCCATAGGTTACCAACTCATGTGGAAACTAAAATATATTTTTACATATATCAGGAGACATAAATATATAAAAACTAAACTGTGGTGCAACTATAGTGGTAAAATTTCAGACCTGGGCAACTTTGGGATCAAGGTTATTCATTATCATCAACATTATAGCTGCAGCATGTTTAACCTTGCATGGATATTCATCAATATTATATGCTCTGAATAAAAAATAAATGTTTTTAGTTAGTAAAGTTTTCTTGCAGAGGGGTTTCAAAGTTCATCCTCAATCCTCATTACAAATTAACATCTCAAGCAATACAATTGTGCATTTGTACAGATACAGGCAGAGCCAATTAAGTCATGGCATACTTCATTTCCAAAGTAGGTCGAAAGCGGTACATATAGATATGTCCATGTTTTCTTAATTCCTCTGCAAATTCAGGTGCAAGCTCTGTGTGTGTTTCTTTAGGGAAATATCTCAGTGCATTCTTTAAAGCCAACTGCAATGAAATATCAAGAAAATAGAAGAATGTTGAATGGAAAAACTTGAAAGGTGCTGTTGTACATGCTATCAGTATATATATTATATACACTGGGATAATTTTTTTTTGTATCCAGCCTCCCTTTAAGATTGTATTAATTTGCATTATGACAATATGATCTTAGACTGTGTTACACACATTGCAAAAACAAAATAAATAATAAAAAATAAATAATGTATACAGTAGACCTATGCACTCAATTTGAAACCTTTTGTCTCCCCATGCATCTTGCAATATGCATCACTGTTCAGCATTATTCTAGCTGGCCGGTTAATAATGTATATGTCAAGCTTTCTGGTCAATCAACACACTAAACTGGCTTGTGTGCTGTTACCTTGACCAGTTGATTCCGCAAAAATTGGAGACATGCTATGGTTCATTGAGTGGCGCTACTGTATATTTCTTATACTGTGTGTGAATAATCAATAAGCATTATAATACATCTCTATATAGGGTAAATTGTATGCAATGAGTGAGTTGTAAGAAGCAGCTTAAAACCAGGGATAATTAAGTATAATTTTATTATTACACTTTTAAGTTTTCTACAAGATAAATAGCAGGGGAAAATTTGATATGGGACACTATTAAAAGTTAAAACAAACGCTTAGCCACGTAAATGACGTAATAATACACGATACACAATATTCAATTTAATAATTTCAAACAGACTATCTTCTCACAATTTCGTCATTCTTTGACAAGTTTGCGTTGCGTTTTGGCGCATGAGGTACACTGTGATCTGTAGCTTGTTTTGGTGGTAATGGTCTAAACGGTAAACCAGAGCAGATCTCTTTTAACGACGCCATGACATTGGAAAAACTTGAACGTAACAATATTTCTTTAATGACTTTTGTAATCGTCCAATATGAACGCAGCATTCATAATGCTATATTGATAATTATGGAAGGGGTAGTTGGCGTAGGAAACTTAGGAAGAAAACTATGTTTTTTCTTAGCATCTTAATGTCAGTACCGAAAGGCCTGATAGTATTGATCTTTATGTTTACTGTCTTCTTAAATGGGATATGTTAAATAAATGGTAAAACGATAAATTTGTAAATGTTTTTCCACCGCATGTCCCCACCCCCGCAAAGTTATTAGAGAGAGATTTCGTCTTCAAGAGGTGTCGTGGAGGCGTGGCAAGTGTTTGTGGTGGGATCGGTGCCGGTGTGGTCATAGCCAGACATAAAAAAACAACAACAATGTTTTCACTCTCGTGGAGCTCGCGCGTGGACGCGAGCTATTAACGCGAGCTATTATTACGGAAAGGTCAAGTTTTTTTTACTAAAAAATACTACAACGTTTGCTAAAGCTTGAATATCTTGCAAATTACTAATAAAAACAATAAAAAATTTACAGCGTTTTTAAGCGCCAGTAATTTGATTACATTCTCCCGACGTTTAACTTTAAACGCTTATTTTAAGGATGCTAAAAAGGCAAATGCTTTTCGAGAGTGACAAACTTTTTCTAACTTTTTGTCGTAATAATAGATTGAGTTGACTCGCGTTACACGCGCGAACGCCACGAGAGGGACTGCCCAAGTGACGAGAGATAAATGGTGAGATGAAATAAGTTTTGCGTTTGATCATACAATCATAATAATTACAATCATGATAGTACATGTAAAGTTCGGAGACGAATGTTTAGTTATCCCTTGCGAAGATGGCAAAAAGTCTGTAAAATGGTTGATTACGGAAGCTGTGAAAAGATTTCGTACTTTACAAAGAACAACAAATATTCCAAATCAGCCGTGTTTATATTTGCCTAACAGAGGGGGTTTGTTATGGCCAAGTGATCCTATTGAAAGCGTATTGAAAGATAATGGATTTGCTGAAATGAAACGTAAGATTGTGTTAAATTAACCGTTTAATTCGTAGACTATGACTTGAATTCTAAACCAAAAAAATACTGAAAGTTGAAATTTAAACTCGTCTTTCCTTTGTGAACTGGCAAGTTACTGTGGTACTGTAGTAGTGTAGTTATTGCCAGCATATAGAGACACCTTGGGCTTGGGCCAGTGGTATTATGCCCTTATCCACTTAAACGGTGGATAAATTTGAATATCACTCTTGCATCTCTCATGAACGAGTCAACTTGAATATTATGTACTTTAATATGTAGTTGTAAACAGTATTTTTGTTTTAAGGTTAAAATCATTAAGTTCGCTTCTTGAATAAAAGAACTTCCTTTCTATTTTGTCTTTGATACAACCGGCCCCCATAAGGCCAGAACGACGCGATACAATATCCAGTGACGTAAACTCTGGATAATCCAAAAACACAAAACACCTTTACGCATACATTTTCAACGATTGAATATAATTCTGAAATGCTATATGTGATGTTGTAAGCAATATTGTGGTATTCATGTCGAACTATCTTTAGTTTTCTCTTTCTTTAGTCCCGCTATGCAAATTGCCACGAGTTACTATAATTATTTATTTCTTTAGAAATTGATTGTTTCACAGTCATTGAACACCAGAATATTAGCATAGTAGGACTAGGATAACACACGAGCGTGGTTATCGAGCTTTGAAAATATGCTCAATATGTTAAATTAGCTTCAACGTTTCATTGTAAGTTGACGATGTTTGGAAACCGTTTGGCATGAAAACGAAAATGAAAAAGCTCGAAAACGTTACCGTGTACTGTAGACATTGTCATTCAAGGTCAGCTAAGCTGAGAAAGTCCAACGCGAATCCAATACTGATTCTTTTTTTAACTTTTTTTATGAAAATAATTTTATTTAAGAATTATCGAGCCTTTATTTAGCACAATTAGATTTATTGATGGCCTAAAGTTTAGTTTTGACAACCCAGTATATAGACCAAGTCGCTCAAAGAATCGATAAAAATTGTTTGCGTTGCCATTGGGGTTTAATTAATAAATGTATGGTTGAATTTTTTACAAAAAATATGTTAGGAAAATGTGTAATCACTGTAATGAGATAAGCGTACTGCAACTTAATTTAATCTTTTTATCCATCCCTGCATGTGGCAAAATGAAAAACTATATCATGCTTGTGTTGGGCTGTGTCCGCTAGCTGTGACTTGCCGAGGGTCGCAACTCGCAACACGCGGACTGGATCAGACCAATGGTCAGACCATCAACGCAGACCTGCTAACCGTTGACTGGACAAATCAAATGCAGAGATATGGCACGTCGGGATAACGTAGGCATAGATATCAGTGAAGCGTAATCAGGGGTTTATATACGACTGGTCTTATTAAAATGAACGCACAGTGGACTGAATGCTTTGACCTGGGTGTGAACGTTGTCAACAAAACAGGTGACCGGACCAGATCAATTTTTGTAATGTGAACGGGCTTTACCTAGTCCTGACCAATTTTCAACTTAATAGTGAAATCTATATGACTATATAGGATCCATACAAGTAATTCTACTTGTTCCAAGTGTTTTGTCAATTTAATATCATCTGCGAGAAGGACAGTGTGAACGTGGCACATATTACCTAGAACTGTCCAAGAACCGGTCCAGGCTAGTTATCTAGGTATCTAGTGCAAGTCATTGTGATTGATGATAAACCATTTTTGTTGAGCCTTAGCATGCATATGAACCATAAATAATTTGCAGAATAAAGAAGAGAATCATGGAAACAACGCTCTTGATGTCAGTGGACAGTCAGTTACCTCATACTAACCAGTATAACCAACTGAAATTAATACACTGATACAACCCAGAGGTGAACATCCACCATTTTCTCGGGTAGTTAAATCAAAGCATTTGACTAAAAGAATCGCGCTACGATGAAAAAAACTTTGACTTCCCCTTATGATGTAAAATCGGTTTGCAAGAACGAGTTTAAACTGCACTCAAAGAAATCAGCGCACAAAAAAACGTTAGTCACTTTCAACGAGCGACAACTTGCAATTCAAATTAGGTTAAATAGAATGCTCTCGTTTGCATCGCGAATTCCCTTTTCCAGTAAGTACGACACTTTAGCTATAGAGACTACGAGTACAAGATTCGTCATTTTTGCGCCAAGCTCGGTGCTTTTCCCTACGCCATCTGACGAAACTCGTTCGGTAATTACGTCACAACTTTTTAACATCACAACGTTTTAAGTTTAGATCCATCCAGTGGCGTAGCCAGCCCGAAATTTAATCATGCTGTGCTAATATTTTGGTGTTCATTGACTGTGAAAACAATGAATTTCTAAATAATTTAATAATTCTAATGACTTGAAATTTGCATAGCATGACCAAATTGTCAAGCTGGTGTTACGCCACTGGATCCACCTTATATGAAATGGATTTCAACTTTTACTCTCACGAGCCACGTGCAAAGATGCAAAACATCCTTCTGCAACACATACATGAAAAACATCTTTTATTTTGACCAATAAATCAGTGGAAATAAGCCATAATAATAATTGGTAATAAATGTTTAGAACTTTCAGAATATCAGTTTGACACGCTTTTAGTTCGCTATACTTTTAAATGAATATGAGAGAGAGAGTATATGTTCAGAGATGTACGAAACGTGCAAAATTTGAGCAATTTTCAAACAAGTAGACAACCCATTGTTATGAGCAGAACTGATGCGCAGAAGTGACTGACTATAACCCCCACTTTTTAAGTTGTTTGTTCATTGAACATCGTCCTTTACAATCATGATAGTACATGTAAAGTTCGGGGACGAATGTTTAGTTATTCCTTGCCAAGATGGTAAAAAGTCTGTAAAATGGTTGATTACAGAAGCTGTGAAAAGATTTCGTACTTTGCAAAGAACAACAGATATTCCAAATCAGCCGTGTTTATATTTGCCTAACAGAGGTGGTTTGTTATGGCCAAGTGATCCTATTGAAAGCGTATTGAAAGATAACGGATTTGTTGAAATGAAACGTAAGATTTGTTAAATGAGGTTTGGTTTGTGTTGAATGAAGTTTGATTTGTAGACAATGCTTTCGGAATTTAAATCTAAGAACTAGAACATTGAGATCTCGTGACAAATTGACTGTTTTACACGATTTATATTGCTGTCACGTAGTCATTTCCAATAAGCCCAGGCTCTGAAAAATCTGTCTTCTGCCTCAATACATATTTAGGTTGGTACGGATAAAGTTTGGACCATCCATTTAGGTAGTCCAAATGTCATCATTCTCAATGTTATCTGTAACAAAACTCAAATCGAACATTAAAGTCAAAATACGAAATTCCCCACTTCTGTCGTCTGCCGCCATATCCTGTGACGCACATTAATTAACCGTCAATCACAGAGGCATTTTTACAACTACGAGAGCGATTTTTTCCAGCTATATTTAGTATTTTTCCGTTACAAGAAGTGTTAACAAATATAATTACTTGTTTAATATTTCTATGGAGAAATGATATTTAATTAAAATTTTCCTGAAAGGAAATATTAATGGTAATTTCATTAAAGTACCAATAAAACCAATAAAAGTAAATTTATATTCTTGTAATTTTGCATGGTGACATCAAATTATAAATTATAGCTTTTTATTGCACTGATGAAGGCCCGGGTTAACGGACCGAAAGCTTTGCAGTATTAAATACTAACGTTGTGTACCTACTACAAACTAATTTACTTTCAAAAGTAAATTAAACTAAATTTACCGAGATACGCATCACTGGACTATAGTCTTAAGAGTTGAACTACAGCTAATTCAAAAAGAGGTTGTCGTTCAACAACCTTAAACCATTAACTCTAAGCGCGCAAAGAATAACGAGAATTTCCACTCTGGCGTAATTATATAAATTCATATTCAGTTGTTTATTGCGAGGAGTGCGATTCAAACGCTTTATTATATTTTTCCAAAAGTGTCGCGGTAATACTGATACAGATTGCAATGGGCCTATGTATACACATGATTTTTTTGGAATGCAACAATTTTGGTTTTAGATATTGCCAAAGTCTGTATATGAGTGCTATACGGCGCTGATATGCCGAAGTCACATAAAATGCACGACAACTCTATATTTAGTGCCAGGTTTTACAATTTTCTAGCAAGTTATTTTCTGAGGAACTTTAATTCCCAGATTGTTTCATTTGATTGTTTTCAAAACGTGGATAATTTTTACTGCCGTATCTCATAAAGACATAATATAATAGATATGCAAAATACAGCCACACTCAAATAATATTAAAAGTATGAAAATTGACATCATTAAATTTAGAAGCTATATAGTTACAGCGTCCCATATATAGCGATGGCGATGCTCATCAGATGAAACACGCAGTATATTTGTTGCACTCAAGTTGTTTACGCTCTATACGGGAGCTCTATACGTTCGGAAGTCGATTCGTTTGTTAAACGAGAGGAGATTGCATGATATTCAAAATTCCCAGTCTTGCAAGCTAAATAGACGAATTAGGTACACACCGCTTCCTCTTCAAAAAAGGCAAATTTACAGTTAATAGCTACAGTGTGCTGCATATTTGAGGACAATCTACATGGCAAGCAAATATTACTTTATCAGGATAAAATTCGTTATCCCTATAATTACCGTATTTCCTATATAACTATTTTATATTTCACGAGTTTTACTGCAATGAAAACGTCAAGGAAAAATTGCTAAAATATATTGATATAAATAATTTTGAGTTCTGCATTTGTTTTGAGTTTCTGCAAATGTTTGATTTGTACTGTAAAATGTAAACTATAACATTTTATAAATTATATATTTTTCCTGTGTTTCTATATAGTTATAGAAACACTTGTGAGAGTTTGGGAGAATTTGAAATAACGTGGAAAAACTCGCCCTACGCGGGCTCGTTTCCTACTGATTATTTCTCGTTCTCCCAAACTCCCACGCGTGTTTCTACAACTGTATAGAAACACGGAAAATGTTTTCGATTTCCTATTATTGTATAGCCTTTTGTTGAAATAATAACATTATTTGTTCGTTTTCATTTTACAGAATCAAATGAAGAAAGAGATGAGGAAACGTATCCACCGCAGATTATGAAACTATAATTATTAAACACTTCTCTTCCGCATGAAGCAAGTTATGACCCTCCTTGCATGGTGATATGTTTGTATGGTTGAATATAGTTTCCATGCAATTGCATGAAATGTGGTGGAACAGCTGCATGTCTGCATGAAATAGACAAACGCATGACTTCTCGTCGTTTCGACCTAAAGATGTTCCTCGACTACCCTGACGAAGGCCCTTAATTCGAACCATCTAAAATTATTGGTCATCCATCATGGATTATGGATATCCACCTAAATTCACGCAGCCGGTTGTACGGATAATGTTATCCATGGGATAGTGATTTTTTCAACCATTTTAAACACGCTTGAAAAGCACTTTAAAACTATAAATCACAGATTTGGAGCTAAATATTATGAAAGATAACCACCCAATTTAAGACTACCAAGTTCATGGTTCACAGTTGTCGTATAAGAGTCTGGCCTCCCTTTGTCTGTGCGCAAAATCTTTTATCTGTCGGAAAATAATACAATGGATTCCCTATTCGTAAGACAAGTGTGAGCCAGGCCTTAATTCGGGTTATACCAAATAACGGGTGATTTTAGAGCGATTAAAAAACCACTATCTGGTGGATAGCGCTATCCAGCTTTTGTACAACCGGCCCCTGACGAATATAAAATGAAAAGTCTTGATATTAAACTCCTTTACGATGAAATACCTACAGACCAGGAAGTAAAGTTCAACGCGGTGTTCACACACCATCAACGGTAAAATGACATTTTTAAGTGTTTTGTTGAAGTTTCGACCGCGGCGGCTAAACCTTTTTATACTGATATCCGTGTAAATACATGCAGGTATTGTTGGATGGAAGTAGTTTAACAACAGAATTACTTGCCAAACTTGGAACTGCGTGTTGCAAAATACAGGTGAAAAAGTACAAATATTAATTTTTCAAAAGTTTTATTACTACAATAGTCTATACATTACTAAATGAATGAAGATTTTCTTTGATATCATTCTTGAATTTTTTGGACTTCTTGAAGATATCAGACGACGCCAGGCGACGCGTCAAAGAAGGAAGAGATCTTGTTGAAAGCATTGTCAGTGAAGGCAGAGGTATGAAACTTCTGATTTCATCATTTACAGGTTTTATTAGCAAATATTTGGCGGGAAAATCTTGTATTTGGTTTCCAGTCAGAAGTACTTATTCAGTTAAAAGGGATTATAATTTATAATCGAGATCATTTTACAGTTGTTTATGGAATTAACACTGGATTTGGAAGCTTTAAACAAAAAGTTATACCAGCTGATAAACTTGGGTATGTTTAAAATGAAAAATCAAATTACCATAGCTATATAGCGTCAGTTTTGACAGTAATGTTTTTGTTAGCGCCATATTTCACCTTGACTCTAACAATCCTCTTACCGCCGTCCGTTGCTTACCATTGTAGAGAACTTCAAGAAAATTTAATAAGATCTCATGCCGCAGGTCTGTACCATATTGAACTAAACAAAATATATTTTTGATTGTGGTTGTACTACACGAATAAAAACAGTAAACATGGCAATGTCATTCATATTCTTGTCGATGTATAACTAGTTTCATTATGAAATTCCTCCAACGAATGTACAGTTTTGCATTGTCAATTGCAGTTGTCTCGTGTAACACCGCTTCCATTATACACTTGTATACTCACATGGGGACATATTCATCATCATATAGGGGTTGGGAACTCACTTACTCTAGAACAAATCAGAATGGTTATGGCTCTTCGTATTAATGTCTTAGCAAAAGGTCATAGGTGAGTTCACGAGTCTTTCTTCTAATTTGTATCAACCTGAGATGTGTAGTGTGAAGTTTTGTAGTAACATTTATTGGTATTTGCGAGACAGTTCATGATACCTAATGTATACTAATTAAATATTAAATATATACTATACCTACCTACCTATAGTGGCATTTCCCTGGAGAACCTGGACAAGATCGTGGAAGCTTTAAACGGTAACACTAAAATCACTTTTGCTGTTGCTGCAGCAAGATGCATTGTTTTTTAACTTTTTTATTGAAATCTTAGCTTCGTGTCTACCTTGGATTCCTGAGCAGGGAACCTTAGGAGCAAGTGGTGACCTTGCCCCGTTAGCTCACCTTGCGCTTGGCCTCATGGGAGAAGGGAAAATGTGGAGTCGTAAGAGTGGTTGGACTGATGCGAAACTGGTTGGTTTATTGTCAGATGTTAATATTATCTTATAATATAAGATGCTTGTAGGAAGAATTCTCATACCAATAAAGCTGCATACACTGTCCCATAACTCAAATCAAAGTTCGTGAAAAGAACTGTGTCCTGTGGAGTTTTAGCAATAACGAAAGGCGGCAAAGCAAACCATAAATTATATGCCCTCTCAGACCAAAACACGTCCGTGTCTCCATGAGGCCGATCTAGCTTTTTGTGGGATGACATAACGTTTACAATGCATCCCACCACCTTTAAAAAATCTTTAGAGTACTATAGTATTAAGTAATTAAGAAACAAAACTACAATTAGCACAACGGTAGATTATACTGTGGAAATAAGAGGATAAATAGATGTCGTAGTTTTAACGGTTAGGAAAAAATTTCATGAATCGGTTATGCTGGCTGTTATTTTAGGTATTGGATTCTCATGGATTAAAGCCAATAAAATTAGGACCTAAAGAGGTAATGTCATGAATAACTTCGTTCGTTGCCTGGAAGTTGAATAGGAGTTGACTAGGAGTTGCCTGGGAGTTGCCTGGGAGTTGCCTGGGAGTTGACTAGGAGTTGCCTGGAAGTTGACTAGGAGTTGCCTGGGAGTTGCCTGGGAGTTGACTAGGAGTTGCCTGGGAGTTGCCTGGAAGTTTACTAGGAGTTGACTAGGAGTTGCCTGGGAGTTGCCTGGGAGTTGACTAGGAGTTGCCTGGGAGTTGCCTGGAAGTTTACTAGGAGTTGACTAAGAGTTGCCTGGGAGTTGGCGAGGAGTTGCCTGGGAGTTGCCTGAGAGTTGACGAGGATTGCCTAGGAGTTGACGAGGAGTTGCCTGGGAGTTATACTGAATGCCATATTGTTATTGTTAGATCAGTTGTTGATCAGTTTTACTAAAATATAATAGAATTTTAATTTGACCTAACTGTACTTTTAATCAACGACTAAAATCTAACAACTTTTTATTACTACATTGGGTCCTGAAAAAGACTAGCTAAATTCCTCTTTTAGAATCTGCTGGTTTTGTAGCATGATTGGATGTAGGTTGTAGCTTATCCAGGCAGCTCAGAGGTTTATTCAATGTTAAAAAAATGCTAATTGACTCTAGGGTATAGCAATGATTAATGGTACACAGTTAATAACTGCCGTTGGAAATGAAGGTATAGTTTCACTGAAGGTATTAACGTATAGTTATAGTTATAATAGTTATCATCTTGCAAATTAATAAAAAGTTACGCCAATATCTGATCATATGAGACCTTTCATCTTAGGATGGACTAAGAACGGATATGAAATTAGAGCTATTCTGTTAATAGCTTTGTATTGTTATACGTTTACATACATTTTCCGTCGTATAAGTTTTCCTATTGTAACAAATTAACTGTTAATTTTTTAGCGTTGGTTCGCGCTATTGCAATCTCACGCCAAGCTGATATTATCGCTGCCTTATCACTGGACTGCTTGAAAGGAACTTCACGAGCGTTTGACAGTCGAATACACAATCTACGACCTCATAAAGGACAGATCACTGTCGCTCAGAGGTTGAGATCTGTGCTACATTCTGACTTCTATCCTTCTAAAATTGCTGGTGCGTACATGCACAGTGAATGGGATATTAGTTTTCCCATGAGGTAGAATCAGAGATGACTACCAGATAGCATCAGAGATGTCTACCAATAGTCAGATAGCATCAGAGATGTCTACCAATAGTCAAATAGCATCAGAGATGTCTACCAATAGTCAGATAGAATCAGAGATGACTACCGATAGTGAGATATAGAATCAGAGATGACTACCAATAGTCAGATAGAATCAGAGATGTCTACCAGATAACTAGTAGAATGACTACCAATAGTCAGATAGAATCAGAGATGACTACCGATAGTCAGATAAAATCAAAATTGACTATCTTCATGCACTTTCATGCATCAAGTCTACTTGGTACATCTAACTGCTAAGCGAGCCACGCATTCCCCAATTTGGAGCTAGTTGAATAGCGTTTCTGGCCGTGTAACTTAAGCATTTCTGGCCAGTAACGGAATTAAATGAGAACTTTACTGATCAGAGGTGCTGCTTTCCTTCGCATCGTTGAAAGTTCCATTCCTGATCAACTTGCCCTCCATTTTAGAAAGTCATCGTTTTTGTGACAAAGTCCAAGATGCGTATACTTTGCGATGTTGTCCGCAGGTATTAGAATAATGCATGTGACATGTAATAATTTTATGATGAAACGAAATTCCTGAAGAATATACAATATCTTCATCCATATCTTCATAGGTCCACGGTATTGTTTTGGATACGATAGAATTTGTCAAGGGGATCCTAACAACTGAGATGAACAGTGCTACAGACAATCCCGTATCTTTTGCTAATATTATGAAGATACACGTAACAATCACACTGATCCTTATTCTTTCACCAATCCTTGACTTAATGTTAGATGATTTTTGCTGAATCAGGTGAATCAATATCAGGCGGTAATTTTCATGGCGAGTACCCAGCCAAGGTGCAGAACATTACAGTTGCCATTTATCATCGTATTCTATCTATCACATTTAGTTGAAACCTAATTTACTCTTATAAATCAACCATTTCATTGGAAAACTAATTTAGGCCTTAGATTATCTGGCTATTGGTATCCATGAATTAGCCAACATGAGCGAACGTCGTATTGAAAGACTCGTAAACCCAGGTATGAAATGTAGTGTGGCAACTCCTTCAGAAATGGGGTTTAGAGTTGTTCATATAAACCCGGTTACCGAGATTTAACGAAGCGTAAAATGGACTTCAACTGGTATTGAAATGAATAGATAACATGATTCCTGTAGTCACGTTGTCATCCTAACCAGTGGCGTTGCGTCTCGTCGTGTTCACCACACAGACCGTAAAAACAATCAATTTTAATACCTCAAAATCATATCGCGTTTCGTTAAATCTCTGTAAACCGGGCTCATGTAAAGTTCTAACCCAAAGGCTTTTTTAAAAGCATTATGATAGAGGCCTTGTAGGGTCGAAACGTGGATTAGATAAGTTGTTTTGTATGTTTTAGGTAATTGCTGAACCTCATTTGATGGTTCTAATAATTACCTTGACAAGATTACTACTTTTTGTCTCATCTTGATCTCTTAAGCTTACAGCGGTTTGAAGTATCCATTTCTTGTCGAAGATGGTGGGCTTAATTCAGGTAGTTAACACATTTTACACGAGATTTAACTCTACTCAATCAGGGCCGTAGCTAGACCGCTTAATTGGGGGGAGGGGGGTATCTTCATATATTCATGTTTTTATACTGTAGGTACAATAGCTTAGAAAAGAAATCAGTCGGGCATATAGGACGAATATATGAATATACGCCCCCTCTCCCCCAATTAAGCTTCTAGCTACGGCTCTGTACTCAATTTTAATTTGCCGTTGTGAAAAGCACATAAACAAAACTTTACTTATTTTATTCAGGTTATATGGTTGCACACTACACTGCTGCTGCTCTCGGTAATTTTTCCTTCTTGTTTTTGGGAGGGAACTTATATTCTTTTCTCTTGATACAATAAAGCCTTTTGTCATTTCAAAATGTCAGACTCATAGAAAGCTTGCTCGTCTGTAATGTAATGTAATGCATGGCCCTTCTTACGTTTTGGTTTGTTAAATTGGAAATCAATTTCTAATATTCAGTTACGGAGAACCGTGTTTGTAGACCTCAAAAGTAGCGAATTTTATAAATTCTGTAACATATGATAATTTTTACTGCTTAGTATCAGAAAACAAAGTTCTATGTCATCCATCGTCCGTCGATTCACTTCCTACGTCAGCAGGAACCGAAGATCACGTGTCCATGGGTGGATTTTCAGCGCGAAAAGCAGTTAAGGTCGTGGAGAATGTTGAGAGAGGTACTTTTTTATACTACTTGAATGAGGTTTAGTAAAACTCTTTTCAAACACGAATTTAATGTTTCCAACTTAGGATTGACGATAAACGATATTTTTTTCACCATCATTTATTTGAAAGAGTCTGTTGAGTCTGGGTGTTGTCATGTTGCGGTTCGGTTCTACCTGTCTCAGTATTTTTTTATTCTGAGGAAAAGGCACACCTAAAATGCGCCCTCGGCTGGCATTTAGGTAGTTAATTACCCTACATGCCTTCTAAAATCTCTGTGATATGAATTCTTTGATATTTTTCTTCGACAAGTTCTCGCCATCGAACTATTGGCAGCCTGTCAGGCGATGGAATTTTTACGACCTCTGACATCGACAGAACCGTTAGAAGCTGTTCATGCTTTGGTTCGATCTCATGTCAGGCAAGTCAGTTGACGTATTTTGTGTTTTTTCGTAATATTTTTACTCACAGTTTTATGATTAACGCACAGACCTTGGGATAGAGACAGAGTAATGGCGCCTGAAATTGATAAAGTTACAGAACTTTTAAGATCCGAAAAGGTAAAAAAAATTATTGCTTTACAACGACAAAGAATAGGGTTTATGGTGAAGTTCAGTTTTCGTCAATTCGAAACAGTGAGAAAGTTTCGTAGATGCGATAATTGGAGGGACGGCATATTCATATATTTGCAGTAGCAGCTATTTAAAGATACTTGTTTTATCATTTCCTTATTATGTATTAACTACTTCTGTTACCATTCATCAAGGTATGGGAGGTGGTTTCTCCATTCATCGACAGCTACATGGCAGCGTCTTCAGTAACAGATCTGGAAATTCGTCCTCCCTCGCCAACTGCTTGTAATATCGCCAGCCAAGTTGGTGACTGTTCCGGAACACACGCTGGGGAATAATTTTTTTTGCCGATCGAACTCGTGTTTGAGTCGTGAAGAGAAAATGAAATAATGAATTTTTAACCTATTTATGACAAATGTTTTCCACCTCAAAATAATTATAGGAAATGTTCTTAAACGCTTTGGTGTAGCGCGCAGTCTCGCAGATCAACCAGCAGTTACTGCAGCGAGTTGTATTCATTTTGTACAAAAGTGAGTTTTTTAAAGATGTAGTTTGAAGCACTGATAAAGTTGAACTGTTTCTGCTCTAATCTACTCTAAAAATTTATTAAATCAGGTAAAGTTTAATTTACAAGACATTTTTTCTTGTTTTTAATTTGAGGTATGAAACATTTGAAGAATGTATTGTTCTGTATTTCCTAATATTTATAGCTTTAGTTATTAATTTTGTTTTAACTAAACCATAGTACATTTTCATTATGATTTGTTTATTACTCCGGCGTCAGCGACGGAGTTGAAAATTCGCCTCGGTTTTGTTTTGTTTTTGTTTTTTTTTTTTTATTTTTTTTTTTATTATTTTTCGTCGTCGCAAGTGTGTAATGGCGCGAAACATTCTAGTATTTAAATGTGTATGTGATTGGATTTATCTATGTCCCAGTCTTATCTCCCAAGAGTTGTGGTGTACAGCTTTGGCTAATTTTCCGATGCGCGATTCGATTTCGCTCGCATGATACGGCAATTCCTCCAAGAGGAACAAATAAACCGTTCTTTTCATGCTTTTCGATTAAGTTTAGACTGAATTGGGGTAAGAATATATTTAATACGTGTAGATTCTGGTCCTATTTTAGTAATATCGCTGCTATTTCGCCGTTTAACAAGATGATGTGGTCGTGTATGGGCGCTTTGACTCGTCGTAGTTTGCACAGGATTGAAGATTTAATATAACTATATAAGCGCGAATTCCAAAGGCAAAGTGTAAGACAAAGCGAATGTATTATACCATTTATTTACATTCTTGAACGATTTAACTTTTATACTTTTTAAAGTACGATGTGCTTCTGAATTTCGCGATCGAACATTTAGGTTCGCAAGGCATCTAAATGCGAATATGAACTGTATTGTTTATGTTCAGAAGCTCTATATTGAAAACTGGCACGTGCGCCGGAGTTAACGCCAGAACAGGCGTCTTGTTTAAATATGAATTTATTTACAGTTTTCAAACAGAATAAAAATAAATGTCACTGTGAGAGATTCTTGAAGCTTGGATTTGGTGTGTAACCAATATTTTCATCCCAACCTTTACGACATGTTTTTACAATCCAGGCATGTTCATCATCATCTAGAAATACATATAGCAAGCATTCAATTTCATTGAATCTTAATGGTTTGGATATATTTATAAGTGATGCTCTGAAATTACCTGCATTACGTAAGAATCTATTCTGATAATCCAATACAACTCGTGTAGCGGGATTATAAAATCCATCACCACAATCGTAACAGCCCTCTGGAATTTGGCGAGGGGGAACACCGTTTGTAAGTTGAGAACGACCTAAAGATAGAGTTTATAATTTATAAAATTACATAATTATACTAGCTAATATGTCATATTTGCATGGTTTTTGCAATGTCAATGACTGCTTAGTGCTTATTCTTTGGTGCAAAGATTGTTCAAAGATTTATTGACCTGCAGGTTTTAGACCATTACAAATTTCAGTATATAATCTTCTGTCGTAACCATCGCAGTATTTCCAATCTGTTGGCTCGTATTTTAGTCCATCTGCAAATGTAAATTGACCCTATAGGAGATTTAAAAATAGGCAAACATTAAATTTGGCTTTATTGCCAATGTATTCTTCATGACGTACTACCTCAATTGCTATGCCATTTTCCCATGTCCCAACGTACTTGCTACCATTATCAAATAATAGTGTCCCAGAGCCATGAAACCTGCAAATTGTATCAGAAATATATTATGTTTATGCTTCAGAGGTTCAACTCCCTTGAAAAACTAACTTGAATCTAACTCTATTCCTGTATGATCTTAGCATGTAAAAACTTGTAAAAATAAACAAGACAGCAAAATAAAATGGAAAAGAAAACAATGGCAGATTTGTAGTTAGCGCAATATAAATTAAAATAACATTTCCTCACATCCCATCATTTATCTCCCCAACGTATTTTGATCCCAGAGCTTCTGGAAGTGTGTATTCGGGTCCTACTAATAACCGACAACAACCGACAACAAGCTAAAATTATTGACAGAAAGCTTATAATCATCAATAACGATGTAATAGACGCTAATATTGAAAGTTCTTCGACTTTATTTTTACAATAACAGTAATAATATTACGAATTTCGGGCCCGTCTTGTTGGCTTTTGCAACGAGAGGGACTGCCTAAGTGATGAGATAAATGGTGAGATGAAATAAGTTTTGCGTTTGATTATAATAATAACAATCATGATAGTACATGTAAAGTTCGGGGACGAATGTTTAGTTATCCCTTGCCAAGATGGCAAAGAGTCTGTAAAATGGTTAATTACAGAAGCTGTGAAAAGATTTCGTACTTTACAAAGAACAACAGATATTCCAAATCAGCCGTGTTTATATTTGCCCAACAGAGGTGGTTTGTTATGGCCAAGTGATACTATTGAAAGCGTATTGAAAGATAATGGATTTGCTGAAATGAAACGTAAGATTGTGTTAAATTAACCGTTTAATTCGTAGACTATATATGACTTGAATTCTAAACCAAACAAATACTGAAAGTTAAAATTTTAACTCGTCTCTCCTTTGTCGGAACTGGCAAGTTGCTGTAGTTACGTAGTAGTGTAGTTATTGCCAGCATATAGTGATCCTACACGGCCAAAAATTGATCAGGTTGTCGCATCAGGAGTGAACAATGTTGTGCTGCACCCTGTGAACAGTATTGTTGACAATGTTGTTGAAGCTTGTTGAACTATCAATGCTGTTGCAACTTGTTACAACAACATTGCATCAACATTGATGATGATGAAACAATCAATTTCTAAAGAAATAAATAATTATAGTAACTCGTGACAATTTGCATAGCGGGACTAAACCAGTCGTTGTCAGGGCATCGTTTACGGTTAGCCTCAAAAGAAAGAAAAAACTAAAGATTTTCGACATGAATACCACAATATTGCTTACAACATCACATATAGCATTTCAGAATTATATTCAATCGTTGAAAAATATATGCGTGAAGGTGTTTTGTGTTTTGGGGTTATCCAGAGTTACGTCACTGGATATTGTATCGCGTCGTTCTGGCCTTGTGGGGGCCGGTTGTATCAAAATAGAAAGGAAGTTCCTTTATTCAAGGAGCGAACTTAATGATTTTAACCTTAAAACAAAAAGACTGTTTACAACTACATATTAAAGTACATAATAATATTCAAGTTGACTCGTTCATGAGAGATACAAGGGTGATATTTAAATTTATCCACCGTTTAAGTGGATAAGGGCATAATACCACTGACCAAGCTTATACACGCGTAAAAATCATCATGTTGATGCAAGTTGTTAAAAACAGGAGTGAACAATGTTGTGCTGCACCCTCTGAACAGTATTGTTAACAGTGGTGTTGCAACTTGTTACAACAACATTGCATCGTGATTGCAACAACATTGATGATTCAACAAGCTTCATGCAACAACATGGTTAACAATACTGTTCCCAGGGTGCAGCACAGCATTGTTCACTCCTGATGCGACAACCTGATCAATTTTTCGCCCTGTACGATAACACACGAGCGTGGTTATCGAGCTTTAACGCCTTGAAAATATGCTCAATATGTTAAATTAGCTTCAACGTTTCATTGTAACTTGACGATGTTTAGAAACCGTTTGGCATGAAAACGAAAATGGAAAAGCTCGAAAACGTTACCGTGTCGACATTGTCATAGTCTCAGACTGAAAACAAGGTCAGCCAAGCTGAGGCAGTCCAACGCGAATCCAATAATTCTTCTTTTTTAATGAAAATGAATCTTTTTTAAAAATCATCGAGCCTTTATTAAGCACAATTGGATTTATTGATAGCCTAAAGTTTAGTTTTGACAACCCAGTAGACCGAGTCGATCAAAGAATCGATAAAAATTGTTTGCGTTGCCATTGGCGTTTAATAAACGTATGGTTGAATTTCTACAAAAAATATATTAGCAAAATCACAAGGTGTAATCACTGTAATGAGATAAGCGTATATTGCTACTTAATTTAATCTTTTTATCCATCCCTGCATGTGGCAAAATGAAAAACTATATCATGCTTGTGTTGGGCTGTGTCCATTGTGACTTGCCTTGAGTCGCAAAACGCTGACTGGATCACACCATTAAAGCCCATTTTCCACTAGGCCAATATATTCGCGCGACGCGAAGCGATATCTGAAATCCAGTGATGTGATTGACTTGCGAAAAAATTCGCCCCGAAAAAGTAGAATCGCCTCCTACTTTTTATCTGTTCCCGCGAACAAAATCAACAAATTCGCCTAGTGGAGAACGCGCTTAACGCGGACCTGGAGTGTGGAGTGGATTAGACGCATTAACATCGGGTAGTGTCGTAGCTCCTCGCAAAAATGATTTTCATTGTCTGAACTTTACAATACATTTTTGTTTTAACCAATAGCATAGCTTCGTTTTTTAGAAAGCATAGAAAAGCATTATCCAATAGACCTTTCTTATAATGACGTCAAACGCGGAAAGTGTGATATTACATGAAATTTGATTGGCTCCACAAAACTATCGAGCCAATCAAACTTGAGCGAGAGCTGCGAAACGCCCTTAACATACGCAGAAGCGACTGTAACCTCCCATTTTAAGTTCAGTGTTTGTTCATCGAACATCGTCCTTTGCAATCATGATAGTACATGTGAAGTTCGGGGACGAATGTTTAGTTATTCCTTGCGAAGATGGTAAAAAGTCTGTAGAATGGTTAATTACAGAAGCTGTAAAAAGATTTCGTACTTTACAAAGAACAACAGATATTCCAAATCAGCCGTGTTTATATTTGCCTAACAGAGGTGGTTTGTTATGGCCAAGTGATCTTATTGAAAGCGTATTGAAAGATAACGGATTTGTTGAAATGAAACGTAAGATTGTGTTAAATGAGGTTTGGTTTGTGTTGAATGAAGTTTGATTTGTAGACAATGCGTGCTTTTGGAAATCAAATCTAAGAACTAGTCAACTAGAACATTGAGATCTCGTGACAAATTGATTGTTTTACACGATTTATATTGCTGTCATGTAGTCATTTCCAATAAGCCCTGGCCCTCTGAAAAATCTGTCTTTTGCCTCAATACATATTTAGGTTGGTACGGATGAAGTTTGGACCATCCATTTAGGTAGTCCAAATGTCATCATTCTCAATGTTATCTGTAACAAAACTAAAATTGAACAATTAAGTCAAAATACGAAATTCCCCACTTCTGTCGTGTGCCGCCACTTCCTGCAACGCACATTAATTAACCGTCAATCACAGAGTCATTTCACAACTACGAGAATGATTCTGTCGTTTTACTACTACTACCACTATCACCAGAAGAGCGTGTTGGTCTAAGCTATATTCAATTTTTTTTTCCGTTACGAGAAGTGCGCTGGAGTGAAGCAAGAAGATTCGTAGATTCATGGATTGTTCTAGAACTACATTGTTTAATATTTCTATGGAGAACTGATATTTAATTTAATTTTTAATTCCACCACGTAATTATAAATTCATATTCAGTTGTTAAGTAATTGTGAGGATTGCGATTTAAACGTTTTATTATATTTTTCCAAAAGAGCCGCGGTAATGCATATTTTACAATTTTCTGGGAACTTGTGTACGGAAATACATACTGAAAGCAAATCACTATTACGCGAATGAGCTTTCTTAACTGTGGGTTGAAAGGTTTACATGCAGACTGTCTCAAAACAATCGAGTGACTTTTAATATGTTTTGTTTGTGGAAAAACAATTCTAATTCTCTGTGGAAAGCAATTCGAATTCCATGCACCGTTGGAAATTGAATGAAGATTACCATTGACCCAGAAATACGCATTACGCCATTGGGCTAATAATAAATTCAAATTTGCGCCGTTTTGCATTCAACTGGGGAAGTTTGATTTTGATCGCTATATTAATTTTTATTCTGAAATCATTCAAAATATAAATATATCATTGGAAAGCTAAATAACCGGCTCTTTGATACTATCAAAACCACAAAAAAAAAATTTATTTAATGCGATCAAGTCTGTTAATTCCCACATTGTTTCAGTTGATTGTTTCAAATCTGATTTCCCAAACTCCTCCATGCGTGTTTCTACAACTGTATAGAAGCACGGAAAATGTTTTCGATTTCCTATAATTGTATAGTCTTTTGTTGAAATAACAACATTATTTGTTTGCTTTCATTTTACATGCAGAATCAAATGAAGAAAGAGACGAGGAAACGTATCCACCGCAGATTATGAAACTATAATTATTAAACACTTCTCTTCGGCATGGTGCAAGTTATGACCCCCGGCTCCTTGCATGGTGATATGTTTGTATGGTTGAATATAGTTTCCAATTGCATGAAATGTGGTATAACAGCTGTCTGCATGAAATAGACAAACGCATGACTTCTCGTCGTTTCCACGTTTTGATATTAAACTCCTTTACGATGAAATACCTACAGACCAGGAAGTAAAGTTCAACGCGGTGTTCACACACCATCAACGGTAAAATGACATTTTTAAGTGTTTTGTTGAAATTTGGACCGCGGCGGCTAAACCTTTTTATATATCCGTGTAAATACATGCAGGTATTGTTGGATGGAAGTAGTTTAACAACAGAGTTACTTGCCAAACTTGGAACTGCGTGTTGCAAAATACAGGTGAAAAAGTACAAATATTAATATTTCAAAAGTTATACTACTACAATAGACATACATTACTAAATGAATGAAGATTTTCTTTGATATTCATCTTGAATTTTTTGGACTTGAAGATATCAGACGAAGCCAGGCGACGTGTCAAAGAAGGAAGAGATCTTGTTGAAAGCATTGTCAGTGAAGGCAGAGGTTTGAAACTTGTGATGTCATCATTTACAGTAATCGTTATTTCCATTTATTTACAAATCTGGGTCGTGATTTGCCTTTAGATATTCACGTACGTAACAAATATTTTCAGATTGTCAACGGGCCCTGCTCTAGGTAGAGCTATAGAGTATAGACATTAG